AAAAGATGGCGGACACTGGAACGTAGTACTAGTATGTATACCAGGTTAGGCCATAATTTTATCCCAATTGTCCTTATTTCAGTTCAATCACAAGTTCGGGGACTAGCCAAGTGACTCCCGTATTATTTGTACCTGGATTTATGGCCTAACCTTCTTCATCTTCTTTCCCTTGATACAATTTCAGACGTCAAGTCAAAAGATTTTGGTTTTTCTGCAAATCCTCCATCCTGAGCTGTGACTCCTGAAAATTCAATGTATATTTGATCATGCAGTTTGAGAATGGTATGTTGTTTTTGGTGGCGCGCTGGCCTAGTGGTTGAAGTGTTAGACTTAACCATGGCATCGCATTGCAGATTAAAATCTTGGGTGTACAAAATTAGTTAGACGATGCCAAACCATAAAATTTCAGGCCGTTTCTAACTATAGTTGTCCCTTATTTAGTAGTGGCTCATTGTGTATAGCCTTGTTTAGTGCAAATGGTGCATAAATACGGCATACAAAAAAGAATAGAAAAAGGTTGAGGAGAAATGAATCTTTTTCACATATTGCCAACTTTATTAAGGTTTCCGCTGAAAATCCGTTTACATTATCAATAGCTAGACAAAAGTAGATAATGCTCTAGCACATGACCCAGGTATTGTTGAAGTATAACATATTTGTATAATATAATGAAACAAAAAATACAGCCATGAAGCGCCTATTTCACAAACAAAAGCTACAAATAAGACTAGAATTTAAAGAAAAAGTGTAGATCAGATCAATAATGTAGAGCAGAGCAGTAATACAATGTTAGTTGTGTAACCTGCGATGACATCACAGTTGCCTATAATGCCTCAACTGCTAACATAACAAAGTATGACTAACTGATTCATGAATTACAATAAAGATAACTAATAGCAATAAGCTATCGTTATGAATCAAGTGCAATTAATAACTGCATACGTCAACAAAGAGGATTTGAGGTACAATACTGATAAACAACTATTCAATATCATACAAAAATTTTTATCCAAAACAAGTCCCAATAAACTAAAGGCGTTGTAATTTAAAGATAAATAAACTAATCAAATACCTCTTCTAGTTCACTGACTTGAATGATAGTTTCTTTTCCTCATCATAATTTTAGCTTTGATTGCAGCAATTTTTTCCACTGATATCACGTCGGTAAGAGACTTAATTTGTTCTGTAGTTACAGTTTTGTCACTACCTCTTGCTTCAAGTCTTTCAACAAGTCTTTGCTATACAGAAGAATTATAATCAAGATCAGTCAAACGCATTTGATACTGTTAGCCTTTGTAAATGGCATTGTTGACAAAAGAAAGAACAAGATCTCCCAGTGAATCTATATCGAGGATGGGCAAAATACGGCCCACGGCCGGATCCGACCCAATGAAGTGTTTCATCCTTCTTACTTGTGCCTGCCGAAATTACGACTATTGTTTTTATGAATATGAATTTCAATCAAAAATATTGGTGAAAATAACAAATCGTCAACCAAAATAAATATAACAACTCCCTGCGGATTATCCACAACTGAATATGATGTGCAAAATGAGCCACATGCACGTCAAGTTTATCCATCTGAATTATTATTCCGATATATGAAGACTAACAATAGCAAAAACAGATCTTGTCTAACAGATTCACATCTACAAGCCATAGTTAGAATCAGCAGCTCTGAGCCCTATTTAAACTACCGATAGCTTTTGAACACATGCAGCAGTAGGCTACATCAGTCCCATCAATCATTGTGCACTACTTGGTACACTAACTGTTTTTTGTACATTAGCTGATATGCTAGTTATTTGTAAATAAACTGTTTGTGTTTATTACTTATCGATCTTAAGATCGGTAATTATATTGATAGGTATTTGTCTGTATGTATGTCTGTCTGTATGTATGTCTGTTAGATGCACGCGATATCTCACGAAAGCGAGATTGAATCTGCTCCAGATTTTGCATGTGCATTCATCTTATCTCGGACCAGTAGCCTATTGATTTTGGGCGAATTATGTCGTATAATTGGCGAGTTATCAATCAATTATTGATATAGTGATCTAGATTTTTGTAAACCGAGAGAATTTTGAAACCCGCCGAGTGTGTGTGTGCGATGCGCAGTGCGCGAGTTACAAGAGCGGATGAATCGAAACTGCAGTTTCTGTTTTGGGGGATCCCCTAACTATCGATCGATAAGTCTTCGGTTTCCAACCGATATTCTCGTTCATACATTACTATTGAGTTTGTTATCTGATACCAGCCCAGTCAAGAAAGTAATTGCGCACCCCTGATTTATATCAATCTTTGCCAATGAGAGAGAGAAATTTTTTGTCAACCCGGAGTTCAATTAGGGAGCCGTCATCGTTTTTATAGGTTGGGATCGAGAGTAAATTGCGAATAATCACATATTTTTCGAATCAAATTTGGTCAGAATCGGACATTCTATTTAAGTTCGAAGGCTTGATTTTTTTTACATTACATTTTAACCCTTTCCGTGCGGTGGGCACGTATACGTACCAACGACAAAAGTCGATGGATTGCGGCGGGTACGTTGATGTACTCCATTGTTTTATTTAGCAATCGGTCGCAAACTGTTGGTCTAGTTTTTCCGGGTTTCAGTTTATTGATAATCAGTCTTCTTCGAGATTAACATAAGCGACGGTAAATCTCGCTTTCGTTTTCGACGGGAATTTTATTTGCGGCGGAACGAGGGAGTGTTTTTGAAATTTATGCAAATTTCGGTGTTTTTTGGGCAGTAATAGAAGACATATTATCCCTTCCATCTACCAAAGTATTTTGAGTTAGATCACGAAATTGCTACAGCAATATTATGCTATTGTTTGCCAACCACGAAGCGGTAACAGTAAAGGATTTAGCGAATATTTCTATTTTTTATCATTTTTCGCATGGAAAGAGTTAAGGTTCTTTATCATTATTGAACATTCATACTTAGTATGTACGTCCCAATAAGTCAGTTTACAGTAAATCATGAGCATTAGTAAAGTTATGAGTAAATAAGAAAACCGCACTGTAATGCGAATACGCTGTGAAAACATACCCTATCTCTTATTTTTTTAGTTGTTTCTTCTGTTCTTACGCGCTTTGCTCTAGGTTCGTGGCCTGACCCATCATCCGTCGTACTACCGCTACTTGCAACTGGTCGTTTTACTTTGCTCGGTCTCTGCATTGTGGTTTCCAAAGGTGCACTTTTATCGATATTTTTTGATGTAGCTAGAAATAACCAGAGAGTATAGTTAAGAACAAGTTTGAAACTAATTATTAACAAAATTATGTTATTCATAATAGATATATTAAAGAGGTCACATCCATAATAGAATAAGATTTACAGGTATCCGAGGGTGCGGAATGTCGATAAGACGACTTAATCATATCAGAAAGGTTTTACCGACTGTAATCAATCTTCGTATTTAGACGATTCGAATAATTTTGACTAAGCGCCAGCAGCAAAGATTGAATTGTTATGAATGGATATTCCTAAGAAAAAACCCTAACCAATAGATAATATAAAAAAATACCAATTACTAGAGCTCGACCGATATAACTTTTTGACACCGATACTGATATATCGGCCAACTAGTGGCAGATAACCGATATGCCAATATTAATATAAATCATATTGTGAGCTAAAAATGGGCATTTAGTACCTCTTGAGTCCGTAGTTTCATTTTGATAATTATTATCATTGCAGTCATACTTTTATTCAACTAACTCCAGTTAATGCTTGACCAAATGTTTTTTTGTAACACTTTCCATAACATTAATATCAATCTTTCCTTTTCCAGGAACAAGAAATTGTAAATCTGGCATGCGGAACTTAAATATAACTGTGGGCATATATGGGTATTGTGAAATTATAAATTGATGTGATAAAGTATGTACAGTTACATCTAAACTACTGCTAATATTCTGCATAACAAAGTTTCCAGAATTATAAAAGCAGACCCCATACCGACATGGACTGGTTACAAAACTTGAAGGTCTCCAAAATTACCTAGGGTTCGAAAACAGAGTGTTCAGAGTTGAAAATTGTCTCTTATTACCTTATTTAGTCAATTATAATGAATTCAGTTTTTTTTTTTGTGTCATTCTCAGCAAGATGATAACAACCAACGAGAATATCGGTCAGAGACCGAAGACTTATCGATCGAAAGTTAGGGGATCCCCCAAAACAGCACTCATACTCCATAGTGACACCTTGTGTCCCATCACTTATTAATCAATAACTCGCTAATTATACAACATAATTCATCCAAAATCAATAGGCTTCTGGTCCAACATATGATGAATGCACATGCAAAATCTAGAGCAGATTCAATCTCGCTTTCGTGAGATATCGCGTGCATCTAACAGACAAACAGACGAATACCTATCAACATACTTACCGATTAAAATCGATAAGTAATAATATCGATAAAACCATTGCCCGAGAAATTCAAAATTGCATTTAGGGATGTTACAAATTCGGAACTATCTTGATGGCATTATTATTTGATAAATGTGTTGTTACTGACTGTACTACAGCCATCAAAATCCTTGAGTGCAATTATTTGTCATGGTAATAGATAGATAATACAAGGTCCTTTGAAATGAAGTTTTGCCCTCGTAAGGATCCCCTCATCAATTTCAGCTTTGAGTTACCTGTAGCATGATTTTGTCATTACAACTCAACAGCTTCAAATCGTTTCTATTCATAGAACATGCATATTCTCTCTCGAAAACCTCATTTCATATGTTACTCCAGATAATACCTTTTCAATTATAACCATGCATGAAATGGCTAATCATAATATGTCACCGGGAATTAGGAGAGACACCTTTTTAATGTCGCAAAATGACAGCGAGAGAAATACTGAGAAACCAGTTATGCGAGGGGCAAGAGTCGTTCAAGCAAGAAGCCCGGCGCTTGCCCAGGTAATGCCGATATGAGATATCGGCAAACATGCAATATCGGGCTGATATATCGGTCAAGCTCTAACAATTACATATTTCTCCATCCATGTATCTGCGAAGATCTTTTCTGTCTGGTCTTCTGACAGCAGGAATATCCTCTGCAGCAGCTTGACTTATATACAGGGGATGTGTCAATTTAATATTCTTTAGATAAAAGAGGATTGTATCCAAAGTGTAATATTCTTTTGCATTTCCATTCTTACCAGTACTGAAAAATCATGGATAATGAGAAGTTTTAAAAATTCCTGTATTGCAAATAGAATGAAATATAAGAATCAAACTATACAAAACTAATATATGACAATTGACTATCCGTACTCTGATTGGCATTACAGCATACCTCACTGAAAATTACCTATACCTTCAAAACAATGAGACCTTGAGTGAAATAAGGCATTTCACATTGAAAATTGTAATTTCTAAGAGCGAATAGTAGAAATTCTTTAAAATATTTATATTTTACGGATACTTATTCCATATTAGTATAAAAAACATATTATGCTTAATAAAAGCGTTAGTTATTTCATTGGCGCAGATCAATGAAATATGGGAAAAAATGATGCAATTAATCGCAATATTACATGGAACCAGTGCTGGGATTCAAATTATTCGTCAGCCGATTCCATCACAAAAATCATATTTTTCAGCCGGTTCTGTTACAAAAAGTCATGTTTTTTTTCAGTAATGCTAACCGGTTCGCTGATACCATAAAAGTCCATGAGACGGTTCCATAGAACCTAAGTGCGAACCGGCTGAATCGCACCACTGCACGAAACCCTCCCGTAAAAACAAAAAATATTAAAGGTTGAAAAAAGAAATTCATGATAAAACTATTTAGAAAAATATATAATTTAGTTTTTAGCTTCAATAAATGTAGGCATTATGGAATTTAACATTATGAATTGATAAATTATATTTCCAAATACAATATTAGCAACAATTTTCAGAGTTCAAAAATATTTAAAAATTGAAATGAATATTCTTTTAATCAGAAAATCCAGACAGAAATGAAAAACACTAAAAATGAAACTTCAGAAGTTAATTAATTAATCATTACAATGTACTGATGTAGCTAATATCTAGATATACTTTGAAAAATACCTTCCAGAACAATAAGAAATGAAAAATTAGTAAGTAGTCACTCACCCCCAAATTGGATAATTAGTTTTTTTATTTTTGGGCCATCAGAAGTCTCCGAAAGTGATATAGCCATCACGTTCTTCAATCTTCTTCTTCGCCATATTGTATTCTCGTAGAATGCTGAGAGCATCCGCCATTTTGACAGTTGAGTGTCCAAAGCAAAAGAATTTACTAATTCTGTTATTTTACATATGATAAATATTGTTTAATAATTCTGTAATTTATCAGTTTTTATGATATGATTTATGATAATTCTCTCTAACAAATTGAAAATAAATGTTACTACAAATCTTACAAACGAAAACAGAACTTCATTATGCTGTTAATAGCAGTGTTATGCGTGAAACCATATGGCTGTATGGTAACTACCGCAGGGTCGCCATATTTGAAAAAGCAAAATTCCGGACAGTTCATGACCTCGTAGTAAAAAATATGCGCCCGGTACGAAATAACAATGTTCTTTATTAGCAGTGTGCACAGTACGATTGCAGATGCAGTAAAATTCCGGTTTTTAAATTGTTCCCAGACGCAAAATTTGGGTCTCGTGTAGTTTCATACCTAACGTACTTCTAGTGGGTGTAGCATAACAATTTTTTGATATGTCAATCCTACGCCATCCAAAAATTACGTCACTACGACATCACAATCACGTCATAGAGCTTGCCAAATAAACGTACAATCACCCGAAATGGCATTGGCGCCGACTATAAAGAACTGACTGACGTTATCGATCTCTCTCCTATTGGAATCGTTGCGACGAGAAAACGAGAGAAATAACTGTTCGATTTCGGGTGCTCGTTTACGCGTCTTGGATGGGCAACCCTAAAATGCGGGAAACGGGAACACGGGAAATGCACTAAAATGCGGGAACGACGGGAAATTGCCAAAACTAAAATGCAGGAACTACGGGAATAACGGGAACTACGGAAAATTTCACTAGAAAGCGGGAATTTCACAAGAAGCGGGAATGACGGGAAATCGCTTTAAGGTATAGGCCTCGAGTCGAGGCCATTTATTTTTCAGTTTCAGTCCTGTTTCTAGAAATAATATTGCCTTTGTTCAAATACCTAACCACATAAACTGAAAAAAAGACTAATTGTAATATTTCTGTTCACTATGGTATGTACATATATAGCAAATATATTTGTTAAACATGAAATGGGGTACATTTGGGGGTTAGTTGCTATACATATTGTACATTCATTCAATTTTCTTGACTTTTCCGGTAAATTTCTAAGTGAGAAATAACTGATTTATTTGTGTTTTCGTGCTCACGATGTTAATTTGTGACTTCATTGCTTAAAAATAAATACGTTTGATAGCTTCTATAAAATGGATGTAGCTTTTTATGCTGTTCTTGTTGTAAACTGCTTGTGGTTATTACATGAAATTTATTCGCTAATGGGAATCAGCGTTGTTGGAGTCGCTGCTTTCGAGGTCACTCGCGACTCCTGTCACACAATTAAAGTATTTTTTGTTGTTGGTTACATGTATGCCATATTTTTCGTAATCTACCTAATAAATTATGATTGACTGAGGAAGTTAGATTTTAGTCAGGCAAAACATTACAGGAATACACTCGTTGGTTCTCATGTATGTGTTGTAAACTTATGGTTATTGAATTTCCGGGAACCTCTAATATTCAATTTCGCATCAGGATTGTGGAACAAGCTGAAGTTCATTTTCAAACAAAACTGAAGAATTTATTTATTTACCAGATGTGCGCTACAAACTCATTTCTGGGCGTTTTCAAGGCTTCGTCTCACGGCCCATATTCGTGGTAAAGATCTACAAGTGTTTAATAACCTACTTATACATTTTTCAACAACGTCTTAGCATAACTTAACTAACAAGAGAGCTATGCTCAAATATTTGGACACGTAGCGCCCAGTGGGAATAATTTTGATGACGTCATAGCGAAAAAAAATAATAGCCTTCTGGAGAAAATTTTATCTTCAACCACTGAAAATTTCAAAACAATTGGTCCAGTATTCGAAGAGAAAACCGATTTCTTCATAACGTGTCAAAGAACAAGGACACTAAGAACAACAACAACATAATATTGAAACGATCGCTATGTCCACTACGTGTCCAATAATAACTAAACAGCGCTATGGAAAGGCTGCCCAACTCAACGCAAGGTCGAGCAGTAATAACTAATATTCATCCGCTCGCTAACAGCTGATTCGATTCAATTGTTACGTCATGCAGAAGTCATTGTTCATTGCCGAAAATGTAGAGAATATAGGACAGATCGTAGCACATATTTCTTGTAGTAAAAGCGTCTTTTCCGTAAAACGTGCAACTTTTGTGGGAACAAGGCAATATTTGTCACTAAATTTTTAAGGAACATTTTAAAATCATTTTCAGGTAGTTACCTGATGTGCGCTACGAAACTCACTTTCTAGGCGTTTTTCAGGGCCTCGACTCGCGGCTTAAATTGTGAAACCTTTGGAACTCCGCATTTGATGAAGCGCATTTCAGGGACAATTTTGCCATTTTGAGCACATTGCTGACGACCACTCAAATATGACGCCATGATATGAGGATGAGTGAACTTCCTTCAATACCGTAGTGGCGTATATAAATTCGATCGATACTCGGGGAAGTCCAAATGTTAGGTAGCTGAGCAATAGGCTATTGTTACACACTAAATATTGTATTTCATATGATTTTAATAATAGACACTCCAAGAGACTTAAAAAAGCCAAACGGAAATTCAGACGCCAAACGTGTTTGAAAAAAGCCAAAAATGCGGTTAAAAAAGCCAATATGGTAACCCTGCTACCGGCGGACTATTTTGATTAGAAGATTCCAAATTCCATTTATATTAGAGTAGACAATTCACGCACAAGAAAGTGAACACATCCTGTGATCGCAAAATGACCTATTTATGCAATGTAACTGCGTTGAACGCCTGAACGGAGAATTTTATTTTAAAAGGAGAGGATGCAAACGAAGTTGCGTTATGATCAGTTTTTATCCTTGTGCCATGGCCCCAATTGAGCTGCTTCGTGGCCCCTTTGGGGGCCCTCGGCCCCCGGTTGAGAACCACTGTTCTACAGCTTTTATAGTCAAAGCGATGCAAGAAATAATGAACAATTAGCGTCATTTTCAGCTTCATAAAGTAGAAGGACAGATGAGTTCAAAAAAGATATTCATTTTAAACAAATGGCAGTTGATAGAACTAGGCAGAAGCATGAACCTCCCTTCTCTCTCTCAATTTTCAGGCATTTAATTTTTTGCCTCATTTCAGTATCAACATTTTCCGTCGTTTCGGACTTTTGTGCACTGCTGATATTATATTACACCATAGGCTAGAGGTGGGCAAATTACGGCCCGCGGGCCGGAATCGGCCTACTGGAGTGTTTCATCCGGACCACTTGTGCCTGCTGAAATCATGAACATTGTTTTTATGGATATAAATTTCCGTTTAAAATATCGATGAAATAACGGATCGTCGGCTAAAGTAAATAACGTAAGTCCTCACGGATCATCAGTACTGAATATAATGTACAAAACCATCGATCCAAATTATTTATGTCATTCAGAAACTCTAGCTCCCGATATATCAGCATTTGGGCCTGCAAATTTTTTCGTGTTTTCCTGAATGCCGCGAAACGCATAACACAATCGGCAAACTATATTTCGGCGAATTACACCTCGCAAGTATTCCGCACGACCTGTTGAGAATCTCTTTCTATCAACTTTCTCTGTGCAGCTGCCGTAATTTGCCAACCCCTTTAATGAAGTCCCATTAATTGATTTTGATCATATCGATATCATCATCGATCATATCGGCCCAGTAACCAAGTCTATTATCCGCATTCGGCCCACTCTGGAAAGTAATTGCCCATCCATGTCATAGGCCACTTCCTACCAAAGCGTATGCTCCCGACCAGACTTGATAGATAGATAGAGTTGTTCCGCTTTTGCTGGCGACGTCACTTTGGACGACTGTTTCTTTGATTTCTTGGATTGGTAGGCTATATTTTCATCGAACAGGAATTTTACCCCTGTGTGAAAACAATGAAAAGTCAAATCTTTCAAATAAATAAATTACGCAGCCAACGGCAGAACTGTACAGGCAGACAGGTACGGTCAGTAACTTTCAATATCTCAGCGTATGCTTTGTAGTCTAGTAATTTTTTTATCATGGTGCAGAAGCCATAAATATAGCCGAGTCTAACTACTGAATTAGACAAATTACTGAATTAAAACAATTTCTACTTAGGAAAGAAAGGAAAATAGAACTGTTTAAGTTGAGTTTCTGCGCATCCGGAGCGTCTTTAACCTTTATCAGTTTTATGGCAGTATGCTGGTATGGCTCAATACATAATACAGTACAGTAATAAGGTAAAAATTCAAGTGTAGCAGTCTCGATATTGAAATGTTGATAAACTGATTTAGAATATCAAACAAATAACATATTCTGTATTTTTTCAATCGTTATTAAACAAATACTGAAATATAAGCAACAAACAAGTAAAACATAAAAAATGTTGACTATATCCAGATATCGGGCATTAGATTAACACATAATACAATGAAATACTGTTTTTATTCAAAATGACCAGGAGCGCCATATATTTTATCGAAAGAATGATTTCCTTGCTATTTGAAAAGTGGGTTTCCTACTGTGTTCTTACATATACCTGTAGATACAAATACCATAATGCTTTTATAATTTTTTACTATTTTTGACTGATATTCTGTACATTTGAAATCTAAATATTTGTGTTTACTCAAATAATGAAAACGGAAATGCATTGAAAACCATTCATTGCATAATTTACTGTGAAACTTATTGCTCGTTTTATTCTCTGACTCTTACTAATATGAATACCTAGTTAGAAATTCTATCTTCTGATCTTGGAATAAATTTTTATTTCAAATGTTATGGATGGATGTATAACAGCTTATTGATTCAAGTTTTTGTGATAGAATATCATGATCGAACAAAGCAATTTTAGTTCTTAAAAACATTTCATAAATAATATAAAAAAAATTGAAGGGTGGATTTTCAAATTTATTCTTCATGATATCATTGATTTCCAAATTCATTTATAACTGAAGAAATAAAATAGATGCTTCAAGCTCATTAAAATTGTTTTACAGTATTTAATAGCTCCTTTTGGTAATTATGGCTGACAAAATGGAAATTGATGACTCGTTATATAGCAGGCAACGCTATATGTTGGGTGATAATGCAATGAAGAGAATGGCATCAGCGAATGTACTTTTATTAGGATGTGATTGTCTTGGCGTAGAAGTTGCAAAAAATTTGGTTCTCACTGGAATAGGGAAATTGTATGTGGCCGATAGTTCACTTGTTACAAAACGGGATGTCAGAAATAATTTTTATGTCAGTCAGTCGGATTTGAAAAATAAGAAAACGAGAGCAAAAGCTTGTGTGCCCCGCTTGGCAGAACTTAATCCTTACGTCCAAGTCGAAGTTTCAACTTCGGATGTCCATATTGAAAATGCTGCATTGGGTGATGCTGATTCTCACAAAGAGTTTACAAAATTTCTCGAAAATATTGATTGCATAATCGCAACCCAACGTAGTCTGCCTCATCAAAAGTATCTCGATAAATTGAGTTGTAATTTGATGGGTCAGTTAAAATTTGTAAGTTGCAATGTTTATGGTCTATTTTCATCATTGTTCTGCAACTTTGGGAAAAATTTCGAGATTCTTGATTCGAGAGGAGAAACTTTGAAGGAAATGTTTGTGGGAGATATTACTAGAAACAGTAAAGGCACTGTAACGTGCTTAGAGGATCAGTTACATGGATTGGAAGATGGTGACAGTGTTTCTTTTTCTGAAGTTGAAGGAATGGTGGAACTAAATGGACAAACTCGAGAAGTACGGGTCGTGTCACCATATAAATTCACAATTGGGGATACAAGTGAATATTCACAGTACAAAGGTGGTGGTTTGGTAAAAGAAAAAACAAAAAAATCTACGATATCCCATCAATCTTTAGATGAACAACTCTTAAAGCCTGACATATTGTTGACGGATTTTGGGAAGATGGATAACCCTGCTATTTCCCATGCAGCATTCTCAGCTCTTAACTCATTTGTAGAATCCAATGGTAATTTACCAAAGCTATGGAACAAAAATGATGCTGAAGCATTGTTTACATTATTCACCAATACAGTGAATCAGTTTCAAATTGATATTCCAAATGATGAAAATGCCAAGAAAGTTGTTCAATTACTTTCTTTTACTTGTAGAGGAGCATTATCGCCTCTCGCAACTGCGATTGGTGGTATTGCAGCACAAGAGGTTTTGAAGGCTTTAACTGGTAAATACACCCCATTAAAGCAATGGTTGTATTTAGATGCAACTGAGCTGGCTTTTAATCTTCATCTCACACCCGAACAAATGCAGGAATCAGATGATTTAAGTGATGTGAAAGCATGTTTGGGTGAAACAGTGGAAGCACGTTTAGCGAAGTTAAACATATTTATGGTTGGATGTGGAGCGATTGGTTGTGAAATGTTAAAAAACTTTGCTTTGTTGGGAGTTTCAACTGAAAATGGGAAAGCTGTGATTACAGACAATGACGTCATTGAAAAGTCAAACTTGAATCGTCAATTTCTATTTCATAGTCGCCATGTAGGACAATCCAAAAGCTCTGCAGCTTCTTTGTCAGTGAAGGAAATAAATCCTGACATAAAAATTGAGCCTTTGCAATACAAAGTTCAACCCGATTCAGAAAATGTCTTTAATGATGCCTTTTTTGAAAGTCAGGATATCGTAGTCAACGCTTTGGATAATGTGGCAGCAAGAAGGTACATGGATACAAGATGTGTTGCAAATCAACGTCCTTTATTGGAATCTGGGACAATGGGACCGAAAGGTCATGTGCAAATTATAACTCCTTTTGTAACGGAAAGTTATGGATCACAGCAGGATCCAGCAGATGTTGAATTTCCTTTTTGTACGTTGAAATCATTCCCTTCAAACATTCAGCATACAATACAATGGGCTAGAGACAAATTTGAAGTTATGTTTAAACAAAAACCAATGACGTACAACAATTTTTGGGAAGGGTGTCAAGTACGTGAAAACGGAAACAAAGATAACATCATGGAATTGGTCAACAAGTGTTTAATGTCAGGAAATAATTTAAGAGATGCCTCTGTCACCTTAAGACTGCTATCTGAAGCACCAACAACTTGGTTTGATTGTGTCGGTTATGCAAGACGAAAGTTTGAGAAGTTGTTTAATCACAAAGCAAAAGATTTATTAAAAGCCTTTCCATTGGATACTATGCTGCAAGATGGATCACCTTTCTGGTCATTACCTAAACGTCCACCTACCCCGATTATCTTCAATCTCGAAGACTCATTCCATATGCAGTTCGTCATTAGTACAGCATCATTAATTGCTGCTATATATCGTGTGCAACGTCCCATTAGTCAAGAAGAGATTACCAAGAGCATTGCCGATGCTATTGAAAAAACAGTGGTGCCTGATTGGGTACCAAGTACAAAGGAAGTTGTAGTCGATGAGAAAGCCCCAGCACCAACTAAGACAGAGGAAAATTCACCCGAAGATTTAAGTCAAAAGCTTATGCTTACTGCTAAAACACATAGTGATTTCACTTTCAAGCTATACCCAGAAGATTTTGAAAAAGATGATGATTCGAACTACCATATTGATTTCATTTCTTCTGCTGCCAATCTAAGAGCTAAAATGTATGGCATTGAAAATGTGGATCGTCTCGAAATAAAGCGAATAGCAGGTCGTATCATACCAGCTATATCTACCACCACTACTGCAGTTTCAGGTTTTGCGACCATACAGTTTCTGCAATTGGTAATACAGCTCATTAATAATGAAAAAAATGGAACGAACTGGTCAAATTGTGCTTCAAATATTGAAACAGAATTGTCTAAATATCGTAATTGCTTTTTAAACCTTGCATTACCGCTTGTGTTATTCAGTGAACCAGCTGCTGCTCAAAAAACAAAATTAACTAAAGATCTCTCCTTCAGTGTTTGGGATCGATGGGAGATTCGTGGCAACAAGGATTTCAAACTAAAAGATTTCATACAGCATTTCCACGCGAAATATAATCTCACAATTTCAGCAGTTGTACATGGCTCAAGAATGATTTATATACCAATCATGCCTGGTCATTCAAAAAGATTGGATCACCTTATGACAAAGCTCATTAAAATTGGAGACAAAAATACACTTTATGTTGATCTGACGGCAACATTTGAAAATCCGAGTGATGATTCAGATGATTTGTCATGCCCACCTATCAGATACTATTTCTAATTTCCATCCTGTTGAGTGTTATTGCAATTTTTGTGTTCCACAATTCAAGCTATTCTATTCTGCACTATATATATATTGTATGATTTTCAAATATTGTTTTTTAATAGTATAATTGTTTTAATATTATACTCGTCGATTAGTGTCATTGTTATATTATAGACTGTAAACACCAGTGATATTTAAAAGATTTAATTGACTTCTTTATAGTTTTCATACACACATAAGTTTTGGTATTCCATGTAATTTTGCATAAAGAAAAATACTGATTTACAATATTTGATAATCGATATTAGTGACTTCGAAGAAAGATCAAAACCAAGATTTTAAATTAGACTGCCGATTGCCTTTGGTGTATGTATTGGTGGTCAAAATTGATTTGCCTCATTTGAATATATACAAATCGGACCAATATTTGTATGGTCAACTGTAGTGGTTTTTGAGAATGCAATATGAAAAAATTATCATTCCCAATAATACAAATGTTGATTGAATAACTCTTAGCTGCGGAAAGATTGTGGATAAGTAGCCACCTTATTGTGAAATGAAACATATGCAAGTTCAAATAAACAGCCAAGCTCTATATGGATTTGGCTTGATGATATCACATCCTGGGATTAATATGTGGTGAACTTTAGCAGATCCTATGATAAATCTGTTATTCATATAATTGTTCTTGCTGTCCAGTGTCTTCATTGCAGTTATTTGTGTTAATTTATGCTTGCTGTCATGCAAATCGATCACTGTACTTACTTGTGTTTATCATGGCTCATATTAGGTGTGTTTGCATTTATCATCCATGTTTATAAGTCACGATTAGAAAATTATTTTTTTGTATGCTTATATCAAGTTCAAGAATTTTTATTTCGACTTGACACGTTTTCCAATTACCAGCTGATTATTTTTTGTCCAATTCAGCATTTATCAAAAAGTGAATTATGCGTTGAACAATTGTTGAATAAATAATGTGCATTTTATGATTGTTTGCACAAGTCTGAGAATGTACATGTATATTTAAATGAGTGTCATCTGCAGTGGGATTGTCTGTTGGAATAGTTGACTTGACTCACTATTATTAGGATATTCTTCTCATCAACGTGCTATGTTCGTTTCTCCCATGGTCCAATAGAAAATGGGTCACTTTTGTCCTAATCTTCACCGCTTTATTTAAAATTCACCTCAATTTAAACTCTTTTGGAGTCCATATTCAAATCGCTAACCGAAACATCAAATATACCATGAAGCAATTGTCGCCTAGATAATTACGGAGCAACGCCTTCATACGTCCGTTTTATTAAAAATGATCACAGTGAATTCATAATCTTATAAAAAATAATTCAATATTTCCGACAAAATCTCATAATTTTATAGTTTGAAGTGTCATTCATTTCAGTCCTTGTGTATATCACAGTATCCTCGTCCAAAATAATAGTTGCTTCGCAGTTATCACTTGGCACAAGATCTTGTTCCAAAGTAACAGTGTTTATTCTAGCACCAGTAGCATTGTCATACAATGAGACCACCAGATCTGCAATCGAAATATTCATAATAATTGTACGCATATATGAAATGCGTCGCTAGTTTTCCACACACACAAATATTCATATATTCCCATTCTGCTGGTAGGGTACACCCAGTGCTTTTAACAGATACTGTTGGTAACATTTGGTTTCAAATCAAAATGGCTTATCATAGGCTTTATAACCATACGCAATAAATATGAAAGGTCAAAATTTCAAATTAACATTAGATACTAAATTTTTAAATGAATAAACATTATATGCCGATGGATTTCACTAGGTGTATGGAGTAATAGAAAACTCTGAATGCGAAAAAATAATTAGAAGGTTAGAAGCTGAACTACTAAAATTTCAGGTAACTTGTCTCCAGCTTCACTAAAACAATATAGCTCTCTCTCCCCAGCCTAACAACATGAGTTGTCATTAATATACTGCCAGAGTAACTTTTTTCATTGGAAACTCTAGTTATGTTGAAATCTTTACCAGTATAATTCTCGATAGCTTTTCATGAAATTTCATTGATCACTAGTGACATACTTTGAAGTGAGTTTCCTTTAACATTGAGTGAACAAATGGGCCAAGTATGCGTACCAAGATGGCAGACAGATAATTTTAGGTACAAATAATACAGGTCACTTGGCTAGTCTCCGAACTTGTAATAGAACTAAAATAAGGAAAATTGGAATAAACTTATGGCCTAACCTGGTACCGCATACTTCAGGAGTACCAGCAAATGTGACTTTGCTTGGAGCTAGCTAACTCACATGGAAACTCCACAGTGGATGGATAGATTTCTCCACAGTGTATACTTCATATTTAATCACATACGCACCATAGTGTTTGTTCCCAAAACCAGAATATTCACTGCTTGTGATTCCTCTGAAATGAAGTACAGCTAGAACATCCAACTCATCTTCATATGAGACGCACTGTATGCCAATCACAGATTCAGTTTGATTGTAACCAACAAAGCGTCTGGTTTGTCGAAGTGTCCGACCATAAGAAGACTGACCATTTTCTGTCACATATAAAAAAGAAAATTAGATTTATTCATTTGAATTTGGTTTATTGTCAATGTCAACTCATGAGAAATAAATAGTTTATTAAAGATGATTACAAAAACTGGGTATCTTATAGTGAAGAACAGTATAGCATTGAATTGTTCGCACCAACAGTTTGTATACATCGTATGGTACTTCCGTAGTATGTGAACCAGGTTAGGGTAAGGCAATAATTTCAGATACAAATACTACGGGAATCACTTGGCTAGTCCCCAAACCCGTAATAGAACTAAAATAAGGAAAATTGGAATAAAATTATGGCCTAACCCTAAGCTTGTACATATACTACGGGAGGGAGCGTCCAATTGTATTTCTATGCTTTTTGCACTGGACAAGTGGCCATCTTTGGGTAGGAGCTGATATAGTTGCAAGAACCGGAAACTTTCCGGTTAGGCATTTCCTACACCCTGAGTGAAGTGGCAACAGTTACATTGAATAAACAATTTCAACATTTCAATTTAAAAAATTTCATATTCCTAGAACAGGAAATAGTTATAGATAGTGACTACCCAAATACAGCGCATAATGTGTAATGTACGTATTTACCTGAATTCGGTGTTTGTGATGGATATATCCACTTTTCTGTTTCTTCGGGTATATCTGCGGACTTTTTATGAGATACGTCTATTTCATAACATTTTGTTGTTTTGTGTTTTGAAAATTTCTGGCTATTGACATTTGCTACTATGTGTTTACAAGGAGATCCAATAACTCGTAATTGAAAATCCGGTTCAGATATTGAGCTTGTGTTGAGTAACTGAGTTGGACTGCATTTCTGTTGTTGTCGATTCGAGTATACTGTTCTGTCTGGCGCACCTTTAATGTCAGTAATTTTATTACTTCAGAGGGAAACATAGTACATCAAGTTTGAAGGGAAAAGCAAGAGGAAAATTTTATTATAAGTACAGGCAGTCCAATTTGGGGTTTATTTTTTCCAGACATTAAAAAATAGCATACATAACTAAGAAAAATGAAACACAATTTTAATGGAAAAGGGAGGTCACAGAATTAAAGCTGGTATCGCTCAATGGAGATCATATGACGTAGCCATTCATCCCACCACTGCCTAAATAGGCTCAATTGATATGTTATCTAAAATTTGCTAGATGAAGGTAATCACACACAGACATCATTACAAGTTTACACATATCATATAAGTTACCCAGGGAATGACAACAGAACTTACAAATAGCCATCCGTTGCTTAGCATGCCTTTCTTCCTCAATTTTATAAACAGTTACTGTATTATTATTAACCAACAGTAATCGTCCACTCTCATCTGAATGGAAATCAACTCCAGCAACATGGCTTTTATCCCACTTTTCATCCACCTATATGTTGAATGTTTAAAAGTAACATAGATTAGAAAAGTTGAAATAACAACAATTAAATTTCAACCACAAAAATCAAATAGTATTGGCTACGAAAGAAGAATGATATGGAGGAAATTTGAAATTGAAAGCATTAGAATCTTGGCACTCAAATTTCTAGTTTTTTCTCCCCTTTATTTCACAAAACCAACGAGCATGAGGATAAGATATCATAATTATCCCCGGGAATAGGAAAACTGACAAGACAGCATCATATGGCAAGCTCCAATTTATCGTCCGGCTACCAGTCCATGTTGGGTATGGGATTAGTCAGTTTTTCGTTAAGTTCCATGGACTTAATGGTGGAGAAGGTCGTAACCGACCAGTGAACAGCAGCAGCAGCTATGTATGGAGTTTCTTTGTTTTATGTGAACCAGATTCTGTCTGATTAAGCAAATAATCTACCCAATTTAATACACACTGTGTTAATTAGTGAGCTTAAACCAGGAAATATTTAACCCGTAATCAGTATCAGTATTTCAAAGACTACTCACATGAAACTTAGCAATTTCCTTTTTATCTGAAATACTTCGAAGAGACCATGAAGTGCAACTGTTGTCAACTGGAACTATGTAGTGATACGGCACTCCACCAACACGAAATATATGCTTCAATGCCTTAAAATAATTCAGTTTTTAATACTATATGAAAAAAGTTGATCAGAAAAGCTATCAAAAGTTATATAAAACTACCGTAATCAAAAATACATCAACAACATTAAGAAATATAAAAACTGCATTGGATCAGGAATCAATACAGGAATAATAGTCTGTTGGCAGAAATCCTTGCAGTAAACCCACAACACACAACTTTTTTACTCTAAGCCTAAGCTTAACTTCCATGGTGTGAATACCACAGTTTATCTTTCATAAAAAATTCAACATATGTCCTCTTCCTTGTTTCGATGATGTACATTACTACAGATAGGTGAAAACAAAAGTGTAGAATACCTTTGTATGGAACAATTCCATACTTGAGTATTCTTCAAACTTGTTGAGATCTATCAGTTCAGCTGTGTAAGGAATACCAATATCAGTATCACCAATTTCGACCATCTGCATTTCATTATGATTAGGTGATCGCTGACAAAAAACCTTCTTCCCAATATAAACAGGAGATGCATTTATATGATACAACTTTTCAATGTCCTGTAAAAATTGTAAATGTAGTGAACCTAACTTTTTTGCTAGACATCACAGATCACTATAGAGTTCAGTAAATAGTTTTATGATACTATTCGTATATATTAGGGGAATGGGATTTGAATAAATATTCAAAATATAATGATTCGATTCTAAAATCTCAATTCGAAAATCCCGTTTGGCATTGCAATTTTGAGTCTAGGAACTGTTTTCCAATCGGGGAGGAATTCTACTGTGCTAATATCACCAGCTAACGATCCACTGATGATTAAACACCAGACAGAAACGGAATTTTAATGCATGGTGATGGAGCATGAATAGTTTTATAATAGATGAAAAGAAGCCTTAAAAAAAAAGGTTGGTAACAAAATTCTAATAGGATACTCCTGGTGCAGACAACATCTTCCATGTAAAAGGCACATAATACCAGAATTATTTCATACTTATTTTGTGGATAGAAATTACACACCATATTTTCACTAACTACCGTATATCTCATCTCAGAAAGATTCCCAAAATGTTGAATAAAACTCACCTTAAAACCGTATAAAGTGACAGATGATCCTTTGATCGCAGTTATGACAAATATATCAGTCCAAAGCTCAGCTTTTAGATTTGGGTTTATTGCCTTCGTTACAAAATGACTGACGATTTTCAAAGGAAAAAGAGCCAAAAGGAGATAAGCAGAATACGCATAGCCATTTTGAACAACAGTGCCACTACGAACGAGCACTCTGCCCTCTGCACCATTAAGTGTTATGTATTTATATGTAAAATTCAGTGAGGAAACAATTTGTCTCGTCCGTTCTGTTGGTGAATTTTGATTTTCATATGTCTGTTCAATAGAACATGATGATTCAACCAATTCATCAGAAAATAGATTTGTATGAATGTAGATTTTATTCAGAAGAGCAGCATCTTTCAAACAATACTGGAAATAAATATAACAATCAAATTATCTATTAATTCAATTACTTATATTAAGGTTTGCGACATATCATAAACTTCTGTGAAATTTAATATTGCCCAATTCAGTATTATTAAGAATGTAATTTATGTGCATTTTCTAAATGCGTTGGTCTGAATCATAAAATATGTAATTCTGTGGTTTGAACGTGAGGTTTTCAAGCTGCAATGTGTTAACCTATTTAGGTCGGTAACCTGGCTGCACATTGCGCAATCTTAACAATAACAAAGTATGATTTTGTTGCCCAACATCAATTCTTATAAAAGGATTTTTTTTTATGAAGTTTAATTTTTTTTATAATTATATGCGAGTAAAACTATAAAGTAGAATAGGATCCACATATTTATCCTGGGAGAGAGAAAAGTCGATAAGACGGTGCAGGATTAGTTAACCGGATAGTTGTTTCAGGGACATGAACTTGATTTTGGAGAAAGCTGTAACTGATCAGCGGTTATGTCACTTACGTGGACCACCCTATGTCGGCGAGGAGTCCAGCAGTCATCCTGCACATAATTATTCCCGACAAGATTCGAACCTGCAAACCCACGCAGGATAATCAGAGGTGAGATGGCCAGCGCATTCATAATGCTTAGAATGATATGCAACACCACCGAGCCGAGTGCATGTTTTAAAATTGCCATTGAAAATTAGAAGACAAATTGTGATAGGAATTCTAAACTAACCTGATATAACCAACCATTCTTTCCGAGTAAAAGTATGCATGGTAGATGTTGAGAATTTGGCAGTGGCATGCAACCATTAGGTGGGTTCACAGTGACTGCATCAACAATTTTTGGCCTGGATAAGAAAGGTTTACAGATGATCAATATTTATCAAATTAATAAAAGTTATTTGAACCAAGGAATTAAAATTGGGTCAAGAGTCGTTTCCCAGGTACTTATGTCGGAGTCAGAGTCATATTCTTAAGGGAGTCAAATTTTGTACCTCTTGGAACTAGAAATGTCAAAATTATATATTTCAAAAAACAAAGAGTTAATTTGGCAAAAAAATTTGCAAAATTATATGTCATTTTGCGTCAATAGCAGGGTACAAAATTTGATCGACCCGAAGCAAAAAGGTAGGACAGGACGTAAGTGACTGAATATTCTACAAAGACTACAAGCAGTCAAAGCTTTGCTTCCAGCGAACAGTAGGTCTAATTACAAAAGTTAACAAATCTGAAATAACAAATGACAGCAGTGAAAACTACATTTGAAAGTATCTTAATGAGATATATTTTATTTCTATCAACTTATAGAAAGCCTACCCATTGGATGATGAAGAAATTTGAGTCGGTGGCATATCTTTAGAAAATATATTGGATTTCATCAAAAACGGACCAGCTGTCGGACTTGTGCACAGGTTGAACCATGAGCAATAATTATTTGTAAACAAACGGTTGTGACAAAATGATGGTTCTTTTGATCTGGATACTTTTCGACATGCAATTACCTTGAAAAATAATTAAAATGTTAGCTTTTATATCAAACAACTCAATAACCCTAATCATTCAGTTGGGCACAAAAGTGAAATGTATAATTAATTAGTGTTTGTTTTAATTACAGCTACAGAAAGTCCCCTTCAACCTCAGTAAATCAATCATACAATAATTGGTTCTCTATTTCCAACATAAAAAATTTATATGGCTATGTCTTTTTAATTTCTGAATCTAGTACGGTACCGGTACCGTATTCCATGCATCGCAGCGTCATCGCCCCAGATAAGATTAAAAGGGAAGGAAGGAACTCCAAAATACAGAAATGCAAAATAGTTACCTCCAGATATAATTCCCGATCACATAACAAAGTCTTCAGAAGATCGAAGTCGCATCTGTAGTTATTGCGTGAATGTCGAACGCATCTTCCTTTCTCTTTTAAAGGCAGTCCAAGCTGTCGCCTCTCCAACATTTGTATAATGTTCACTGGCCGATATTCTGCCATCTTTTTAAAAACTTACGCAAACGTTGTTTTGACAAATATATCACTCAGAGTCACGCTTAAATTGCGGGAAACGTACACAGAACCACCAAAATTCGACAGTCGAGTAAAATCGCCAAATAGCTAACAACCAACTTTCCAAATTTCGCACTCAAATTTCGAACATTGGGCTGGGTGTTTCCCCTGTTTCCTCGAGTATCGACTTCCTTGTTTTCTACCGTAATATTGACCAATCAGCAGTAATTTAACGATGATGTAACGGCTGAAATTTGTACAGCCGCTCAGATACTATTTTCATACATAGGTTATAAATTTTCTAGGACTGCCAGTCAGTTAGTTGCGTGAGTTTTTGCGCCGTGGATGTAGCCCCGAGCATCTATTTTTTTGTTTGTTTCTGTAATGATGGCTAATCAGAAAGATAGTCTATCGAACGTGACGCTACACTTGTCACCGATACAGTGATAGCCTACTGATAGGGATGTTCAACGAAACGTTTTTTCTTGACTTAATATATTCAGATATTGACATTAGTTGAGATAAAATGTTTTAATTAGTTAATAAAATTGAATGGTTGGTTGAAGTATAACTTACCATACTAAAAATTATTCTGACACTAAAAAAGTATCATTTAAATTTCATTTGAGTTATGTAATCATATTTTTGAATGTTTATCTAGATCTTTTATATACTTTACCACTTTTGGGCTAATTAAATCAGTGTAGACCGGTAGAAATGTATAACTAAGTCAAGACATAGTTGATGGAACTGGAAAAACAGAAATAACTATAATATGGATTATTATTTGTTCAAATACCCGACATTATTTGTGTTCGTCTTGTTTTGGGGGATCGACTTGGCGGCGTTTAAAGCAGTTCAACCCGCAGCCGTTGGCTTGTATGGAACTGAAGATAATGTGACAATATTGACGGCATCAAGTTTTGAAGAAACTGTTTTTGACAGGTATATTAACCATTGTTATGCAGAAGTGTGAAATCGGCTTTTCTGCTAATTTTTTCATAAAAATAATTATATATTTCCATATTTCATACAACAATCATCTAAAAAAAAGTGACAGAATAAGAAACTTACCTCTTGCTGTAACATCTATTTTGACTGTTCACGAACTAGTTTTGACTTGGCATAATCATGTGATGAATAACTAACTATTTTATTCACCCGACCAAAAAGATGTTTCAGCTTCAAAATGTTGAATTTTGAATAGTTGGTGTGATGTCAGAACCTGTAAAGTTTCGGTGTAATGGAAAATGTTTTATTATGGAATATTTCAAACTTTATGCTAATAAAGTATATAAAGGACAACCACATCTGTATCTGTTCTCGTTTATATATTGTATATTCATGGGATTTCAAGTCCAACTCATTTCATTTTTCTTTCATGTTATTTTTGATTCAAACTCTGAAAATCCTATTTTTCTCATACTATTTTTTACAGTCCTTATATTTGGATAATTGAATTTTATTCATCATGGTGTGGTCACTGTCAAGAATTTGCTCCAACTTTCAAGGCATTTGCAAAAGATATTGCAGGTAAAATGTGTGAAGATATAACAAAATAAAATGTTGTCCGAAGTGAACACTAAATTACAATTTTATAACTTTTAGAGGTACATCAAAATTCATATGTATTTTATATTAAAAAACTAGTTCAATTTGATCACAAATATTTTTTGTGCATTCTGCATGCTCACTCCTGATGTAATTTGAAAATAAATTTATTCAGAATGGCAGAATATAATTCGTATTGGAGTTTTAGACTGCCCAGATGAAGATAATCGAAAATTATGTCTCAAAATGGAAATCAGAGGTTACCCTGAAATGAGGGTATGTGTTGGCATGCATGACCTGCTTTGGTTAATAATTTCATTAACACTTTTAATTTTTTCTTAATAATTGTCCTCAGCTGATACTTTTTGTGATTTGTGTCCACCCACTTCCATGAACAACTTGACTGCTATATTTCACAGCATGCTCCGATTTTCGTCTGTCACATTTTTCATGGTGGATTTAATTGTTCAAATTTCACATAAAACACAGCAGTTTTATATATGTTTGTGATTATAAATTGTTGGATTTTTAAATTTTGATGGTTAACTTAGAATGCTTTATTTGTTGCATATTTTGGGTAAAGTTAGAATTTCTACATCTGTAATTTTTAAATCCCTCTGAAAATTCATTCCTAGACCAATTTTATCCTATACATAAGTTATTATTTTAATATGATTCATGATATTTGTTAAGGTTAGGAATTCAAAATAGATTAAGGATTTGCAATTCAAATCATCAAAGATAATTTGTTTTCTTCGAAGAAATCCAATTATTGATACATATCGCATTTTGTTATTCTGGCTTGTGTCACCATTTCACTTTGTCACTCATTCTGATTTCCGTTGTACGAGATTTTGATGTGGCTTATCTTATTTTTTTTTTTACTTTGATTTAGTTTTCCTGTCGATACTTGTGATAATTAATTGGTGAAAATTTTTGAAAATCATGCAATGAATGCCTGAAAATCTTGCACTTAATATAATATTTCTAATTTTTATCGAGCTGGATTTTATTTTTTTCTTGCGGGAGATGAAAGCTGTCTGCACTAATCTTATAATAATTCATTGTTTTTCGTCTTTTCACAAGTTTTTGTCAGTTTTGGGATCATTTGTTAAGTTGTTATTTCAATGCATTATAACCATATAGTGACAAAGAGTCCAGCTGTACTTTACTCACAAGGTCAGGGCGGATATTATACAAGTGATACGATGCAGTAGCTGGCATGTACTTCACGCCTAATCCATCTACAAATTAGGTTTCTTTGTCGCTTCTAAATGTCAGTCAAATCAAATTCATTTTATTGAAAAGGATGGAGTCAGTGCCTTAGACCTGGTGTTATGCAATGTGATGCAAACATAACTTCTTTAAATGATGACAAAATTCTACAATGTTCTGATGAACCACTTCTAATACATGATTTGCCTGTTACCAGGGTATTTAGTAGAAAAACTGGTGGTTTATTAGTAAAACATGAGTAATTATGTTCCAGTTTACTTTTGTGGTGTTATTCTTCATTAGCATGCATGTTATTCATATATCATTCTATACATGGGTGCATTCATGTTTTGCGTTGTGGGGTTTGTACTTTGTAGATTATCAACCATTGATATATTGGAATTCCAGTGTTGGGAATCGGGGCTATAATCGAGTTCTTTCAAAAGCATAGAAAACTGCATTCTTCTGATTCTTGTAACGGTTTCGTCGTAGTTTTTTTTTCATCATCAACTCTTCACATTAGTATTTGCTTGTAACTTCACTCAGAGATTACTCCTATTCAGAGCTTTGCTTTGAGCACTCCTTAATGAAAAAAAAAATTTAATATAGCAAACTTACCATTAGCTGGTATTTTAATATGTATTGCAACATTTTTAGTATAATTCTACTTTATTTGGCAAGAGTATCTCAAACTTAAAAATGAGTTTTCACTATAAGTCTTTCTGAGTTAAATGCACAAAAGAGTATATATGGTTTAGGTCTCAAATACATCATTTTTCAGAGAATAGAAACACATCGCAGTAATATTTTATTTACTGATACGATTGATATTTTTTACAATTTGTTTGCTAGTGAAATGAAGACTAGTATCATCTTTATTCATCCATTCATCTTATTTCACTAAATCCATATAAAGTAAATCTATGTTTTATAAATAATTTAGTTTTGTTTACTTTTATATTAGATTTTTCATCCACATTCAAATACAAGTAATTCTGGAGAAGTGATCGATGGTATGTTATTCTTTTATTAGGTTATGTTTTATAAAAAATCTTGTACTATCCAAATTGTTTTACAGTTGATAAATTCAAGAGATTTATGTAATGTTGAGAAATGCCAAAAAATAAAAAGGCTATCTTACCTGAGTAATAAAGCATACAGTACATTCAGTCTTTATCAATGGTCATTGGTCAACCTGAGTATTTTTTTCCCATCCTAATAATAAAAAACAGTCAATCAAATATAGATATTGGTTTAAATGATTATTCAATCAAATTTTCTTATAATTCATAAATTTCAATATCCATTCATTCCATCTTTAATATAAGAACCAACCTAAGAACGAAATAAAAATGAACTGTACTTCTCATTGTGAATTTCAGTGTAAATTTTAACCAAATCTGAAAAAATTTGATGTTCTAAATAAAATGTACTTGAAATTACATTACACGTGTGACATCGGCTTGCATATTTTTTATTCCTAGCAAGGTCAATTGAAAATCTTCGGAACGTTTCTGTAAAAAATATCGAGAAGGATCTTGACAGTGTATCATGGAGTCTTGAAGGAATACCAAAGCCAACATTCGACTTTGCATCGTGAGAAATTAATTATATGTTTGTATAATTGACAGAAAAAGTCAAAAACCATATTAACACAATGCTACAATGCTCCATTTTTTGCTACTGAGCTGGTTTCCGGCTCCATAGCCATTAAGGTTTTTGGTATGAACACTACCATGAAACATCAGCCCAAATGCAGTTGCGGTAGCGGGACATAAAACTATGATATGATAAGGATTTTGAAGTTTTAAATTAAATTGAAACTTTTAGTTTTGAATACCACATTTTTGGGATAGTAAGACTATTTTCTGGACCCAATTTTTTTACTTGATTTTCTGGGTTCATATTTTTAGGCGACTTTTGGGCGACTTACTTATATATTTCTTCAGGGGTCTGGCTATTTTTTTGCATAATTGTGTTAATTGTGTATAATTTGTGTTACCTTCATATCAGGGTTGATATATTCTATATTGTATTCAATACCTAACTGTCTTCCAAACACAACTATCGTAATTTAACTTTTTACTGCTAGCTGCTATTTGTCTGCATTCTTTTTGAAAATTTAGTAGCAATCATGCTGTGGTTATCAGCTGGAAAATATGCTAATATGTTATACTTTTGATACATTCACAATTCATTAGAATATCCTATTGCTATATTTTGTCTTGCTATGATATCTCAATTCCACTTATCTGAGTTGTAGAAATTATATTATTAGGTACGGTACCTAATTGTAATCAGCTTTTTGACTAGAACTCATTGAAAGCAAACATATGGTAACATACAGACACATGTTTATTGACTACTAATTAAAACTAAAATTTATGATTACCATACAATGACAGGATGGAAATTCTATAGTGATTAATTGAGATTATTTTTTCATTCAATTTTTTCACAATTTTCCTTCTTGTTTTTTTTATTTTATTCATGAGGTCTATGGCATTGAAATTGTAAAGTTGTGTTTTCCGGATATTTGGATATTTTATAATGTAGGAGGTATCTTAGCATGGAATTCTTCAACACAATAAAATTAGTTTATTTATACATGTCCAATAATAGATATCTATTTCTATATCTTTTCTGGTATAACATAATACAAGGTGTTCATGAAGTCATAAGTTAACTTTACATGTGCTCAATGCAACAACTGATGGTGGGCATGTATAGGTGTAACAAACTTATTAAAACAAAAGCTGATTGAAATCAAACAAACCGATTTAAGATATATTGAGAACTGACTTCATAAAAAATTGAAATTGTAACAGGACTTCATGAAACACCATGTACATTATTCATAGTTCCAATCAAAATCATTGTATTCGTGTTAGTGACCTGGTACCAGTTTCTAATGCCGATTCTTTTCTTTATTGAAGGTTTGAAGACATCAACCAGTTTTTAAAAGCCAAGTCAACTCCACACTATCTTGCAGTCATTATAGAAGAAGAGTCATCATCTATAGGCAAAGAGGTGAAATTGAATTTATTGGGTGGGTAGTGGGTCTAAGTGAGTGTTTTTAAACCTGTGAAGAATTTGACTTTTGGGAACAAAATTTGGGCTCCCTAAGTGTGTGTACCAATATGGAGCTTATGGAGGTAACTAAATTTGTTCGCCTACTTCACATCAAGTTGTGTAAAGAAACTGAAGCCTAGGGGTAGGGGGTATATTCACTTGGCTAACACAGACAGTCCCCGAACTCGTAATAGAACGGAAAAAATCGGAATAAAACAAAATTTTAAAGTGACACTCTTTATTTTTTATTTCAAATTTATTATTGTTGCTTTATGTTAGGTTATTCTCGACATTTCATCTTGCAAAAATATATCCGCTAGAAGAGTAATTTCTGATTCCATTGCTGTTAAAGCATTAACGGACAAAACTGGAGTAACGATAAATGAATTTCCGACTGTTATCTTGATGTCAAAAGATGGAAAAGCACAGGAGATCACTGTGTACGTTTTTTTTTATTATAGAAGAGATATTAAGAGGTCTTTTTAAAAATGAAGGATTATGCTCAAAGCCTTGAATCACCGTGAAACCCTTCAATAGCATTATTTCTCTTCTCTGCACTTACTCTGAACAAAAATCAGAACCTGAGTGACTTACAAACGTCAACAAAACAAATACTAATTGTAGGGTGACCTCAGATAACAAAATTCATAAATTTCTTAATTATTTCTAGGAAAATATAGGAAAGTTATTTAACAATTGAACACTGGAACTTCTGTTTGTGTATAATTGTATTTAAATGTGTCAGTAATCTAGGATACGTTGCGCAATATTTTCGTAGGAGTAATTAGGAAATTTATGAATTCTGTTATTTGAGGTCACCCCACAATAGTGTCCGCTTTGTTGACGGTACTGTTTGTAAGTCTCAATATGGTTTGAAATTTACTGTGTCTTCCATTATGTTTGCCTTCAACATTTCAAACAAATGATATGACGTTAATTTGATAATACATTATGTTTAACTGACAAGTCATTAGCTACCATTCTTATTTACATTTGTGTCTGTGTCATGTTCCATCCTGTTATTTATTGATCATGAACACGTCTATATATTATCCTTGAATACATTTTATGAAAGTTCTCATTGTAGTAATTCTTCCATGTTAAAATCTAGGTTGGCATTACAGTTAAAATCTTATATGTATCACCTAAATCAGAGTGTATTAAATTTGGTATGCAATATTATGGGGAACCGAAAAGATTATGTTCTCTCAGTCACTTTTGCGACCACCTGTCTTGAGTATCATAGAAAATGATGGTGGAGACACCTTATATATAATTGACTAAATTATGTAGAGGATTTCAAGACAAAAATGCGAATATTAGATGTCAAAAAAATATTTATTTAAAAATATTATAAGGAAATAGGGAAAAAGGTGCTCATTGGTGTACTAGTACCTAACCACAGTGGGAAGCAATACTCACCATTCACTAAAAGTGAAATTTCAGTAAAAAGTTACACAAGTTCAAAAATCCAAAATATATGTATTTCTCATTTTCTCAAAACAACTTTTTCATGATTAGCCTTTTTGGGTGAAAGCCCTATATGTCACGTATCATTCATTGGTTTCTTTTATTTCCACTTTAAAATATTAATGTCTTTTTGTCCAAAATATATTTACCTTACAAACAAGAGATTTTCCTGGTATTTCATTCACTCATATCAAGTCAAGTTTTTTGTCTGCTTGTCTCTATACACACACGATTGGAAGATATCATTGAACGTTATTCACCTCATATCCTGAAAACTTATAATACAAATTAACAAAAAGCTCATTTAATAACAAACTCATAAAGTCTTTATTTCGTTGTTCTTCAACTATTATTGAGAGATGTTTCAGATTGTTCTAAGTATCTTAAGTGGTAATCAAGGATCTGTTCATGCTGCAATATTCATATTTTATTATATGATAAATATTCAACCAATAATCTTAGGTTCGAACTCAAACCATATTTGGAGAATTTATTTCTATTTGCTCAAAGGTGTTTAGCATATTGAAAAAGTAGTATGAGAAAAAGTACGATATCACTTCTATTAGTTGGTATTGTGTGGGTCAGTCGGTAATATCAATGCAAGACATCTATGGTCATGTATTTCTTTAAAGAATTCAGCTACAAATACATTTCACTTTTGGAACATAATATATTGCTCATAAGACATAAGACCTTTCTATCACTAATTAAGTGTTTTGACCTTGTTTTGAAGCTCTGAGTCAAGTTAATAAAACGAGAATATCGGTCAGAGACCGAAAACTTATCGATCGAAAGTTAGGGGATCCCCCAAAACAGCGCTCTTACTTCATAGTGACACCTTGTGTCTCATCACTAATTAATTAATAACTCGCTAATTATACAACATAATTCATCCAAAATCAATAGGCTTCTGGTTCGACATATAATGAATGCACATGCAAAATCTTGAGCAGATTAAACCTCGCTTTCGTGAGATATCGCGTGCATCTAACGGACAAACAGACAAATACCTATCAACATACTTACCGATTAAAATCGATAAGTAATAATAAAAATATATTTCATACACTACAATAATTGACATGCTTAGACTTTTTGACACAATCAAGTGAAGCAATTTTTGAATCAATACAAAATGAAGAAATAAGATGTGCTTTGTGAATTAGTTACACACAATTAAGCATAACATTCCAAAGTACCAGTAAATATATTTTATTGTTATTCTAGTAAGTTGCAGAGCTGTAACTTGGGCACTTATTTGTATGGTCTTTGTTGATCATGTTATTAACATGGTGATTGCCCCACCATATAAATTATCACACAGCTCTCAATTCATTACCATGAAATTGTACTTCTTTATTCTGAATTTGGGTAGGATAGAATTTTCATATTTATCCCAAAGGGAGAGGAAAGGCGATAAGATGATTTGATCATCATCACTTGATGATGGTGGAAGCCCCAACCGACCAGTGGGTTTGTGAACCACCTTACGTCGACGAGAAGTCTGGTTATCCTCTCACGTATAATTGTCCCCTGGGGGATTCGATGGCCAGCGTATTTGTAATGCTTAGCACTATTCGTTATCCGCCGAGAGGAATTAATTTGCTTGATGATGATCTGTTTAAATTATTATTTTTAGGGAGCTACGAAGAAGAAGTTTTTACACATATAAATTAAGAAACTTACCTGGTGTTGGTGACCCAAAAACCCTTCCTAAACAAGTTCTCCCTGTTGAAAAAGACAGAGGAAGTTACGTAGATTGGAAAACTGTTGATAGGTGAGAATATTAGGAACGAATTGAATATATGGTAATTATCGTATTTATTGTGAACATTGTACTGATACAATTTTTTGATAATAGGGGATAAACAAAACATAGGGGATATACTGTAATTCAGTGGTTCTTAACCTTTTCCAATAAATCCCCTGTCGCTTCTTTCGAAACTTTTCATACTAACCAAGCTCTGCATATTCTGTTTCCAGTAGTTTTCTATATTTAATGAATTATAAACTAGTGATACTTGCTTAATCACACTCAGATGTACTTGCTTAGGACTTTACATTTGTAATTAAAGATAATGATGCCACTATTATGATGATATATTGAATATTTTTACTTGGATTTCATATGCTTTATTTTAATTTGAATTAGTTAAATCAAACTATTTTTAGGAGTAAAGTTTATATTGCTGATATTGAATCTGGTCTACGTTACGCTCTCACAATCGAAATTGGATTACTGAAAGTACTAGAAGATGAAACATTAGATGCAACTAAAAGTTTTGTCGGAACTATAGCTTTAGTAAGTAGTAAGTGTAAACATATAGCTCAGAACTGGGCCATGGAGCGGTACTTGGGGGCCATGAGCAATAGAATTCACTTATCGCCATTTATGACGACAACTTTAATAATTTGCAGTGAATGGGACTTTATTTGTTTAATTCTTTGACTGTAGTCCATTTATTCTTCAGATTTTGTTTGTTGGCTTTTCATTACTAAACGTGGTGTATAAAATAACTGATAGAAACGAGTTAAAAGAACTAGGTATTCTTATAAAAGAGCAGGGTGCCATAATTGTCGAGAGTGTTTGGAAATGGGCCACGGATTATGAATGTTCAATACAACATTTGACTTATGAAGAATATTTTTTAATTGTTAGCTATCCGAACACATTCCGATGCAAGAAACAACCAAAAATTTTCTCGTTAAACTAATATCATGGCTTGCTGGCAAAGAGAAGGTCTATCACAGAGAATGGCAACAAAGAATGGAAATTGTTGAGGTAAGGTTCAACTTTTAAAGTAAGTCTGGCACGATGGCCTGCGGAACTTAATTATGATGACATCGCAGGTTAGAATTTGGGGTTTAAAATCCAATGCCCTTCACCTCACTCAAGGTGTGATAATATTGGTAAGCAATGCCAAACGGGCCTTTTTCAAAGTGAAGGTCTATTAGTCATTCAAAATGATTTCAAAATTATGGAGTAAGGAAATTAAGAAGTTTAAATTAAAAGTTTTTTGTTCATCTACATTGGCTTTTCTATATCATATCCATTATGCCTATTTGATTTGCACTTATTTTTACTCATTTTCATTTATTTCTTCACAGGATGACAGTTTTCTTCCCCAATTAGATCAGAGATGGGTTGGTTGTGCTCCAAGTAAACCAGGATTACGTGGATACCCTTGCTCATTGTGGACTTTGTTTCATTCTTTAACTGTTGCATCATATAATGCTGATGAACAAGGTTGGTTATAGTTGATAATAGATAGTTTTATTCAAGCCTTATATTGTTGCATGACTTGATGAAATGATTTGGATTTCTTTATTCCTCCCTCATGAAAACTCATGAATTGGTCATTAAAACTCCACTATTTGTTTAATTTTTAATAGATTTTAGCTAGAGTTACACACAAATTGCACCCTGTCTTTTGTACAGCTTGAATAGATATAATAATGTATCCATAAATATGTATTTCCATATTATTAAATAAGTAAATAATGGTATTAAAACAAAATAGAATACAAAGTAATACTTATGTATTCCCACCCTGAAAACAACATAACGCCGCCCTTGGGTATTGGGAAACACTGGTCTTCGACATGAATCCTCCACATTACGTATAGATATTGGTTGTTTTTCAGTGAATATGCTTTATGCTTTGTTTATTCTGATTAAATTTTGTACATGTTATTTGTATGTATGTTTATTGCTTCTGACCTATTTATTGGTTCTTATGATCTGATACCCAGTTTCTTTGTAAGATATTGGGAGTATTCACTGTAATCATAATCAGCGATTTTATACAAAATTGACGACAACTCTTCAGTATATGTTTTAACTTTTGTGATTTTTTACACAAGTAGGTAAGCGGTAACATATATCGTTTGTCAAACTCTTTATGGCATTTTAACTACTAGGCCATCTCGCTCGCTTGTATGATTGTCTTATTAATCTTTTTACTTCATTTAGATACGGAGTCTGTACCAAGAGCCATGGAAGCATACATCACCAATTTTTTCAGTTGTGTTGAATGTAGAAAAAATTTTATAAAAGAAATTATTGATAGTCCTTATGAAGACGGTCTAACATCAAATAAAGATGTTGTACTGTGGTTGTGGGAACTTCACAATAAAGTAAACAAGAGGTGAGTTTTGTTTATTTATTGCATGGAAATTGAATAATTCATAATAGGTACACCGCTTTAGTGGGTTTCCCTAAGTACGCGCCCACAAGTACTCCTAGTGGATGTAGCATAATGTTTTTTGCATATAATATTCCTAACCCTCACCTGACTATGTTGTCCAAAAATTACATCACTACGACATCACTTGCCAAAGTATACCCGACTATAATGGCCTCACTAACCCCAGCAATCTCTCTCTTATCAGTATTGTTACGACGACAAAATGAGAGAAATAGTTTGCTCAATTTTGGATGATCGTCTGCACGTTTTAGACGACCATCCATATACTTTGGGAGGGCCTGTAGAGTCACAGTGGTGTGATTTCCAAAAGGCGTAGTCAGGTGGTTAGGAATGACATATGCAGAAATTGATGAGCCAGGCTAACCAGAAGTACTTGTGGGTGCTTACTTTGGGAGACCCGTTTTAGTTATTGGAAAATGATGCTGTGTAACAAGTTTTTTATTTTATTTACATATTTATAAGCTTTCCACACTGAGCAAGGCTCTGCACAAGCAGTTTCTCCTAGCTTAGGGGTTACTACAATTTAGCTTAGCCTGCTCAATTTATTACACCTCGGTCGAGATGGTGGGTATAGGATTTGAATCGAAATATTCATCTGCGATTCCATCATAGCTCTGATCTAAACCACTAAACGGCCACTGCGCCTATAAATGTAAGTTTTGAAATTGTCGTACCCTCAAATTGGCAATACCCTGAAAAGATGAAAGTTTTGAAAAATGATATTTTGTTTTTATACATTATCAGAGAAAATTTGTTTGTTTTTGTAAGTTCAAGTACGGTATTGAATAGCTAACCAGTGCTGTTATCCTAATGTTTAATCCTGACCCAGTTGCAGGAGGAAGACACCACTGTGAGTCACTATTTTCAACATAGTCTCCAGCAACTCTCTTCAAATGCTTCCTCCTTGTTTGATTGTGAGTCTGGGATATACGCCTAAAATATTTGCTCATGCAGTAATAAAAACATTTTTTCGCTTGATTTTCAGACTACATGGAGCAATATCAGAAGATCCGAATATACAGAAAGTACAATTTCCTCCTGTGAAATTTTGTTATGATTGTCAAAATTCAGACGGAGATTGGAACAGAGATAAAGTATTTGAGTATCTTGTACAGAGATACAGTGCTTCGCAAGTTTCAAGTGAATTTTTGAATACCAAACTTATCGCTGAAAAGCCAATCATTCAAAATAAGGTAAGGCAGTATGTAACAAGCATAGAAAAATTATAATTTTTTCACAGGTTTGAGTTCTCACCAGTCTATTGGTCAATCACGGCCCACCACCTCGTCTATTTTTATTAGAAATTGCTATTTGTCAGAGAAAGTTGAAATTTTGACTTCTGCATAGTCTGAATTTTAGACTCTCAATTATAATGATACCGGTCTAAATTTCCACAAGAAATTAAAAAACAACTTGACAAGGCATTCTCAACAGACAATTAACATTTTAACTTTAGCTGTTTCAGTTGGAATTACAGACTCTTAGTTGTGATATTTCAAGTCAAATTTTTAGATAGAAACTCAATAATGGTTGACAAAGCTTTCACAAAGTACAATTAAAGAAGTTCGCGTCATCATTCATCAAAATATCTTCCAAGTGGGAGTCAGAGTTTTTGTCAACTCAGAGTAATTACAGTGTGACCAAAAAAATAAACTGAACCAATAAATCAAATTTATTTACCAATTGAACTTCTCTTTGTGTATGTTATACCTAGGGCTGGGCGTTTCGAAACACTGTTTCGATACGTTTCGAAACACGGATATGTCGAAACGGCGCTGTTTCGACTTCCGAAACGGACATTATGACGTCATAGCAATAACAATCTGAAATCAGTCAAAATATCATTCAGCGATGTCCAAGTCGAATTTCATATCCGAATTTATTCGAATATCGCGACTCTCAAATATCGTTTTTAGTGTTTATAAGAATATTGAATATATTTCAACGTAGTCGAGATAGTCTGGGTTACTGCGGCAATAAATCTAAAATCAAATTTTGTCGTAAATAATCTTTTTCAGCCTTAGTTTCTATAGTGACCGAGCATTTCCTGCATTTGCCCCGTATGAACTATCTCTTGAAATATCATTTAGTATCTATCGCAGATTTACACTGCCGTCGTTAATATTAATATAGTTCAGTGCAAGTTTGCGGTATTAATTTATAAGCAATAATAAAAGCATAACAGTCGACGTGAAATATTCAAATCAGAACTGACTTGAAGAAAAATGAAACACGATTTTCAGTCTTAACTCTCCGTCATTGGCGGATGGAAATTTGTGAATTGGATCGACTCATTTGATTACGACGATAATCGCGTTATAAGCAAAACAAACAGTCAAAATTTGTGGGGGGAGGGATAATTGTGGCGGAATTTAGCTTAACGATGTCGATGTCACGCTGACGATAAACAGCCACAACAAAAGTTAGCCGCGACAAAAATCCGAATTTATATTAATTTTACTGTTTAATTTAAATCATTTCTCTGGGCGCCTAGTTATAGCTAATTTCAATCAACGATAATATCACGAAAGCCCATTTCCTGTGTTCATGGAGTTAAGAATGTATTTGGAATTCAGATTCAAAGATATTTTTTTAAATGTATTAGTCAAGTATTCGGTTGTGGCTTGGTATTATGGCTCTCCTTGGTATTATTACCCCACTGGATCACAAGGCTCTGTGACATCGGATAATATAGAAAATGATCCCAATTATTACATAAGATGAGGGCAGGGTCGCATTGATACGTTGAGAGGCCCCATGCTATATATGCTGCTTGTGAGCCCCATCTCTAACAATGACGTAATTCGTAATAATTATTCTGATGCCATTTGGTCACTGCTTTGTCATTAGCAAAAACCTTCATTGAATTATCATTATCGTTTCATGCTCTCGAATTAGCCTCCAGTGCTTCGTTTTTGTGGTTTTAATTCTTGAAAATATGTGCAATTATACATTAAATTCGATGGGTAATGATGGTTTTATTGTTTTTGACAAACGTGTTTCGTTTCGAAGGCGAAATTTCGTTTCGATTTCGAAACACCAGTGTTTCGAAAATGCCCAGCCCTAGTTATACCCAAAAGCCTCAGTAATCTAGTATACTTCGCACAAAAGTTCAAGTTTCACTGATGTTCCCAGAACAGCGGAGGGGGCCATAATGCTAGACGCAAAACAGATTTTACTTTTCCCTTTACAAGAAAACTCCCCGTTTTTCCTAGTTTCATTGCTTGATAAGGTTATTTCACAGGGTGTTTTTTGTTGAAAAGGAATTGTTTGACCAGAAAAGGATTGGGAATCGACCATTCAAAATCATACTATAACAACTACTGGAATGATAAACAGGGGGTCATGAGTGGCGTAAAAGGCTCCGGGCCATAAAGGGTTGGGAACGACTGCTCTATGTTACAAATGACCTGGGTTCTGTGTTTGTATGGGTCACTGTAGCTCAGGAGTTTAGTCGGGTATAATATTTCATCTTATTTCATTTCTGTAGGGTCGATCTCCTTCTGATATTCATTGGGATGATGGAAAAGATTTTGTTGATGAATATTATGCAGGAGAGATTCGTGCTAAACTTGAAGATCATGATTTTGATACTGAAGATGATAAAAATTATGATGTGAGTGTTTTCAATTGAATAATGCTTAAATAAATTTTGTGCAAACTAGCATGCGATTATAATGAATTGTATGTATTACTTCTTCAATTTTAATGAAGCTTGTGAGCCATTGAAGATCTTGAGTAAATTGATTATGAAATGCTCAAAATATTGAAAATGATTGTTTTTGAATTCATATAAATAGTGGTCTTTGGAAGTAGTGATTTTGATCCTAAAGACATAAATGTTGATTTATTGGCATAGTTGTAAAGTTTTCAAGGCCCAACAATTTCGTTGGATATTTTAAATTAACCACATAATAAATTTGTTGTGGGGTATTGAATTTCTTTTAGTTCAAATGAACGTAATATATGATCGTTGGATATAAATATAAAAACCATTTGGCAGAAAATTTATATGTAATGTTGGATTTATAGAATTTTTTTGTTCATCACTGTCATAATTGAAATTAATTGCAGGCCCACTAAAAATGCTCGTTTGCCATCCACTGGTTTAGAATATTCCATCTAGGCTGACAGGTTTAAAATTTTGTCATTGAACCCTGTGCGTACCGTATCACCTTACCCAACATTTAATAAATTGGGGAGACAATGTCAAACACAGACTTTGGTCCTATCAAAACTATAGGTCTCTCTGTATTCATGTGAAAATTCGATATTTTTGTTTAGATAAAGAATGGAGAAGCAGGACAAGGCCATCCTCATCTTGTTAAAGAACTTTTACAAGCAAAAAATAAAGAACATCCTATGGATGTTTTGATAGAGTTCGGTGGTAACAGAATGGCTGAAAGGGACATTATATTCGAAAAGGGCTGGCATAATACAAACCTCAGTGCTGGATTCACGTACTTTGAAAAAAGTTTATGTATTGTCTTATGGGGAACGTCTATTATAGCAGTATCCTTATTATACATTTATATGAGGCGACGCCAAATGGCAAGGTATTGCAAAGTTTGAGAACATTAGCAATATCTTGCCATATTATGCGTTATTATAAGGTTTCTTCTTGGGCCAAAATGCTATGAATATAGTTGTATTTTTTTTACAACTCTGTAAGAGTTGCATTGCATAGTAGAATAATGAAAATGCCTAGATAGCAATATTTAAAATCGGTAGTCATATGGAGATCGTTGAGTACCACAACTCGTAAAACACCCATGTAGCCCAGTGTAGAGGAGTCTCAAGTTATCACAAACGCTAGTCCGACGGGGTGAAACATTGGGCCTAGGCAACTTGTAGTAAGAAAGTTTATTCATTTTAGTAGATACTGCCATCTCACTGCGGAATCTCTATGTCCAAAACAAAGGCAGTAATATTATAGCAAGCAATCTTTACTGACCAAAATTATGCTGCTCTTTTAGTCAAATTTTTCTTTCCTTAAAATATTGCAAATGTATCTTTGAAATATTGAGGTGGCAAACTTAAAATATATGTATAATGTATATGGTAGATAGCTCCCATCCATGACATTTGTAGAAGAATGTGGAAAATAAAATACAACCAACTGCTTTGAAATATGTTGCCTCGTCTAACTGCCAATTTTTCTATTGTAAAATTATTTGCACAAAATGTAATGTGCCTTATCTATTATGTTGTATGGTCGTTCCCATGTGCAATGTACATCAAAGGGTACTGTTTTGTATAATATCGCCAAAGCGCTCAAAAAAAGTTTACTTTTCTGTATTGCAACATCCTGTCGCTCCTACTTGAGAACTTATTTTGTATTATCTTTATTTGCCGATTCTCTTTTATTTTACAGAGTATATATTATGTTGAATGCAATTCTCATGGTGTAATTGCGAATCCATTGCAGTACATGTTATTTTTTCTTATAATTTTGAAGCTCAGTTTCGGTGGCGTTATTGCATTTTCTTTTTGAATTGTCCTATTTTTGTTTGTCACTACTTTGGTTTTTGAAGCTGCTGTTTTCCAAATGTTGGAAGCAATTTTGTAACGATAACTGTGTGTATATTTTGCATCGAAAGGACCTCAATGTATGAGGATTGTGTGTTGTAATTTCCGGAAAGAATTTCAAGGTATTTGCCTAAGATTTTGTAGTTTATATTCTGCTCTCAAGCAACCTCGTTGTGTCATTTCTACATTTACCTGAATATAAGTATTATTGAAAGGGTGGATCACGGTACTTAGTCTATTCAAACTTTCATCATCTGAGGTCCCCTTTAAAACACTCCCATAATATGCCTAATACTTTTTCCGCCAGTTATTTCATACACCAATATTTGCTAGTAATGCATATTAAAAGAATATAACAACAAATCGGGTAAATGACTTATAACAACAAATCGGGTAAATGACTTCAAATTAATATAGTTTTATCGCTAATGGCACCCAGTCGTTATGTGACCAGTTTGAGAGATATACCTTGAACGCGTTCAAGGTATAGGTTGTTCGTTCACACCATTTGGGGTAGATTTTTTAGATAGCTTCCTTGGACCTTACAATTGCAACAGATCTGATATTTGCTGAATTTTATTTATAAAAATACACATTTAATAAAAGTGCAACAGTTTCCGCATGCAATACCATACATATTGTACGAATAGCACCTACAGAATCACGAAAAGCAAAGGATTTTTTTGAGAGAGAACAGAGGAGTGATTGCGTTTTGGTCTAAGACTGGACACTTTCGCTTAGTATCAGACTAACTGAATTATTATGATGGCCTTGCAAAATGCTAGAAGAGACAGTTCAGTTCTGAAGTTACATATGCTAGTAGTGCTTTACAAGATAGGTGTTGAAGATTGCTACATTCCGAAGTCAAAGGTTTGCTGCAATATGATTATTCTATTATTAATCATCCAACATTGCTTTCTCAGCCAATTCTTTCAGTTTGTTGTTTTCATCTGCATCAGGTGATGCGAATTTAGAACCAAGCTGCCAGACATGAACAATACCATCGACGTTACCAGTTGCAACATATTGGGCTCGTTTTTGGTTTGCTTCAACACAGTTGATGCGACATTTCTTGCCATTTTCACTAAAAATGGATATAAATTTTCACTCTGATTAACTGTCATCAGACTGTTGCGTTTACTAAATTTTATCAGGGTAAGAATATTAATTGAGACTCTTTGTAAACAAAGAACTTAAATTTTGAAGCCGATTGATATTCTAGGAAATTTCATTGAAAATTAAATGAAGTTTTTGAATTGAAGAAAAAAACATATACTGAATATCATTCATGTTTGATATGAATCTGATTATCTGACTTTGTAACCCTATAACAAATTTAGAAGGACAACCTATAATTGGACATGAAGTTTACATATAGATTGTTATGCTAAACAGTTCTAGAAACATATCGATGGATGAAAATAAATCGATCGTTTCAAATTTTTAGTGCCTTAAGATGGTTAAAACCAGGGGTGTGCAACCAGCGGCCTGTGGAAAAGCGCCATTCTAGCCCATGAAACGAGTTTTTAATTTAATCTAGCATGCAATGCAATGCCTATATCTAAGCTTGTGCAAAGTGAACAATGCATGTCACACATCTGTGTCTGCAACTACTAGAAAGCCTATGAAAAGTAGCCGTCTTATCGTCTTTTCTCTCCTCCGGGATAAACATGTAAATCCGATCCTAAAAGTGTGTCCCGCGGTTTCATCCAGTTATTTGTATCTTGCACACGCCTAGTTTTAATCACAAGAAGGCTACTAAGTTTGTTTCCAAAAGTTGCGATAATTTGTGCCACTAAATGGCATTACTGTCAACAAATTCTTTCGAGCATGAAACAACAACAAAACACTTACCCTTCGCTTTCCACAGAATTGATAACATATTGATTATTTGCATCATAAGCCGTAAGAAAACCAGATCCTCCAACAGAGAACAATGTCAAAGCACGAACAGGAGACCATTTGACAGAATATAAGTATTGATCAGATCCTGAGTAGGGAGTCACTTCACATAGAGGTGATGCATGTAGAGCGTGGTAAAATCTGCCAAAATTATTGTTTATTGTATGATATTGAAATGCATCATTATCAGCAATGTATGGTTTGCGATATCATTCCCAACAATCATCTCATTCGACAATTTTAAACATTCAATAATACACCGAACAAAAAATATCAAGATGCCAAATTCTAAACAATTCCAGAGAAAGACACTTATATTATGATACCAGAGAAACAAATTTATAGTTCAAGCATTGTTAGGTTGTCAAGTTTCTTCACTGTGAATGCCACAAAATTGATTTATAAAAAATACATACGATGAAATTATGGGTCCATGCCATGGATTGAAACACATAAATAAAAATACAATTTTGCTATGTTATTGTACCTGCATCTTTGATCAGTTGAACAAGTCAAGAATACATTCCTGTGAAATGGTGACCAATCTACTGAATATACTGGACCAAGGTGCCCCTGTAACAAGATTAATCAGCAATGTTGATTGAATATTTAAATATTTATGAAGCTCATTCAAAATTCTATTATGCTGAGATGAAATAATGCATTGAAATGTGTAATATGTTAGTTTTCCTACTACAACTTAAAAAACATCAATTTTCCTGAAAGTTTTTTATAGTTCGGTAAAGAAGTTTTCGTGATCAAAACTAGATTTCTGAGCTGGAGCCTTTTTTTCTAAATCCAGTCAAACCAATTTTTTGCAACCCAGAGTCGAATTTTTTCGATGATTCGGTCCTCAGTGTCAATATCATTTTAGGTGTTGGCCCTTCGCCCATAGCGATAAACAGTTACATGCCTATGTTCTGAATGATTCAAATATTTAGATTATTTACTTTGTATGAAAATTTTACAGGATCATCTTCATAACTATTTTCATCAATGACACATTTGACAATTGCACCGTTCTCACATCCTGCGATTAACGTTCTTTCATCTCCGACTGTATATTCGATTCCATCTTTCACAGATACTGCTATTGCACAACAAGTAATACCAACAGAACCAGATCCCCGTGCACCGGTAGTGCTTGAAAATGAATTATAAAAAATAAAATTAATTGAAATGACCAAAAAACACAACATTGGGATGATGGACTATTAAGCCTGTAATAGCCTGATTTTTTCGGTTCGAAATGCCTGAATATTTTATCGTGCTCTGAATGAGATGGATACCTACTCGTAGGGGCATGGCTATTTTAACGAGTAGTGTAATTGCGCTCCTGTTTTAGAAACCATCGCACAGAAGTTTTCGATTCTCATTCTTGAAACCCGCCTTCTGAAAATCCTGGCTATTTCCAGCAATGTGACAACTATGCTACAATGATTTTTCCAAATTCCATATTACAGTCATTCAAACACTGAACTAGGAACAGCAGGTGCAGACAAGACGAACTTATAGAATATGGGCCTGCTTTTCCAACCTTACTAATAAAATCTTACCACCAAGTGGATGCTAATAGACAGCTTATTTGCATATGATTGCGAGAAAACTTATCATAATAATGAAATAACAGCAGAATTTTGCCATACTTCAAATAATCTGAATGCAAAAAAGTCTTGTAATTTTGTCAAACATGTAAGTTGCCATTGACAATTTGTATTGCTTGTAATAGAAAGCCTCACCTTCTTACACTACTTGCTTTAATCTGGAACTTCTTGGCAATGGTCAGTGGTTTTTCACTTTGACTTATTTTCTGTTTCCACGTGATTAACTTCCCATCAGTACTTGCTGATAGCAAGTCAATATATCTGTTAATAACATGGTATTGAAAAATTAAAATAGGGTTTCTACATGAATTATAATATAAAACCATTTTTCCCAGGTAATGAATTCAACAAGGGACCTTGAAGTGGTTTTCCATATTTTCTAGGTAATAAATGTGTATTGAATAAAAGGCGCTCCAGAAGTATGTGTACCAATATGGAGGTAATTAATTTTGTTCAATAATTTTACATCAAATTGTGTAAAGGAACTGAAACCCATGGCCAGGGGGATATTCATGCGGCTAACACAGACAGTCCCTGAACTCGTAATAGAACTAAAATAAGGAAAATCGGAATAAAATCATGGCCTAACCTGGTACACATACTTCGGGAGTGCCGAATAAAATTGGATTAGAATTGTAATTTGTAAGCACTTGGAATGAATTGTTTCTGCCAATAATTCCTCAATGGGAATAGTTTACGAATACTGATCCTGTTGTATTACCTTCACTGTGTCGTGTAATACTTTCGTATGACCAGTCCAAATGAAACATAGCAGTTAAATAGTATTTGATGTTATGTTTTGAGTAAGAAAAGACATAACTTATCATTGAGACATGCGCACAAATGGGGGACTCATGGCCAAATTTGAGTTTCACAAAAAGCCTTACTTGCGTGATTGTGGTTGCAGCCATGAAACTGATGTCACAGGGTCATCATGGCTTTCGGAACTGTAAACAACTTCGTCTTTCGATATATCCCATAACAGAATAACCCCAGAAAACAATCCAGCTGTAGCATAAAAAGATATTTTCTAGGTTTTTCTTTTGAACTGCACAGATAAGTCCCATTCAATATTGCAATATTTACCCATGATATCACCCCATGCCCCCACCTCACTCACCCTGGGTGTAATAAATTGGATAGATCAGGGTGGTCCAAACCCAGGCCCGCGAGCCACATGTGGCCCGCCACTTCATTATCCTGGCCCGCGCCGCATTCGGAGAGTAATCAGAATATCGCATTTTGAATTGTTTCTCATAAAGTAAATCAGAAAAATCGTTTGACATATTGTTGTTATATCACTACTGTGACTGAATTGACTAGTATGATGGCTAGCTGAAGTAACTAGCAAAGTTGAAGATGTGCTGGGCAGTCTATTGTTACCTGGATTTCTATCATTATGGTCGGAAATATATGCTAACAATAAAGGCATAATAGAAAACTAAACATCGGATGCGAATTTCATTAGCCTAGGTTGGCAATGCCTATGTGATAACTATGTGTTTACACAATAGAAGTACTTGTTTTGTATTGCACTGTTTACCTTGGTACTATTGTGGCCCGCGACCAATGCCAAAATAATTCATCCGACTTTTCAAAAAAAATTGCTCTTTGTACAACAGTGGCTGCTTGTGTAGAGCCTCGTTAAGGGCAAAAGGTGTATAAATATGCAATTACCTGCAATTAGAGCTGGATTTGTAGTATGGAAAGCAACAGCTTGTAAACTGCTCTCTGTCTCCAGCTTCTGGTCACACTTGAATTGGTCTAATCTTGAGCGGTCAAGATTCCAAACACAGAGATATGATCTGAAGATAAAAATTGGGTCATAGAAAATAGTATGATCCGAAGCCAGCAATAGGATATATTTTCATATAAAATATGAAATTACTAGAGATAAGTGCATATATATTACTAGACTTTAGTATTTATAAACAGTAGTTTATTTTTTCACCATACAGGAAATACATTCTGTACGAAACAATATACAGAAAAAAACATTAAAAATGGCATTTTAGGGTGGGAAGGATACACAAAAACCAACACTGTCTATCAAGCAGCGACACCCCTTGGTTAGGTCTAATTGACACAGAAAAAAGTTGAATATTAGATATTAGAAAACGTTAACGTCAAGGAATCCAATCCGTTACACACAAAAATACGACTCTGAGCACCAAGGAGTGAGGCAACCATTGGAATTGTATATCAGATATACAGCAGTGAATATATCATACTAGTGATCGCAAAGGCCTATAAACAATGCTACCTGTGCTGTGCAAGATATATTACCTTGTCTGGCCCCATGCCATATGTTTCATGCTCCCATATGCAACAGCAATCGATGCACCACTGCTGCTCCATGATAAACAAGTAACCTCCAATGTGCTCTCATCTGAAAGGAATTCAAGAAATAGGAGTTGATAGGAAAAAATATTATTTTTTTAATAGAATATGATTTTTTAAATTTATCCTGGGGGGAGAGAAAAGTCGATACGACAGATTGAAAATATTGGGACCTAGGCATTTCATTTTTTACCTGTCCCATTTTCATATTGAAATAGTTAGGTTATATCCAACCATCAGCTATGTGAACAATGTGAACTACTCAGTAATGATAAAAATTTCAGAAATCCTTTTTGCACTTAATCATTTCCATATATGGAAAACAAGATACTGCTGCTGTGGCATAAGTGCACAAAATATTTCATATCTATTTCATACATATATATTCTATAGAACCGGTGCAAACCTGCTGAATCCCACCACTGCGCTAATTCCCTTTTTAAACAGAACTAGCGGTGGTGCGCTGACCTAGCAATTAGAGCGTTAGTATGAACTGTGTTGACATCGCAGGTTACACATCTCGGATTAAAATCCTTTACCCACCACCTCCACTTGAGTAAATAAGGTAGGCAATGCCGAATCGGAAAGATTCCATTTCTTATAAATACAGAAGCCCCTCACATATCGTTAGATAACAGTGGCCTTGTTCGAAGTGAATAAGTGTCAAACAAAAAATATATTATGAGCATACCATTTTTAGTTTCATTTTTCACAGTGGTTTCTTGTAACGAATATTCACAATTCATAGAAGTATCGCTTGATTCAAAATCTGAACCCCAATTTGCTTCTTCAAAAACGTTGAATGTTGAATTTTTGATCAATTGCCTGAAAATAATGATTGAATTGAATATCTTAAGAGACACTAAATAGATTTTTTTCTTTCATTCATTCTACATACTACAAGCCTTATGTAGCTGTACTCAGGAATGGAAGCAGTACTTTTGCAAAAAGACCTTATATGGACGAACAGCTTCTGGAATCGCAATGCTTCTAGGTAGTGTTCGGTACAAGTAGCTGAACCTCGAGTCCAAAAGGGTAGTCTCGAGTCAAGTTCGAGTCCCAACAAATTATAAAGTCCTAAGTGTTGAGTCGTTGATGTTTCGAATCACAAGTCAAGTAGCCTACCTATAAAGGATAGTCAAATCTGAGTCACGTTTTTGAAAAACATAACTCAAGTTCAAATCAATATCATGAGTCTTCCCAGCACTGTCTGTAGGTAGGTAAATTGGATTTGATGATATATTAAAGGCTAGTATAGGTATCTTATTAGAGCCACCTTCTTTATACTATAAATTTTTAATTGGTATGCCTTACTTATTTAACTCTGTACATGGCGCAGAACTCAGAATAAGATTATGCAACATATTTCATTCAAACAAAATAAATTGAATTTCTGTTCATATAGTCTTACACTTAGTGACCCGAGTCACATATTATTTCACATATGCCAGAAAAGTATGAATATATATCTAAAATAAAAACTTTCCATTTTATACAAATACCCCTAAAATTTGACAAGTTTCCGCGCCATTTTAAGTAAACTTAACAGCAGTATTTACTTGGAAATCATAGGTTCCACAGAAGACAGAAATGCTACAAGAGTAGTTTCATTCACATTTTGGTTTCCAAGTGCTAATGATTTCTCCAAAATTTCACTTGCAGGTACAGTTTGACATTCTGCGTCTTGTGGTTCCACAGTCTGGATGTCTACTTGATATGTAAGAACTTCACTGAAATAGGGTGGTTCAAAATGTTATGAAAAAATTGTGCTATTCCATTTTTTGTATTCATTTGAGTTGTTTTAGGGTCTCGTGTAGTTTTGTACCTAACGTACTTCTAGTAGGCGTAGCATAACAATTTTTTGATATGCTAATCCTAACCCCCACCTGACTACGCCATCCAAAAATTATGCCACTACAATCAAGTCATAGAGCTTGCCAAATACTCGTACGATCGCCCGAAATGGCATCGGCGCCGACGATAAAAAACTGACTAACGTCAGCGATCTCTCTCCTATCGGGATCGTTGCGACGAGAAAACGAGAGAAAAGGCTGTTCAATTTCCGGTTGGATGGCGCGTCTTGGATGACAGTTCGTATAGTTTGAATGGCTCTATTACGTCACTGTGACGTAATTTTTGGATGGCGTAGTCAGGTGGGGTTAGGATTGACACATGAAAAATTTGTTATGCTACGTCCACTAGAAGTACGTTAGGTACGAAACTACATGAGACCTGTTGTTTTATACTATAGCTCTGAACTAGGCTATGATTAAGCACTCACTGCTGTGTAGAGAAAGATTATGTATTATACCAGTCAAACTCTTTCGAGTTCAAAACATAGCATATTATAATTATTAATCATTACACATTGGAAGTGGTATGGAAGAAAATTTGATATTTTTATTATTTGTACGGATCATTAGAAAATTATATACAGTATGTGAAAAGGTTATAAATGATATGGAGTCATTAAAGTTTCACGTGAGTATACCAGAGTCTGATAGTGCAATACAGGGAGTCCTCGGGTTACGACGGTCGCGACTTATGATGTATCGAGGTTACAAACACGCAATCCATATCGCTCTTTCGAGGCTACGAACGCACTTTACGAACATATACAGATATAAGAGATAATACTGTACGTCATTTTGGTTGTTTAAGCCGTTTTTTTCGTAACTTGTTTGATCGTTTTTTTTAACTTTTGCCCTTTGTTATGGACTTAAAGCAAAAAAAGATGTTACTGATGTTAGTGCATCAAGGTTTGCTTTTATTCACATGATGTGGATTGTTTTCTGTTTTTCTAATAAAGTTCTTATTTGCATTATTTTTACATTTTATTAGTGTACAGTACCATACTTTACAATACAGTACGATGTGTATAGAGTAATTCATGCACTGTACCACTGTACAGTATAATGTTCCGACTTACACTGAAATTTGGGTTACACCAAGTCTCAGGAACGGAACTGCGTCGTAAGTCGAGGACTCCCTGCAGTCGACGAAATTAAGTTATACATATTAAATTAATCAAGTCCATTAGAATCGTTTCTTTGTTTATTGATATTATATTGATGCAAAAAGAAAAGCATCAAATTTAGACCAGCGTGCAGTATCGCTTAGCAACAACATGGCCACGGTCAGCTGGTAATGCTGATACGAAGTCCAGCGAAGCGTAGGATCATCGACCGCTTTTATATGAAATTAGACAAACCTGGTTTGAGATCCATTTTCTCTTTGTTTTCTGTGGCTTTTCCATGACGATTTGATCGTAATCCCTGGCCTATAATCATCAGAAAACATTGTCTTGACGTGTTTATCAGATGTTTGAAAAAATAAAGAACTTCACCCTATATTCACGGCGTATGCACATCGCGCACTCTGATAAACCTCGTCTCGTTTTCCCACAACGAACGCGCTCATTCACCAGATGGAAAAAGAGTTTTGATTGACGGCTCAATGACCAATCAAAATACCTCATTTTCCCACTCTGCGAAGGTACAGCCCAATCATGGTGAAAAGGAAACGGTCGTGAGAAAACGAGCAGACGAGAGCGATTCATATTCTAAATATTCGTGAAATTGTTGTTTAGTCGAACAACGCGCAATAAATAAAGCCACGAGGAACAGACTGTGCGTAAAACGCGATGTACCGTTCGTTTTATTGGGGATAAATATCTAAGAGAAGCGACAAGTGTATAGCGAGTTCTTAGACGGCGTGTGTTTTACTAGTCTCGATCGAAGAGCACGGGTTGACGCGGGGCCGGCTTTGTGCTTTAGTAAAGTGATTTACGTTTTAGTAGGTGTAATTTTTGTATATTATATTTCAATCATGTCTGCAAAAACTCAAGCGAAGAAAGCCAAAATTGAAGGCGAGAACGGAAAAGGCGACCTTGAACCAGGTATTTTACTTTTAAAAGTTGATTTGATAAATAGTATCGCCGATCCCGTTTATTTTAGTAGACTTTTTTGTGGCGACAAGAAGTTGATTTATGGATACAAATTCCAAAGTAAATTAATAGCTATTCTTGATGTTTGTTACAGTGTACATTCCAAAACTTAATACACATATCGCTAGTTATAATACGGTTGTAGTAATTGATGATATATTCAATCGGCCGCTTTTGGAAGCGTTCACGTGCGCGCATTTGTGTGTGTGTGTAAAATCCAAAAGGGGAGTGCGACATCTCGCGGCAGTAGATTTTAAATGTAGTAATTTTTTTAAATCCCGCCAGATTTAAATTACTAAAAAACATTTGTGTAGCTAAAACTTGTATCCGTGTATATATATATATCCATATTGTATTTGTCAGTTTTATCACATATTTTTTAACATTGAATCAAGTCAAAAAAATTTTAATTCTGAATCCAGTCTTAAATTTTAAACTCAGTATCAAACCAAAAAAATTTTAAACTCTGATTGGAGTCAAAACTTTTCAAATTAATTAGTTTGAGTTTAAATTAACGAGTCAAAAATTTTTCAATCCTTGGATTAGTCAAAATTTTTTCCATCTGGAAGTCAAGAGTTGAAATTTTTTTCCTCCCGAAGGTTGGAGTCAAAATTTTTTCTCTCTGCGAATCTAGGTTTAAATTTTCTGCTTCCTAGAATCTGACCCAATCTCCTCACTCTGATATTCTAAGTTTACATTTTCTGCTTCCGAGAGTCTGAGTCAAACTTTCTTCACTCTGAGAATCTAAGTTTAAATTTTCTGCTTCCGAGAGTCTGAGTCAAAATTTCTCCACTATGAGAATCTAAGTTTAAATTTTCTGCTTCCGAGAGTCTGAAATTTCTTCACTCTGAGAATCTAAGTTTAAATTTTCGTCTTCCGAGAGTCTGAGTCAAAATTTCTTCACTCTGAGAATCGAAGTTAGAATTTTTTCATTCCGAGAGTCAGGAGTCAAAATTTATCTAAAGTCTGCTTTTGAGTTGAAAAATTTTTTAAAAATTATTTTGAGTTGGGGTCTGTTGTAAATTTTTTCAGACTCTGTAACCATGTCTTTTTTTTTGATTAAAGTTCTGTTGCATCTTTGAAGTTTTGCTGCCCTCTTCTGCCATTATGCTATATTAATTATATTTAGACCTTCCTTATTTGAAGTTTTTCAAATTGTTTTTCATTGCTATTTTCAGAAGACAAGAAAATACAAGATGCTATAGAAAAAATAGATGAAGTGCAAAATGAAGTAGACCGATTAAATGAACAATCAAGCGAGGAAATTTTACAAGTTGAAAAAAAATACAACAAACTAAAGTAATGAGATTTGTAATTATTCATATTTGTTGCTTTGTAAACGAATACATAACTGAACTCCCAATTTACCGCTGATATGCAAGAAGCTTTTATGTTTCTGAAAATTGGTATGATATTTACTTCTCATTTTCAATTATTTTTCAGATTTTTTATACGCATTAAATTGTGCAGGCAGGAGTGTATGTTAGTTAAATGTTAATCCAATTCTACCTATCTATTTGTTTATAAACACTATCTGTATTTGACTTGGCACTAAAGAAAATACTTTTTATATTTTCCCTTGTAGACTTTTGAAAATGGGTCATCAAAATGACTCAATCTTTCGTTTCTTTTCAATTATAATTAGGTGGCCACATTATTTGAAGAGGTCAGAACTTATTACTTCCATCCCCAACTTCTGGGTCACAACATTTGTCAACCATCCACAAATATCAGCACTGCTGAATGAAGAAGATGAAGATGCTCTTCATTATCTGACAAAGGTCGAAGTTCAAGAGTGCAACGAAATCAAGACCGGATACACAATCAGTTTTGTGAGCTTATGATTCAGTATGCCTATTTTTTAACTGATAACAGTGGAGAATGGCTGAATAATATTTTGATAAAATTGATTGATCTGTTTCGTATTCACTCTGGCGAACTAGGATGCACCCGCATTCCTTTTATGGACCTTATACCCGCATTCCTTATATGGTCAGTCCCAGCAAATCCTAGTCCTTTGTCGGGTCTTCATAATATTAGTATCAAAGGTTATCATGCGTCATTGCATTTCGTCTTTTTGTTGAAATAATGACTATAGGGAAACAAGTTTGCTGTTCTGGTCTGACAAAGTATCTCTTGTCATGGAAACACGCTTCATGAAAAAAAGAAGTCTGATTTGTCGGATGGGCAATATTCATCGATATGTAAGAAGTATGCTTCTAGTGGTAATCATTAACACTCCTCTAAGATATATGAATGTATTTTTCAGCATTTTTCTGATAATCCATATTTTGATAATGATGTCATAACAAAAGAATTCAGACTCAGTGAATCAGGTGAACCATCGTCAAGTTCAACAACAATTAATTGGAAAGAAGGAAAAGTATGAATTTTACAGATTTTGGCCACAAATTCTAAATATTATAATATGCTAACCAAGGCATGATTTATATGTTTGACTGTAACTATCATATCCTTTCAAAAAAAGTAGCTGCTCACATAGAAGTGACTCATTTTATATGGCCTTGATTAGTGCGAAATGAGTGAAATTAACCTCTGAGCCTTTAACTAAAAGTGGAGAGTGTTGGTTATGCGGCTGCTGTCCTTTAAAATAAGATATGCGTATAGGCTCGTTGTCATAGGACTTAAACAATCTGGGACAAATTGTTAGCATCGTCTTCTAATTCTGGTCTGCTCATTTTTAGAATTTAACAGAAAAAATTGGTGAAAACTCAGCTAAAGGAAAGAGGAAACACGAAGAATTAGAAAGTTTTTTTAGGTGAGTTAAGGTATCTTCTACTATTTTTTTCGCATTGATTCATCTCGTTAAATTACTTCATTGTAATTATTTTTTTCTAGTTGGTTCAGTGATTCTGGAGACTGCGGTGCTGATGAGTTGGGTGAAGTCATCAAAGATGATATTTGGCCGAATCCACTTCATTATTATCTTGCGCCAGAAGGTATGAAAAATTTCAGTCCGATTTTCTCTTCAGTCCTAACATGTTGATCAATTATTGCGCACTTATTTGTATTAGGCGCTACAATAATATTATTTAGGGAATCTCAACTTATTGACTTTCTGCCTATATTATTTGAATTTATTATCAAAACTTTTGTATACATTAAAAAAATGAAATACAAGTAAAATTTGTGGTCCTATTTGCCATCGCAATCCTGGATCTTGACAACAATTCCTAATGTGTTATAGATTCATCATTATAGTCATATTTATTATATAATAGATTAATGGCTTGAAGCTGGTATTTTTGCCGCTATTACAACCCTAAATGTAGCCCCTTCCTATTGTAATACTTCTGTAATATTTTTATATCATTCAATTGTAGGTGGGTTTGATTTTAAGTGTGAGTTCAGTGAAAACCTCTAATTCCAATCTCTAGCCCACCTTCTAGGGTGTGAATTTAAATAAGAATAGTCAGCTTGAGCAGAGCCTTGTCTGGAGTGAAATTGTAAAAACGTCTCGTCTTGTTTCCAGGTGTTGATGAAGATGATGACGACGACGATGATGGTTTAGATGATATTGAGGAGGAGGAAGAAGAAGAGGAAGGATTCGAGGAGGAGGATGAAGAAGGAGAGGAGGGAGAAGGTGATGAGGAAGTGAGTATGAAATTCACATCAGTTAATATCTTTCGCTTGCAAATGTACATATTCAAAATTTTTGCTACTTGTAATCGTTTTCTTCAAATAAAATTAGATATAATTTTTAGTACAATAAAGACATGTAAACTTCATCATCTTAACGACAAACGTTTTTTCCTTTAAAGAGGTTCCTTTATTTTAATTTTCAAGTTATTGGATAAAAATTTTTTTTTTACCAGCTCAGTGGTCTCAAACTATCATAATTGCCCCCTCTTCCAGAGACTCTCAACATTCAATAGCATGCTCTTCTTTAAATACACAGCTTCAGCTTCGAACAGGCTTCCATCAGTTGAGAACTGTTCCTCTTGTGTGGACAAGGGCCCAGTTTAAAAAACCCTAGTTCTTGAGAATTGGCCAATGTTGACGGGGACAAGGGCCCAGTTTGAAAAACCCTGGTTCTTGAGAATTGGCCAATGTTGACCAAACAGCCGAACTTTCATTTCCAATAATATTGAAAATTGGACACTCATCAGGACACTCATCAAAAATTATTTTAAAAGTAATGACACAAGACATAATATACTGCAGTTACCTACAGTATGCATCATTACTGATCAACTAATTTTTTCTTATATTTATTGGAAGAAATTTATGGAGGCTAAATTAATTTACAATTGATTACAATTTTTAACAGGAGGAAGACTGAAAGAATTCTCAAACCTGATGGTCTTTTTTCATTTATCACCTGAACGACTGAAAGAAATCAGTTGAGGAACAAACTCTTTTGCTACTACAACTACCAATTTTTTTGTCATATTCTTTACTGCCCATTCAGTCTGTAACAGCCTCGTTCATTGCCCATGGTGTTCAATCCTGGTTTACTGTATTCAAAACTGTTTCAACACTTTGTAATAAGCGATGTGCTGTAATCGAAAATGTTTTCGATTTTTTTCACTTTGTTCAGCCAATGATAGCAATGTCAATACAATTCGAATGTGCGGTTGGCTCATTTATGGTATCTACCTGTGCTGCTTTTTGTAAGGGTTGTTCAGACAGAATGCAGTTGGGAGATATCAACAAGTTACCTTATTTCAGAAAACCGTGATCCACTTGTAGTTCTGAAAACAAGATTAGGTTTGTGTGAACCCCTGAATGCCAGCACTGGTGTTCCCTACAGTAGTTACTTTGACATAAAGTCTTTGATTCATAAGTAATCCAGTGATGTGAGGACTGTGGAAGTAATGTTCAGAATGGGTGATAGATATTCACTGTTATATGCTATCAATATCTCAAGACAAAAGAGCAAATGCTGAAATTTCAAAAAATATATATTTTTAAATCTCGCAAAAAAAACAAGTTTTTGCAGCAAAACTCATCACTAAAGTTTCATAATAAACATTGCAGTAAATTTGAATACCAAAAAATTTTCTCAACCAAATTTTGCTAGGAGGTTAAACCTGATATTTGTACTTATCATGAACCCTCTGTAGTGGGTAAAATAATACGAATGAAGAGTTGTATTACAATGTGCCTATTTGATGATATTTTGTTTGCTCATTATAACTGGCTAATATACTGATTAAGATTCATCATGAGAAATGAATAATCGGGAGTACAATGGAGAATTTCAAACTAATGCTTGTGACATTACGTCAATGATGAAAATTGTGATAGCCCAGTTGCTAGCATGTAAACGTTTGAATGACGATTGCTCATGCCCTCACCTAATGTGATTCTAGGTGGCAGGCAGTATGCCAAACGGGAAAAATCCGGATTTCCAAAACTCAAAGAGAAGTTGTACAACACCTAAATACTTTGCTGTTGTGAACTAGTCGGGATCACAGTCTCGAGCATAGAATTAATATTAAATTTAAAGAACATTAAAAAACAATGGATATTTACAAAACTGAGGAACAAACTCGTTTACACTTGAACAGAAGCCATGAGTTGTTTTTAAAATGTAAAAACTTACCAAATATTATTTTAAAATCATGGGTTATCATATGTTCTATTTTAATTAAGATATCCAAAAAAATTGAATTGCAAAGGGAATTTATCGATACCATATATAGTTTGTTGGCCCCTACAGGTGTATTAAATGAGGTCACAAAACTGAAATGGATGCTGATTGAAACAAACCAGGTTAAAATATATTGTGAACCGACTTTATAACAAATTTAATTAAAATTGTAATGGAAATTTATGAATACTACAAAAAAAATGAACGCAGATTTTTACACCGTTAATTATACACCCATTGTTGTTTATTTGGTTGATCGAGAAAGCTTGATGTTGAAAAAATATAGAACACAAAATCAGTTAATTATCCAATACTAGCTTGTACAGATTGAGCATCTTCACCATCAACGATTTGTACCGAACTTTTATCAAATATAGAGCTAATATCTGGTAGTCTGTATCTATTTGTTGACAGGATAGCGTCCTGTATTAAAGGATGCTGTAGAAGAAGTTGGAGCGTCTGTGGAGCAAAATTCTCTGCATCAAGAGATGTGTATACTGATTGTAGTCGTTGCAAGGAAAACTTATCATCCGGATCATCGGTGATTGAAAAACGATGAGAATCTGATAACCTGGAAGTAAGGATGTTTAAAAATCTTGTTTAAATGGAATTGGGATATTTGATGAAAAACAGGTTTGTTACCCATTTCGGGTTCAAATCCCATGCTCATGGTGTTATAAATTGGGTGAGCAATGCTGAACCAGAAAGAGCTTAGTCCTTCCAAAACAGCAGCCTCTTAAATATCGATAGATATCAGTGGCTGCTTGTATATAGAGTTGTTCAGAGCGGAAGAGGTGAATATGCGTCATTTACAAAAAACAAAAAAAACTATTTTTTGAGACTTCAGATGATCAAATCACTTTTTTGTGTCCAAATTTTTCAATTTTCGTAGTGAATAGTAGTATTTTTCAGAATTACAAACTAAAAATTTGGCACATATTAAAATTTTCTGCAAAATATGGTATTTACCGTAATCAAACAATTTTCATATGGATATCCCTACCTGGAAGATCCATGATGCATCACTAGCCACCATGCTTGAACGGAAATAAGCGGCTTTGGAACTGCTTCTGATGTGACACAGATGTTGCTCACAGGAAGATTTTCAGAAACGCTGTCTTCTGTTTCTGCAGTTTTCGATGAAGCAGATGGTGGATTCACCGTCTTATACACTTTAGGGAAGAGTTGATTCGATGCAACGCTAAGCGCACGCATATATCCTTGTACAGCATCAAGATCCATTGCAAAGTACATCAACATGTTCACATAGTCAAGTCGTGGAGGACTTTGCTCCCAATCTGCGAACATGAGAAAGAAAAACTGATGAAGGTTTTTCATTCTAGGATAGGTCATCTCATTTGCTTCCTCATCTTGAAAAGCGTCGCACAACCATGTTTTTACTTGCGTGTATTGATCCTCTGTTATCCAGCCATTTTCTGCTACATCAACACTCTGAAATGCAGATTGAGCTGATAATAGGTTTTCAATGGTTGGTACAGTCCATGGTTTTGACACAATAAGTAAAAATTTCCTCCAATCTACATACTCGCACTCTGGTGAAATTAAATTACACAATTCTACCAGTTGAGTATACGTAACAGTGAGCCAAGACTCTGGGAGCGCATCCAATCCATATGTTAAAAGTGCAGAATCTGATAACAATTCAGTGAAAGATTTGTTGGCAATGGTGCCAGTAGGAGATACCTTGCGGAATTGATGCAATAAATGAGTTAATTGTACAACTGTAAATGTCTCTGGCATTGGTATCTCAATAGGTGCGGGAACAGGAGGTGGACTTGGTGTTCTGGCAACCCTCAATTCCAAATTAATGACAAATTCATCCTGGTTGAGACAGACTTGATATTTCAGCTTGATTCCACCTTCAATTGCATGCTGTCCGGCATCTGTAAGCTGCTCTATAGATTTCATTTCTGCGAGATATCTAGCACCAAGCCATTCCAACATTTCAGCATAAGAAGTTGACATTGCTTCCTTGAGTTCAGAAAGAGTTAAAATAGCTCTGTATCTGATCAACATCAAATTACATTTAATCCTATTTTCTTCTTCTTTCAAGGACGCAATATATTCTTCTCTCATATTAGAAGCAATCTCTAGTTTCCTTTTGTCTTCTTCACTCATTTCATTGACAGGTGTAGGTGGTGTTGGAGTAGGTGATTTGCTTTTAGCCCCCTTCTTGCCCTTTGCACTTTTTTTCTTGCCACCACCTTTTTTGTCAGCAGGAGCATTTTGAGCCATTTTTGCCTTCTCTTCCTCTTCTTTGAGTCTGCGCTCTTCTTCTATTTCGGCTTCTTTCGCCGCAATATCAGCTTGAACCAGATTTGCCAAGTAGTTGACTGCAGCATTGTAGCCATCTACAATAGTTTTTTCTTCTAATTCTCCTTCTCCCAATTGAGTATCGGTTCCAGGATCTGGGCCTTTTCCTTTCTTTCCTTTGCCTCCTTCATCCGCCTGAAGACTAAAAGTTGCACCTCTTTGAATCAGTGGTATCTTTATGTGGCCTTCACCACTTACTGCTTCAGCTTCTTCTTCTTTCCCTTTCTTATTCTTTTTAGTCTCTGAAGAAGATTCTTGTGGAGGTTGTCCATCACTTCCCATTGTCTCATTGCTAGATGTTGGGTTTACAGGCTCGTCTACATCAAGTTCTACTAACGGAAGTCTTACATCACTTGTTGCATCTTCATTGGGAATTTTTTTCTGCATTCCTGTGTAATAATCTTTCAACAATCTATTTGTGGACTGGAAGCGATCAATTTCAGTTTGCATCAAAGATAAGTATTGGTTGATAAGGAGACCCAAATGATCTTCCAACCACCCATCCCTCATTAATTCTGCTCTTTCAGCCTCTGCTTCCTCCTTTTTGGTGTCACAGATATCCCAGAGTCTCTCACGTAAATCATAAAGTCGTTGATGCATTTCTGCCTTTGTCTCTTCGTCTTCACGAATATCATCAGGGATCTCGTTGAAGTCTTTTTGCCATGCATCTACAAATGCCTGCTTCGGATCAGGACGGCGTAAATGCTGTCTGAAATCACTTCTTGACTGATATATATAACGAATAATACCTTCTCTTTCAACTCTAATCTGATGGAAAATATGCATGCATGTATTTTTGAAAGTCGACTCGGTATTATCCCACATAGGTACTGCGATCCGTGCACATTCCATTGGTAAAAGCTCGTCCACGTAATTCCAGTCTGGTTCTCCTGGTTTTGGTGGTGGTGGTCCTTGCACCTCTTCAGGCTGAGGAGTAGGAGTTGGTGTTCTAGATCTTGACTTTTTGCTCTTAGCAGATCCTTTACGAGATCCAGATCTACTTCTTGACTTGCCACCTTTCTCTGCACTTTTACCTCTTTCTTTTGGAGATTTACCTTTTCTTGATCCAGATGGACTAGGTGCTTTAGATGTTTTACTTGTTGGAGATGAAGCCCGAGAACCTTCAGGTGGTTCTGCTTTTGGAGGAGGTTCCTCTTTTGGCTCTTCTTCTATTTCCTCTTTTTCAATAGGAGGTTCTTCTTTACCCTTATTTTTTACTTTTTCTAGGGTCTGAAACAGAGCCTTTTCTGCATCTTCATATGTCAATGTTTTGGCTTGTTCTCCATCAACATGTTGTATCATCGATAACTTTGAATAAAATCCTTCTAATTTTTTCCAGTTATCATGGAATGTCATTATTCGATGTTGAACTTGATCTTTGTCAAATGCTTTATCTTCCACCGAAACAACTTTTTCCGCATTTCCTATTCCAGTTCTGGAACCTAAAGGTGCAGGAGAAAATTCTTCATGGAACATTTGATCTTCCTTTCTTTCATAAGTGCGACCAAGTGCTCTTTTCAGTACCATTTCATCACTTACATCTAATATCAGGACAACATCTAAAGCAGTTGTGCCGATAATGGCCTGTGGTGTAGGTTTTGGGTCTGATACTAAACTGGATGTTTTTGACAACTTCTTTTTGATTGGGGCAGCTACAGGTGAAACATCATTTCCAGTAATGGCTTTTTCCAGAAGAACAGCTTGCTGAACATTGGTTGGAAAACCATCTAAGATCCAACCTCTTCCTTCGGGAATATTATGAATTTCATTTGCTATTACATCCACTAGTACAGAATCTGGAACTGCTTCTCCAACTTCTAAATATTTTGAAGCTTTTTCACCCAGCTTTGCCCTTTCACTTAATCCTCTCTCTTTGTTTTCTTTCTCCACTCCTGAATCTTTCAAATTTTCATCCACTTCAAGACTTCCACGATTTTCTCCAGTACGCGGGGTTGGTGGTTCAACATTAACAGTAGCTGGTACTGATTCCACTGCATCCAAAGAAACAGGTTCAAGCTCTTTTGCTCGGAAAGCTTCAATTGCAGAAGACAACAGCTTGTCAACACTGAGATGGGCAATGTTATGAGTTCTTTCAAGTTGCTCCAAAATACTTGATTTTCCAGCAAACATTTTTCCCACAATCGCAGCTTGAATGGGAAAGTCAGGGAACTTTGGTGCTGGAGGAGGAGCCTCTGGTGGATGGACCATATTAAACATTCGATGTAGAATGTGACCAAGAATTTTACTTGCTGGAGGATTTTGAAAATCTGCTGCCTCATCAGGTTTCCATTCTCCAAGCATGTTTTTATACTCAGCAAAATCTTGTGAATTGAGAATTTCCTCTCTCCTGGCTTGAACTTCAGCATCTCTAGTATCTTCTTGTTCTTCATATATTGGTTGTCCTTCAAGAAAAAGCTCTTTCCATTCTCTAACCAACTTTTCCGGGACTTTCTTCTCTGTCAGGTCTCGATACTCTATGATTTTACTTGAAAAATCAATTATACCAAACAAAATGTTCTTACAGACATCATAATGTTTTTTATAACGCTCTTGTCTTTTCCTTGCCATGTTTCTATTATGCAATTCTTTCTCTTGTGCAGCATTTTCCTCATATTCCTCTCTAGCAAGTTTGGCCAGTTTTGCCTCCAAATCTAAAGCATCTTGAAAATCTTTTAATCTTCTTTCCTCATACTGCTTTTCTCGGAAAATTCGATTTTTCCTGATGTTATCTTTCTCTGAACGTACTTGCATTAACTGCACAGCAACACGTCGTTCCATTTGTGACTGGCGCATGAGCCTTTGAACAATTTGCTCCTGCCTATGCGCTTCCTCTTGTGCATGATGGGCTTTCATTTGATCCACAAGAACTTTTCGTCGCCGTTTTGCACGTTCTTCTCTTGCCGAACGTTCTTCAGAAAGCCGAGTCTTGATTCTATCAAGATATTCGAATCCACCAGATCCTCCTACAATCTCTTCATCAATTGCATCACCAGATTGCGCTGCTGCAGCAGGAGCAACCAACTTTTTTAGGTTGTCTTCAAAGCTTCTGATAGAAAAGTGTGTTGACTCAGCTTCTCTTTTTCTTCTTACTTCTTGTCGGTGTTTTATTGCTTGTAGTGTTTTGGAAGGAGGTGGCTTAGGAATATGAACTGTAGCTGCTTGTATTTTTGCTAACAGCTCAGTTTGTTGCAATCGAGATAGTCGTGATTTTTCCAAAGCCATTTTACGTTGCTCTTGTTTAATAGCTTCATACTCCATGTGTTGCTTATATTTTTGAGCAATTGCTCTCTTCTCATTTTCATCTCTTTTCCGTTCGAATTTAGATGATACTTGATGCAAAGTCAAATCGCTTTCTCTCGGAATAAGTGTTTTGAGTCGTTCTTTATATAATCCACTTTCAATCATTTCCAATTTAACAGGAGCTGATGGTCGCATTGTTTGCATCGCAGCACCAGTTAGATTATTTTTCTCTTTTCTTTGCAAACTAATAAACATTTGATAAAGAAGTCTTGTAGCGACCCCATACTTTTGTGTCATAACATCATAAGCAATATTGGCATCGAATGGGATCTCCAACAAGTTAAACGTTGGTTCCAGCTGTATGAAGTTATTAAGCTTTGCGTTCGATGACTGCCCCGCAGAAAATGATCCAAAATCATCTTGAAGAAGAAAATGATTGAAGATTTCACCAAACAAATACCCAGTCGAGAAGTCTCGAGCGATGTTGCTTTTGTCAATCTTTTTTGAAAGTTTCACATCATTATTCAACCAGTTGCATAATATTTCAGTCATTGTTATTTTGTTTTTGAAGCTTGCTGTCACATACCGAATTATTAAATGATTTCTAAATTAGATAAAAGAAAGATAACTTATAAATATTACGGTAGTAAAATTGTTAGACACTGTAAATCTTACAGCAGGAAGTTAGATAAGTTTTGGCATACATATCATGAGCATTTAAATTACTTTATTTTTTTAAGCACTTATTACACAATGCACAAAAAAATTAGCTTTTATTTGATGCAATCTAATAAATAATGAATGAGGTCTTAAAGACATCACTACATTGCAAAAACATTATTTTAATTTTTCAGAAATATATATAAGGCAAGCAATAGAGAGAAAATGCTAAACATGGACAAAAACATTTACAATGAATATAGGATAAGATTTACATTTTATCCTGGGGGAGAAGAAAGCCCATAAGACAGCTTAATCATATAGCAAACCAAGGCCTCTCATCCGGTTACCAGTCCAGGTCGGGTATGGGATTAGTTAGCCAGTTATTTGTTTTCGGAAGGATGGACTTGATGGTCTAGGAAGCCGTAACCTACCAGCGTGACCGTGAACCACCCTACGGCGGCGAGGAGTCCAGCAATCCTCTCGGACATGACAGCAATCCTCTCGCACATAATCATCCCCGCATGGGATTCGAACCCACAAAGGGTAATCAGAGATGCGGTGGCGAGCGTATTCCTAACGCTTAGCACGATGTGCCACACCGCCGAGCCTGATGACAGTTTAGTCCAAAGGTGGCTAACATGTTTAAAGTTATTGATTGACTGAAAATGTGAGGATAAGTGCTGCCTTAGTTTTCAGAAGTAAGTTTTGATTGAGGACGTGGACAAATATTTAACAATTGGTCGGAAAGCAACGTCTCATAATTACCAGTAAACTGTTTTGTAATGGTTCAACTTGAAAAAAAATAGATCAATAATAACAGCAAGGTAAAATTATTTAGAAGTCATGGAGAGTATTAATATCAAACTCAACTGTAAATTTATGAAAGCCATTTAAAAAATTATTGATGAGACATCTGTTACTTGTGTGGGGTCATATATAACGGGACACCATATTACATATCGCATTATCAGTTAAGATGGATAATTAATTTTGAACTCCTCGATGGTATGAAGTATTCACAAGACACCAGCAGAAAAGTTGCCCAAACTTTAATCGAGACATACCTGTAACCGGTAGTACAGACATAACGTTAAATACAATTCAATCTCCCCTTGCGACATTATTTTCCAATTACACGATAATAACTCCTATTTATGAATGATCTTCTACGTATGTAACTGTTATTAAATTAGGATATACCGGTATATAATAGAAACATGGATAAATATCTAAAAATCGGTTCTACCTGGTCAAAAAATATCTCAGTTGTCGTCTAGCACCATGGTAACAGGAATCATCCAAGCGATGGTCTTCCGCAGGGCGATAGAGAGTCGCGTTAACTCTTCACTTCTCACCACAGACGGTGCTCTCACTTTTATTTGCTTGCTATCGCACGGTCAATCCTTAAAACTGTCTTTCTTTCTAGGGATTTTAAGACCAGTTCGCGGGTTTTCACGTGTGTAATATTCAGACTAACAATAGAATGGCCACGGATGATTTAAACACGAAAAGGTTGGATGCCCCGCGTCAAGATCTTAGCGATGCTTACAGTCTACCTGCTAATTTTCTTGAAATAGAAGTGCTGAATCCAGAGACACATATAGGTGGCGGTTGGCCAAAGAGCCAATACACTGATTATGAAGTAAAAATGAAGACGAATTTACCGGTTTTCAAGGTTAAAGACTCGACAGTTCGTCGAAGATACAGTGATTTTGAGTGGTTACGTTCAGAATTAGAAAGAGATAGCAAAATTGTGGTGCCACCTCTTCCTGGAAAAGCCTTGAAGCGACTTTTACCATTTAGAAGCGACGAAGGTTTGTTCGAAGAAGATTTTATTGAAGATCGAAGGAAGAAGTTGGAATCATTCATTAACAAAGTAGCAGGACATCCTTTGGCGCAAAATGAAATTTGTCTCCATATGTTTCTACAGAATGAAACCATTGATAAAAATTATGTGCCAGGGAAGGTACGAAATGCTTGAATGAAGATGTACTCGTACAGTGATTCGGACAATCTTATTAGGCAAACTTCATAGCCTACTTGGCAGGTCGATTATCATCAAACTTGCCTTGTGATCGTGTGTATGATTCCCATTGCCCATGTGATTGCGAAAATAGTCAAATCTCGATATTTTTTGTGTATAATCTCTGAATCTGATTAAACGAACAATTAATTATCTGTTTGAATATACTATTAGTTTACTGCAGTGATATTCCGTATCTCTATAAATACTTCATTTCCATGAATATTCGTAAAGTCACCATAGCTAAAATAAATTTAACAACAATTTGATATAAAATCTTAAATCTAAAAGCCTCCTTCAAACAATATTTAAAGATTCGGATACATATTATATATTATCTTCGGATATATTAGTCGTTTTTCATCATTAATAAATAACAGAATTTCAGGTTTCGGTATTTAATATAAATCTGCTCATCAATCAAAGGTATTGAGTATTTTAGCTTTATGTTTAACAAAGAAAATCACAACAACATGGAAAAAATTGTGATTATTTCATTCATGTGCAATATGAGATAAAATAACACAGTGTATAATGATTTTGGTCCCGATGATTTATTTTAAATTACTAAAATGATTCTTTAATGTTGTAAATGTATTTAAAGGAGTTGTCAATAATCTGTATTCGATTTTTGATTGAAAACAAACAGCTGTTACCATGTATCTCCTGATTTGTTTTGTCTGGAATTTGGTTTGGCGTAAAATATAGGATTCAGCCATTGTTGACCTAGACACTGTCCTATTTCATTATTTGAAAACAAAGTCTATATTAATAGCCCCTGTTCTAAGAATATTTTCAGTTCATTTAACCACATTTTGAAATAGAAAAAGTTTCAATATGTAAAAAGAAACTCTCCCCCAGCTGATAACAAGATACCAGTTGTTTTTTCATAGTTCATACACATGCATATTCATTGGTGTTCTCAAATATTAATATGTGCTAATACTTCATAAAGGGAGACTCGTGCTTCCATTCACTTATTACATTTTCAATTTCTGCTATTGTTTATTGTTATTATTTAAATATTGATATGTTGTAATGTGGTAAATTTTGATAAAGAATTGTGATAATAAGTTTTGGTCTATTGTTAAAATTATACAAGTTTTGAACAGAGAATTAGTTTTACAAATTGACTCAATTTATTTGTATTCAGTATTTGTTATAAAAATTACATATCTGTTATCTATTCAAACGGCATCACAGATTTTTGGGATTTGGGTTCTGTCCGTAGAATTGCAATTATTGTCATATATTTTGTCTTGTCTGCATTTGATTAACATAATAATTTGTATAATATTTCAATTTTATGCGGTTTTTCGTAAGAGGCTTGAATGGACCATAATTTGAAGTGAGCATTTTATGCACCGTGTTTTAGGACTTCAATTGTGTCGAGCTTTTGAACAAGTGAGCCAAAACTGACTTTGCGTTTCACATGAATTTAAAAAAAAGAAATTCACTGAGCAAGATTTCGTGTTGAGTTGTCGTATGCCAAACTATTTATATTTGAACCCACAGATTTCAGTAATACAGATTGATTTTTCACTTGACATACAAAGGAGCTTCATGGGCTTCATTCAGGACTTCCAGAGCAATAAGAGCAGAATTTTATTCCAAATAATAAATGCTTCTACTCGTTTTCCCAAACTTCAACATAAGCAAAGTAGTTTTCCTAAATCTCAGTAAATATTTAAATGACTAAAAGCATGCTCCGAATATGTTCAAATTTCGCTTCGCTTGTATCGTATGTTTCTCAGAAGGCTAATCATAGTGAATTTTTGGTTTCTCTATTCCTACCTGATTGCATTTTTTTTTCTATATGGTTATGACCCATGTTTTAGATTGCCAAAATGGCTCCAATTTTTCATTGATAATAATTTTTTTTTAATTCTTTATACTCATATTTTCCAAATTTTTTAAATGTATTCAGAATTTGAAAAATAGAATATTTGCATCAAATTTTATAGCTTAGTGTAATACAGTCCCACAGCTGCATATGAAATTAGAATTCTGTCAAGATGGATTGACCTATCTTAACCAAATAGGCTTTCTCAATGGACAGAAAAAAAGCATCTTGTTCATGTTATCATCCCAACCTATTTTAAGGTACATATGCAAGTGTGGTGCTATATTACGCTGAAACAAAATTTACTTAATAAAACATAAATTTGACAGCTTCACTAGACAATATACCGTAATATAAATTCCATTCATAAAATTGACTTAGTTTGAAAGTCTGAAATAGCCCCATTATTCTCATATCATCATACTGTTCCTATTAAAATAAAATATTTCATTTATCATTTGGTTATACCATATTGACTCAAGATATCTCTGGATTCCCATTTTTATGATCAGCATCCTTTGTATTGATGTTGCAATTTGGTATCCCGGCTTCTCTGACCAGTCATTCAACAAATCTATAGTGTATTATTATATATATATATATATATATCTTTGTAATTCTATTTCATGCCGTTAACTAATGACTGATTAAATTGTTATTATTAAGATTATTATCTATGATACTTTTATATAAGGCTTTGATAAAAATATGAGTATACGCCATGCATTGGTTCGGCTGGACAACAGATGCAAAGCAGATGTCTGCTAAAATGAAAGAACGATGGAACCACCCTGCTGGATTAAAAACAATACATTTCTGGGCTCCAGGATTTAAATGGGCACTCGTTATCGCTGGACTATCTGACTATTTTAGGCCCCCAGATAAACTAAGTCTTAACCAATCAGTTTCATTAATGGCTACAGGATTTATATGGTCGAGATATTCATTGGTTATTATTCCTAAGAACTGGCTTCTTTTTTCTGTAAATGTCGGGCTCGGAATTACTGGTACATCACAAGTTTACAGAGTTGTAAAATACAGACAAAGCTTAAAAGAACAAGATGAATCAGTAAAGGAAGAGTAATTTAGTCGGAGCAAAACGAATATAAAACTTTATACTCGTCTATATATTTTTGCATTATGTGTTAATAATTATCAATACCACCAGTTTTGTTATACAGCTATGATAACTTTAGTTCTGTGCATTTTTGCAAATTGAAATCTGAAATTCGCAGTGTATAATCATTTGGAAAAAGTTCCATATTGAATAGAATATTCATATTAATTTAAATTAATTAAATTAGAAAACATGTAATACTATTCAATTCACTTTCTTTAACTGTGAAAAAAACATCAAATTCGTATTTGTCCGAACATTTGTGCATTATGATTTATGAAGGTCATGCTTCAGGACTATGCAGTAACGTTAAAGCATATTCCAATAGGAATATTAGAGAACGTATTCTGTTTTTGGCATCATTTAATCGAATCTTCCAATCATTTTTTTCTTAGGAGGATTGTATAATATAATACTGAGGCGGATTAAAAAGCAGCAGTCAAGTCTGCTGTTTATCATGACTGCAACTGCAATCCGGTTATGTTTGTTTTGTGTGTTTAAAAGTTATCTGCTATGTACACATGCTAATAGAAATTTTGAAAGTTTGCTTTTTTATTGAATATTTACTGGTGTTTTATTCGGGACCTTTATAATTGTAATTTAAAAGTATATATTTTACAACATAGGAATTTGAAATTAACATTATCTCTATCCATGTTTATTTATATATTCCCAACAAAACTTCTATAGAGACACTGTAAAAAAAATGACACTTGGTATTAGAAAACTTTATTTTGAAAAAATTATTTTAAATCTTAGTTCAACCTGATTTCTTATCAGGTTTGTTGTATTTAAGCTGCTATTATATCAACAAATGTTATATACCGGTACTATTTACAATGTTTTATTAAACTCGTTTAATATAAAATTTTGTAGCAAAATTATTTAGGTCTTTTGCATTCTTATCATATTATTCATTGCTGGGTTAAAACAACTACCTTGTTATTTTTAGTCGACAACGACAATATAAAAACTTTATATAGTTAGAGAATTTAACCTTAAAGTTAGGATGTAAATTATTTTTTTTCACTATCATCTAAATTGGCATTCTAAGCAACGCTTCAGATATTCCTGTACTGTTTTCTATAATAAAATAATTTCAATTTAGTAAGCTCACAAACAAGTACAAGAATACCTTGAAATAAAAATGATCAAGACAAGTGCTCATTTCATCTGAGATAAAGTTCTTCTGTACTCAATGATTTTCTCAATCATTGAAGACAATCATTAAAATGTCTCCTCTGTTTATCACCTTTGAAATGTTAATACAGAGCAAAATCTTTTCCAGTGTTTTTGATCTGGTGGTCACTGTTTTACTCATTGTGGGTTATAGTCGGAGAATTTCCAAGCTTATAATGCCCTAAAACTGTGAACTACTAAAACTCCTTCCTTTCACAATAAGTTTGTCTTCTTCGCTACTGGTTATTCATGCTTCTGCAATAATACTAACTAGCTAAACCTGATTCTGACTGGTGTGCTCACGAAAAACTTGTGATATTTTAATTGAGAGGCAAAATATGCTTTCACTGAATTAATTACTGTTTTGGGGCAAGAATTAGTAGTAATCTCATCAATATCAATTATCAATATACTGTAACTCTTTTTTTTTTCTGAATCTGTATTTGATTCGGATGACAAGTCTCAAACATTCTGTATTGTAAATCTTCTAATAACGGGATTTCGCAATGATTATTTTGTATGAAAATTGTTTGAAAAACTGTCATTTTTTGTCTTGAAATTAGCCACCAGTCTGAATTGTGTGCGCTCCGTATAGTAGTCGATATCAAAAATCATTTTTTAATATTATATGATTTGAAAATAAAGTTTCCTGGTATGTACCAACTCTAATATTTGTAATCCAAATCTGCTGACAAACTTCTATTTGTGTCTACTTTAACTTTTTGTTGTCATTTCTATTGTAACATTTTAAAGATACACAAGTTTTATAATATCGATATATATATATATGTATCAGAGGCTGTCGAAATATTGTTGAAGAGTGTCTCATTTTTCTCATACATATACTGTGTGTATCACTGTATTCTATTCATGTTTTTCAATAAACATACATGTAATGTAATATGAGCAAAGACATGTTTAAGATTTGTATCAGACTAAATGCATGAAGAGTTTAGAAGCTGTTTTTGCTGAAATGATTCTATTTATTCGAAATTTGTTTTCTTCCAGTTACTAGGCTAGCTTTGACGAAATATTTATGTGTGTAATATATTTATCAGTTGGTAGTCTTTCGATAATTCATATTTCATGGATAAAACTATTGGTAAAAATTTAGAAGATAAAAGCAGTGGTCTATTGAAAATATTACGATGTGTTGACTGCGAAAAAAAGTTTACAAGTACTATTGAATTAGCTTGTCATATGTTGGAACATACTGAAAAGCAGAAAGATGAATATTATACAGAATTCGGCTTGTATAGCCATAAAAATTTCTGCAAAAACATTATGAAGTGAGAAATAAAAATTGAAAAATAAAGGCTTCGAATGCAAAGAATGTGATATAACATTTGAACATAAAAGGGAATTCCGAGAGCACAATCTTCTTAATCATAAACAAGAGACAATGGAGTTAGGCAAAGATTCCTTGGTTATTTTTAAAGATATTAGTTTGTCGTCAAATGGCTTAAAAACAGTACACTATCGTTGCAGTTATGTGAAAAAACATTCAATTTGAAGACAGATTTAGAACGCCATTTTCTTATACACTCTGGTGCAAAACCGTTTCAATGTCCGCTGTGTGATTTGAAAGTAAATAGAAAAACTAATTTACGAAGGCATATGAAAAACAAGCATGGTGATAAAACAGGTGCAAAAAATAAAAAGAGGATCACGTTCACCCATGAAAATAACAATAATGAATGTTCGCCTAATAGCAAAATATCATTTCATTGTCCTTTTTGTGATGTATATATTGCTCATGAATCAGAATTAGGTGAACATATGAAGGAATCTCATGGTTTGTTAAATACATCGGAGATGGAAAATTTGAAATCAATTGAGTCTTCTCCGGAAATTGTTGTTAGTGTTCTGTTGGAATAATCTGTTATGGATATTGTGTATTCTCTCAATGCCAAAGCACTGGAACTGGAGAAACTGTGAAATATGTCTAATACCACTGTTCTCAACTTTACATATAAGTTAATTTATATAATCATTGCTCTGAATTATTATAGGTTACGGGCCTTACGACTTGTCGTCAATCATTGCTGATCAATTGTCATATGATACATTTTTCATGTTTCAACTCATTTTTATTGCAATCATGTTTTAATTTAATTGATTTATAGTGACTGTATAATGCATGCATCATACAATGCATCATACTTTCTAAATTCATAATTTATGTATAATTGAGTTGTGAGACAACACAACTACGGTATATGATGCTATTCCTTAATTTGATTAAAGTGTGATCTTATAAGCGTGAATTCGATTATGTTAATGTCAAATTGATGTTATGTTGGTACCAGAGCCGACCTTAACTACTGCGGGGCAATATACAAAATGGATATCTGCGGGAGAAGTGTCCTAAGGCTAGCCCTAGATCATACTTGCTACCTTAGTGGTTTTGGGTCTTTTTGATGATGATTTTTTAGTGATGTGCCAAAAAACACTGTGCTTATATTTTTTTTTCATATTTTATATTCAGTTGTATACATTTGTTACTTTGATTGAAATAAACGTCGATTTGATTGCCATGTCTCGTAATGAATTTAGGATTAAGCCAGGCAACAACACAGAATCAGAATGGGATAGTATTGGTGGTTATATGGTTGCAAAATATCGTAAACTGGAGCAACAATTTGATGATAATGCGATTGCAGGGCGTCAATTGTCATCAATTTTTCGTGGTGTTTCAATTTATGTCACTGGTTGGACGACACCAAGTGTTGATGAACTGAAAGTAATCATGTCAAAACATGGAGGAAAATTTCATGTGTACTATTCGAGGTATCTCTTCAGTATTTTGATGTTTTATTCGTAAGTGATAAAAAGGTATACCGTAAGTCAATGTGAGAAATTTTTCAAAACAAAATTTTTTCGTTTCGTGATTGGGGAGCTGGTTTGAAATCACAATGGCTCATTTCATTTTTTTAACTTCACGACTGGGTCCCGGGTAGTCATTTAGGGTTTTTTGGTATTACCACTACCACAAAACGTTAGCGTAAATCGTAAATAAACTCAAATATACAAATTTACCTTGAAACTTTTGAATTATTATTAGAAATTGAATTCATTAAATAGGGGATAGATTTTAATATTTGTATGAAATATTAGAAAATTTTAAATGTGAAAAAGGAATTATGGTAGATGGTTAGGAGCTGGACACACTCAAATTTTTGGGAGCTCAATCTATTATGGTACACTGAGCTCGACCTCCAACAAAACGTCATTGGCTCTCCAGCCCTGTAAATCAATATAAAATATAAAAAAATCTGTTATTACTGAAATCAAAATTAGGTATGGTGAAGTTTACAAATTTTCATGATTCTAAATTAAAAATCCTGCCCTATGTATGTTTCTATTATTGTCTTGCTAATTGCATTTTGCATAAAACAAGTAAAATAATTGTGACCTTTCGTCTGTATTCATCTAAGAATTAAAACAATGGTTAGAATGTAGGTCATTTTTGTGCATCATGGTGTGTTGATAATGTTATTAATAACTGAACATTATTTGGCTTTATTTTCCAGGTATAAAACTACACATGTTATTGCATCTAATCTACCTCATGCAAAAAGGAAAGAATTAAAACCGAATCAAAAAGTTGTCAAGCCACAATGGATCACAGATTGTTTAGCAGCTAAGGAACTTCTACCTATTGAAAAATATCTAGTTGTTCCATTAGACAATGGATTACAGAATAGAATTACCAGCATTTTGGAAAAAATACCATCAAATGAATCAGGTTGATTATTCTTTCGTTACAAAAGTATATGTACCACATTTTACATTGAGGTCAATCTTAAGTAAAGGATATTTTGGTCTCTTCAAGTGCTTCCTGTTGTAAAATTTAGCAGGCAATATGACCCATTGAGTCGGCATATTAAAGAATTGCCAAAGTAATAATTGTCTTTTGTATTTCATGTAGCATATATAATATTGAATGATTCTACTTGTGTGATCAAAGTTTCTACTGTACTCTTTTGTAACCAAAATTAAAATTGTTTTAAGCTCGATTAAGTGACAAAGATTCTCTTTAACACAGTATCCGAAACACAATCTAACGAAACTTTGATCGATGGCACTGGGCAGAGAACAAAGATTGGAGAGTCTTCCAATGATGAAAATAAAGCACCGATAACACCAAAGTCTGGAGGGTTTGTTACTTAGCCACATTAAAATGCAATTCTCTTTTTTGTGCAATGAGGAATAACAATGAAAAATACACATAATGTTCAGGTTTATATGAGTGATTTATTCTAATGGTGGTGTTATGCTTTTCCGATTGTAACTCACTATATAAAATGAATGTTGACCTACTCAATTCATATTACCGGGGCTGTGGATTCGAGGAAAATTTAAATTGACTCTCGACTACCTGGGTTAGGGTGAAATTTGACCCGACTCCTGATCATAATAAATTTAGACTCCAGCTTCAAGTCAGATAAAATCAAATTCTGATGACAAAAGTCAGATACAAGCATCAGTGTATACAAGCTTAGTAGAATGCTTAGTAATCTTGGTGCCTTTTAAGTTTCTTTAAAGAAAATTTTGTCTTTTATCATCACTGAAAATATGAAATTCCGACTCTTGAGAATTCAAAATTTATCTCCAACCCTCGAGTCGAGCAGATTGAAAATTCAATTCTAGTTCCCATTGGACTCCAGCGCAAAATGCCAAACTCCGACACAGCCCTGCATAAAATTTATCGGGGACCAGAATTACGTTAAATGGCTGTTTCGCCCCTCTTTTATTCTTTAAACACAGCCACTTTCTTCACTTTTGTTACTTTATTAGCACAGCACATATTAGCACAGAACTTTTACTCTTTAAGTATAGATTGTTCTTGTACAGTTGAAAAACATATTTGCGCAATTGGCTTTAGTATAATTTAATAACATAAAAGACAAAGCAGTTAATAATTTTAAATTAAATTTCAGTCGAACCATCTGCCCAACAACAGATTCCAATTTTTTATCCGAGTTTTATTCTCATTCTCGACTTCATTTTTTGTCAACATGGAAAATGGAGCTTACTGAATATGTGAGGTTGTTACAGTTTAATTTTTTGAAACCTATATATTTATAATAATAGTATAGTTAGCTCAGCTACCTTGCAGACAATAATTAACTTCTCAGGATCTCAGGACCATTTTCAACATGCAAAATTTGTCTGAGCTGTCATTCCTCAGTAAAACTTTTGTAGTAGTATCATGTATATGCATTTGTGCTGTTATTAGGATTCCTTCCTAGATGCCTAAGGGAGACACAGAAACATACCAAAATGAATCAGTACTCTTTTATTAAATAATTTATGCCAGTCAAATTTAAAATTGGTATAATGTAAGGTATTTCAAATTTTTAATAATCCTCCATTTAAAATAATTATCCTAATGTAATGTCCATTCAACAACTTTGATACAAACTATAATATATCATACTGTTTTGATTCAGATTCAAACATGTATTTTCACAGGTCTCTTCAGACTAAAGAATCACTGAAAGAATTGCCACTGTCTGGTTATGAAAAACTGCTGGAGTGGCTAAAATTGAGGGAGCAATTGGTTTGTGACCTTTTCTCATGCTAATGCATAATTTAGATCTTTTTCGTCAGATATTTTTAAAGTCAGAAATTTTAGTCACAAATTTTTATTTTATCAATTCAATCAAAATTTAATAATTGGTGCTTATTATATTTTGCTATGAACCTGAAAAGTGAATGAAATGTGGAAATGTGAAAACTATTTTTATTATGAATTTCATTGGAATTCTATTTCAAATGATGTAAACTACAACAGATCCAAGATTTGAATTTTATTATGTATATTCTGATAACAGGTAACAGTGCAAATTTGACCGTGTAGTGATGCATATAGATATGGATTGTTTCTTTGTGTCTGTTGGTCTCATCTCTCGTCCTGAATTACGTGGATTGCCTGTTGCAGTTACCCACTCAACTGGTGCTGGAATCACTAGGTATCTCAATGTAATTTATCTCAAATGTCAAATGTATGTGAGAATGGCGTATAATGGCATTATTATCTGGCTTCTCAACAGATTTATGGCGCTTATTCATGCTCTTTTCTCCAAACAAGTCCCTTCACAATCATTCACTGATATATAAAGGTATGGGTACTCCTGAAGTATGCGCACCAAGATGTCGCACAACCTGAACCCTAACCTGGTACACAACCTGAGTTCAGGTTGTGCGCCATCTTGGTCCAAGATATGTAAGGAGCTACTATTTTACTACTGACCAGGTTTTTTGAGTTTGGCATTGTCACCCATTTATTACACCCTGGGTGATATATAGGCAGGTGATTTGAATCAGAGATTGGTATCCTGCTGTACCAAAACAGTTAAGACTAACGCTTACTGAGTAAAAATATAATTGAAATGTTGTTATTTACAGAATATCAGAAAAATAGATAATCCTACACACAAGCTTGTTAAATTAGTGTTTTAAAATATCAGTTTGTTTTATTATTTCTTGTAAAACTTCAATTTACAAAGACTAACTGGGAGTAGTATTTCATTTCACAGTTGTTGATTTCTCTTTTTACAGTGAGCGACCAGATACGAATTCTGAGTATGAAAAGAAATATTATGAAAAGAAATTTGGACAATCTAACAGTGATGAATCTTCAGATCGAACAAAGTAATATTAAAAATTTAATAGCATTCAAACTGCTCTAATTAAAGGAACAAACATCATCTATGCTATTTCTCCCTTCCTCCCAGATTAAGAAAAAATTCAGCTTTGACTTCTCAATCCTGGTTAAGAAGATTTTTGAATCTGGGTTATAACAAACTTTACTTTGTTCAGTTACAAACTCTGAGAAAATCAATTTTTAATCATGAAAACTCTGCCGTATCCAAGCCTTTATTAAAATGTTATTAAGAACCCCCTTAAAAACCTAAAATTAATGCTTTTTGAGTTTTAGTAAAAAATTTTGACTTATTTTATCACTGTTGAAAGTCTGCAATCCAGACTCTAGGGGAATAAAATTTCGACCCCGGGAGTTGAAAATACATCTCCGACCCCACAGCGCTGTCAATTTCAATAATGCTCCATTTTACAGAGTACCTCCATCATCATTTGGCCCTGGTTACTCCTCCTCAGAAATTGCAAGTTGTAGTTATGAAGCACGCAATGCTGGTGTGAAAAATGGAATGTTCATGGGTAAAGCTAAACAACTCTGTCCAGAATTAAGGTACACATTGCAAAATAAAGTATTTTGGTATTCTGGGATTTTGCAAACAAGTTTTGTGATCTCAACTATTTCGAATGAAACTTTCATATGTTAAAATGTCATATGTGGATTCGATGGCCCTGGCCTAGGGGTTAAAACACTAGACTTAACAGTTTTGATATTGCACATCTCCGGTTAGAATCCCACGTCCACCAAATATCCCAGGGTGTATCCGTCCTTATATAAATAGTCTCTTCTACATCATATCTACTACATTCCAGGGCTCTGTGAGAGAAATCTAGGGGCTCCACGAGCTATTCATTTACTTAATAAAATACTGAATATTTTTTTACATACAAAGCAGAAAATACATCCGAGTCAATAAATTGAGTAATTTTAGTTCACTCAGGGACATTAATCTCTAAAGTAACAATGTGTTGTTTTTTAGTTTCTATTTTTATAAATTTATTGTGGGGATCCGTAAATAATAGTCAACCTCTTCACAGGCTCCGTAACACCAAAAGTTTGGAAACCCCTGTTCTACATATTGTTAGACATCAGCTGCCACAAGGCCTTGTTCAGAGCAAAAGCTTCAAATGAGCATTATTTTAAAAACATATATTTTTATATTTTGCTAGTCCACTGTTACTTAGTTTGCTTGTAATCATGCATACGGCAAGCATGTTTTTTTTACTTAAATGTAGTTAAATAGGATTTTAGGTACCAATATGCATTGTGGGATTCTTATTTTCATTTGCCATCTTCTTAAATCAATTTGATTTTTGAAAATACCAATCCTCAAATTCAGAGTGATTCCATATGATTTTGAGTCATATCGGCGTACATCAGATCAACTGTATAGCACACTTGCCACGTACACTCAGTACCAGTATGCATTGTGGGATTCTTATTTTCATTTGCCATCTTCTTAAATCAATTTGATTTTTGAAAATACCAATCCTCAAATTCAGAGTGATTCCATATGATTTTGAGTCATATCGGCGTACATCAGATCAACTGTATAGCACACTTGCCACGTACACTCGGCATATAGAAGCTGTTAGTTGTGATGAAGCTCTTGTTGATATTACAAAAATTGTCAGAGAAACTGGACTGACACCATTGAAAGTTGCATCTTTCATTAGAAGCGATGTGAAAGAAGCAACAAAATGTAACGCTTCTACAGGTATTATATAAGAATTTTACAGCAGCTATTTTTCAGACTTTCACTCAATTTTTTTCTTCTTCAACAAGTTCTCCACTAAAAGTATAATTTTTCCTATTTAATCTGGGAGAGGAAAGTCTATAAGACTGTGTCATCATATGATGAACCTCATTACCTCATCCGGTTACCAGTCCATAGTGGGAATAGTTAACCAGTTATTTGTTTAGATACACATGCACTCGATAGTGAAGGAAGCTGTAATTGACCAGCGGTTACTTTAACCACCCTACGATGGTGAGGAATCCAGCAATCCTCTTTCACATACCGGTAATTATCCCACACAGGTTTTGAACTGCGAAACTGAACAGGATAATTAGGTGCTTGGGTTGGTGTATTCCAAACGTTTGGCGCCTAATCTACTAGGCCGTGTGTGAAGAGTACTGATAAAACAAGACATGTTCAGAGATGTTTTTTTAGAATTTGCACAAAGTTATCAAATGTTGAATCATCCAATATTGAGTTGGTCATTTTTAAATGTACTTTTGAATTTAGGAGTGGGACCAAATATCGCATTAGCTAGGATGGCCACTCGACGAGCAAAACCGGATGGGCAGTTTGTCGTCACCCAATATGAAGCAAAAGAATTTATGAAAAATTTGCCTGTGAAAGATTTACCTGGTGTAGGAAGATCTACAGGTAACAAAATAGAAGCAAAATAAACTTTAAAGCTCAGCTTTCTTTGTTCTAACCCTGACATGGGCAAACTATGCGGGCCAAATCCGGCCCGCCTGATGCGGCCAAGACCAAACTAAAACCAAATTTTGATGTTTGAGCTCAAAAATAGCTCAAGGAATTTGTTGAGATTGCAATTAAATTTAGTTTTGGTACGGAGCTTACTGTTTTCCACCTTTGCTTTTGTGAAACTGTAAATATTGTTCATAAAATGTCACTTTTTAGGTCACACTTACATGGCCCGCCAGTCTAGGTGGGAAAATTTTTTGGCCCCTGGTCCCAAAAACTTGCCCACCCCTGTTCTAACCCCTTGGTTCCTTTTAGCTTCAAGACTTCAGGACATGGGTCTATCAACCTGTGGTGATTTACAGAATCATCCAATAAGTGATTTTCAAAAAGAATTTGGTGGCAAAACCGGACAAAAACTGCATGATATGAGTTGTGGAATCGACAAGAAAGAAGTATAAATAATTTATTTACTACTAAAAAAAAATTGTCCACAATCTAAACTGTAATATAACAAAGTATATGTTCACTGAAATTTCTCAGTAATTCAACTCAAATACTTTCGACTCCAACTTTGAAGTCTGAGAAAATAAAATTTTGATAACAAAACCTTTGGTGTATGCAAACTTTCTTTGCTAGACTGTTAAGAAAACGTAGTTAAAATAGATGATTATTAAGTTTTAGTGGGATGTTTTTTTAGTTATCACCTCTGAAAGTCTGCTAGAGAATTCCTTGGATGCCAATTCTGGCGAGTTTGAAAATTTGACGCAGGCTCAAGTGTAAACATGCTAAACTCTGTCTACACAGCTCAGGCCAGCTTGAATTCGATTCTGGTCATGTTTATACAAAGATATAGGAAATTTATTTTTCCATATATAGGTTCAAATTGAAAAGGAGAGGAAGTCTGTATCAGCTGAAGTCAATTATGGAATTAGACTTTCCGGGAATGAAGAAGCGAAAACATTTCTTCATAATTTATCACAAGAGGTTCATAATTCTTTACTAAATAAATTTAGCATCTTTGCTTTAAGTTTAAACAACAGTCCAACAGCCAGCTACATACACATGAGAATTCAATGTTTTTGAACAGATTTCTTTGTTGATTTAGCATACGGTAGTTTACTCAATTTATTAGACTTTGTGCTGGATCTGGATGGTAGGCATGGTACATGAATCCGAGATCTGTAACTATAGTTAGGCATTAGAAATTTAACACCATTATTTATAAAAAGATTTTCCTGTTTTCACGAAACTTCATTGTGCTGATATTTCATGGCAGTTGTCAACCAAAAATTTCAAAGACTATGAAACCGAACCTGGAGCCACAGTTTGAATATACTGAGGCTTCGGAACTCTAGCCTGAGCAATTATGATTTCAAAACAGGTCCCCATGATTGGTATTTACTAAGTACTGGTCACAAGATCATGTGTGACTCTTTTATCAAAATTTTATTCCTGGATGTTATTTCGTGTTTAATTTTCCTAATATGAATCCATCACTTTCAATTTTCTTTTTTTTTTGCCTTAGGACATAAATTCATGAATTCTATTAAATCTGTATTTAGGTGACAAATAGATTGAAATCTGCTGGAATGAGGGGACGTAGAATCACTCTCAAACTGATGGTACGGCGTTCTGATGCACCACAGGAATCTGTGAAATTTGGTGGTCATGGTGTTTGCGATTCATGGTCTAGAAGTTCTCCTATACTCTTGAGGCATGTCAGAGGTAACATGAAATTTCTTCCAGGCTGTTTTATGTGGTAAGGGTAACCCAATAGATCAGCACAAACAGACTACTCTTATTTACTTTAATATACTCAATTTTAGCTGAATACCAAGTATAAAACTGAGCAGCGAATAAGAACCAAATGATGGATGAAAAAATGAGACCAAGTGAAGGCCAACTATAAATAATTAATCATGGCTATTAAAGGAGGAATAACAAAACACAAGTTGAATAAATTCAAACATGAACATACAACACATTGTGATAATGTATATTGTTATCAGGACAAAGTTCGTGACAAAAAATACCAAAACATTTCATGTCATTCTACTTAACAGTACTTCAATTTAGTATATTTCGACTCTTTGAAATAATCATGAACAAATAACAGGTGACCCATATGAAGAAGATTGTGCGGCAATCAATGAAGCAGCATGGTTAATACTGAGTTCATTGCAGGTTAATGATTTAAAAATGCTTTTGTGTTTGCTTATGAGGTTTACATATTTATGTATATTTAATTAGGCATAATTTTGTCAATTTTGCTTTCAATGAAGCTCTTTCTTCTGATTTGAAGTAAATTATCATTATTCATTTATAAATTTTTTTGATATGCGATTCCTTGTATGTTATCTATATAATCTAGCCATTTTATTACATTTCTGAATTAGGCCTTGAGATAAATAGGAATAGTGTGAGCATTTCATATTTATCCCAAGGGATGAATGACGGTATATCAGCCTATTCATATAACAAACCACAGTCTCTCGTCTGGTTTTCAGTCCAGGGGTATACAACACATGGTACGTATGCCCAATATGCCACGACATAAAATTGAACATGGCGCGTGAGTGCCCAATATGCCACAACATAGAATTTAACATGGCGCGCGAATGGTTTGGTAAAAAGTAATTAAATTTATGATAAATTCTAATAGCTCACGTTTATATTAAAGTAAGCCCAAATCACTGTTTTTATTCACAGAATCGTTCAACAGATGAATATTTAGATTCAGTAATGCGCATTGCTATTTCTTCTTTGAAAGCCAACATTCCAAATTTGGTACATCTAAAAACTTTTCAAAGCAGTAGTTTTTCAAGCCATTACGTGGCGCACATGACAAGACTTGGCATGTGGAAACCCTGAAGAGTTTTGACCCCCATTTGCACAGAGTCATGAAGCTTTTGAACTTCCAATGAATCTATTCTATTGAGTCATTCTTCTACAGTTGATCTGTGCAACATAAAATGCTGAAAGGCAATAATCACTCAATATGGCTTATTTTCTATGGCAGCTGAATGTTTCCGATCTGCGAGGCATTGGTATTCAAATAACACAATTACAATCTGCTGATTCTGCAAATTTATCAACTTCAGAATCAACATCAGCTGCATTTTTGAAAAAGTTTATTAAGAGGAAGTACGTAAATGTTTTGTTTATTTTTTTAATTCAAGCCTTGCTAACTTTATTGACTACATTTCTGTTATTTCATTGTCATTCTAAATTTCTATCCAGTAAATGCATTGAGTATTAGTCCTCATCACTGATATCAGCTTTCAACGATTCAAAATAACTTATTTCATCGTAAAGTGAATGATGTATGATAAATTATATATAGTGATGTTTTGACCATCCAATTTTATCTTCGAAATTTTGTTTTGCTCTTGTGAAAGAAACCACTGCCTGATCCTCAAGTTTTTACTGGGTTAATTACAAAGGTTATTGATTATTATTTTTTGCTATCACCCCATTGTTTCCTATATAAACAACAATTTTTCTTCCATATTGAAAGGTAGATAGTTTGCCCTGATTATCTATGTGTTGTCTTTTTATAATACAGGAATCTGCTTATGTGTGTTTTTCGTAGTTTCAAAATTTTTTATTTATATTATTTTCAGGTCCGATATTAAAATGGTTGAGTCTGATAATATAGATAACAAAGATAAGCCTTCGACATCAGGTATAACCTCTTTTGTTTGATGAATTTCTAGCTAGATTACTCTGGTATCCCTGGGAGCGTGGAGTCTAGTGTTTGGGCCAAACAAGTTGTTCGAGCTATATGTATGTACTGGCCATACTGTTATTAAAGACCACGCAAACTTGCTTATGGATAGGATTCACATATGCATGGCGAAAATTTAACCCCCAGCTGTGTATGTGAATAGGATTTTACCCCTGGACCATCATTTTTTTTAAATAATATAATCTATATTTATACTAGTTTTAGTGTCAAAAATTTCTATGCGTCTATTGTAGCGTTGTTAGGCACATATGGGTTAATTTGGATAAATTGTCCTTATACTGTCATCTATCTTTTATTCAGGTGATTTTCTTCAGCAAAACCAACCACCTATTTCAGAACCTAGTGCTCTTGATTCGAATGAGGAAATGAAGTTGAACTCTAGTTTCCTTGAAGCTCTACCCCCCGACCTCAGGAAGGAAGTAGAAAATAATTTTGCGCAACAGCGTCAAGCTTTAGAAAGAAATTTTTTAATTGTAAGTTAGTATAGGCAAATCAAACAAACCTTGGAATAGCTTTGTTCTTGAACATTGTATTGTTTAAGTATGTCTGTTCCCTTTTTGGTTGTTTAGTTCGATAAATACCCTATTGAGATCTGGTTATTACAAAAATGTTCATTCTTACTAATATAGATCGTGAGGATAGGATTTTCGGTACTCCTGTAGTATGTGTTCCAGTCCATTTCACACAACTTGATGTAAAATAGACGAACAAAATAAGTTCCCTCCATATCAGTATAAGTTCCCTCCATATCCTTCTGCCCATATGTTCCAGTCCTTTCACACAACTTGATGTAAAATAGATGAACAAAATAAGTTTCCTCCATATCGGTACCCATACTTTTGGAGCGACATATTTTCATGGGAGGGAAAGTCGATCAGATAGCCTAATCATATTGCGAACCACAGCCTATCATTCAGTTGCCAATCCATATCGGGTATGGGAATAGGTAACTAGTTACTTGTTTCAGATGCATGGACTTGATAGTGGAGGAAGCCATGACCGACCAGTTACCTGAACCACCTTACAATGAGAGGAGACCAGCAATCCATTATTATTCCTGAAAGAATCCCAAACTGCTAATTGCGCAGGGTAAACTTAGCTCCGATGGCTAGTGTATTCTTAGTGCTTGGCAATATGTGCCAACCAGCGAGCCAATTTTTGTTCTTTCATTTATTTTTTCTCTTGAATGCAAATATGGCTGAATAAATCAAGTACATTTTTCATCCACACTTTTTGATGGTGACATCTCCATTTGAAAAGTCAACCGCCAGAATTGCATTTTTACTTCAGAATGAAAATTCGAATGATAGCAATGCGTCAGTAGAGCCTGTTGTCTCTGAAATGCCTGTTACTGGAGCACCAGCACCCAATGTTTTATTCTGTGGGGGTGGAAAGTTAGGCGGTGGAAAAAAGCAACCCCAAAAACACAGGATAGTGAAGGGGCGAAAAGGTAGGATTTTATATCAAATAGGAATTTAAGTGTTGTGACAGAATCTTTTCGTGTAAGGTTTTGGTGGTCACACAGACCTAAATGTTTCAAATTTGGCATTGACTACTACATTTTTCTATTTTTTCTTGAGCCTAACAGAAGCTTTTTATTTTATTCAGGAGTGAAAACTAAAGTTACAAAGACAAGTACTTCAAAACCATCTGCACAGAAAGTACGTAATTCAGACACCAGTCCCAACAAATTAATTACAGATATGTTTCCTGTTACATACAGTCCAAATAAGAGTAATCTCATGAAAAAGTCTCCTAAAACTTCCGCAATGCACAACATAATGGGGAAAAATACCCCTGCAGCTGCCAAAGTGAAAAGGAGACTCGTGACAATTCAAGAAGAACAGAAATATATCGAGATTCCTGACTCTGATGAGGACGACATTGCAGGTGCTTGTTGTTTGGCTAGTTAGTTTTAACATTTTGCAGTACATGCTCGCATTAGAATGCAATGAACTGACTAACTATTTCTGACACAGAACAGAACTTGTATGACAAAGCTATATTTAGCAATATAATTTATCTTTCTTCATTCGCGTCGTCTTTTTCAGAAACAAAAGAAGAACTCCAACCTATCGATGTGTTGCCTGAGGAAACTGAAAATCATTTACCAGTTTTAGGTGGTGCTTTCGAAATACAAGAGATTCGTCAAGTTTTAACAGAATGGATTCGTTCATATGGAGAAACAGGACCATTAGACTGTGATGTTAATGATTTCATAAGGTGAGGAAGTTTTACAGATTAAAAATTGTGTGAAAAGTAAATTGTAATATGTCAAACAGTAGCCTACTCTGAAACATTTTTTTCCTGGTAAAAACCTGAATACTGATCTTTTTGCTTAGTTTTGTATTCCATATGAATATATTTTTAATCAGCACTATCTCTCTAAAAAGCCCATCAAATTGCAGTGCTTTTCCTTCTGTATCATGAATATAATGAAATTCCTTTTGATTCAGTTTCCTCGTCAGAACTGCCACTGATACCAGAGACTTGGAGAAAGTTCAATTGACTCTTCAAAGTTTTCATAGAAGACTGACTGTGATTATGAAAACATTTTCGAATGATGCCGCCGCCGAACCAAGACTGGAATGGATGAAAGCATACAAAAAAGCATGCGATGAAGTTCAATATGAAATTAGAAAATCATATAGAGGGGGAGAATTGAGATTGCCTACACTGTGCTGAATGATGTATTATTTATATTTATAAATTGGTGCAATTTTTTTATTATAAATGAGAAAATAATCTCTGATAGTGTTTGTATGTGTGTACTGCATCACTTCTTTTTTAGCTTAGCTCAGAACAATATACCTGAATGATCTTTTAACAGTAAATACAATTGATGTTGGTCAATCAGGTTGGAGCTTTCAAATTATTCTGGAAAGGAAAGGTATAGGATGGTTTAATCATAGTCAATTGGATTGGTTGGCCAAGTATTAGTTCCAGATTCATGAACTTTGAGAAAGCCGTAACCGACGAGGGGAAGCACCCTACAGGCGATGAGGGCCACTGATCCTCATGTGCAGGCTACTGGATTGAACCTGCGTAAGATAATCGAATGTGCAATGCCAAGTGTGTTCCTAACGTTTAGCGCGATGCGCCACGTAGTCGAGCCTTGTAATTTGTAGGTCAAGAATGCTTCCCATCATGGTTAAAAACTAAACTACTGGTTACAGTGCATTTGCACCTACGTAGGCTACTGCGCACACTCGTTCGTTTGCAACCACGGATATGGGTTCAAATGATCGCAAAAGTATACAGTTGCAGGTGAAAATGCGCAAAAAATAAGGTTTTGTTAATGTTATCAGGCGTATCCCTAAAGTGATAACGATCTTCTAACAAGAAATCGATAACAAATTAAAACGCTTCCAGGACGATGTTTAAATTTTACAAACAGTGGAATTATAACAAATATTTATTTGTATTTGTTGTGTATATAGTTATCGTATTAGTTAGTTATGAGATGACATTGATACAGACGAAGTTACTCGTCTCCTTCCCCTTTAAATACACGAAATCCACCCTTATACACGTTTGTGCGGCGATAAATATGTACTCGAGAACATTCTTATCTTATATAATGTGCGTTATTATAAATTATGTAAGAATTGAGCACTCAATCGATTTAAATATTTTAGGTTGGCGTCTGCTTTCAAATTCAGTAGAGTTTTCCGCCGATGTAAATTCAATTTGAAGAATTTTCGAATTGTTGTATAAAATTTATGGGGAGATCAAATTTTTTTTTTCTCATAAAGCATCATTTCGAAACAAGTTTTCGAAGTGATGTCAGCGGTGCATCTGGAAAGCCATCCGCTGATGAGGGGTGATTGAGCCTGGGGAAAATGGTGGCAGACGATTGGAATGGTCTACGAAGCACTTGGGATACACTCCATTAACGAAAATGGTGGCAGACGATTGGAATGGTCTACGAAGCACTTGGGATACACTCCATTAACGAAAATGGTGGCAGACGATTGGAATGGTCTACGAAGCACTTGGGATACACTCCATTAACGAAAATGGTGGCAGACGATTGGAATGGTCTACGAAGCACTTGGGATACACTCCATTAACGAAAATGATGGCAGACGATTGGAATGGTCTACGAAGCACGGACAACACTAAAACGCTGAAGGAAGAAACGGATGAAGTGGCGGAAAAACGGAAGTTGAAGTGTTCCCAAAGGTGAAAAATTGAAAAACACTAAAAGGCTGAACACTAAAACGAAGAAGTGGAAGAAATTTCTTCCGAGGTGTCTGAAACCACTAAAAAGCTGAACACTGAAAGGAAAGGTGGATGAAATTTCTTCCGACGAATAATGAGGTGGTTGAAGTCACTAAAAAGCTGAACACTAAAAGAAAGAAGTGGATGAAATTTCTTCCGACGAATAGTGAGGTGGTTGAAGCGGTTGAAGTCACTAAAAAGATGAACACTAAAAGGAAGAAGTGGATGAAATTTTTCTACTACAGGTGGTGAGGTGGCTGAGGTCACTAAAAATGCTGAACACTAAAAGGAAGACGTGGATGAAATTTCTTCCGACGAATAATGAGATAGTTGAAGTCACTAAAAAGCTGAACACTGAAAGGAAGAAGTGGATGAAATTTCTTCCGACGGGTGTTGATGTGGTTGAAGTCACTAAAAAGCTGAACACTAAAAGGAAGAAGTGGATGAAATTTCTCCGACGGGTGTTGATGTGGTTGAAGTCACTAAAAAGCTGAACACTAAAAGGAAGAAGTGGATGAAATTTCTCCCGACGGGTGTTGATGTGGTTGAAGTCACTAAAAAGCTGAACACTAAAAGGAAGAAGTGGATGAAATTTCTTCCGACGGGTGTTGATGTGGTTGAAATCACTAAAAAGCTGAAAACTAAAAAGACGAAGTGGATGAAATTTCTTCCGACGGATAGTGAAGAAAATTTATTATATTAGTTTAATATTTATGAGACAATGTTCTCGTGGGTTCGTTTTATGTTAATTTTTTATATGGTATTCTCAGTTCGAGCCTGGCGAATATTGAAGGCCATGACATTCTCGTTATATTGTTTTTAATTTTGATGTAATGTGCAAGCAAATTGCTATATATATATACTCATTTCTAGCTGTTACTGCCGTATAATGGATTTGTTGCGCCACAATGGGTGGGTTACGGCGAGGCATGTTTTGCAAATAGATATCTTGTTTTTCAAGACGCGTGAAGCTGATTTTGTTATCAAATCAATTTTTCCAATCAACAAACCTTGTAATTTATAATATGTTTGTGGCCCGCCTCAAAATGGCTCTGAGGCTTACCAGTGGGCCATGGCACATTGGTTAAGAAACAGTGGTCTAACAGGACTTCAATTTGACTAATACATCATTATTTCAAGTCTTCGTGCGTGAACTGCTTGCAAAATTTTAAAAACAGATATTAAGTTTAAGGAATGGAATACGGAATCAAAAATTAATTATATTCGGGCACAATACCACGGCAATCTATGTACATAGATGTGTGGCAACTGCGCGATTGTTATTTATTTTTTGATTCCTATTTTCGTATATACAAAATACAACGGCGATCCATGGACTTGAAAATGTGTGGTAAACTGCCCGATTATAATTAATTCTTTGATTCATATTTTCGTATTTATAAAATAATAAAAGATATATATGCGGACATTGAAGTGCCCGAATATAATTAATTTTTCATTCGTGTTTACGTACTCACGAAAAAATTGTCGCAAATCAGAAATATAATTTATACTTTATACCGCTTTTTGGCAAATAATTTGGATAATGGTTGGTATTCAAACTTTTTAGGATGATTTTGTGTTGCGCAAAATGTTCAAATCCATGACCGATAGCACTATTTTAAATGCTTGCCGTATTAATTTAATTCTGATAACGTAACTCATGGTATATGAAAATATATAGCAGTAATCTGCAAACATGAAATGCATGGTAGACAACATGTTGTTGATGACAGTTATTCCATTGTTTATTGTATGCAAATTCCTTTATATAGGCTACTATAGATAAGCCTCAATTACTTTATTTTATTTTCGAATGTATTCGAAATAGTGAACTATTCGGTATTGACCAACCATCCCCTTAGGACTGAAGCAATTTGATGCAACTCAATTGTGAAAATAAGCGCAGGAAACAATTCTATTGTACCATCTTAAACAGTGCTGCAACAGTAACAGCATTGGTTCCCGCAGTCCCACCCCAGAATATGTGACTGTGGTATTTCACTTATTGTTATATTAAATTAAGGCTGGACTCATTACAGATTTTTTATCTCTAAAATATTAGTACAATAATTTGTGACTCTGGGTTATACATGAAGGAAAACTTTGTACACACAGATCTTTGTCATCTCTGTGATATATGGGCTCATTATTGCGATAGAGCTTGCTAAACAAGGAGATACCGAGCATATATTCATGCTAGCAGCATAGTGTAATAAGACAAGGCATTTTAATTGCATCTGGATAACTATAAATAAGAAATGCTTTCAGGAATTGGCTCGAACACAAAAAAGTAATTAAACCATTTAAAATAAACCTCCAACCGAAAACGATTAGGAGAAAATACTACATTTCTTTTATGATTACTGCTGCAAGAAGTGTTCTACCACGTGTTCCCTCATTTCGTTTACCGCCACTCAAATGGAGGTACAACAAATGGGAATAAAATAGCATAAATATAAATGTCAGGATAAAAAAACATGATCGTCAATTAACATGCCCGGCGAATGAACTTGTTCAGTAATAGTTCTCTTCAAATATATACGCGAAATATTTCACTCTCAACGGAGTTTAAATTAAATTTCAATCAAAATTAAATGTTTTCTAGAAGTCGGTATCTGATCGTTTATTAATTCATGTCAAGGCGTACCATAACTTAGTCGCAGAGAAGGTGTGCTGTTGCAAATTATTAACAAAATTGCAACGAAATTTCGGGTATACGATCCATTTAAATTTGCGTGTGATAGAAACTTAGGTCATTCAGTGGAAAACTCAACTGACAGATTGAAGGAAATTAATTACCCACACAGCACGTCAGCATCTCGAGTGATGATCAGGGTGTGTTGCGCTGAACTTGAAAATGAACGAAGGCAGATCAATAGAAGTAAATAACGAAAAATTCATTTACATTCCCGTCTGGCAATTGGTGTTATTTGGAGTGTTTGTTCTTCTTCGCTAAACGGCTCTCTTTCTTTCGAATCGCGTAAATCGGATTCGAAATGAATTGCGATTTGAATCGATTCAATTCATAAATCTAAAAGTGGCATGCCTACTCATCAGTCCGCTTTCAGGGTCTTCATCCAATCTCACTTCCGTCGGGATATGTTTAGGCTATTTAACTCTCCTAATGTTCGGTATTTTAGTGACTTCAACCGCCTCAAAATCGATAGGACAAAATATCATCTACCGTACTTCTTCCTTTTAGTGTTCAGCTTTTTAGTGACTTCAGCCACCTCACATGTCGAAAGAAATTTCATCCACTTCTTCCTTTTAGTGTTCAGCTTTTTAGTGACTTCAACCACCTCATTATTCGTCGAAAGAAATTTCATCCACTTCTTCCTTTTAGTGTTCATGTTTTTAGTGACTTCAACCATCTCATTATTCGTCGGAAGAAATTTCATCCACTTCTTCTTTTTAGTGTTCATCTTGTTAGTGACTTCAACCACCTCATTATTCGTCGGAAGAGTCGTTGGTCGGAAGAAATGTCATCCACTTCTTCCTTTTAGTGTTCAGCTTTTTAGTGACTTCAACCACCTCATTATTCGTCGGAAGAAATTTCAACCATTTCTTCTTTTAGTGTTCAGCTTTTTAGTAACTTCAACCACCTCATTATTCGTCGGAAGAAATTTCAACCACCTCTCCCTTTCAGTATTCATCTTTTTAGTGACTTTTACCGCTTCATTATTCGTCGGAAGAAATTTCATCCACTTCTTCCTTTTAGTGACTTCAACCGCCTCATTATCCGTCGGAAGAAATTTCATCCAATTCTTCCTTTTAGTGTTCAGCTTTTTAGTGACTTCAGACACCTCACCACCCGTCGGAATAAATTTCATCCACTTCCTCCTTTTAGTGTTTTTCAATTTTTCACCTTTGGGAACACCTCAACTTCCGTTTTTCCTCCACCTCATCCGTTTCTTCTTTCAGCCTTTTAGTGTTGTCCACGAAGCACTCCATTAACGAAAGGTAGGCAACAGAAGACATTTGATTAATCGACTGAATCGGTTTTGAATTCGGGCCGTATGGAATGCTAATCCATGTCCATCACCTTATTCAACTGCCCTGCGTACTTTCTCCATCACATGCTTCAAATCGTTTTCTCACTTAAGCCTTTACCAGATTACAGTTTTTTGCTAACGCTGTAATAAACTTACTAGTTTGGGCTTGTTTACAGCACTTTTATAAACAGTGCTGTTCAAATTTATTCTGACGTCACCTCTTAATAGCGTAACGGCTAACCCATGGATATAAAAAATGAGCATGTAGGGAGTAAATGACTAAACGATACCAGATTGTCACCAAATGGAACAAGAATGAGCCGCAGTTAAAAGTCTACCCTGTTCGTCACTATTCATGTTGAATGTTGCATAACTTCTACTACATATTTACTTAGTGTAAAAGTATTACAGACCTAATAACAAAAAATTTGTTATTCAAACTCTCATCCAATATTTCCATAAATGGTGATTGCTTTCCCACAAACCAACCACACTTTCTTCGAACTAAATAGACAAATGTGAAAGCAATTGGCAAAGTATATATAATCACAGTGAAACTATAAAATCCGAAGTAAATGTAAACAATAAATGTCATGAAAATTCACTTTGTATCAAATCAAATAAATTAGAATATGATTCATTATCAACGTCATAGTCTTGATCAATGGATGATTGATTAAAATTTTCAACAAAATTTTTCACTTCCCCGGAGGGCAACAGTTCTGGAAAACAGTACTCTGGTAAAAAATAATCATAACGAAGCCTTTTTGGCCCAAAAGAGTCAGTGCGTGGAATATTATGTAATCTTGTCCGTGGATTACGAAAAACTGCTGTGTCTGTGCGAACTAATCCACAATCATCCGGATATAATTTGACTTCACTTTCCGGAATGAATAATTTGGCACATTCAACTGATGAAGCAGCAGCATCTGTAAAACTTGCACCAGTGGTTGAGGTAGACATGGAAGACACTCCGGAGTCTGATGACAGATCGTCGTTGGAACAATTCCGGCAGCGTGTAGGCTAGAACAAGAGTTATATTTTAAATATAATAAAAATAAAAAAAATGTTATGCGGTAGTTTTTGATCTGGTACCCACCTCTGGAGAAGCAGGTGTTGCAAAAAGATTGAGAAGTGATGCAGGCTGTTGTGGAACCTAAAAATGAAGAGATTATTATTAGAATATGGGAACACGATTGGACATCCCACAAAATAGACATTTTTACTTACAATATTAGGTTTGGAGCATTTACAAAGCGGGGTTTCTAGTGTCTGGACAGTTTCTTCGTCTTCAGTGAATGAGGCCTCATTTGACCGTAACTGCTGCAAATGTGCTCTAACACAAGCACATCTTTTTAAGAAATACTGTATCCATCCTGACGTTGCATTATACAAAGTCAGTGGCAAACCCGCTTTTAAACACAGTTCCACAGCCTTATTACTAAGTATAGCAGCATTGACTCTACTTCCAGAGCATACAAGCTTCTGGTGATATTTAGCCACTTCATAATCAATATCAATATAACCAGTTGGTCTAAAACCAATCCCACTTAAACCTGTTATGCATAGAGAAACAGAACAAAATATACAATTTAGGACGATAGAAGTAATAAATTTTAAAAAATATGGCAATTGCATTTAGAACAATTTGATTAAACCACTGTCTGACGGTTCGTATACTATGTCTTGAAATTATCATTGCAAAAAGCATTCAATAGGATTAAGGATGAAAGAGCAAATGATAAGAGAACATATCACGACAGAAGTCCTATTTCATGAATGAAGTCATATATGCCAGCATTATAATCAAAATATTACATAAGCAGTATTGCTGGAAGATTGGAAATACTGCTGTACTGAACCAGTCAACAAAACAGCAAGATCAGACAATAATACATTAATAAAATATTCAAATATCAAAAATGTAATAAAATTCGACCCATTCTTTACCGAAATATTTTTTATCTTCTTCTCGTATAACAATCATCTTTTCGGGATTCAGGTTTTCCCATGTGGCGCCCTTACACGGAACCACTATGCGCTTCTTACGCTTTTTAGTATTCTGCACTTTCGCTTGCCTGCGGTTTCGGCAGTTTAATTGAGACCGCTGAGGCCCTAACTTCACCAACTTTGTTCTAGACATAACAGATATATAGATATACACTCGCCTCAAACTTTTCTAATGAAAATATTTACAATTCCTAAATTCAGAATACAGTCGCCACGAGGACACCTCAAAGAAGGGCGTCGAAACAACAGAATGTCGTTTATCGCCGTTGTAAAATAACCAATGCTGATTGGTTGGTTTGCTGGTTCACGTGACGACGACCTTTTTTCCTGTCTAGTTCCTGACGTAATAAAGAAAGATAAAGAACGACGCGCGAAAGAAAAAATCCATATAGCTGTGACGTATTTGAGCTTTTGCGTCTCGAGCCTCTGGGCACACGAGGTGTAAACTTTTATCTCCCCGCGGCGTGTTATCTCTTGCCTAGACTGGATCATGCTAGTCACTAAACAAATCGAATATTTTTTTGCCCACAGTTGCCGTTCATTGATGGAATCCAGTGCTGAATAGCGATATCGCACTCTGCGGCACATAGCAAGGTGTTTTTCATAAATCTCACATTTTTACATTAGTGAGGGGCCTGGATTTCATAATCATTGTTTAATTATTTTTATTAATTATTTCAACGTCTGTGCTGATTATAGCGTCGAAATAAAACCAATATATAGTTAAGAGTAATATTTTGAATATCATTGGTCTGAATATGTAATCAGCGCAAGCAATACAGCAATACTAAAGTATGTTAATATTTCTTCCTTTAATACACCAGATCGAGCAAAATGTTCTTCGTGTTTCAAATGTGATGGTGCATGCCCATTGGCCCAAAACATTGAATAATTCAACAAAACAGTTCTTGCTAGTTTAGCAATGTTATTTGAGTGCTTTGTTTGGCAAATAATGCTCAAGAAGCAACATGTATACGTGAATGAAGGCCAATGTTTGCACAATGCATTATAGAGGGCTGGAAAAATTAATAAAATGATCATAAATTAAAAGAATCTTGATCTATGTTTCTAGTCTAGTCCTGATTAAGGTTTATATATAAAAAAAAGATCAAATTTGATTCGTTCATTAGTTTTACCAACTAGTATAATGAAATTCCCTCCATGCTGCCATGGTTCAACTCCGTGTAACTGAAAAAGTTATCAGGTTACAGAAGTTTCATTCCACAAAGACTCAGAAATCACTGAATCATGTGAACTAAATATATACTAGCAAGTGAATTTAAATGTGATTCTTGGGCTGAATTCCTAGTACTGGAAAGGAATTTGCAGCTGTTCATGTTATCTTATGTGGGTCTCATGTAGTTTCGTACCTAACGTACTTCTAGTAGGCGTAGCATAACAATTTTTTCATGTGTCGCTGACACGTTAACTTTATAGTTTATTCGCGACTCCTCGTCTATTGCAGTCGAAAATATTGTACGTTTGTTATTTCTTCTCTCGATTTATTTTTACTGTTTATTTGTACAATATTTCTTGCATGACGGAAATAAATATCTGAATCTGTGTCAATCCTAACCCCCACCTGACCACACCATCCCAAAATTACGTCACTACGACATCACAGTGACGTAATAGAGCCCTTCAAACTATGCGAACTGTCATCCAAGACGCGCAGACGAGAACCCGAAATCGAACAGCCATCTCTCTCGTTTTCTCGTCGCAACGATCCCGATAGGAGAGAGATCGCTGACGTTAGTCAGTTTTTAATATCGGCGGGGCCGATGCCATTTCGGGCGATCGTAGGAGTATTTGGCAAGCTCTATGACGTGATTGTGACTACATAGTGACGTAATTTTTGGATGGCGTAGTCAGGTGAGGGTTAGGATTGGCATGTCAAAAAATTGTTATGCTACGCCTTCTAGAAGTACGAAACTACACGAGACCCCAACTTTTTTACTTACAAGTTAGAAACACACATTAGGAAGGATATGAATGAATATCGCTAACAGTAAATATCCAAAATAAACTTTGCAGGAAGTTTTCTAAAGAACATAAAATCTAAAAATGAGTGACTGGGTGGGATTTACTGACGCTGATTTACGAAAAATGAAAAGCGATGGAAATCGCTCAGCTGGTGCCAAAGTTGCTAAACCTTAACTGGCGGTGCCAAAGCGAAACAAGGATCTATCTTGGGCCAAAAGGTTCAAAAAAGGCAAAGCTCTAAAACTACTCGAGTCCAAAAGGAACATGGTGATGTACCCTCGGAAGCAATGCTATCACAAGCTGCTAATGAAGAATCCTCCAAGAAAAACCTACCATCAAAGTCACATCTCCTACTGATAATACACCATTACATGGGAAGACATGCACTCCACCAATAGGTATTTTTTCTTGAGGTTTGATGAATTTTATTACTGTTAGTTGTCTCTCTGACCAAATGTTCCTATTAATTTAGAATCTACAGATAAAAGTGCTAATGACACAGTTGAAAGCGAAGAGCCTGAGATTTTAGAAGATGCTGAAGTCATCAAAAAGTAAGCATATTATAGCCTATTTTCATGTGACCTGACATACCTAACCTAAAATTTTGTTTTTAATCAATTTGGGCAAGATGTGATTTACAGTTTGCTTCATGCCCACATTTACTGAATGCAATATCCTTGTTTTGTAACAACAATTAGCTGATTAGCCATGGATTATAAATTATTATAATCTTTTTTATTCATACCTTCCAGAAAAGAGAAAATCAAACTTGAAGACATCCAACAGAGACAAAAACAAATGGAGGAGAAAAATAAAAGGAAGAAGACAATGCTAACGAAAGCAATTGCAGAGAGGTTTGTATATATTGATGTAAATGTCTGTATATAATATGCATATATTATTCTTCATAGCTATTAATATACATAAATATGTTTCATTGAAATGCTTCAAATCTTCCAACCCATACAAATTCTGTGTAACTATTTTGGTGTAGTTGGTTTGAGATCTTCGTTTAACCCCATGTCCTGAATGTAATGAAAGATTTCAAAGAAATAGATGTTCTACTGCTTCTCAGTGCGGTCTTAAAGGTCTGAAACCTCCTCATAAAAAAACTGTAATAAGTGGCTATTTTAACTTAGGTATATACGTATATAGTATTTATAAATGGTCTCACTAGCGCCATGGTTCTACCTGCCAATTGGTTGTCTATTATATATAATGAATTAGAACCAAGAAAAAAAAGATAATGATTCTATCCATATCATTGTCTGAAGCAGTGGTTCTCAAACGGTGGGGCGCACCCTCACAAGGGGGGGCGTAGACAGTTTTTTTGAGGTGGCGTGGAGCCAATTAAAAATTAAACTATAGATTTGATCTTGCCCGCCTTGTTTTAAATAGGCTATTTACATTTCTTTATTTGGATATTTATGTCCTATCCACATATTATCAACATGTTTTTTGAATAAAACATACTTTCGCCTTAACTATCTGTTATTTTTAGCCTATTGTTAGCTAGTTATTTTAGAGGTGGGGCGCGAGACTTGAGAAATTCTCAAAAGGGGGCGCGCCCCAAAAAGTTTGAGAATCACTGGTCTAAAATGATCGTTGTTTCAGAAGTGGCAACTGCATATATCATCAGCATATGTAACCAGCTTATATCAAACTGGTTTTTGTAACAATTTCTTTACATTTCTTCTCAGAGCTTAATACATGTTCAAATTTTTTTCAACTTGAAATGGAATAGATTTTAGAATTAAGACTGGTATTAGATTACATTATCATTTGCAAGATTTTTGCTAATCCTTATTTGATAAAACTTTGATACATCAAGTCATTTTAATTTTACAGAAAAAAGAGAGCGTTTGCAGAATCAACAAAACTTGTCAAAATACAAGCCGAACTAACAAAGCTTGATGGCATGTTGAATTATGATGTTTCACTTCTTAGAGATAGAATTGATGAAGCTTGCGTAGATTATAATCATGCACAGTAAGTTATGGTATTATATTTTTAATATACATGATGATAATGTATGTTAATTTAGGATGAACTGTAAATTTCTTTCGACCTCATTTACACTCCCTATGTTTCCAGACATCCTTTTGTTGCTTCTACTCTACTATTTCTGATATGTCATGCAAGTTGTAATTGCTTCAAATGTCCTGTAGTATATTTGGTAATATTCTACTAACAAAGGCAGGCAAAATCTCGAGGTTATTTTCATCCTCACAGTTGCTGCCACTTGATAATCTCTAACAATATGTAAAGGAGATAGCGATCAGAGACCGCTGACTTATCAATCCAGCGGCGTGGAAACTTTCTTGATGGAAACTTGCGCATCGCACACACACTCAGCACATGCACACTCTTGCCTCAAAAATCTAGGTCATTCACGTTCTCTCGCTTTGCAAAAATCTAGATCTCTTCATCACTAATTAAATAATAACTCTCGTATTATAGACTAATCCAAAATCAATAGGCTTCTGGTCGTGATATGATGAATGAACATGCAAAATTTGGAGCAGATTCAACCTCGCTTTCGTGAGATATCGCGTGTATCTAGCGATCAAGATCGATAAGTAATAAAGTCATCATTGTCTTTATGACAAGTCCATCGTAAACAGTGCACATATAATTCCTCTAATCACTCCCTGCTTCTTGATGAACGGACATAAGGGTTGTCACAAACTATGTTCAAGTTTAATTTTTAAGGATTCCTGTGTTACCAAACAGCTGATTGGCTTTTTTAAATATAAGTTATAACTGTATATTTTCAGAAAACGCTTTGATAAAGCAGAAGCGGAATACATAAGTGCAAAGATGAATCTTCACAAGGCAACGCAAATGAAAGAAGAATTGACAGAACATCTATTCCATTTAATACAATTAAATGAGGAAAGGAAGGTAAGGCTGAACTATGCTTAAATATATGATAGATTGATTATGATTTGACCAAAGGATAGGAGAAATGATTTGACCACCCCGGGAGGATAGAAAGCTGATAAGACTGCTCAATCATAAGACGAAACACGGCTTCTCCTGTTACTAGTCCATATAAGGTTTGGGGATTGAAAATCATTTATTAGTTTAAGATGCATGGACCTGAGTGGTAAGCCGTAACCAGCCAGAAGTTACATGAACCACCTGACCATGGCTGGGAGTCCAGCGATCCTCCTGCACATGATTATATCCATGAGATTCGAACCTTTGCGGGGTACGATGGAGTATTTGTAAGCATAGCCTGCAGTACCAACTGGAACTGACCACCTTTTTCATAATATTAATCTCTATTTTGCTCATATAACAGGCTAACAAGTTGGAAGAATTAATGCAGAAGCTGGAATTGGACGAGTCTGAAGAAATAGCTGTAGAAGCTGAAAGTTCTCAAACTGATTCAAAGTTTTCAACAGAATCGACTGCCGATAATAATAAAGATGTTGAAGCTGAACCCAGCAATTCATTACCAGATTCAACACAAAGTCCAACTGTGAATGAAACAAATGATAATATTGAAGTGAAACCCAAAGAAGCTGATGAAATAAAATAGATTACAGTGGACTTCTTTTAGGCGGAATCATAGCAATCTGTTCGATCGGACAAGTGCCTGCAAAGCAATGTTCATATTATGTATCATCAGAGCAAATACATTTATACTGCAATTGGACCTAAGACTTAAAAAGTTGTAGCAACCATTTGTTATTGATATTTCTTTTTTCTGTATGTCGTATAAGTCAATTGCACTGTGCAATTATTGTTTATATAGTGAATTTATCAGGAAAATAAGTTTTGTGGTCATATTTATTTATTTTTGTTTATTTAGGTTGGTGGTTATGTTTTGCTTTTAAATTTTATCAGCCCATTGCAATACTGAAATTGCACTGAGTAAAGAATCATAGTACTTTTCTATGTTAAATTATTAATACGCAATATTATGGTGCCTTAATAAATTTATTACACTTTGATGTACTTTTTTCAGTGGCATATTAGGCCTAGTTCATGGATATGCATAGATATATAAACTCAGATTCAGTCCATTAAGAAATCCATTCTCAGGCAGTTACCATGCAGGGCCATAATGTTTTGTGATTTGGTCTTGGTAATAATTTAAGTACAAATACGTATGTGGGAAGAGAAGTCCCTGTGTGTTTCTTCTATGTGAATGAGCAGGAACGATGTTTGCTTTGAAAGTATCTGATAGTGTGTTAACTAACCATGCCTCGTGGAAACACACACAGTCTGCTGCTCACTTCATATCAGATAAACGACTCTCATGGGCCTGTTCTAGTATCAGTCCTTCACAAGCTAGTGGTAAGCTGTGATAACCATTATGACAGCTGCTCACACATACTTGCTACCTACACTACTTTTTCCAAACCCAGTGAAACCTTGAATGGCTGATCTGTCCCACATCCACAAAAGTCAATATACGGACAAGGGGACTCATACAAATATATCACCGAGATGTCTATGTCACTCAGATTTATAACATTACAGTTCAACCTCATCCACAAACTACTTTCTATACTACAGATTTCAGCTATCATATTGAATGAATATTACTTCACAATCACACCATTGAAATTTCTTCACTACCAGCAAGACTAAATCATGTATAGCCATGTACATTTGTAGGCCAAGATTCAACTGAATTTCACTATCACATCACCCTTATGTTTCCAGTGAGTTCAATATAAAAATGCAACCATCTGGGTTTGTACTTTTATTGTAAGGAATGCATATGGAATAGAATTTTGATAAGAAAAAGGTAAATTTGTCATATTTTTGCCAGTGAGGGTGATTTATTATGAAACTGTTGTATCTTCTTCAATCGTGCTACGGATTCCGTTTTTCCAAGAATGCAAATAATTTCTGCAACTGCAGGTCCTTGCTGAAATTAAAGCAAAATGTTCTCCATTAGAAGATTGAAAAGTTCGGTCATATGGCTAATAGAAATATAAACTTACTTTCCGTCCACTTAATAAATATCTTAACAATGTCATGGCAGGAGCAATTTTCAACTTCGCCTTAGCCTGAATATCACGAATCCTTGGAGTGATCACTTCTTTAGATAAACCGTCAACATTAATGTCTTCTAGGAAACTGAAATTTGAAAATGCAAATGATTAACTTTAGCTATAGACAAGATTTTATGAAAACATTGTGTCATATCTATAAAAATGAATAATTAAGTGAGGCAAGAAAAGCTCAGTAGAAGTTAAATGATAAATGCCATATTAACAAGCCTGTTTATCTCGCCTTAAATTCATCAATGTTTTCATAGAATTTTAACCAAATTTCAATAAAACCAAGATGTTTATACATGGATGGGAAAGAGATCGTTCAAAAACAATAAAATGTAATAAAAATCACCTGCAAACATTTAGAACAAATTTCATCATATCTTCTTGAATTTCCTCGTGTGGAATAGAAGGACGAATCCAAACATAATTATATTCTTCACTGATTAGATCCTTGAGAACTGTTATGTGATTCTACATGAAAATATATGTGCTTTCGACTGTTGTCATTGAGAATTTCAAGGAAAACCTTCTTCAGAGTATACTAATTTCAATGAGTTTGAAGACCATTCACATTATATTTAACACTATAAATGTGTATAATGCGTCAGCGAAAAGAAATTTATTCTTCATCGTAAGAGTCATAGTTATTTAGACCGATAGGATCTATTTTCAAAATAAGACATCAATTGTACTTGATCTAAGCTATGGCAAGTGAAACAACCCCAACTTATATGATAAATGGAGTGTACAAAATAATTCTGCAAAATAAGAATGAACCTGACAGTGATAAGCGAAGTAATACCTTTCTGATTGAGAGAACTCTATTGATATATTCATTTTTTTGCTCATCATTGAACATTTTATTCAATATATTGCTTTCTCCATACTTCTCCCAAACATACTTCCTTCAAACAAAGAAAAAGAGCGGTTGAAGATAAAGTTCAAATTATAACACAAGTCATCTACAACAAAACTACCAAGATATTTGTTTGCAATTATAACTGTAAGCACTAACCCACTAAGATTATCAAATACATGACTTTGAAGTTTTCTGTAACAACAGTCCATCTACCTTAATTCTTCTATCATACAATTTCTGCTTTTTTCATCTGACAGTAAATGCTTTAAAATTGTTGAGTTGTATTCACCAAGCTTTGAGAAACTTACAATTGAATTATTCACTCCAACCTAACAAAATAATATCATTGTCATCTTTTTTATTACATTTTTTATACAAGTTGATAAAAATAAATTAATTAGAGAATATAACAGCAGATTATTGAAATTACTATTTATGCATTGAAATCATAGAAGTTTTAAAATTTATAGAGTAAAAAATGACATATTTCCTTATTTTGCTACAATTTGGGAAGAATTTATGATCAGAGCTCAAGTAATTGCAAAATTAACCTCTCGTCTATTCGTTTGTCAAACAATTTCTGGAATGAAACTGAAATAGGGAATTCACAGAAAAGTACATTTGATATAAGTGTTGTTAATTACATAAGAAAATAAGGCCAGATAAGAATTTAATTCTTCAATATCAAAACCAAGTCGATATAATCAGGCAGGTGATTTTAAGGACTACACAATGATGTCAAACCTTTTCCATTAAAAATTCTTTTGCCATTATCTCTAAAACTTTAGTGGGAGTTGCAACTTCATCACCGAATATTATTCCAGAACTTTCTGTGAATCCAGCACCATAATGAGCTAAAAAATTTAAAATCGATGCGGCATGGTACCCACCCTCACGATATTGCTCCACATACACATCACCCTGTGAATTTTAACAATGTTTAATCCTTCAACTTGTACAAGACATGTAAAAAAATGATTTCTGGATCAAGTCCCATGAACATTATCAGTAAAATCAAATTAAATATTCTAGTATTTTTGATCAGATAATTTGTTGCAACGTTCAGAGCTATGGAGTCTGAGTTTGGCAGGTTATAGTCGAAATTTTGAACTCCTCAAAGTCAGAATAGCAGACTTTTAACAGTAGTAAAAAATGTCGAAATATTAGACAAACTCAAAACATATCAACTTTACTAATTGTAATCAAAAGTCTATAAAAGACAGCTTGCATAAGAAAATTTTTTGTTATCAAAATTTGATTTCGTCAGAATGTGAAGCCGAAATTTTTAAAAACCCAGTGTCGGAATCAAAATTTTTCTTGACCCGGAGTCGAAGAGATAAAATTTTTAGGCAAGAGTCAGGACCCGATTGCCAATTTTCTCCACATCCCTAGTATCATAAACCCACCTACCTACCTGCCTTTTAGACAATTTCCTGCCGTCTTCATTCAAAAGCAATGGAAGATGTGCATATTGTGGTGGTTTCCAACCGAATGCTTCATATAGCATTATATGTTTCACAGTTGACATCATCCATTCTTGGCCCCGTAATACATGGGTTATTTTCATCAAATGATCATCAACAACGTTTGCCAGATGATAGGTTGGATACCTAAATGTGAATGGGTCACCTTGTAAGGGCATCCATCGTAGGTTACAACCCTATGCCGCCCACCCTACTCAGTGTGCAATTTATTGGGTTTGCAATGCCAAATCAGAAAGATTCTGGGGCCTAGCACATTAAATCACTTTTCTCGGACTCCAGATCAAATAAGTAATATGGCCTGCCGGTGCATCGTGCTGAACGATGGGAATACGCTCACTACTGCCCCTCTGATTACCCTGCGTGGGTTTGCTCGAATCCCATGCAAGGATAGTTATGTGTGAGAGGATTGCTGGACTAAATGCCATCCTATCCCATCCTGATATCAGTAAGGTTTCACTAAATGTAAACAAATTACCTGTCTGATTTGTATATTACAGGATCCCCTTCAATACTGGCAACATCGTGCTTTATCTCACCATTTAATATATCCTCAAAAGCTCTAATATCATTCTGAAGCTTCAGACGCAAGACATAAGGCATTCCAAGATCAAGCTTTTCTTCAATCTCAGATTTTGACAAATTTCTACACCTGTTGTCATATCTAAAAAGTCAAAAAATATTATGCCATGAAAAAATCCTTATTAAAAAGTTGAACAGGATAAAAGTGTGTTTATACCTATATACCAGGGGTGGCCAACATGTCGATCGCGATCAACGGGTCAATCGCCACGTCTCGAGTAGTCGATTGCGTCTGATGTTGAGTAAATTTAATAACATACCCCCAAAAAAAACAGTTAAAAAAAACGCCTGAATAATACAGTACTGTACATGCACTGTTTGTCAGTACTTGACTGACAAACAATCCTACAACAAATTTTGCACTGTGCGAAAGTTATTGCCTCACTCCAAAAGTAATGTGATAAATTTTATTTGCAACGGTAGCAGTGGCATCAGAATGCCCATTTTTTTCTAATCTAAGCGAGCAAAGAATCGGACTTGAATGAAATTGTAAATTAGACACTAAAGTTTGAGCAGTCATGTAACATTTATGACTTTAGAACATTCAATATTTGCTGTTCAGATAATATATGGGAACTTTTCAAGGTTTTTCAAGGGAAGGGAAGGGGAACACTTACGACTAAAAATTAGACAGGCCCTAGATCAGAATTGTATGATTTGAATAAATTTAAAATAAATGATGAAACATTAACTCCGGGTTCAATTACATAATCAAATTGAATGGAATTTAAAAAATGCAATTTTTGTGGCAATTTCATTGAGAATGCGGCCGCAGAGCCGAGCTTAATGGCCGTGGTGAAATTTTTGTATGCGTGTGTGCAGTTATCTGCGTTTTCAGTATTCATTCATTATTGTTTATGACCTAATTACCGATCAGTCGATCGCCAGCTATTTTGAAGATTATAGTCGATCGCAGTCGAAAGCAGGTTGGCCACCCCTGCTATATACCATTACATTTAATGTTAAAATAAATATACAACTACCGACTACGTTCTTTTCTCTGCATTTGATCCCTTCTCATTATCTCTAATCTTCTTTCACTGCAAAAACATTTATACGCAATTCCATTGTCTAAAAGTTGACTTGCGTACCTGAATGTTGGAAAGAAATAAATAGAAAACAAATCTCAACTATAGAAGAATGGATTTTGCACCAATTTTGAATATGAAAACTGTGACATAGTAATTATTTACTAAGATATTTTCTATATAACTTGACTATAGATGAAGACAGATATAGGGAAAATTTCATATTCATGAAATTCCTCATGAACATGTCATAGGCAAATAAATACATTTGAAGATGGAAAACCAAATCATTTTTAACAAAACTTTTGAAAGACTGGTAAACCGGTCTGGAAATTGTGCATTGTTATGAATCAAAATAATATAATATGATTGAAGCACAGCAGTCGCCAAATAAAACATTACAGTAAATATTCAGCTGAGCAGAATTTTGTGGAGTGGAGCAAAATTTTGCCTACACTATCACAGAGATAACATACTTTTCATATATATCCAGTCTTTCACTTTGTACATAAGGTCCGAAGTCTCCCCCAATTCCTGGTCCTTCATCTGGTGTTATTCCAGCCCATTTTAATTGATTTAATAAATTTTCTACGGCACCAGGCACAATTCTTGATTGATCAGTATCATCAATCCTGATGATAAACTGACCACCAACTAGAAAAAGGTTAAAGATATGATTTACAATTAGTTCAGTGATAAATAGTATTACAATTTCCAACATGGTGAATCATTAAGATATTGCTAAGAAATATTCACCTTTTTGAGATTTCACAAATAAGTAATTGAGTAAAGCAGTCCTCAGTCCACCGATATGCAGAAAACCTGAATAATAATTATTTATATAATACAATATTGATATACAATTTATATATACAATATTGAGTGGGATAGGATTTTCATATTAATCTCGAGAAGAGGAAAGCCGATGGCTTAATGGCAACTATTTTTTGTTTCAGATGCATTGAATTGACCAGCGGTCATGTGAACCACCCTACGGAGTCAAGCAATCCTCTCTCACATAATTATGCTGCATAGGGATCGAAATTGTGCAACGGCAATCATAATCCTAATGCATGGTACGAGGCGCCCACCGCCAGGCTAAGTCTCGACTTGGTTGATTATTTATTTATTTTTTTTTTTTATAGATAAAATTAATAAGATATAATAATAATAATAAAAAAATAAGATTATTTATTAATAGATAATATGCCACCATAATCATATATTGTTTCGATAGCTTTTGCCTCTCCAGTCACCCACAACTTCACTAAAACATCATTCATCTTCTGTAATGTTCATATTAAATCAATTAAAAATAAAAAAACCTGTTGGTGAGGGTGCAAATCTAACACGGACATTCCAGAGGTGAGATGAAATAGAAAATCTACGACATCGTTGATAAATTTTGCATGTAAATCTATGATTACAGATATTTAGAAGCCAAGATTTGTAAAACATGACAAATAAAACATTCTGAAAAAATTGAAAACCAATCAGAACGATGAAGGCATTGTGAATCAGCTGGATAATTTCTAACACAGTATAATGGGTTGAAAGAAAGTCAAAATCCTAAAATAAGTAATTAATGTTTTGTAGGTAACTATGTTTAAATCCTATTTATATAACATGTTACTCCAAAATATGACACACACAAAATCAACGTCAACAAGAATGCAACATTTTGTATATAAATTTTCTCCCTTATGCATTCTAATCTAACACAAATGTCATAATACATTTCATGGATGTGGAACTTCATATGGATTGTAGCAATTAGAACAATAGATACTTAATTTGCAATTCCCACATTTGTTAGCACGACTGCTACTCAGCTTAGCTGATCAATTGAGAAGAGCACAGTGAAGTCACAAAAGTTTCTCTCCAGATAGCATTGACACTTTGAAAGATTTGTTTGAAATACAATTTAACTAATCAACCATGATATCAATAGAGGAACACAATAGTGTCAACAATAGTGTTGATGATGAATGTATAATTCAAGAAATAAACTCTCAAAATATACCAATATAAAACAGAAAACTTTAGTCCCAAAATGTTTTGAATTATTTCATAAAAATTATATTTTTATTCAATCCAATCACATACAATTTCCTATCCCGATCGCTACAGTCATTTTCCTATATTTAAAACCTCATATTAATGTATTAACACATTTGAAATTTAAACAGCAATATATATGCTATAATCATGTGCCAGGCTTCTTTAGAAACCCTGCTTGTGCAGCGAGAGCTTCATTTTGCTCTATAAAATGTTCCTCAAATCTTTGTCCAATACGTGAAGTTGTTTTCAAATACTTCTGCAAACAGTTTGAAATACATGTGCTTTCTTTTGACAAAACATTCCTACTGCCAAAATCATTGACACAGTCCGCAAAACATTGTTCAGTTATTTTGTTGTATGTGTTTAAAAATTCTTTAAGTTGTTTCATTTGATCTGGCCCAACCAGTTGAGACATGCCCTGAACCCCAGCCATTGTTTCGTTTACTCTAATGCACTGCACTACAGTTGCACTAATAAATAAATCTGAGTAAGAAAATAAAAATATGGGTTAGGCAGATAAGCCGTATAGTGGGACAATGGCTGTAACAAACAAAACATATATGCTCGGAAAACTAGAGAACAAAGTTTATAATACGCAGTGCACATGCTCGTTCACCAAAAGTAACACAAATTATATATTTATAAATAGTAAAAAAAAACTCAATGAGCAGCAGTAGAAGCCTCCTGGGGCGTTTCATGTAAAAAACGTGAGTTACAAATGCAAAAATTGACAATGAAGTTGATGGTGTGTCGACACAAACAGCCAAATCAACGAAACGTATGGTAATTTGGGCAATAGGCCTAATTACATAAAATACCCTGGCCTGGTGCATGTATATGACAGGTAACTTATATTACATAAATTTACCATACTGTATATCTGTACCTTGTCTGCAGCATGCGGTTTTTGTAGATGCAAATTATTTTTTTTTTTGCCAAATAAGTTCTAATGCCAAACGGAATTTTCGTATTAATATTTTGGAATCGAATAATTTTATTTTAAATACGTGGATTAACTCCATTTTTGGACATATATGGTTTATATTACCGTAAATTAATGACATCATGGTAATGGTATGAATTTCATATTTATTTGGATTTTTACTCTACTATTGATATATATTGCGGGAAATGGGATTTAAATAGAGAAAACAAAAAACTATGTACCGTATTTAAAATAAAGTGGATGCAAATTAAAATAGCGTCACACGCAAAACAAGGACCATACCAACATCCTACTACTACGCACACTGCAACGCTAAGCTACATCATGCTTCTCCACAAGATGAAATTCGCCGCGCTCTGATCGATAGTGCCCCCACATGGCTGCACGCCAAGGTCGATATCAGACATCAGCAAGACGCTAGCTAGCTAATATCTCCAAGTGCTGCGCATCTAACATCTAAAAACAAAAGCGGGTTATCGTGATAATCAGTGGTTCTATCTAGTAGTATATATTTACGGTTCTTTACACTAGTGAGCCGTGGAAAATCATCAGACTTGCCGCAGAGATTTTCGAATTAACAAAAAAAAATTGAGTTATTTGTTTCAGTGTGTAACAAGACTTTCGAATAACTCAGAATAGTTATCTTAGGATCGGATTTCCATATTTGTTAATTTGGAATGTTTTAAACCCTATATGAAGTTTTGTATCCTCGAACTCTGTAATCCGTATTCGTTTGTTTTGATAGCAATGAACCAGCACTGAAGAAATACCAACAAGGAGTCACGAAACGGACATGAGGTAGCATGAAGAAGAATATATGGAATTGATATTCAACTGTCATCGGATGCTACAAATGCTATTACTATACATTTTACTTAAATAAGAATTAAGATTAAATAAGAATTTGTAATGTAACAAGATATGACAATTCCCATGCGCAACGTTTTTAAATATTCACGTAATGGCATATTGGGGAACGAGAGTCTTGTTACGCCACTGGTTATGGCGATAATTAAATTAAACAATAGTATATACGGATATGATCATCATATATATATATGAATACTGTCATTTCACAAAAATGTAAGTAAGTCTTTGCCTATGTTGCTCGGACTAGATTTTCAAGATATTATGACACACTATATTGTCCTCAGTTAATGTTGCCGTATCCACTATTTTAGTCATTGTCATAGTTATCACACCGTTACAATCAATTAATTACAATAAATTAAAAGGAAGATGGGGTAATATTCTTGCTCAATGGCGCGGTCCTTTTGTTCATCAAATAAATAAAACCACAAAAAAGAAAAAACTTCTTGTTCTTCAAAAGAATTTCATAAAAAGTGTGATACTATTCTTCTCACATGACAAATATGTTCATATGGATAGAGATTTTATTTCCCAAATAATGTCAACACTTGAAACATTTGAAGCAACAGAAACAAAAAAATAATAATTCAGTAATAATTGGTTATCATTATTTGTGAGGGCCAGTATACAAGACCGGTAAGGTCACCAAGGCTGACACCGATGAAATATATAAATTGAAAAAATTGGATTCTTCTTATAACATAGTACCTCCTTGTTTGTGATAGAGCCTTGTTCAAAGAGGAGTTATTGAACACGCGATTAGAAGATGATAATATTCTTGTCCGACAGCTGTATTCAATTTTATAAGTCCTAAGCTAAATGAAAGATTTTTTTCTTCACAGGAGGCACAATAGTTGTCTGCATACCAGCGACTGCTCGTTCAGAGCCTGGTACAGATTACTCAAATAAAAATCAAGTCATATATATATACCACGAAAACAGTGTATTAAAATGGGGGAATGAATTGTCAGAATTGTTCCCAATGCGTTGTTCCTAAAATCAAGAAAGTACTCCACTACTATATTCAACGTAAATTATGGCAAAATATATCAGAAGTGTAATTCTACGTCTCATCAAGTTTGGGTGATGTCACAATCAAGCGACAAAACTTGTTTAGAGCTTTGCTACGGGCAAAGGCTACGGGTAAGTCGTGAAGCTCCTTATCAGAAGATGGAATGAAACCGATCTTATACAATAGCCGTAAGCCTATTCAATCTAATAATTCTATATGGAACGATTTTTTATAAATTATCGGCTTTCCTCTTCCCCGGGATAAATGTGTAAATCATATCCATTACCAATAGTAATATGGATGAATGAATTGTTAAACTTAATAGTGTGTCAGCCTAATGCGACCTCGTTGTTGATAATGCGCCATTCCATGCGTCCTGGCTGTTTGTAAACGCAACCCGCTGTTCCTAATGAGCTGTGCTACACAGCGGACCCGCGATGAAGCAAGTCAGCGCGGCGAGTAAGGATAAGATTTTCATATTTAGCCTATTCCTAATTTTGCCAGTCTTATTTCCATCGATGAGCTTGCATGTCGCTGTGTAACTCAACGACTGTTTGGCAAATCAGCATGGTAAGAGATTGTATTGTCGTATGTCAGTATGTTTCCAGTGAAAATTGAGAGGGATTTTCAACAGTAAAATGAAACCGTAAGTAGTATTGCTGGAAATGAATTATGCGTATTGCTGTGTGTGAAATAGAATCTAAATTTGTCAGTCACGCAAGTTATTTATGAATCGTGAATATTTTGATTAGTTTTTGATTTTATAGGATAGGATAGGATTTACATATTTATCCCGGGGGAGAGGAAAGCCGATAAGACGGCTTATCCATATGGCGAACCACGGCCTCTCGTCTGGTTACCATTTCAAGTCGGGTATGGGATTAGTTTTACTGTATTGTTTGTTTTCGGAAGCATGGACTTGGTGGTGGAGGAAGCCGTAACCGACCAGCGGTTACGTGAACCACCCAACGACGGCGAGGAGTCCAGCAATCCTCTCGCACATACAGACATAACCATCCCTGCATGGGATTCGAACCTGCGAACCCACGCAGAGTAGTTAGAGGTGCGGTGGCGAGCGTATTCCTAACGCTTAGCCCGTTGAGCCACAAATTCTGTTTCACTCAATTTAATTGAGTTTCCGTGCAAATATACCAAAAGGCCGAAAAAGCTTGGAAAATGGAATACATCTCCGATAATAAATATTTCGTTCAACTCGGATGATCCTAATATTATCCTTTTGTCTTCTCAAAAGGCTTTATACTTCCTGAATACTTCGTCTGATATTTTAAAAAATTCATTTCTCATGAAAAGGAAAGATCGGAAAATGCCGTTGAGCAAAGCAAAGAATATGCAGCTGAACTCAGAAATAGGAGAAAAATGTTGGAAAATCCAGTCAAAAGTTGTGACAAGTTTGAACAGTTGTTGCATGCTTCGTTCATTGATGGTGGTTCATCTATTTTTGTTCTTGAAAGAAATATTCCAGTATTCAGCTGGAAGGGAACTAAATAATGCCAGACAGAAAAATTATGAAGAATTATACACATAATATTAATCTATTAATGCGTTTTTTTAAATTACATATTATACTACTTAATTAATAATTGATTGACTGTATGCTGTTGTGATAATTTCAACACTATCAAATACAGTTCTCTGATTCCAAGAATAGCCCCCACGCCCCCACATTAAAAGACATCAATAATAACAGTGAGTGCAAACCCCTCCCTCCTTTACGAGACAGTGTACTGGTGTAGGCCAGGGGTCGGCAACCTACGGAGTAGTATAATCCGCGACTGGTCACTGAATTATAGTAACAAAACAGCTGTTTTGACGATTATTCTTTGAGTAACAGAATTCATTGTGAGACACGTGTAGACTAAATTATATTATAATCTAACGAGTATAAAATTCACAATTACTCGTTTAATGAGCCTATAATTTAATTGTAATTAGACAAATGGCAACAAAACGCAGAAATGTTGATGCTAAGCGCAAAGGGTTCCATGGCGCTGAAAATATTCAAATGGAACTTTTTGAGATGCAATGCAAAGAGGAAATAAAATCTATATTCTATTCGAGAGATGTATCACTGCTTGATTTTTACTATAAAAAGTATCATTCGTTCGGTTTTCAACTTTATAGAAATATGTCCGGTGCGCCAATGACTTGCAGCTGCAACCCTTAATTTTGGCCCGCGGGCGACAAAAGGTTGCCGACCCCTGGAGTCGGCCTTCATATGGACTCAAAACGGGAGGCTGGGAGGCGCAGTTCTTACCACTTCAGCACTTCATGACAGCTCCTGCCACGAACGTACCGCGGCGTCTCTTGCCATGGTTTTATCGCACGATTACCGGTATATTTACAAAGTCATGTACAATATTTTAGTTTATCATGCGGAATTATATTTACTTAAACCTAACCCCAAATACATCAAAACTGTATTCATAAGAAAAGCGTTCCAACTTACCCAATATTTATCTCCATAAGGGGCAGCCCTGCTTTTACAGCCGACATGCCGTGGTAACGGCAGCAAAATTGGTGGTATTCGATTTGCTGCCGTAACAACGGCAGCCCGCTATTGGTTTGTGGCAGCTAAAAAGTCAGGGCCGTAGGTTTGGTCATAGCGGCCATGGTTTGGAAATCCCGCCATGGTTTTGCGGCAGCTCTAGACGCCTCAAAATACTTGAAACTGCACTTGCAAAACTGCAATCTGGCACTGCGCAATAAACTAAAAAAAAGCGCAGTCTAAAAACGTCACCATAGGATTCCATAATCTAATTTACAGGAGGAAAAAAATTTTACTGTAGCGTTTTGGTCACTTGACGGCAGACTCATATTGGTATTGATTTAAATTATTACTGAGACAAGCTTAGTGCGATCTGACGCATCTGCCGTTGTGCCAGACGCTCTCGTTTCAGACACAAATAGGTAACCAAATTTTGCGACATCTTAGAATCAGAGAATTGTGCCCCACTGAAATATAGATGGATTGGATATACATGAACGCATAAATTATATGCTTAGTTTATTATTACCGTAGGTATTTTTGTTTATAATTTATAATTCTTATCCCATTCCTTATGTTTCAGTTAAAATTAAGTCTATATAATAATGGGTGAATTTGCTGTTCATCGATGCCAGTTGTTCGAGTACACTCCATGCACTATACAATGCATCGCTAGTTATGAATCGTCTGAAGGTACTGCTTCACAAAAATTGTTAGCAGTTGGGAGAGAAAATGGAGCTATCGACCTCATCAGATGTACGAAGACTGGTTTTTATAAGTATATGGGTATTCCAGCATCTTCTACTCGTCATTTAGAAGATATTGCATGGTATAATGGTCGACTATTTTCTGCAGAACTACAAGGAATAATCAGTGAATATGATTTAGTAAAAGGAACTATCAAGCGAACGGAAGATAGTTATGGTGGAGCTGTTTGGTGCCTTGCTGTAGGAAATAAAAAAGGAGTCATTGCAGCTGGCTGTGAAGATGGAAGTTTAAAAATCTACAATTGTGAGAAAAACAGTTTGTCATTTGAAAAATCATTTGATAAGCAAGAGGGGAGGATTCTCTCCTGTGCTTTTCATCCAGACAATGATGTCTTAGTCTCTGGATCTGTGGGTGTTATAAGAATCTGGAGTTACAAAAGCGGTCATGCTATGCAGAGAATAAACTTGGAAAGTTCTAGAAGTAAAAACACGATCGTATGGGCTGTCAAGATTTTAAGTAACAATACGATTGTGAGCGGCGATTCAACTGGTAAAGTAAATTTTTGGAATGGCAAAAATACTACATTACTGAAGTCATTTCAAAATCATCGTGCTGATGTTTTGTCCCTCTGTGTTTCTCATGATGAAAAAGTTGTTTATGCATCTGGTGTTGATTCACGAGTTTTAGCTATTAATTGTTCATCTGCGATGGTGGGCGAAGATGATCCGTCTTCAGCAACAACTGTAGACTCTTGGGTTCTAGGTGCAACCTTGCAAAAACATACTCATGATGTCCGTGCACTCGCAATCGTAGGAAATTATTTAGTATCGGGAGGTGTGGATACTAATATTTTGCTTTGCAATATCAAAAAAGGGGACTTTACTAAAATTAAAAGAATGGTTGATTTTCCCCATAAAAGCGTTGTTCATATAGCTGAAAACCCAAGATTGGTTTTGTTCCAGTATCCAAAACATTTGGATATATGGAGAATTGCAACTCCACGTCGGGTGAATGGTGAAGCTGGAGAAAAAATTGATTTAGAACAGGATCCAGCCATTGTTCTCCAAATAAAAATGCCTGCAAGTCAATTTGATGATATCACATGTTCTGCCATCTCAAAATGCGGCCATTGGGTTGCATATTCATCTCAATCATCATTTAGGCTTTTCAGGCTACAATGGGAAAAAGAAACACCTTCTGAAATATCTCTAAATAAAATTCCTATCATGTGGATTAAATCTGCATTAGCGATTGCATTCACTCCAGCCTCTGAATATTTGATAACCTCAGCATCGAACGGTAAAATATTTGTCATAAAACTAGAACCTGATGGCCACGTTCACGTAGCTCACGTATTCAAAAATGAAACCGATAGTATCCTTAATGTACCCGCTGTGTTATTTAGTGCCACCAATGAACTCTTTGCAGCTGTAGATTTGAATGATAATATCAAAATCTATGACTTGGAAAAACCAGAGATTCGATGCACATTGCCCAGTCAAGATAGCTCACCTACTGCCATTTCTTTTAAACCATCCTCTACCAAACTTATAGTTGCATACCAGAATCATGCTGTAATAGAATATGATGCTGACATGAAATCATACACAAAATGGTCCAGAGAAGCAAATTCTGTTTCACTCAATTTAATTGAGTTTCCGTGCAAATATACCAAAAGGCCGAAAAAGCTTGGAAAATGGAATACGTCTCCGATAATAAATATTTCGTTCAACGCGGATGATCCTAATATTATCCTTTTGTCTTCTCAAAAGGCTTTATACTTCCTGAATACTTCGTCTGATATTTTAAAAAAGATCATTTCTCATGAAAAGCAAAGATCGGAAAATGCCGTTGAGCAAAGCAAAGAATATGCAGCTGAACTCAGAAATAGGAGAAAAATGTTGGAAAATCCAGTCAAAAGTTGTGACAAGTTTGAACAGTTGTTGCATGCTTCGTTCATTGATGGTGGTTCATCTATTTTTGTTCTTGAAAGACCATGGCATGATATTTTTGATAATTTACCACCTACTCTGTATCAAAAAAAATTTGGAACATAATCGATGCAAGAATCATTGTCATCATGCAGTTGACCTGGCCAACTCGAAATCTTGGATAAATCTGTTAAAATGAAATAGATTGAAGACTGGAAACTTTAATTTGTGTTGTTAGAAAAATTGTTTTATATAGTAGCATTGACCATTTGCCATATGCTTACATTTTTATTATTCGACTGGTCACAACTTACAAAGTCTTATCCATTGTTTTGAGATATAAAATTTTTCGATATATTGTATTTTGGCCAAAACGCTCTCTATTTCCGTCAAACTTTCAATTGGAAGGTATTAAAATTTGTGATATTTGTTACGAATTCCAATCTGCTTTAAGTATTAAGTGTTAACTTGAAAAACATCATATAGAATAACGGAATAGAATACTATTTTTGACATTGCATAAATTAAACTGTATTTGATTTATCAATTGTAACACCTTAACAGTTTGAATTTTCATCCGTGGTGCTGTTCAAAAAATCCTATTTGTGATTGATAATATTTGAAATCATCATTTTTCCTTGTGATGCGGTATTATTGGTATGCTCTATATCTATACTGTTATCTATACCATTATGCAATAGAAATGTCAATGGAGTTCTTTTACTGATAAATATTTTGAGCTGTGTGGTTGGTCATATCAGCACCATCAACTGCGAAATTTTTTTTTTAGATCTAGAAAATTACCATACTAAAATAAAATCATGAGGATTGTTTCAATACGAAGTTACCTGGTTTTTGTGTGTTTTGCAATCATATCACTCTGGCTGCTTTTTTATTTTGTTGGAGTGGGACGAGTACAAAATTTATCTCGGGCTGGTCTGTCCGATGTAGAAGAAAAGCTGAAAGTAAAAGAAAAGATTACGAAGGTTTATGTTTTTTTGTATTATTCAAAATTATGTTTTGTCATGGTCAGGATTTTGTTTTCACTTGCTTACTTGTAAGCCTTATGATTTTATCGTAGGAGAAATAAATATATATTTATAGCAGCAAATGATATAAATCAATTTTCATCTAAATTCCAACAAGTTGAACCCATGTGTTCCAACTCGGACCAATAAATTTCATATAAAAAGGGGATCCAGGTGTTATTGAGTGTTTGCCACAAAATCAATCTGTTTAATTTCTTTCCACCTAGCTTCAGGGCCGGCCTCACGAGTCACGGGGCCCTATGCTCTGAACCAGGCTCTACACAACTGCCCAATGATATGTGAAGACCTAGTTTATTTTGAAGGACCAGAATTTTCCCATTAAGCATTGCCTATCTATTTTATTACAACTCATGTCATTGTAGTCATGCAGCACTTCTGAAACTTTCGAATTTGAATGAAAAACATTTCTGTTGAATTTTATCTTATTGAGTTTATATTCACAGACTTCTTTCTCTTGGCAGCTTACCAATTTGGTCCATGATAATCAAGTATTATTGGAAAAATTGAAAGTTGGTATTTTGCAGCACAAAAACATCTTACTTGACAAGATGAGATCAGAAGTATCGGCACAGAATGCATTAGAAGCGAAACAAATTAGTCGTGAGTAACATGAAACGTAGGCATACAGTTTGTAGGCCTATGAATTTTCACTTGCCAAGTGATATTATGTTACAAAGTGTTATGTGACTAATGCTAAGTAAAAGGCTGCTATAATTTGGAAGACTGGAATCTTTCTGGTGAGGTGATGGGCATGGTATTTGAACCCACTATTTTAACCATCATCGGCTAGTGCTAAGCGTTAGGATTAGGAATATGCTTGCCACTGCACCTCTGATTACCTTGAGGGGATTCACAGGTTTGAATCCTGTGGGGGAAAATTATGTGCGATATAGTTGCTGGGCTCCTTTCCGCTTTTTTCCACTATGAAGTCCATGCATCTGAAACAAAGAACTGGCGAACTGATCTCTTGCCTGACATGAGCTGGTAACCAGATGAGAGGCCGTGGCTCGCCATATAATTAAGCTTTCTGCTTTCTCCCTTTCATGGATAAATATGTAAATCCTACATCCTAGTTAATCCCTTGGTCATCACAACCACAAAAATTTATGATACTTAAATTTCAAAACTTATTTCAGATCAAGAAATCTTAGCACCTCACCCCACGCTAATCAAAACAACTTCCACTCTGAAAACGGAACCCCCTGATATTCAAGAAAATGTAGCGGAGAAAATTCAGAACGTCAAAGATGATAATGATGAGGTATAACTACATCTTCAAAATGAAATATTCTCATGTATTTCATGTTGTTTGAAATAGGCAATTTTCAAATTTGTAAAACTTACTTCAACATGAGGAAGTGAAAATATATTGTGACATATATTGTATATATTTAGTCCCATCGAGTCTCAGTGGCAATAATGCTTGCATGGAATTCGTAATTTTGGACGTTCTATCACTTTGATTCATATCTCAAATAATCTAATAAAATGTATTTTCTAGTTTATGATTCCAATTATGATTACTGCATGCAATCGTCCTTCAGTCTCTCGTTGCCTGGACAAACTATTTTCTGTTCGGGGATCTCAAGTCGATAACTTTCCTATTATTGTCAGTCAAGATTGTGGTGATAAAGCAACAGCAGATGTCTTGAATGGGTATGGAGACAAGGTAATAAAATTTATGAAGTAATCTAGTCTGGAATAAATATGAATAATGTTCGACCAGGGCTGTCCCATTAAAATCGATTTAAAGTACATTATCTTTGATATAGTGAACTCTCAATTTTGGGAATATTTTCTTCTAAAATATTAATGAAAAATTTGATATCGGATGGTCATACAAAAATGGACTTCTTTCAACTTTCGACACTGTAAACAATAGGGAATACATACCGGTACATAAACAACGGTTTATCTGACCTCTTACATGCATATAGAATTTACATAATTATCCTGGCAGAAAGTAAAGTCGATAAGACTGTTCAATCATAGGGCAACCAAGTCTCTTGCTCGGTTCACAGTCTATGTCAGATATGAGATCAGGTAGACAGTTATTTGTTTCAGATGCTTGAACTTGATTACATAAACCGAATATATTCAGAATGATTACTTCCGGTTTCCCTGTCAAATGTAAACCATTTTAGAATATATTTGAAAATATTTTTTCGAATTTACCTTTGGTCATTTATGTGTTGATATGATTTTTGGGTACTCCTGAAGTATGCGCACCAAGATGACGCACAACCTGAACCCTAACCTTGTACACAACCTGAGTTCAGGATGTGCGCTATCTTGGTGCGCATACTTCAGGAGGTCCGATTTTTGAGCTTTGATAAATAGGAAAGCATTTTCATGTTTTTAAATATTAAGCAATATTAGTATAGTGTGATTATAATATTTATTTCTCTATTCAGATAACATTTGTAAAACATGATCCTGAACCTGTGCCTCAGGGAGTAAAAAGCAATCTGGTTGGATATTATAAAATTGCTTCACATTACAAATTTGCTATAAACCAGGTAATTTATTAAACTTTTACCTCAGTCGAAATTGTCTTATTTTATGAAGTACTCACCTAGACACAATGGCCTGGTAGTTAATAGTGTCAGATACAACTCTCTAATTCAAGAGTCAAGTCCAGTTATAGATCATCTGAGTCAATAAAGTCTCTGCAAATTTGAGTTCGAGTCCCAATTCGAATCACTACATTCTCGAGTCTCAAGCCATGCCGCTGGTCGTTTGAGTTAGACAATCTGAGTCCGAAACTCAGAGCCATGGTAGAACAACAGTGAAATGGATAAATATGAGTGACAATGACCCTAAGACTTAAAGTTTCTATCTGATGTAAGCTCATGTTACTTCTAAAATCAAATCTCTCATTCAATCATTTATTGACAACTTGAAATCAAATCTACGCATATTTACTACAACCAGCTAGTGAGATTTCAATCCTGTGTCCACCACCTCACCCATGAATTAAAATTGGGTAGTCAAAATGACCAATCTTTACAAAGATAGTAACTCTCTACATATCATCAGATATCAGTGGGTTCTTGTACAGGGCCTTTGTTCTGAGCATGAAGGCATGAATGAGCGGCGTATAAAATTTCTTTAATGTTTTATTTTGAACAGGCTTTCCACCATTTTCCATCTGCTGATTCAATTATAATATTAGAAGATGACATCGAAATTGCTCCAGATTTTTTGTCTTATTTCAAAGAAATGCATGAACTTATGAAAAAGGATCAAACATTATGGTGCGCATCTGCATGGAATGATAATGGTAAAACGTCACAAGTTGATGCAACAGAAAAAGGAGCCGAACTATTATATAGAACAGATTTTTTCCCTGGACTGGGTTGGCTTTTAAAGGTAAGTTGGTTGATTGAGAATGAATGTCATCGATGAAAACATTTAGCGTGAGAGGGTAATTGTATCATCTTTCCGATTCAGGTTTGCTTCAACTCTTTCTACATATAATATAGGAGGAATTTTGAAAAGTTTATAAAAATAGTTTATGATTTCAGATTTTGCTAGATTTGTTGGTACATTGTTGACTCTGCCAAAGATGATTTTCATGGTCACTCACTGTGATGCCGATCATAATCATTTTTTCTTTACTGTGAATACAGATGGCCTGTGGACTATGGTTAAACATTAACATTTTCTGGCATCACCGGTTACACGTCTTGGGCTCAACACCTATGCCCAACACCTGACCCAGGGTGTACTAAATTTGCTAGGCAATGCAGAACCGGAAAAATTCAGTCCTTTCAAAAATATTAGCTCTTTACATACTGTTAGATATCAGTGAAAGTTTGTGCGGGTTCTGTTTCTGAGTAAACAGAGTCATATTTGACTCATAAGAGTCGTATTTTTAAAAATATGAATCTTGTGATATACTCTGATACTAATTTTGAATTTATTAAGGTCACTAAAAAGGCCTCTGTTAAGGACAGTATGGGTTTAAATTTTATTAAAATCAAAATATTATATATTCAGAGAAGTCTATGGGAAGAAGAATTGGTTTCCAAATGGCCACAGGCATTTTGGGATGACTGGATGAGAGAGCCTGAACAAAGGAAAGGAAGATCGTGCATAAGGCCTGAGGTATCAAGAACTTCAACATTTGGAAGAAAAGGGGTAATTATCAAATGCATATTGAACTCATGGGTCTTTTGCTAAATTGGTGTGGTTGCTTTTTTAAGGTTGTTATTATAGTTCTAAACGCTATTACTGTTTATTTTATTTTTTTGGGTCCTTTGGGTCTTTATGTTTTGCCCCAATTTTTGCTGATTTTTATAGTTAATGAGCACACCTTCATAAAACATTCAGTTCAATACTTTTAAGTTATTGTTGGAATTTCGCGGACATCCATACAGCAATGAGGTCATTTAGCCTTTGTGTCCATATATTTTAATATTGCTTCCTTGTTTATTTATAAGTTTGTGTTTGTAAGTACCTATAAGCCATTATTATTCTACTAATAAGATCCTATTCATTATTCATTTATTTTATTTCCATTGGGAGTAAATTGAGCTTCATGTTTGTACAGGTCAGTGCTGGGCAGTTCTTTGATACTCACCTGAAGTATATCAAGTTAAATGAATTTCCAGTTGACTGGTCGACAAAAGATCTCTCGTACCTCGTTAAAGATAATTATGATAAGTATGTTTTTACCTTATTGAAGTCTATTCAAGCTCAAAGGTTCTATTTTATATTAATTATGAATGTATAAGATAGTAAGTAATGTTTTGTCAAGCCGCTCTATTAGTAATTACCAACGGTTAGGGAGATGTGTTTTATATTTGCTTGTCTGATAACATTTCGACTAATCTTTATATTATATTATATTTCTGAAATAATTTTAAAAGCTGTACTGTTCTACCCTTGCCGAAATGGCATCAATTAAACTCTAACATGCAACAATATTCTGACATGCAGAAGCCATATACTCACGCTAATTCGTTGTCTAAGTGGTCAGGCTTTGTTTTTTTTGTGCATTTGGATATATGAGGTTTCTTCGAATTGAATATTAATCTGTATATAATTCCCAACTGGTGTGATGTTATACTTGACTAACAGCTCACAAAAAAAACTCTTTTTCTACACGATTCTAAATCATGTGTTTTGACAATAATTTCCTACCTCATTTTAGAATTTTTCCTCTTTTTATTTATGATTAGTAGACTTGCATTTCCTATTTTTATATTTCAAGATCTTTCAAAGATAAAGTATACAACCTTCCACTGTTTCGAATCAGCGATCTTAAAGAAAATAAAGATCCAGACACTCGTGAAGTTCGAATTGAATACACAATGTCACATACTTTTAAAGCTTTTGCTAAGGAGCTTGGACTTATGTCCGATTTTAAAAAAGGGGTGCCAAGGACAGCATATATGGGTATTGTAACCACTATTTTTAGAGGTAGAAGAGTTTATCTTGCTCCTCCTGTAGATTGGACTGGTTATGTTGAAAGCTGGTCATGATTTTTAGCGTTTGAGTGGTATTGGTCAACATTGTTTCATGTATGCAGTATCAGTTGCAATAATACTCAAATTTTAAATGATGAATTATCAGAGTGGGAATATTTTAGGCATTGTCATGCGTTGCGATTTGATTGTTTGCCATGCCATTTTCTACCATTTTGAAATAAAAAATTTCCTGAATTATTTATATTAAGCACAATTAGGAGAATAAAAGTCAAGAGCAAAGGTCGTAGTTGCAAGTCATTTTGTAACGTACACATTTTTCTGTTATAAATGTGATAATCCCTAGGGGCAATTCAGTCATACCTAAAAACACCTACTGACCCCTCGCTCCCCCCAATCGTGTCTATACAACATACTCTTTACTTAAAATTTGAACGTCTTCTAGAGATTGTGAAACCGTATTGAATAGTGTTATGTGCAATCAAAATAATCATTTTGGATCACGCCGAAGGTAGAAATAATGGCTTATGCTTTATTTGGTGTGCTTTATTTTTACTGTTTTGAAATGTGCCAACGAAAGTACTCTTGAAGATATAAATACATTTGTCTTCGTATTTGGAAATGATATAAAAGACCTCGATTTTGTATGAAATATTCCGACAGAATTCAAAATTATATCCATCTTTGCTTCTACTTTTTATGGCATCTCTGTATTACTGAGTGAAGAAGTTAATTTTATCAAGGTGTGAAGTGAGGGAATTTTTATTATCTGCGTATTATCGATAATCATATACATGCACTGTTTAAGACATATTTTTGAATGTTGATATTATATGATTTATGAAATGTAAAATGTGCAACATGAATACCAAATCAACACACATTGTTAATTGGGTATCATCTGTTCAACACAGGCCTGTTGGTTCAGTTATTCTCTCCCAGTTCCAGAACAGTTTTTATTGAGGAAAACCTACCGGTAATTGAACGTAATTTTTTCTTCATCATTTTCATTGAATTGGTGGTTGATCTATTTTGAAAGTGATCATAATTATGTTAGGCATAGGCTTCTGTCGCCTCAGATAATATATTCATTTTCATTTGCCACTCTGCTATAATATAATCAATAAATGCGCTAGAAACAAAATTTTATTAAATTTTTCTATATATTGATTAATGTACACTCTACCTACAAATCTCCTTTTGCCAAGTTGCAACTGTTACAGGGCATCGTTAATATCTGATCAAATTTTTAGAGACCAGTACTTATTCTGATTGTATTTGTACAAATCGCCGATAATTCTCAATTCAGCAATTTAAAAGATATCTTGATCAAGGACTACCCAAAGTTTTACCAATGTGCTTTTGAAATATATTGTGCAATATACATAATTAAGTCTTTTGCAGCAGTGAGATTAGGACAGTACCTCTTGAAGTTTTTTGTTTGTGCGTATTTTGTAATGTCTCCTACGGAACACTGCCTTGAAAACTCTTTAATCGCCATTTGTTAATAAAATGAAAATTTCGCCCGATAGGAATATTGGCAGGAATGGAAATGGATCTACAAGGACGCTTTGGGTTTTCAAATAAGTGAGCATGTAATTCGAGCATTGTGCCGATTTTGTTCAAATTCCACAGTGTTTAAATGCTCTTCGTTTGCCTTGACCAACTAGCTGTTCTTGTGATATATTGTACAAGGTTTGTTAGTTTAATCTCGATTGTTCAAGATGGTTGAACCGTTGATAAAGTTGAACAGTTTATCTTTATCCTATTCAAAATTTTACATACCAAAGAAAACATTCGTCAAAGATTTATGCGGTAAATCACAAATTAAAAGTAGGAGGCGGAATCATACCGCCCCTTTTTGGACTTATTTGAAGATATAGCTGGAAATCCAGAACAGCATTATCATTTATATATTGATCATCCAGACCTAATTTTGTATGCTTCTTTGAGGTGTTCAATTGTCTCAAAACAGGACCCTTTCCAAATAAAGACAAAATAGAGAAAGGCGAAGACTTTTTTCAATTAGCTGTCAGTTCTTTTCAGCAACTTGGGACAAAATTGTGATTTTGAAGATGTGATCTAGTTTGCACGCACAAAATGGCGAAAATCATTGGACTATCTATAGCAGGGGTTCTCAAACTTTTGGTGTTGCGGAGCCCTTGAAAGGTTGAATATTATTCGCGGAGCCCCAAAATAAATTTTAAAATTGTTACTTTCAGATTATTATTCCCGAGCAAGTTAAAAGTACTTTATTTATTCTAAATCCTGAACCTTTTTTAATAGGGTTAACACAAGTCATAAATAAATCTAAATTTTATACTAAAGCTGTAAATTTGACACTTGACGAACATATTAATAAATTAGGGATCGAATCTTTTTTTTTTTGACATTTTTGTAAGACTTAATTAAAAGGCCGTTAGTAACGTGCGCTATTTCATTTTGTTACAATCGCCGATTTTTTCCGTCAGCATGGCGTGTTTTAAACATCTTTACGCCGCTGTTTATTCTCCCTAAATCAAAAATTTTCCTCGGCATATACATGTATTGTTACACAATGACGACGTTAATTGCTTTTTTGTTCTCGTGGGGAATTATGAGTTCAATGTGAAAAACATGTTACCATATTATAGTCATCGGCGACGAAATGCTAAAAATAATAATCAATAAAAAGGTAAATCCACAACTCAAATTTCTTGATTGAAAAGCGGCATTCTAAAATATTTGAACTGAAACTTAAAATGGAAGATCACACTTTGGTTTCAGCAGACTCACCTCAGATTGAAAACGCTTCTATAGACATTGTAAATCACAAAATTTGGTGTTATGTTAGGTTTTCATCGTAGTAGCTGCGAAATCGAAACACAGTCAATTGTGCGCGCGATTTACCTTTTTTTCATTCTGAAACTACCGACGCAGTCGCACGCAATCAATAGTGCGCGCGATCCGCGATGTACCTTTTTTCATTCTGAAACTACCGACGGAGCTGAATGCAATAAAATAATTTTCAATTGTTCGTATTTTCCCCAGACATTGTGATTTTTTAAACAGCGATATCTTGCTTAAAAATAATCTCAAGTGCGAAAGAACAAATCAAGTTTGACAAATCCCAAGATCGCAAAAATACGACACCAATTTATTTATAGTTGGCAGTTTATCACATATTTTATGTTATTTTAGAATAGTATTCTTTCATTTTAGTAATCCTAATAGTAATCTCGAATCAAACGTGAGTAACGATGAGCACAACTACATTATACCGACGAGACACGTCAAATGCTCCATCGGTCTTGGATTGAATATTTTACGCAACAGAAATCTCGTTATCCATTTTTTTAATCGCGAAAAATGTTGCGCGGAAATTTCCGATTCCAATTTTGAACCACCTCCCTCTTAAGAATCCTGGCTGCGCTACTGCTCATAAATAATGTCATTTTTTAATTCCTGCCCTTTACCATATTTCGAGGCTATATTGTTGTCAGATGTTATCAAAGCTGTTATTGCTTCTTTGAACAGTTACAAAATTTTGAGTCAGTATTTTGAAGAGTAATCGAATAGCTCGCGGAGCCCCTGGGTTTCTCTCGCGGAGCCTTGGGGCTCCGTACGGAGCACTTTGAGAACCTATGATCTATAGGATCCCATTAGACATAGGGTCAACGGGGATTGAACCACGTGCCGCTTACATGTACTGCTACCTTGCGATATCAATTTTTGATAAAACTAAAGATCCTGGAAGACGGTATGTTAGTCGTTGGAAAGACATAATAACAAATATCCATGCTTTCAAGTCCATCCATTCTATCCAAGTCCATGCTTCTGAAAACAAACAATATAACTAATCCCATACCCGACTTGGAATGGTAACCGGACGAGAGGCCGTGGTTCGCCATATGGATAAGCCGTCTTATCGGCTTTCCTCTCCCCCGGGATAAATATGTAAATCCTATCCTATCCTAAATAATTATTTTTGATTCGCAAATATTTTTTGGAACTACTAAAAAGAGGCGATGTTTACAACTACGCTTGAATATATATGTCTAGTCTAGTCGAAAGAAATGTCTGAGCGGCAGCATAAATTGCAATTGTTACGTCATTGTTGACTCTTTGCTGATTGGTAATTGTTACGGAAATAACAGGGAAATCGATGCTCGGGAAAACATCCATAGTTACGGGGCAAATACATCGCGCACGGAACACATTTGTATGAAATTCGGTAATTTAGGTTTGTCTGAAATATGATAATCTGACAAAACGGCGCTTGCTTATCTGACTGGTGACTGGGTTCTGCTGCTGTCGATTCCTTGCGTGCGAATACTGGAATAGGCGGTTTTGTTCTCCTCGTAGCAGATTTTAGAAAATTTAAAATGTCTCACACAATACTTCTTGTTCAGCCAACGAAAAAGCCTGAGGGGCGGACATATTCAGACTACGAATCGGTGAATGAATGCATGGAGGGTGAGTATCATAATATCAGTACATATCATATCAGTACCGGTACATAATGTCTGAATGTGGTACCGTAATGTGACCTGCATACATTGTCAGTTTCAATAATTCGTAACGAGTCGTTATTATCAATTGTTTTATTGTATTGTGTCTGTTTATTGAATGCTAATATGCTTAAAAACCATGACTACCGTACCAACAATACTGGTATAAGGGTCTCATGTAGTTTCGTACTACCTAACATACTTCTAGTGAGCGCAGCATACCGGTAACAATTTTTCGATATGTCAATCCTAACTGCCATCTGACTACGCCATAACTACGTTAGGTATGGAACTACACGAGACCCCAATATAAATGCCCCAAATTGCGCGGCGGTGTGGCTCAACGGGCTAAGCGTTAGGAATACGCTCACCACCGCACCTCTAATTACTCTGCGTGGGTTCGCAGGTTCGAATCCCATGCAGGGATGGTTATGTGCGAGAGGATTGCTGGACTCCTCGCCGTCGTTGGGTGGTTCACGTAACTGCTGGCCGGTTACGGCTTCCTCCACCACCAAGTCCATGCTTCCGAAAACAAACAATAAAACTAATCCCATACCCGACTTGGAATGGTAACCGGACGAGAGGCCGTGGTTCGCCATATTGATAAGCCATCTTATCGGCTTTCCTCCCCCCCCCCCCGGGATAAATATGTAAATCCTATCCTATATAAATGCCCCAATACAAAGTCCAATTGATGTCCAGGAGTCACAGATCAGAATACAATACGGTGCTACGGTGCTTATAATTCATATAAGCCAGCAAATATTTTCTGAAAATGGTGCTTGATGGTCTCATGCTTTGAATTAAGTAGGCCTATCAGTATTAGAAATCTCAAAAATAGTTTCCGGTGCATTTCGACAATTTCCAGAACGCCATATCAATTTTATGCCTAAATACCAGTACCGTACTTAAGAATTGTAATAATTGTTTCTCGTCTTTATAATGTTCATATATAATGAACGATGATATTTAAATAAAAAAACACAGCGATACATCAATAAAGGACAAAACATCTAGGAAACTAATGTTTTAAGAAGAGAATTTAATTTAAAAAAAACAAATCAGTATGACGGTCGAGAATAGCCCCCACATTAAAAGACATCAATTATACCAGTGAGTGCAAACCCCTCTTTTACTAGACAGTCTGGGCTTTCATTTTGGCACGAACAGCCACTGTGCAGTGAACGAATAGAAAGCGCAGACTAAAAACGTCACCATTGGATTCCTTAGAAAAAATAATATAACCTCCAAAAAAAAAAAAAAGCAATTGAGAGTTTTTAGTACAATACTGCAATTTTGGTCATACGCTGGCCGGCGCACGTCGTTATGGTTTAAAAGTATTATTGAGACAGGCATGGCGCGATCTGACACATCTACAGTTATGCCAGACGATCTCTTCCCAGAGACAAATACAGTTTGTTTTATTGAACCAAATGTCGGGCAAATATGTAAAATCATTTTAATTTTTCATAGCATGTCCTTGATGAATATATTGTAAAATATATAGATAACTTTTTCATAATTATCAGCTTATAATGGGAAAATTATTATAATTGAACTAGATTTAACCCAAAATTCAAATTAAAAACTTGTTCGTTTAAATATGGTTTGTTACAATATACTGATATGTGTTTACTGTTAACACAGGATAAATTTGAGAATATAAAATTAATTACTCAATATCGAAGGTGAAAGCATTATGCTGGAAATCTACACTTCAGTTACCTGTACATTTTTGTATGTGTGTATTTCACTCACATAAAACAGATTGAAAATATCAATCACATAGTACTAATATGTTAGCATGTGTTTTTCCAAAAATATTTTTATCTTGAAATAAATTTTACATTTCTAGGTGTGTGCAAGATCTATGAAGAACATCTCAAGCGAATAAATCCCAATTGCCCGTCAATTACTTACGACATCAGTCAACTGTTTGATTTCATCGATGAACTTGCTGATCTTTGTTGCCTAGTATTTCAAAAATCTACCCAGACATACGCACCATTCAACAAAGAGTGGATCAAAGAAAAAATCTACATTCTCCTTCGGAAACAAGCTGGCAAGACATAAATATTGGAGCGAAGATACTAGGCACGAATTATGGAACGATCTATCTTCAATCATGCTTGAGAAATAGATACCCCTTTCTAGTTTTAGTTTGATTGAAGATTGCCGTCATTGACTTTTGTTTTGACAGGCTTGAATTGACTGGTATAACACATTATTGTATGTAGTTTACAATTTTATTGACCATTTTACGGAGTTAACTTTCAATATCTGTATTTGATTTCTCTTACCAGTAAACGTCCTTCAATCTCAAATGTAATTTTTGTGATTGTTTTATCTTTTAACACAAGATAGGCAAGCATCTCCTTTGTGTAAGTAGTGTCAATGGTTTTTAATTGTTGGTATCGTCTTTGATTTCTTATAGCTGTCATCGTGAAGAATTAGTTTGGGAAGCAATGTTATTTGATATGTAAATAGCAATTTGAAATGTTTGTTCGTTTTTATTTGCATAATGCGTTTCAGTTGGTAGAAATGTTAGAAATTTGGAGTTTCACAGAACATCAATTGCAGTAGTGCAATTCTCAATCTGGTGGCCATTTAATGAGATGTCATGAAAACTAGCTATGAAATCTCCTGTATACTGTCAAATCGATGTTGTATATGACGTCATTGCAACTGATATAAGGACTAAAGTTTGGTCAAAGATTTGCATGTGCAAATAATCCATTTGAGCTTGACCAGAGAGAATTGTGCTGTCTTTTCAGTAAATATTCATCAAAATCTGGATTCCCTATGTACTCATCGCCTCTCATCAGCTGTATTATCAAACCTCCTCAGGGCTGTTTGTGGTTTATACAAATATCTGAGTTGCACCAGAGTTCAGCAACCTATTTTCAGGCTCTATGCTCTGATCAATATTTGAAATGTTCACCATAATTGGGCTTTACATTAACCAGTTAGGGAAATAACTTGATTCGTTCGGTAGATATAGGCCTGCTGTGGAGAGAGAAATTTAATATTTGTCAACCAGAAAAAAAACATAAATAGATGGTAATTATTAACGTTTATTCGATATGGACTGGAGGGAGCGATGCTCCCACCATGTTCGCACCAGTTGATTAGGGAGGAGTCGATTTTAGATGAAATATGGTTTCACTGGTGTAAATTCTTCCAATGGGAGTAAATTTATACATAGTATAGCACAGCAGTATAGACTCAAAAGTGTGCTCAGTGAGACACTTTTTTAAAAAACTTCCAATAGGCCATTTAGCAAGTTCGACGGAAGTCGTGGAATCTCCGTTCAATTCAATTTCTGTGTGTTTGATTATGGTTACATAACGTTTAAACATGCAGATAGAAGGGAAGGAAAATGATACACCACTAAATTCAGGAATAATTACGCTTTTCTGTCACAACAAAGATGTTTTTTTTGTAACCATTTTATTGGCGTTGTATCCGCAATTTGCAAAATGGCTGAGGCCGGCTCTTGGTGGGCGGGGTGTGGGATGTGGTCGGCACGCATCAAGCGTTGAATTAGTTTGGTGAAAGGATTTAACTATGGATTGAATGTGGACAAATATTACAACTCTTTAATTGTTGAAGAGTTGGATGCTGCTTTCAGTGTATGATTTGAGATGGGTAAGTTTATTGTATTATATTTTGCTCTTTGATATAAGTTATGAGCAGTAATAAAAATATCTGCATATCAGAATAAGTGGACTAGCTGAATAGTGAATCTGTAAATTAAGATGATCTTGAGATAATAATAAACGAACAAGATTGAGTAAAGGGCATATTGGTGTGCGATAACTGGGACCCATTGGCATTTTGCAATTGCAAAATATCGGTATATGTTGGTTAAAAAAGTTTGGCCTCATTCTACCTCAGAAACGCTGACGAATATTGATCATTTTCAAAGTATAAAAAAATAGGATAATTCTAGGTAGTTAGGCATTGCTAATTTCTGGTATGATGGACTTTGAAAAGCAAAATCTCAAAGTCCGAAAGTATACATTAATGTCATTAGGTTGGGCCCTAATGGTTGGTGCTTAAAGCACAAGACACACGAACATATGCGCTGTTCTGTCATATGCCCCCAAATGATAGTCTGAAGCAGATTCCTCCATACTGTCATTTCATCGCAAAGCCCGAGGTTGGGCAACTTGCTGCCTGTGACGAATTTTTGTGTCGCCCATGTCGCCTCATTAAATTCGACCCTCTGATGACTTATGTGACCATGATTGCCCGCGAGCCAAAACAATTGCCCACTTCTACTATAGCAGACCTTTACATCAGGGGTGTGCAACCTTTTTCGCAGGCGGGCCAAATACCAATACCTGGGTAAAACCGCGGGCCGCACCTTCATTTAACATAGGCTTTCTATTAGTTGCAGGCACAAAATAGTATATTTTTGTTATCGATCTCATGTCGTCATCATTAGGGGTTCTTGCAGAAAACGCATAAATTTCTTAAAACTGTAATTCAAATATATATATTGTCACACCCAATTTAAACCAATTTAGTGGAAAATTTGCTTCTGGATTCTTTTCCAGACTACTTCTATCTAAATTTGCTCAAATGCAAGTGCTAGCAATTCGATATGACGCCCATTTTAGAAAAAAATATGTAACCGAAAAGTGCCATATTTGAAGCCATGACTTTTTTTTAAATGTGGAAAGTTATTTTAGTTGATGTTTTCGGTATAATACGCCAAGATTCATTCCCAAATACTTTGCTGTCAAATCTTATTCTATATTAGATTTAAACAAAATCAACTGATAGGCTGGAACCAAAACTCATTTAGATTTTCTGCATAGATAATAAATTGGACTCGAATATAAGCTTTGCAACGCAAAGGGGACTAGCTCAAACTAAATTAAAAACTAGTTAGCTGGCCGCACACCATTGAAAATTGACACTTCTCCGCGGGCCGCACAATTTTCCCTCGCGGGCCGCATCTGGCCCGCGGGCTGCACTTTGCACACCCCTGCTTTACATAACTAAGTGAAACAGTGCTGAGTTATCAGCCCACAGTTTTCTCTATTTCGATTGATGTAGAATCATATCCTACTACCTTAACCATTTTCATTGATTGAAAAAGATCTGGAGAAGGTTAAATGCGTTGGTATGTGAACAAGATGTTGGAGCTTGGATAACTAAGCCCTCTATTTAAAATGCTTTTATTCATTGGAAAACTGTGAAACACCGCTGATACTAATTACAGAATTATAATAATAACTGTTATGACTCAAGCAAATAAGGATCCTAAACAGCAGCTTTGGCCTAGAAGTAAAGATATCCCAGAATCTTAGGGCATAAGAACTCAATGCTCATCATTTCTTGAAAGTAAACGTGTGTACCAACGTAAAGTGATTAGTGTTACAATGGCAAGAGGTTTTCAAATGTTTAGCACAATGCGCTATCACCCCTGACTTATTTTCTTAGATATCATCATTGACAAAGACCTTTGAACCTAGTTCATATCATATTTCATACTATAAGAATAAAATTGTTATTATATTTAGAAATGGACAAAAATACTTTGGAATACAAGTTTGCAATTCTTGAAACTCCCAATTCTGGACAGGTCACTTTTATCAAGGATGAACATTCCAATGAAATCTTTCATCCAACTACTTTGTTTCCTGCTGGTCTTCCACCTGTTTATCCTTCCTTGTTGGATGAAGTTCAAGCAAGGTTTCTTGAAGATCCAGAGAGGCTCGACATTCATGATTTTAGAAAAACACAAAGGTGAGACATAATGATATGAAGGTTTATTTGTAGCATGACTGTAAATCATATCTGTATAGCCTATGCATGAAATACGAATATGGTAGCATAGAAAAGGTAACACATTTGGCAATGCGCTAAGAAAATCATATGTCGAATTTTGAAAATAAAGGCTGTAATGCTTCTTAGGTTGAATTAAATAGAACATCCGTGAGTATTCATTCCAGTCATGGAAGTTTTAGAAAAGTTAAACAGGTTGTTATGTACTCTCAGGATCTTCAGATAAAGCCATGAGCTGAACCAAAATGTTTGGGAAACCCTGGACTAACTTATATTAGGTTGTCGCAGTGGTGCAATAACGTGTTGCCAGTTCATATTGGAAACTTAGAGTTAGAAGTCTGGTTAAAAAGTGCCCAATGCTGCTCAAATGAATATTCATTTCTAATTCAACAATTTCAGAATCTGGGATCCAGACGTTGATATTGAGTCACTCTACAGTATGAATGTATGTCCTGTCAATACATCACTTCAGGTAAAAAAGCTTATTACTAATATTATAATTTGATGCAACAAAGACAGGAATTGGCAAGAGTATAATATGAGATTTTCGACAGGTTGAAAGAAATCCAACTTCTGGAGAATTGCTTGGTTATTTCGAAGAAAGAATTGATGCATTAGAAAATTCTGCAAACATGACATCAAAAAATTCATGGTCAATGCTTAGGGCACCTGGACCTCCTTCGGAAGCTACAAGGGGTAGTTCAACGAATTATCCTTTTTGGCCAGGTATGATTCATTCGGAGTTTAACTTTTAAACCTTCTTCTCTCGTAACAATCATCTCTCTAGAACAGGTGTGGCCAACTTGTTTTTGATTGAGATTGACTAAAATAGTTGTAATATTTTTTGATTGACCGACTGATATTAAAGTTGCACATAAAAATGGATGAGTACTATAGTTTAATCCTAAAATATCATAGACTGTGTCCCCATCCTCTTGCTTTTATCAAAGCCAAGTTTACACAATATTGTGTTGGCCACCCCCACCCTGGAGTATTATATCTTTTTAGGAAACCAAATATCACACTTTTATGATATTTGAATCATTGACTTTTTTTGGTTATTCAAAGAAACCTATTAGATTTTTTTTTGTTATTGCTGCACTTGGATAACTGTTAAGTAGGCTTGTAGAGTGATCGAGACTTTCCTGATAGCAAAATAGCTCCTGTGAGCCGTGACTATTGGCCTGCTTTTCCAACATCAATCATGTTCATGTATTCTGAATTTTTCATATTAAAATTCATATTTTGTAGTTAGCCTAACTAATCCATTATTTATCCATTTCTCATTTATTTCCCTCAAACTTAAAACAAAAATGCCTGTCAGCTACAAAAATGGGATTGAAGGAATCGATATCTTGCAGTTTTGCTTTGCTAGTTGTATTGGAAATAGCGATGAGTTTATTCAGAATATGTTTGTAGGTGGAATGGAAGAAGCCCTGTCAACGATGATGAGAGAGGGTCCTTCTGAAGTAGACTTCGAAGAAGGTACCATTGTTTTGTTCTAGATGCCTCGCTGCTATTTGAATGATGAAGTAAATTCCCTATTTTTCGATTTTAGACTTCTTGACTTGTCCACCAGGATTTGAAAGTGGAGTAGATTTCGGAAAACATGGAGGTAATCAATTTTTTGTAATATATTAGGTTTAAAATGAGGCTGACTCGATGCAACAGATTTTAACAAACTCTTGATCCTCGAAACGAAAATAGCAAATTTGCCCCATCAAGGTATTTGTGACGTTCACTCGAAACTTTAAATAATATTCTAAGCTAGCTCAGATTAGATTTTTGGAAATAGTTGTACAACAATAGAAATGATTTAGATGTCAAAAGTATATGCAAGTAATGCAACCAACTTGAATTGGGAAAATAAGGTTTTTATCAGGATACAGCCTGCTTAAATTTTCTACAATATACATAACAGCTATGGAAGTTGATTAATGCCATTGCTAGCTCTGATAGAAATTCATAATAGCTTGATATTGATAAAATAAAGATTCGCATTATTTCCTGAAATGTTTTGGTGAGTGATAACTGTGAAGTGGACAATGAATATTAGGCTTTGTTTCATAAGCCTTGAGGATAGAAATTTCTACCACTGTTACTATTGGAATTGGATTATATTGTGCTCTCTTATTTCTGCACTGTGGAAATTTATTGTTGTTTCATGTACTCGTATTAATTACCGTAATCGCTTTTCATTCTAAACTAAATCAATGGCTACATTATTATTATGATTCATCAATCTGTGGCAATATGAGGAAACTTAGATTTCAGCAGAATGTTTGTTTTAATCCAGATCTAAGAAATTTTCTCAATGGCATAGGATTTTAAATTATAAAGATTAACTGAATTGCCATTTTGCAGGGTTTTAGGATTGTCAATTCTTAATACATTCAGAAGGAAGATTTTGGCATTGACACTCATATTTACTGTCGTATAGATTGAGTATTTGATGTGAGTGTCATAAGTTTCTGCTTCCAGATTTCGTTAGCTTGTTAGCTTAGAGTACTTTCAAGAAAAAGCAAAAAAGTTTGAGAAAGCTTGGTGATATTTCTAGGCACAAAATATACAATTCTGAAAGATGGATTCATTTCTAATCTGGCTATAACTCGATTCACACTAGTCATCACAAATTGTATATTAATTCACTTATGTTGTATTTTACTACTTTGCAAAGAATTTATATGAATGCAAGTTTTAACGAAGGTAGTAATGCAAATTTGATATACCTCGGTACCCCGGTATGAGTACCGTTAATTATTACTAATATCAATATGATAGGATATTTTTCAAAGAAAAAATATATTCCACACTGAAACTAAGCATCTGTATTATCAACAATTTTAATAGGATTTAATAACGGATTCAAAATTTACCAAATTATATGAGAAAAACAATAAAATGAACACCCAAACTAATACATATTATTCAGTGTGCTCAAGATCCTATTTTACTGATGGGTTCACCATTCTTCCTAAAAATAATATGTTTCCTTTTTCGTATATTGCGTATATGAATGGTTTGTTTATGACAACATCTTGTGCAATATACAATGACCTGGCTCCCCCTATAATTCCAGAAGCAGCTGCAGCTTCAGTACCTGAAAAACATAATAATAGTACCAAATAAACACTGAAAAACTTCTGCACAAATAATTCCTGGATATTGATATCACAACTTTATTATCTTCATAGTTTTTGCTTTGGAATCTCAACTAAAAAAAAGTGCTAAAAATTGAAGCTTTCCAAACTGTATTAGTCTGTGTTCATCCAAGCAATCCCATATATCTCATTCAAATTGTAAGTTGAGATTTTGCTGTTGAACACTTTTAATTAAACTGAATTGATACCTATCACAATTTGATTTATTGTTTTAAAGTGTGTTACCTGGGCAAAAAAGTTTGGGAGACATGAACCTAGTTGATTGTAGAAAATGTCACACATTTGGAATCAAACATTGGTTTATTATTAATCTTCTTGAATAATCTATCAAATATATATTTACCATCTTTGTTAACAGTCACTCTGGCTTTATGGACAAAGTCAGTAACATATACAAATTCTTTTGATATTCCACTTAAGTCTGCATCTTCTCTGCTGAAAAGGCTTCTGCATCCCATTGTTTTAAGGATCTAAGTAAATAAGAAAGCAAGTGTTATACCCATAGATCCATATTCAAAAAAGTTGTAGAAATAAATATAAATACCTTTTTTACATCCATTTTTTTCTCCACTGTGAATTCTGGCATATACAAATTCATTTGCCTCACTTTCCAATCCTCCAGTTTCTTCTTTAGGCTTCTGAAATAACTCTCCAATTTTCCTTGAGTGGAAATATTTTTCATCGCTGTAGAAAGTAACAGAATTGTTATTGCCATTTTAAAAATATGCCATCATTTCATTGTGATAGGATAACACTTTCATACTAGGGGAAATGGAATTCTCACACATTATGCATGGGTAATAGGTGATCAGAAGCTGTGCATATTCCTAGAGTTATTTGTGAGTCGAATTTCTCGATGTAAATATTAATATATCATCATAGACTGATTACAATGCATATAGCATGCGATACTTGAGTTAAGAAAACTTTTACCTTCTTCAGACTTTGGCATCATTATTATAAAGTATGTTTCTTCGTCTTTGTATGGTATCGCAACTGACATGTGGTCAACTTCTACTTTCATTTTGTACCTGCCTCTGTGGCTTTTAAGATATGGTACTTCAACTGGACCGGATGGTGTTTTGAACTTCTAGAGATATGTAAGAAATAAAAATAATTGGTCAATTTGCAAGTATCTTGTGCTTGTACTTTTTGGGCCGCTATTAGACACAAGTGCAAGTGTACATATTCAGCGGGAAATGAAACATCTAGACTACATGCTCCTTTATTTCGTTGTACTATATTAACTTATGGAGTTGATTTCTTTGTTTTAATCTTCTCTTATGTGATTTCTCAAACTCACCTTTTTATCTGGGTATTGCATAAAAGGAGACGACCAGGATGCTTTAAAATACAGGGCATTCACAAGTACAAATCTAGTCAGTGGGGTGAATAGGTCTGGAGATATTAAGTTCTTTATTAAACCTTCAGTCTGATCCTCCACCCACTGGTTTACCCTGAAAAACGAGATGAATATTTATTAAGGTAAGGTTATTGGACAAGAAGTGAAAGTATGGATTGCGGTTGTCAAATTTTCTCTGGACTCCATGGTTCATTGTTCTGTCCACATTTGAGAAAATACGCCACCATGTTGATTATCCACCAATTGCTTACAGCAAACATTGTTTCATATAGAATCGAAATATTAGTAACTGTACTCTCTTTTGAAGTTTTCATGGGAATTTAGGAGAGTAAGATTTTGCCCACGATCAGTCAATATATAAGAAATATAAAGCAGTGTTTGTCTAAGTGTGTCTCAAAATGACCAGAGAAGTCTCAAACACCACTATACTATTACTACTAGGACAAGGATGAGGCTTTTTAACTTACTTCTTTGCAGCAGGACCACTTTTGCTAAAATCAATTTTGTCCATTCCAGAATAAAAACTTTCTTCGAGTACATCGGTGTAATTTCTATAAACCTTGTAACTGGATTGAAAATAGCTTCTCGATGCCATTATTGTCACCACTTTGTCTTTTTTCCCGTCTCCAAATTTGTCACTAGTAACATTTCTAGATAAAGAAAAATATATTTTGCTCAACTAGTTGATAAATTGTACATGTCTTCCACAAAATTTGGGTCAGTGTCTAAAAAACATTTGATGTGTCGTAGTTGTCTCCTAGATACACTTTATCACTCAAGGATATGTGATTGATGCTTGTGCTCCACCATAAGGACCTCAGATAGAGCATTATGACATAGAGATAAAAGGAATTAGCTCATAAATGTATGTAGTTCTTGAGATCCTATATAATCCATGTATTATTTATATGCGCTGTGTAGTATAGACACATACAACATGTTCAAATTCACCTTTTACACAAAACTATTTTTAAATATCAGGCTCCTGCGATAAACTTAGATAAACAAGCGCCTCAATTTCGATCAGACAAGCCAATCAAATGAAAATCGAAAGGTTTGAAAATAAATTATCAGTGTTCGTATGCATTCTAATCTTTTCAGTGATATCATGAAGCTTCTGTTTTGGCTGTGTTGAAAAATATTTCAATTCTCGGATATTTCATAGTAAATTGTGAGCCAAATAAAATGGTAAATTTTTTGATACTATTACTTATTTTTGAATCTTACCTGAATAAGGCATTTATTTGGGAATTCGGTGTAGACCGACCAACACGCATTACCCGTTTTATTTCTTCAGATGTATTTCCCTTTGCACCAGAGTTGACCATTGCTAATCCGTGAGAAATACTGTTGATAGTAAGAATTTTGATTATCATCTTCATAATTCATTGTATTGATTAAAGGACTTTCCATACCAGTACCCAGAGTGTGTGAGCATTAGAAGGCAGACCAAAACTTTGTATTACAATGAAGAATCTATTTTTCGAATATTGAATGGCTGATTTACACACTAACTTTCCCCTCAAAATTAAGGAACATATTCACAATTTGCTTTCCGTCTTACGCTATATCTGAGAAATTAATGTTAATAACTGTTATGATAGTCTTCTTAGATTTAGGAGCAGGATGTGCAAGGAACAGAGTTTTTATACATAATGAGAGAGGAGAAAAGAGATCTGAAATAGACAGAGGGAGAAAGCATTGAAAAGGATTGGGAACCACTGCTCTAGGAATTTCAACCAGGTAACCAACGAGAAATACAGTATTACGTGCAAAAAGTAAATCTTGTAGAATAGTTCACTCACCTTGTTGGAGAGAAGAATATATTTTGTGATTTTTTTGTTTGTTTAATCACCTTGGAGAACAGTGCCCCTGAAAATTGACGAAGACTTTGTTGAAATTTACTGATATCATCTTCAGTGGGGAAGTCGTCTTTATTTGGCGGTATTATCAACGTGTAAAATCCATCATCATCAACTTCTTGTTGCTGTTGTTCTTGACAGTGTGCCACAACGAGCAGCAAAGTTTTGATCAACAGCAATAGGTAAAGCTTTTCAAACATTTTCAGTCAGAATATTGTTTAACCTTTCAATCTGCTCAAATCTGTAAAATCTGATCTATATAGAACTTTGCTGTTAAAAATGAATTTGTTTATATTTTTAAAACTGCATATCTTTTTTCATGGTGTCAGTGTGTTATATAGATAAACTGTGTACAGTATTGACATTATAACTACCAATTTTCTATATATAATTTTAAACTACCGTAATATGCCAGTTATACGATATAGACTTGTTCAAAAAATCGAATCTTGTGTGTGAATTTTCGAATTATAAATGGCAGATCCTTTCAGATTCATTGCTAACTTTGCTCAAAGTTAATAAAAGCCCATTTTAATGATTTATTCGATTTTTGAATTTTTTATGAATCAAATCAGTCAAAATTCACCGAACAATTTCTCTATTGAGTTTCATTAGTCAATACTGTTACTTTATTTCACTAGACAGGGCAGGATGTAGGGTCAAATATTTCCATGAATTTTATTCACTGTGTTGGGTGTAATTTTGTTGTAGTTTGTAACTATATGGTCATTTTGACGACCGTACTGGTCCCTATATCACATCATATGGTGGTTAAAATTTGATGAAAGATGATTGCTTTATGGGGTTATATCCTACTATTAAAATTATAATGAAATTGGTGTACCTGGGGTGTACCAGGGCTGGGAATTTTAGGGACAACACTTTAACCGTTAACCAGGTAAAATTAACCAGTTAAACGCAGCGTGCCGTTTGACGTAATAATTTATGATTTTAGCTTATTACGTCACAATGGTTACAAAGCCATTTTGTGTGATCTCAACTAAATATTCACTAATCGAGATAGTTTCGCTATCGCTCTGCTGCAAGAGATATGCAGTGTGCTTCAGACATATGGCATAATTTAGTAAATCCCGATTCCGTTATTAAATGTCATTTATGTGACAAATTTTCAGTGTTTGATGTGCAAATTCTATTTTGAGATATATCAATTAACCGGTTAACCATTCCCAGCCCTAGTGTACATACATCTGAAATTTGCTTGTGTACTAGAGGTTTATATTACTCAAATTTATAGCAATGCCGTAATGCATAATCTAACTTCGTTTAATTCAGGCCTGCACAGCATACGGCCCGCTAGATACTTCTGTGCGGCACGCGGGTGATTTGGAAACACGCCACTTCTCGGGTCCAACAATCAAAGGCGGCATTGTTACGCAAGCGCGCCGCTACTCCGAAATTTTCCTGCAGTCAGTTTATACTGCAACACGCAATACCTAATTCTAATAAAAAAAAATATTGAAAATGAAGGGTGGGTTTCAAAAGTAGATGAACCACTAAATACATATTTGCCATCTCATATGCAAAAATACTGTACCTTGTTTTTACTCAAGAAAATAGGATTCTTCATATTTTTAACCTCCGCAGTAATGGAAGTGTTTCATTCAATTTAACTGTTTCACAATATTATTTTGGTTTGTAGTTCATCTTCTGAAATATGTACGTAGCAAAGTTTGCGGGCCGCCGGGCCTTCAGATTTATAGTTGCGGCCCTCGTAGTAATTTGAGTTGTGCAGGCCTGGTTTAATTGAATCTTACCTTTACTATTCACTATTTGTCTGTCATATGCATATGTTTACGTAATAGGATTTAAGATTTTTTCTTACGTCTTACTCAGTTTGAAAGTTTACTTCAAGTAGATCTACTGAGAGATTAACACTTGTTATTACTACTTTATGTCATGGCACTAAAAGTGAAAAAGTTGTTACGTGGTAATTCTCTTCAGACTTAAATATTTACTAGCAGTTTTTTGGTACTCCCGAAGTATGTAAACCAAGATGGCGAACATCGGAAGATAGTATGTGTACCAGGTCAGGGTTAGGCCATAATTTTATTCCAATTTTAGTTCGGGTACTAGCCAAGTGACTCCTGTAGTATTTGTATCTGAAATTATGGCCTAACCCTAACCTGGTACACATACTACGTTCCAGTGTCCGCCATCTTGGTTCACATACTTAGGGAGTACGTTTTTTGAGATTATAATTACTGCATCAGCAATATAAGATTATATTATTACCAAAGTCTTCTTATGTCCCTTGCTGGTTAGTGCTTTTTATTAGTTTGTTACCATTAAGGATATGAAGTGAAACATTAATTGATTATTCATCTTCTTCGTGCTATGATTTTTCATACAATCCAAATAGTTTTTAGTTATTAATATAAAGAGTTAGGCATAAGGTCAATCTGAAAAACAGAAAATGTTTTAATAGCATGCACATCAGGGAAATTATTACGGTAACTGATTTAGCCTCCGGGTAAAAATAATGCAGAAAAAGGGAATTCTGTTATCAAAATAAAATCGAACAAAAAATTAATGATATATACGCATTCTTGCTTGATCAATTACATACAAAAAAATGGATTGAGAACAGTACTATAGTAGTAAATGCATCAGATTTAAACAAACGGGTTTTAGGAAGTACATGCTAAATTGAATATTCAATATTTTAATGCAATGTTACTTGATAGATTGTAAATGATATGTGAAGTAAAACACAAAAACAAAAAGATGTTATATTAGTGTAACCGGTAATGAATAGAGTAATTACAAAATTAAGTTCCATGCATTAATTAACTGAAGACTTCATATCTATCTACAGTTGTCATAAGCGTTCGTTAACACACTGTCTGTCTGACCTATGGTATATTAGACAACCTCAAATGGTCACAACTAAAGGTGCGTAAAAAACTTTAAAATGATCAACCATAAAACACTGGGCAATTCAATTTCATATCTGCTGTACCTGGGCATGCAACATTCCTATATATTGAAGTCTTTTTTTTTAAAATTTTCCTCTTGAGTAAAACTTTTGCAAATAAGCATTCAGGACATGGTTTATCATATGAGTAATGGTACAATTTATTCAGTAAATAAAATCAAGATTGTTCTGTAAATAGATCATTCAGTTCTAATAATACACTCTAATAATAACTAGACATGTTAAAAATATAGTCAACTTTTGTCAATTATCAATGAGTTCAATTATCAAGTTTGTCCTGTTGTTTCAAAATGTATTATATTGTGACATTGTGTTGCAGCATGTTACTTCTGAAAAAAAAGAAGTAGCTTCGAATTTCTACAGCTGATCATTTGACTGAACTATTGGGATGAGCTTCAGATGAACGTGCTGGTATACTTTGGTTCAAAAAGTTTTATGGTACATGGTTGGTGCAGATTAATTCCTTGTGAACCTATCCAATTCTGTTTAATTTTCCGAAGAAGATAGCCTGACGTTCGCGGTATATTGCGAAAATGAAAGGCTTATCAATTGTTATGACTTGCGCACCTCCTGAAGATCTTGCTGAAATACCAACGGCTGAAGCTGCTGCTGCAGTAGTTCCTGTAAGTTACAAATAATTTCAATTTATTGTTCTAAACAAAGCGGGAAGTACACAGTGCTCTGCTGATATTTTGTAATTTTTAACATGTACCTTCCTCATCTACTTTCACTCTTGCCTTGTGTGTGAATGATGATACATAGAGATCTTCAACATCTGATATGCCAGAAAGATCTGCTTTGCTAGAGAAGAGATCATGTATTCCCATGTGAGAAGTGAAAAGCTGAAATGCATTGTACAAGTAGGATTTCTGTTATTAGGGTTGCAAGACATTCAGGACAGTAATCTTGAACTTGTTTTATCATGCCTTAACGAATTACAAAGTAATCAATTGGCTTGCGAATTGTAATGTGTTCTGATGCAAAAATGATTCAACTTACGTCTTTAAGGTCTAATTCTTGCTTTATTTCGAACTTTGGCATGCTGAAATTTGCTTTGGTTTTGGTCCAACTCTCCAGATTAGGTAGGTCGCGTGCAAAATTGATGAGTTTTTGTCTTTCTGAATATTGCTTCATTGCTAAATTGGTAGATAGTAAACTGATCACTCAATTTGAATTCATATTTTATGCAAGTGTTCAAGCGTAAAAAGTGTTCCGGCAACCGTGTACACTTTTTTTTAATTGTCATCATTCAGCATTTCTAAAATTTGTCACCTGTCTCGTCCTTTGGTAACAGTATTACAAGATATGCTGATTTATCCTTGTATGGAATTGCAATTTTTGTTGCATTTCGTTCATATCGATAAGATACTTCATATGAGCCCAGTCCAATGAATTCCACAATTTCTTCTCCATTCGTGCCATTGAAGGTTTTGTCCTTGGAAAATAAATATATTGTCAGCTATGTAAACTTTGTTGTCACAAAATTTTCAATATAAAGGTACATTAGGAAGTTTGAAACTGCAACTCTGCCTGAATGAAGTATAATACTCTTTATGGTGTATTTGCGATGAGTAAGTTATGGGTTAGGGTGGACACCCTGTCCTTTTCAATGAAAGAGGAATAAAGTAGGATTTTGTCCATCAGAAATAAATATTTCACATTTTAATATTATTTATTTATTTATGTTTTGTGTTTAAAAATATGTCTAATACGACATTTGTTTTTCTTAGACAATCGAAAATGGCATATGATTATATCACATTTTGTTCGGAATTTTTTTAGGAACGAGTGCTGAGGAAATAAATGGATGTAAATCAGGATTATTGTCTGCCATTATTAGTCTAAAAACCTTCATGTTACACATTACTATTTATGCAATCATCATGCGTATTAGTTACTTACATATATTTTACTTCTACATATCACTGCTTAACACTGTTTGATCATATGTAGTAAGTTAGGCTAACCTCTTATAGAAACTTACCCCTACGGGTTTCATTTCATTCTGCCATTCTGCTTTGAAAAAAATAGCATTCACAAGAACGAGCCGAACCATGTTGTCAAGATCGGTTGGTTTTATGATATCAGTAATGAATCCGTCTGTTTTGTGATTGACCCAACCATTAATACTGAAATAAAACATTTTATGGCATGAATAAAAACAAATAAATAACAGCAAAAATACAATTACAAATATTGGTACTCCCGTAGTATGTGTACCAGGTTAGGGTTAGGCCATAATTTTATTCCGATTATCATTATTTTAGTTTAATTACGAGTTTGGGGACTGTCAGTGTTAACCAAGGTGATATACCCCCTGGATTCCTTACATTTTTGTACATATTTACTCAGGGGAAGGAAAAGAGTGAGAGACAGCTTAATCATATGCCTATCCACGGTCTCTCATCCGGTTAACCAATCCATGTCGGGTATAGGATTAGTTATTTGTTAGGATTTGTTATAGTTAGTTATTTGTTTCGGATGCATGAAGATGGATTCTGTGAAAACCAATTATTTGTGTTGTTTTGGATCTGTTCTGGCCATAACCCTAACACAGATTATTTGTTAGTTGATTCCATATAGACTAAAAATAGCATACTTACACAGTTGCTGTTTCCACATTCTCAGAAAAGTCCACCCATTGCAATTCAGTATCATAAAATATATCAAGTGTGTTGGTATAATTGGTATTTATAGGGTATGACTGTTGCAGAAATAATGCATTTGCCATAAGACTCTTTATATCTACAACTCTGCTTTCATTGAACACTTTATTGAAGATTTTTCTGAATATAAATCAAATTGTCAATTTGTATAAATTGAAGTTGAAAATCTAAATCTGTTGTAGCAGCAAAGGAATAGTGGCCTTACTCTGAATTACATCAGAGTTTTATGTCCATGAGTGAGGTAAAATTTTTTGCAAAAACTGCATGTGAATTACCGTTAAGCAATATGCACATAGTTCCCAGTTACAGATTTCAATATGTAGAATATTTCTTACTGTATTGAATCTGCAGAGATTATCTTGGTGCGAAAATATACTTTCAATAAAATATTGCTTTATGATGGCCTAAAAAAATTAATGCATTTTATTCTTACGATTAAATTGGAATATTATAAAGTTGTAGTTACTTGAATAAGTTGTTGATGTTGAATGAAGAGTATTTTTGTTTGCTACTTATCATCAAAGCTGTCATGATTTGCTGGTGTGTATTTCCTCCTGCTCCTGCCATTATCATTCCAAGAGTATGAGCAATGCTGAAATGAAAGTAGTTGGGGGTCACAGAAACAATTAGAACATATTAGCCACAAATTGAAATACATTTACCATCAATTACTCTGGTATAATACGAAATAGACTCGTAGTCTCCGAGATGATAATGAAATTCTAGTATATACACTAATACACAACTCCTGTCTATATCAATTCTGTGTTTTATACATTTTATTATATTATACGTCAAGAAAACACATTATTCTATGTCCAAAGTCAGTTACCGTCAAAAAAAATTATTGTTTATCAATATTATGTAGGTATGTTTTCTTGGATTCCCTCTGGTGCTCAGCAGATTGTTTTTAAAGATGAAAATAGTTGTGAAAAGCTCCTTTTTTTATACGAAAAAGAATACATTGTAATAACCTTTTTTCTGACATGGAAGTATCTTAAACATATACCGGTACATATTTTATTGACCTGTTTGCTGAGAAGAATATGTTGCCTCCTTCATCAGCTTTATCGTCTATTCTCTTCTGTTCGATTGCATGTAACATTGATCCTGAAAATTCTCGTAAACTCATGGAAAAGTCATCAATAGCTCGAACGTTAGATTTAGATTTGGCATAACAAGCATCTAATGCGCACAACACACACACTACTAATACGAGTAACTTCATTGTTCTGAAACAAATATATAAGATTTGAGAATGCTTGATTAATAATAACTTTCTAGCCCAGTTCAAAAAAGAAGTCATATAAATATCTTGTATGAAAAATAAATATAATAGTCATAACTATGCAGATTCCAGTGCTTAATCTTTTGTCAAAATTGAACTTGCTAAATACAAATAGTTCAGTGTTTCCACTTTAGTATGTCCTAAAAACGTTGACTCACAAGAATAGGTTGAAAACCATTGCATTAATACATACAATACAGTTTCAAAGAAGAAACTTGCTTTTTACTATTAACTGCCTCTTCATCATTGTATCACTTGTCTCGAATATCTGATTAATACTGATAAAGTCGCTTTATATTTCTACTCTTGAACTTGAAAATACTGATTTGACGAAACTAAAATGTTTGTTCACTAAATATGGAGAAAATGCTGCTGATGATGTACATGTAGAAAAAAGCTGTTCTTTGAAATCGAAAACAGGAAAGAATCAAAATGGCAAATGCCAACTTTTGATTATTCAGGATATGCTTTTCCACTCGGTTCCGAATTCCATCTTGCTTTAATATTTCAACTACTTCCGACCTTTGCTTTCTCACGGCCTGAATACTTCTTTATTCGGGAGAAAATTTTCAAAGAGACATTTGAGCCTAACATTTTTAATGTTGAGTCCTAAACTATTAAATCACCAAAATAATAAATCAAAGTTTCGAAATTTGGTGAGTTATGTTATATATTTTGAGAAATACAAACAAATTAGACCATTATACTGCGTCTTATTAAACCAAGTTATTAAATTTGCTGTGGCATGCTTTAGATTGCATACTTTCCCAATCACTATCAATTTGTTCATATTGATGAACTTTTTATATCATCTCTACTTGCTACAGCAAACTAATTTCCTATGCTAATTCAATTTTAAACTGCAATTCAATTCAATTTTTTGCCCTTTTTCTATTGCGAAAATAACATTACGATAGCCATACTGGTTTAATATAAGGTTAATATTAGTACATCTTGAATAGGTGACCTTATTGAATTTGAATTGCAGGATATAAGCCTGTATGTCAATGAATACTTTCTTGCTCTGATGCAATATGCTATGATGGGGTTGAGTTTAAGACCGCTCCTTCCGTAATATATTTTTAACATTTGCAAGGATGTTATAAGTGAAGTTATATAATGACAAATTTCTATCATAATTTGGTATAACATATGGAGCTAAAAATTTGAAATCATATTCAATAGAACTGTGTACATTTTCAAACATTTACGCAGTGACACTGAGGCATTTCACATTGAATTTTGGAAATTGTCCAAAGATTGCTGGATTGACTTGCATCTTTTAGTTGTTTTGTTAAATATATCAGCATTGCACATATTCAGTTCTTTGGCAAGTTGGTTGAACTAACTATAAAGCTATTCTAACTTTGTTTTCATCTATATACAATTTTTATACTTTTCTGTCTGAAAATTTTTAACATTATCTCCATGCCATGTATTTAACACTCAAAACAAACTTTGTCACTCAAACAAGTCTTTGATAAACTGTTGTTCAATTTATATACCTTTCTAGTTTACACTCTAATTATTAAGATACTTAAATGATTTTTATTTGCATTACTTAAGATGCTAATTGATTTGTATAGTTTAATCGTGGTAAGGAATTTGCATTTAAAATTACGAATCATTCTTAAGCTCTGACGACTGTCATGGTTTTGATATGACTATATCCTTTCAGTTTCACTTGAGCCAAGGTCAGTTTATGGCAATGAATGACTTTGGTCGAAACTATTTAAGAAGTTGCAATGCGTGTGACAATAGGAATGACATTTTAATCACTGTTGCGTTTTTTTTTTCAACATCGTGAACAGAGTCATATATGGCAATTAAGAATGATGTTTTTGTACCAATTTGTCTTTGCCTGCTGTGATCTGATTCATCCCTTCAAACTCATGATATAAACTTTTGAAATGTCAAAAATATACTTTTTTGATGATATCGCTTGACAATAATACACATCACGTTAAAGATGATGCCCTTCTCACGACTTTCACTAGTATGGTTAGTTATGACGAAACGAAAAAGGCCCAATAATATCAACGATATTTTGAGCCTACATCTCAAATGCTTGTTTACGAATGATACAAATAAAGTAACAGTATCATCATTGAAATTTTATGTAAGAACACCTGAGGCTAGTTACAGACTTGATTCAAGTTTCAGACTAATATTACATTGATCACGTTCACACACTTATTTGCCTATTTGTATTAATCATCAATTATTATAATCTATGAGTATAGTGATATTCATTTAAAAAAGAGAGTTAACATGTAAGTGTTAAAGTAATAAAAAATTGTTCATTTCTCAAATTTTTTATTTTTGAACAATGGTCTCAGTGATGTAATAATGCCGGTATTTATTGCTGCTGTATATACGTATGTTCAAAAAAACTTGGTTAATACTATTATTATCTTTTTGGTATTTCACGATTTTATTTCTAGAAAACGGAAAAATGTTTTCAAACTTTTATAGAATATATCCGTTTTATGTTTTAATAGGTTCAACAACAGATTCACAAACTTTGAATATTACTGATCTGATACAAGATGTAGATAATCATGGCTGGATATTGGATGATGTTGACACCAATAACGAAGTAAATATTGAAAGTTTGATAAAGTACATAATGACAAATTTTGACGCTCCCGAAGTATGTGCACCAAGATGGCACACAACCTGAACCCTAACCTGGTACACATACTATGTTGAGGTTGTGCGCCATCTTGGTGCAAATACTTCTGGAGCTCCCAAATTTTTACTATTATTAGTATATTTTGAGGATGATACAGTGAGCCAATGATTTTTTTTCTTGTCATCTGCTATGCATTTAGCGCATCATGCTAAGCATTATGATCGCACTTGCCGGTTTAAATCTTGCGGGCAATAATCATTTGAAAGGGATTGCAGAAATTCTTGCTGTCATAAAGGGGTCTACTTAACTGCTGGTCGTAACTTTTGCATTTTTACTTTAGAAAATTGAAGAAAAACAAAAAGATGAAATTACCCTTGTGCGCAGTAATTCTCTGGAAGATATATTAAAAAAAGATTCAAACGATGAAAATAAAAAGTTGGTTAGTCATGAGGAATCTACAGAAAATACTTTGGCAATGTAAGAAATTGTGTCGACATCATTGGTTACCTGTTAGAAGTATTAAAGAAGTGTTTGAATGACCCGTGTTTGCATCATAGGTTTCAAATCTCGGCTAGAATCCCATGCTCACCCGTCACCCTGGGTGTACTAGATTAGAAAGGCAATTACAAAAATAGTGGCTCCTTACATATTTTTGGATATTATATATTTGCTTTTCCTGTCCTTATTTGGAGTGAAAGGCATAAATGAGCATTAAAAATATGACAATTACAGATATTGCCTGTCTATTATCTTCGTGATATCATTTTTATGCTGATATCCTGATATTGCTCATATTTGGTATGGCTCATCGTGCTAAGCGTTAAGAAGATGCTCGCCACCGCACCTCTGTGCAGGTTCCAGGTTCGAATCCCATGTGGGGATGGTTATGTGCGAGAGGATTGCTGGACTCCTCGCCGTCTTAGGGTGGTTCACGTAAGCACTGGTTGATTACGGCTTCCTCCACCATCAAGTCCATGCTACCGAAAGCAGATAACTATCTAATACCATACCCGACATGGAATAGTAACCGGAACAGAAGCCATGGTTCGCCATGTTAAGCTGACGTATCAACTTTCATCTCCCTGGATAAATATGTGAATCCTTTCCTGCCCTCTATTATGATTGTTGTTTGTAATTTTTTATGGTTGCCTTAACTATGTTTCGCTGTTCCTCCTTCATTATTAGGATTTCTCCAGTTGAGGAATGGGCTGTCAATGTTGATATCAGTAAACCAGTCTCAGAATGGTCTAAGATTGCTTCAAACATGGCTCACAAGGTAATTAGTATCAAATGTTTTTAAATTACTCTAAGTTGTTTTTAACCCTAACTTTTTCCTGGTTGCACTCATATTTTTTAAGCCTTTGTTGTTTATGTAATTGTGGCTGTTCATTTGATTGTACTAGAAATATTTATAGATTTTTCGAATATCAGCTTGAAAAAGATGATACCATTGTTGGTTAGAAAACACCTTCTTTTGCACTGGCATTCAGGACATTTTTTTATATTTTTGTACAGTAGAAAACTAAAAGTTACTTTAGTACCTTATAAGGTTAACGTTTACTTTACTTTATATTTTGTATTTCAGTATCCATTTGAATTAGACACATTTCAGAAACAAGCTATTGTTTACTTGGAAAATCATCAAAGTGTATTTGTTGCTGCTCATACATCTGCTGGTAATTTATTTTTTTCCAATTTAGATTTAGATTATGTGTATATAGTTTGGTTAGTGCAAAAATGATTATTCTTATATGCTAGCGATTCAGTGAACATGCTGTGTTGTCTTATTGAGTAATATGAACATAATATAATATATAAACACAATACAATTTTCAGATTATACAATTCATTTGTTTAGTTGTAATCCAAATTCTTATTCAAAATTGCTTACTTCGGAGTATTTTTCTCAATATTCTCAATATTACCGCCTACACACCTTAACATGAAATGTACCTTAATTTGTGTTATCGGTACCTAAATTAGGAAAGGAATTGCTTATTAGACAGACACACTGTTTCTATTTTTAATATCGAAAGAAGTGCTTGTCTATAAATAAAAAAAGCAACACCGCTGGCAATCTTGTTCATATAACGAAGTATCTTGGTTTAGAAAAAAAACACCTATAAAAGGATCATTGTATACTATATCTTTAAAACGGCTATATTTGATCTAGTCAGAATTATGCTAGTGCATTGTTAATTTTTATGTAGACGAGACGAGTTGGGCGTAATCTGTTGCTTATTAATTATCTTTCATGTTTGTTGTTATGCCCTAGGCAAGGATTTGTTTTTGAATTTTGCTATTTTCATACCTTGTCTTGAACATTGCGTGGTCATATAACTTGTTTATGTCGTTATCAAACAAGAAAGTCTTTTCTAACATATTTTTATACACCAATGTTTCCCAAACTTGTAAACGTGAAAATACAATCCCCAAGGGCGTATTTTTCTTAATAAACAAAATTAGTTCATTGAAACACGTATTTTTTTATTATAATATCAATAATCAGAAAATTTAAAAATACAAAAAGTAGGTCTGGAAACAGTCTTGTATAGGGTAAATTTAAAAAAACTCCAACATTTTTTAAAAATTCAAAATGCGTGAAATTTTTTTGCCTCACTATCTATTTTTAGACAATACTTGTACTTTTATGGTATCATTTCTTTTTAGGCTTTTGACAGCAATTTTCAATGGGCCTTTTCGAAGATGAGTCGCCCGGTTCTGTACAACATTTTTTCTAATTTCAAGTCATAAAAAGGCAATTACCGTATATGCTCGTTTTACCGCCCGATCTTGATTAAGAGCCCGTTTGAATAGCCGCCCGTGTGAACAGTACATAAAAATGAATAAGGGCCGGTGCTTGAATACCCGCCAGATGTAAAAGCTGATTTTTCAGTGGTAGAGAACAATAGGAAATAAGAAGCGCTTTTGTCACAACGCTGTTGAATTTTAAGCGCTGGTAGATAACACTCACGCCTTAGGCGTCCAATTACATGACAGATAGCATTGATTCTGTAACACCGTGGTTCTCAAACTGGGCGTCGCGACGCCCAAGTGCGTCGTTTCAATATTGATAGGGCGTCGCAATTTTACTTTAAAAATAACAAGCGCCCGTGCTTGAATAAGGCCGGTTTGAATAGGGGCCCGGCTGGTGAGTTTGGTTAAAATGGGCCCGGGCTACAAAACGAGCAAATACGGTATTTATTACTCATATGTGCCTGCTCTGGAATCATCCCTCTTGCCACCCCATTAGTTCGTATATGTTTGTCCATATATGGCTTTCTTTTTTATTATATCTTAAGGGCATTCAAGACATTTTTTGCTTATCAGCATGCGTAGCGTATGTATTTCTTGCACAACCACAAAAATGTGTTGCTACCACTTTGAGAATCTTTTTGTGAGAGCAATCAAATAATCATATTTTTCTGCCATTCAACATCTAGCTCTCACCTGTTTATTGTCAGTGTTACTACCAGACAGAAAAAAATATATACTCGAAAGTTTTATCCAAGAGCTTCAGTATGTAGAATTAATAATAACTGCCCCATAGCTATTTTCTTGATGAAATTTACATGAACTGTACCAAGTCTTGCGTCTGTCTGAATTTACCAATGAGCAGTTCCACACGACGATTCTTCTTAGTGTCTGTAGCCTTTGGCCCTTTCATGGTCACCCAAAGCTTCGATCACTGATAAGTGTTTCTCAGTGAGTGTTTGTAACCTTACTTTGAGCAAATTTTCTTATAAAAATAGCCAAGAATACATTGTATGTATAGTATATAAGCCAACCCTACAAATCGTACGCTCTTAACTCTTAGCATGGTTCGAGTTATAGCTGTTAGCATAATGTCATTTCGTTTGAGTGCGAACAGAGTTATGCGCATATAAGCGGAATTTTCAGTGTGATCAGAGTTATGCACGTATAAGCCGACCCCTTAGTTCAACAACCTTTTTTTTGTGTTTTAAACTTGGCTTTTTTGCGAGGATGTATGGTATGTACATTGTATGTTATCCAGCAACTTGAAATTCAACATTCCGAAATTCTTTTTCAGGAAAAACTGTTGTTGCAGAATACGCTATTGCTCTTGCTAAGAAGCATATGACTAGAGTGGTCTATACCTCTCCAATAAAAGCTCTTTCTAATCAGAAATACAGAGATTTCAAAACTACATTTGACAATGTAGGATTGCTGACTGGTGATGTACAACTTCATCCAGAAGGATTTTGTTTAATTATGACAACTGAGATATTGAGGTATGTTCACTTGACACGGTTTTATTGCCATTGTTATCAAAAATATTTTACCATTTACTAATAATGAAGTAATCTGGTTTCGTGCCCAAAACAAGTTCAAAAAGCAATTGTTCTTAGTTAACATGCTTTATTAATGACCTTAGTGCTATTTCGAAGCTATTCCACGCTGGAAAACTTAAAAGTGGCATAAACATAACAATACTGGCATTAACTCTCATGGAGAATGTGTCCAACAGAGAATGAATTTGCATTTTTTGTGGTTTTTGGGTTATTGGCCATTGTGAATGGTGGCGTTTTTACTATTAGAGATTTTTTGCTATTTTTCAATATTTTCAGCATTTATTTAAATTTCAATGGGTGTGGTGTTTCTCTCCTTGCGGTAGCCTGTGAAGGCAACAACTTTCCGAACATTTGTACTGCCAATTTGTACTATGTCTGAGTTTGTAGTGGATTAAAGTTTATATTTCCGTGTCAGGTCTATGTTGTACAACGGTTCTGAAGTTATCAGAGACTTGGAATGGGTTATATTTGATGAAGTTCACTACATTAATGATGCAGAGGTTGGTGACTTGCTTAGCTTGAAAATGTGGTGAGAAGGCCTAGTGGTTAGAGCTTTGGACTCAACTATATTGGCTTCGCGGGTCAACGTTCTTAGGTTCAGTACGTTCCCACCAGGGTCAATATATTGGGTAGATAATGCAGAATAAAAAAAGACCTTGGTCTTTTCAAAAATAGCTACAGTAATACCTCGGTAGTTGAACATAGATCGTTCAGGATTGGTGTTCGACTACCTATTTGTTTGAGTACTGAAACTTTTTATGCCACATGAACGATGGTAATTATTTTATTTTGTTCTTATGCTTTCCAAAATAACCAAAATATGAACAAAACGTGTAACTAAACAACAATAATTATTTAAATGCCTATGAAAATTCGAAACTATACATTCAATAAATAATGACTGGTATATGCCTTCTTTATGGGTATTCTGAACTGAATTTCATCAGTTTAATTATTTCGCCCCAAAAATGACCCATATTTAACTCAAAAATGTATTCATAACAAAATACTATTTAGAAGAGAGATTTTTGTGAGCAGCTTAGGAAGTTTCAGTAATTGATTCTGAATATTGTCCCATTGTACTTTTGTTTTTATGAAAACCTACCAATGTGCACTGGTAATAGGAATACACAGATGTAAAAATTTTGTTTATTGGCTACAGAGGGGTGTGGTTTGGGAAGAAGTTCTGATTATGCTGCCTGAACATTGCAATGTGATTCTACTGAGTGCAACTGTGCCAAACACTTTGGAATTTGCCAACTGGGTAGGCCGGACTAAAAAGAAAAAAATCCATGTTATCAGTACATTGAAGAGACCAGTACCCCTGGAACATTTCTTGTATACTGGTAAGTAGTCTCTTGGTCCTAAATACGATAGAAAGGATGATAATTTCATGTTTATCTCGGGGAGAGGAAAGCTTATAAGACATCTCAATCATTTGGCAAACTAACCCTGTTTGATGGTGGAGAAAGCCGTCCTGCAACATCAAGGAGTCCAGCAATCCTCTTGCACAACCGGGTAATCAGAAGTGTGATGGCAAGCGTATTCCTAACACTTAGCACAATGGTAGTATATCGATTGGTATCAGTGTCTACTTGCACAGAGCCTTGTTCAGAGCAAAATGTGCAAATAGGTGTCATCTAAAAAATTCTTTATCAAATATATATTTCACGCTCGCATATTTACAGATCTTTTCATAAATATCTTTAACATTTTATCTGTTAGCTCTTGCGAGATAGTTAAACAATATTTATCCATCTAATTTTAGGAAACAGCAATAAGACGAGCAATGAATTGTTTCTTTTACTGGATCACAATAGAAATTTTCAAACCACTGGTTATACAAAAGCAATCGATGCTAAGAAGGAAAGAACAAGCAAACATCAGAAATCATTTGGGGCAAAAAGTGGAAAAGGAGCAACCCCTGGATCAGTATAAAATATTCTCTTCATTTAAATAATATTTCTATTGTACTAGGCAATCCGAAAAAGTGATTGCAGTGGCCTTGTGGTGAAAGCATTAGATAAAATTCTGAATGCTTTGTAGGTTGAAAACTTGAGTTCGAATCCAATGCTCATCCGGGCGAAAAGTTTTGGATGAAGTTTGTGAACCACTGTAGACTTTTTGTCTTGATAAAAATAGGTGTAATATCAATTCTCGTTCATTACTTCACTTTACCAATGTGATTATCAAGTCTGCAAATAAATTTTCTCCTATTTCTCATAATTATAGTTAAGTGACGTGATACTACATCTTATTTAGGACAAGGGTGTATGGTTGTCGATTGTTGAACGTCTACGGAAGAAAGAACAATTACCAGTTGTTGCATTCACTTTTTCTCGGAAAAGATGCGACGACAATGCATCTATGCTTACATCGCTTGATTTAACATCTTCTGCAGAGAAAAGTGAAATTCACATATTTTTTAATAAATGTGTACAGAAATTAAAAGGTAGCGACAGGAAGCTACCTCAGGTATGGGATTGAAAAGTTTCTATCTGTAGTTGAAATCAATTGGTTGTATTAGCATTATGTTTGTTCGACAATATCAAGAGGAAAGGACAAATGTGGAAATTTTGATAGGATTGTATTTGTAACTATCACAAAGTTATAGGTTCAAGTTGGTTTAATACTTTTAGGCAATATTCACCAAAGCATTTCATTAAAAACCTACAAGGGGTTTATAATGGAAAAATACACTTTTCCGCCGTTTTTTCGAATCAATGTTGTCAAGTTTAGCTCTTTTGAGTTGAAGCCACCAGATCAGCAATTTCTCTGTCATAATTACCCTCACCGAAGTTTCTGTTGTGAGGGCATTAAATTGACATATTTAGGAATCACTTTACTCGTTAAATTTCTGGATAATGTTATACTTTTGTCTCAAATTGTGTAGTATTTTTTATATTTTGTACAGCGCTTATTCATTCCTTTCACTTCGAACAAGACCCTGTACAAGCAATATTTTTTAAAAAAAATTTCTGTTTTTATTATGAACGATTTAAAAAATGCCTAACTAGAAATTTATTTGCAGGTTACTCATATGTCTGGATTACTACAGCGTGGTATAGGAGTTCATCACAGTGGAATTTTACCTATTCTAAAAGAAGTTATTGAGATGCTTTTCACAAGGGGACTAGTTAAAGTAAGTGGTTTCATATGCTTACATTTTCTCGTTTTTAAATGAGTAGGTGTCTTTGTTCAATAAATGATGGAATACTTCTGTGTTATACAGCAGAATTAGAAGAAGTATTAGCAGTTAAACTAAGTTTATTTTTCGCCTGATTATCAAATTTCACATGCTGAAGATGACAAATTTTAAATATTGAAGATTCTTCCAAAAATCAGGAATAAATTATATGGAATATATGCAATTTTTAATGTATTTGTTGATCTGTATTGAACATCTCTGATCCCAATTCATTTCTTAGCAATTTGAATTCTTTTCATGGTTTCTTGATTAAAGGCTTTCACTAAGTTGAAATTTAAGGAGCCTGCTTTTTTTTTATTGTTTGGTTGTAATGCATGTTTCCTTTGCTCTTGTTTGCTGGCTTTCATTATCCAATGTGACACATAAAATAGTTATTGGAAGCGTGTTAAATTTAATACTAGGTAATTTTATAGAAGAGCAGGGGCACGGCTTGATTTTTGAGAGTCTTCGTAGAACGGCATTGAATAAAAAGTTTGAGAACCACTGTTTTAGATAATACGAATCTTTTATTTTAAGGCTTGTTCCTAAATTTAGATCTTACTTTCAAGGTTTCAATAATATATGGTTATTTTTCTTCCCTTTCATTCAGCTTTTATTTGCAACTGAAACTTTTGCAATGGGAGTGAATATGCCTGCTCGTACTGTTGTTTTTGATAGTATTAGGAAGCACGATGGAACTTGTATGAGAGAATTGCATGCTGGTAAGTTGCTAGAATAGATTGTAGAAAACTAGACTTAAGCTACACTATGCTCAATGTTAATTTCCTAATAAATGTAGTATATGCAATCTAAAATGAAACTTTATATTTAAGAGCCTAGGTCCAAGAGATGTGGCCATAAAATAATTGTTAATAGTATGTGAATTATACAATTACTTACATACTTCAATAAAGAAACTAATAATTTCATTTTATTGGCAGATTTAGTTGTCACGGTGACCAATGGTCTGTTTGAAATACTTGAATTGATTCTTTAAATTTGATAAAATTTACGGACATGTTTATATATGTTAATTTGATTATGTACGATAATATATTTTGTATTCAGGTGAGTATATTCAAATGGCAGGCAGGGCTGGTAGACGCGGCAAAGACACAACAGGAACTGTTATAATATTATGCAAGGTAATAATAGGGCAGACAGATATTGGTAAAGCTTGCTTTATATATATATAATGTTCAAAGATGTCATGGCATAGAAAACAGGCCAAGTTATATCGAAAGAGTAAATAACGGTATATTTTTTTTTAAAGATTTCATCTCAATTGTAATTCCCGGTCATTTTGATAATGAAAACTTTGATTTATGCAAGCTTACTTTAATAGACTTTTAAGGATACTCTGTAAAATTAAGGTTTTTTTATGTCTTAGCAGGATGTTTCACTTATTTTATCACCATTTAAAGTTTGCAATTTCAACGCCGGACTCTGGCAAATTCAGAGTTCCAACTCTAGTGAAAACATGGTAAACGTAGATCTCCGACTCTCCAACATCACAGTCCTGCCCTACTGTACATTTTGAAGATATTGTTGTTAGCACTGTTGTAATAGGGCTGTAATGCTGCCTACTTTCCTGTGAACAAGAGAAAAACCCATCAGGCAGGCCAAGTTAACAGTTGCCATCCATAATTTCGTATTTTCGATTTTTGAAATGAGGCTACTGAAGACAATTGTCACAGTAAGCATTAGTGGAGAGTATATTTATATTTAATGTTATATAAATTTATATTTTGCATTTATTAGGGTGATGTACCCGAGATATCTGATCTTCATAAGATGATGTTGGGTCGTCCGACTAAGCTCGAATCTCAATTTCGTCTTACATATGGAATGATTCTCAACCTACTCAGAGTTGAGGAATTAAGAGTGCAAGATATGATGAAAAGAAGTTTTGCGGAATTTCATTCCAGAAAAGATTCAAAGGTGGTTTTTGTTTTTCTGTAGTTATGCAGTTCTGTAGGTATACTTTATTGTTTAATTTCATTAGTTATTTGATATCATTTAATTGGTTGTGTATTGTAATTAGCGATGGTGCTAATATATGAATCACAAAATCATTGTAATGTAGTTCTTATTATTTTGATTTTTGACATTTTCACTTTAAATTGATAATGATGTATAATATTAGTGCAATTTTCTGACTCTGTATTGTCTATCCTATGTCTCCAATATTTTATATTATTATTACCTAAAACTGGTCCCTACTGTCATCAAAATCCACTTTGTGGGCGAGTTGGCCTGTTGGTTAACAAGTTTAGACTATGATGTACTATGTATCGCATTCACAGGTTAAAAGCTCAGGTTCAAATATCATGCCGATCACCTCACATATGATGTAATAAATTGGTCAGGCAGTGCCAAATTGTAAACTCATTCCAAACTTTAGTAGCTCCTTATCTATCAGTGGCGGTTTGTGCTGAGTCTTGTTTGGAGCAAAATGCATATAAATATGTCATGTAAAAAATTATAAAGAAAAGTTGGAGCTTGTATTTTCTAATAACCCAGATGGTTCATTCACAATGTGAGGTTTTGCTGAGAACCAAGACAAATAATGATAAATATACTTTCATCATTCAATTTTCAGGAGCAAGAAAAAAGACTGAAAGAACTTATTTCAATCATTAAAAGCAAGCAAGAGATAGCTGATGTTATCAAGGAAACGGACTTTGGTGAATATTATGACAGGTGAATACCATAACATTTTTAGTTATAAATTTTCATGGATATGGGATTATAATATTATAGTCTGTTTATGATAGTATGCTGAATTAAATGAACCGCACTCCACAGTGTCTTGGAAAAAGCAGCCAATAAAGATATGAATACAACTACTGATCCTCCGGGAGTTATATTAAACCGGCATAACAACAAGCAATCATATGCAATCAAATAACAATATTATCCATTTTAGTTGTATAGAATTACTAGAACTCCGTGAGCGTCTACAAAATGAATTATTTTTGTCTTCTGCTGGATTGAAAAATCTTCAACCAGGAAGAGTGCTTGTACTAGATACTGAAAAATATAAGCAACATTTGGCTGTTTCGTTGAAGGTTGGTCACCTTTTTTTCATTTTCAATTACTGCTCTGTGGTGTAGAAATTTATTTAAATCACATTGTCATTTGCAAACTTTTTTTTATGGTTAATATTTCTAACAAAGCAGCAGTTTTTCATTTCCTTCAATTTTAATTTCCTTGTTCGTGCAATGGGTGTGAATGAAAAGAATTTTATTAGATCGAAAATATTTCCCACACCCTCCACATTTATATGGTGTTCAACCCCTTTAATGGCAACAAGGTATTGTCTTTGATATAAATCTTAATCTTGTCTGTAATCGAATCATCTACACTGTTTGACAGATTGATACCTCGGGTAAAGACAAAAAGTTTTTGGTTCTTGTACTTTGTGAAAAATCTGAAATTGAAAAAGAAGATACTGGCGAACATAAATTATCACCACAATCTATTTTACGAAAATCATTGTTTCGACCGGAAATTTCCGTAGGACAGGTATGTCGTTTGCTGGATGACACTTTTGTGTTGTCTAGAAAATTATTTCTTTAGCTGCAAATTTAAAAGTTTTTTATTTCATTTGGGGGGGTTGTGATTTTCCCTGATTTGTTCTTCTTAATTTCTTAACTTTTCAATCTTAATTAGAGGCACTGGAAGATATTTAGCTGCATGGTCAAATATATATTCTGGAAAGACCGGCCTCAGGTTGTTTGGAAGTTTCGTAGTTTGGTAAACTAGCAATACATTGCACAGCTTCAAAGGATATTGACCGTTTCATGAATGAGAAGTTGTATTATATTATTAAGATCTCTCATTTGAACTAACTCTGAAAAATACAAACATTGCCAAAAGTGTACATTTCTATGAAATATAGTTTAATGCATATTAGCTATTAATTTACACTTCCTTCCTTTATAGTTTGTTATTTGAAAAAAGAATTTAATTTTACAGGAAATTGTGACAATTTATGCCGAAGATATCTCTTATCTAACAACATGTAAGCTTGATATCAAAGCTGATAGAATAATTGATGATTATACGAAGAGACAAATACCTAGATTTAGGTAATTTTACTCCCAATATTTCATTATACAAATATTTAGGGTATTGATTGGTTGGCAATACCTTTGAAGGTATATTATGCTAACTACCTAGTAGTTAAAGCGTTAGTCTTAACTGTGTTGGCATAGCATGTCTCGGGCTCAGATCCCATTCTTTCTTCCATCTAGATAGATCTTTATATATTCTTAGGTATCAGTTGCCGCTGGTCAAATTTTGAGTCGTTCATCATGTGAAATGAAACATTAATCTTTTGTTGCCCTTGAAAAATTTTACTTTTGATTATTTTTAATCTCAATATTATTCTCCAGAGATGATCCACCAAGCCAATCTACCAGTGTTGCCACTCAAGAACTTCTACGATTAATTGAAAACAATCCTAACGGATTGTCATCACTCGATCCAAGAAGAGATTTTGATATAAAAAGACTTGAACTTGTGGAAGATTTGAGCAGAATCGAATACTTGGAAAACATGATTCAAACTGGTTTTAGTTGTGTAGATAGTGGAAGATTCAACTCAATTGTAAGTCTATTTGCTATACATTTCAAATCCTATTAGAACTAACTACTGGTGTCAGTATTGTTACCTGAAAATTGTACTATATTTTTTATTTTGATTAGTTTTTTCTTACACTTTTCATCAGAACGAGCATTAAGACATACAACTACTTTATTAGGACTTCACTGAGTATGAATCTGCGGTTCTCAATCTTTTTTGATACATTCCTTGCTTGGCATATTTCTGAACTCGTCATTCTTCCCTACACATATGAGCTCTGTTTAGAATTTCCATTTAATCTTTAACCGATCAACAACCTGTGTGCTGCAACGTGTACTCTGATTTTTAATCTTTTTAATCTTTTTACCTGGCATCACTTATTTCAGCTTTCATTATCCTGATTAAGGTGGAGTGAGTGAAGACATAGTTGGATTTATAGGACTAAGAAATATGTTGTCAATACATATATAAGTGGATTACAATAATAGGTCTTAGTGGCATTTCTCATTTCCCATATTCTTTTTTACCTATCCACGCAAATCTTTTTCATGAAAGTAATTTTTTTTCTCATTTTATTTTTTTAGCTTTCTGAAGTAGAAGAATATATGAAAGTTAAGAAAGAACTCGACAATTTAAAATATCTGTTGTCAGATGAAAGTCTTCATTTATTGCCCGAATATCAGGACAGAGTACAGGTAAATAAGTGATTACTAAGGTCTCTCGTGCTCCCTTCAATAGACTATCAACAAGCCCTCTGCGCTTTCGGCTTTTCAGTAAAAATATCTTGATTTGCTTTAAACATGTTTCAAAGTAAAAGAAATGCATAATGGTCGAAGTATCAAAAAAATCAGTGAATTTACTTTAAAATTCGGGTTGTCATTGCGAAAGGTACCTTGTGAAGGCTTTTTCCTGTTGCAACCAGAGAACTGCTTCATGGCCCCCCAGGAGGCTGAGAGCCTCATTCGTTATACACTGACTCAGCTCATCTCAATTGTACCGTCAGTTTCCACTTTTGTTGATTTTATTCCTAAATTTCATTTTGAATATAAAGACAAAAATTCAATCCAAACCTCAGTTTCACCTCGAATTTATTGTTTTTTTATTTCAGGTTCTTAAGGAACTCCGATACATTGATGAGAGAGAAGCTGTTCAATTAAAAGGTCGAGTTGCGTGTGAAATTTCAAGTCATGAGCTCGTACTGACTGAACTTGTATTTGAGAACGTTCTTTCCCCATTGGAACCAGAAGAAATTGTTGCACTGCTCTCAAGTGCTGTATTCCAAAAAAAAATGAACTCATTTGAAATTGTTGTACCTCCTTGTCTTGAAAAAGTAAGTTTTGTAGTATTCAATTGTTTTGTATAAAATAGCTCCTAATTTGATGTGCAAGGTAAAAGATGGATGTTGATATCCATGTAGTTTGAAATGCAACCGGTTTTTACTAAATAGTCAAAAAATATAGCCATTATTGAGCTACTTGTTTTTATATTTTTATGTGATGTAATAACAACTGCGAAAAGGGAGACTATGTTTGGTAGAAAAAAGGGTATTCTATACTTTGTCTGCATTCTATTGACTATTCAAGTATATTATATAGCGATTTCCACTCAATCTGTGGCATTTCAAACAAGTACGCTTTGCAAGCCATAGCCAACATCGCTGTGGGAACCCCACTTTGACCTTCTGTATTTTACTGTATTTTCGGGGGTTTGAATCTTCGTGAGGGATAATTATATGCGAGAGGATTGCCGGACTCCTCGTCGTTGTAGGGTGGTTCACATCTGAAATAAAAACTGGTCGACTATTCCCATACCCGATATGGACTGGTAATCAGTCGAGAGGACATGGTTAGCTTTACAATTTAGTTGTCTTATAGGATAAATGTGAATATCCTATCTCATCTATATTCTGAAGTTTGTAGTTTGAACTGTAACTGAGTTGTACAATATAAAATTAATGTGTTTCTTAGGGGATGAATAAAATAATACAAATTGCTACTGAAATTGGAGAAGTTCAACGACATTGTGGTATTCGTCAACCTACAGAAGATTTTGTTTCTGAACTTAAATTTGGTTTAACATTGGTCGTTTATGAGTGGGCAAAAGGGACTTCATTCCAAGAAATTACAAACTTCACAGAAGTACAAGAAGGTATTTCTCTACTTCATTTCTATTGTCCTAACCAATCGAGCATGTTTTACAGTTTATCTGGAATGAATTGAAAATCACAAGTATTTTGTTTATATATTTCATATGTATGTATTATGTATAGCACTTGCTATGGTTATTGTTAATATTTTTTTAACTACCAACCAGATGGAGTCCATTCAGTTTGTTCATGACTGATTTCGAGTAATGTAAAAAGCCATGTAAGGATGATACCTTTGGTTTATGTATTATATTAAATTGCTTTATCCTTCGCAGCAGAGGCGTATCAAGTTTAGTAGAAGAACTAGAAGTTGCGTTACTGTGAATATCAACCTACCAGTTTTCTACTTACCAATTCCATTGATAAATATTGTGACTCGGACTCTACCATTAACATTCTATCTAATTGCAGGTGTTATTGTGCGCACAATTCAAAGACTGAATGAAACATGTAGAGATATTAGGAATGCAGCTCGGGTTATTGGCGATCCAGGTTTATATCAAAAAATGGAAAAATGTTCAGAGTTGATTAAGCGAGATATTGTATTTGCTGCCAGTTTGTACACACAATGAATCTGATGATTTGAAATGGAGTTGTCACAGCTACGAAATGATCATGATATGATGTAGTATTGTGGTTTTTGTTGCAATCCAGAGAAATCATTCTGTCAAATTCTATTTTTCCTTTCTATGTATATTTATTACCTTATCTAGAATAATAGTAAATAAATAAATACCAAAATAGCATCATTTTTCTGCTGGAATTTATATAGATTGCCTTTATATGAAAACAAGTCATCTGAGTATTATTAATAAAGAGTTATTTTATAGTCTTCAAGAACAGGACTATGGAGTTAGGAGTCTTTAAAAAAAACAGCTGTGTGTTGATCTAGCTCTGGACGCCAAGTCGGAGAAACACCAGCTTCGAAAAACCCCATTATTTACATCAAAAGCTTCGGAGTATGCTGTTTTGTCTGTTGAGAATGCATATCAACTTCTGTCGTAAATATTTACTTCGATTATTACTGTTAAAAATCACAAGGTCTGACACGAAATGAATTCGAAATTATGACTTTGTGGAAATGACGACTTTATTCAATAGCCCTGTTTAGGAGATCGGTTTTCTATGTTGTGGTGAGATATTGATGAAGATATGGAAAGACCACAATGCAATGTATTCTCCCACACACTTTACTACGCAAACCATAGGATTTACATTTTTATCTCGGGGAAGACTAAAGAAAATCATATGGCGAGAAGTCCAGCAACATAATTAACGCGATTCGGAATTGTGAACCCATGCAGGGGAATCGCGGTTCGTTGGAGAGCGGTTCCCAGCGCTTAAGCACGATGCGCGTAAGTTTGTTTACTTCTCCCCAGAACCACTTGGTTTAAAAATGTTCAAGCTGCAATTAGGAACTGGCGGACGTTTTTACTATCCTAGATCCCCATTTTTGGAGGCAGTTTTGGATTATTGAAACTAAATTTGAATCTTCCGATGACGAAATAACGACCATGTTATTTGGTTTTCTTATATTGTGGAAACGTAATCAAGCCATGCATCGAATACCGGCCACTGGTTACCAACCTTTTTTCCCAGAGAGAAAGTTTACTACTATTTTGTATTTGACTCATTTATTAGTATTCTGATTCATATTTAAAAGCTAGAGTGCAATCACCAGCTAATGATTAAACAGCAAACGAAAACGAAGTTTTTATTTTAGTGAGGGATAGTGAAGAGTGTCCAAATGGGATGAGGGAGGAGTCAATGAGACGAGATTAGAACCATTGGGTTAAATCCGCTACTCCCTTGCCCGGCATGGACCGGTAACCGAACGCAAGGCCGTGGTTTGCAACATGATTAAGATGGGTTTCCTCTTCCCCGGGAAAAATATTAAAATCTAAATTAAAAAGGCGACCGGTGACAAATGATTGAGCACTGCTAAAAGATCTCATTGTTACGTCACCGTCCGAGTGACAAGTGCTTGAGCGCTGCTAAATTTTTCATTGTTACGTCACCTTGCGCGCGCTCTATTCTGCCAGGTATCTGGTCACTTGAAGTTGGTGATTTGATAATAGGAAGATGGAATGCACATTCAATTCATTTCAATTGATGGAGTCTTTTTTTCAATAGTCATAAAAAATATTGAATTTGTTGCTGTTACGATTTTTGCGAATTTATTGAAACACATTTCTTATTAGGCTACTGTGTTAGGCTATTGCAATTGGGCAACCTAAAACTCTGATATTGACAAAATATCTACCTGGGGGTACTAGTGGTACGTAATCGTTTTACATCACACTGATAAACCTCCTGAGACGCGTTAGTGTTATACTCATGACTTCCAACGTTCAGTAGCTAAGCTGATATTGCCGGGATATTTCGCGGCATTAGTAATGTGAACTGGCAACGGTTGGTCGTTCTCGTGGTTCCGGCAATCACCGCTATTTCTGTTTCTTTGACCCGGCACTAACTATCTCTTCCTCACAGGTGTAAAGTAGACTGGTTGGGTTAGTTTTCGATGAGAGGAATAGAGTATGAAACTAATAGCTGCTATTTGTACATGAAATAAGCAGTACTATGCGAAAATTTCCGGACCAACTTGAACGTATGGCGGAATATGATGGGAATATAGGTATACTTATTGGGATGAAGAACAGGCAACCTCGGGAATTCGTGATGAATGGTAAGTTTGCAATTTTAAAATTGTAACTTCCAGCACTTGTCGTCTACATTTCATGTTGCGGTGGCTTTAAAAATATATAAAAGGATTGTCTATGTACATTTAGGGCGTTGAATTCCTTCATTTAGCATCCGGACCTGTAATACACTCGCTTTCCGTTTACCGCGGGGCTCCTGAATCACCATATAACGCCAATATTAGTTTACCGTAAAAGTGTGATTTCAAACTGCGCCTCCTACATACCGACATGTAACATATTTGTTGAAGAAAAACATTTGCTGGTAAACATGATATTGTTAAGTAGCAACCTGCATACATGTGGAGAAGAACCGCATACACTATTATGTATTGCAATCCAAGTTTCAACACAATTTCACAAACGTTTCAAGACCACACAGTGTAGCCTCTTCAAGAAGAAAAATAGCTTTGCTCGTCTACGAATTCAAAAGCTACGGTAACTCAGTTTTGAGCACCGTTAAAGCTAAGAACTTGCTCCTGGTAAGCCATCAGGGTGCACCGTTTATAAGAAAATTTTGATATATTTTGCAAAATCGAGTAATGATAAAACGAACAAAAAAAAACAATAAAATATTGCATCAGAATCTGAGATGGTGGAGCAGAAAATGTATTCAAATTTGAAGATCGTGCAAACACACGGATCGCATGCACTGAATGGACTAGGACTATTCAGCTTCGCTGATCGTGTCTTCTTGTCGGTTATTTAGTCCACGCAGATCCTGGAACACGTGGTTATATTTTGTCAGCAATGCATAGCTATATTCAATTTTGTTACATACCGTCTTGACTCCAGTCAATATCAAGATCCTGAAAAGAATAATATATAAATGTTATTTTAATGGCCACATGGCGTGGAGGAGAGTCAGTCTTTTACAATAATCCTTTGCGTATAAGTTATGACCGTTTAGAAGATTTAAGTGATAAAAATGGAGCGATCTGGGGTCAGTTGCCGTGGGCATTTTCATTGCAAAGATGTCGATCGAGGAAGCCGATTACTATGCTGAGTGCGAATAAAAAAAAAGAGATAAAAATATTTTTTTGATTAGATTTTAACAAGGCGTTACCAAACAGCACTTACTTCTTTCTAGAATATCGGTTTGAGGGTAATATTTACAATGTAGTAAATTTTAAATCTGATATTGTCAACTGACTAACCTCATTTGTCGAAGACAAAATATCGGCAAAGGTGTGCCAATCACCATCTTCAACTTTGCATGCGCTTAGTTTTAATTTGTCCGCAATCTTGTCAAGGAAGCATAGAAATTCGTTTATATGTTCTCGGCGCAATCGATTGTATGAAAGATCCAACGTCTTCATCTGCAATTTAATGAAAAATCAGCACTGTATAAAAAACAATTTTTTAGTTTGAACGTGAGGAAAATAAATACCTCTGTGTATCTGTACTGAATTGCCTGTCGGAAAGCACGTAACTGACGTGACGAAATTTCGCAGTTATCCATAACAAGATGTTCCACTCTGGCTTTAGAAAGTATTTCGCCAATAATGCGACATCCTTCCTCACCAAGTGACCAATTCCATCCAATGTCCAGTATAACAAGCTGCAATAAAAATTGACTTCAATTAACCTTTACTGTGTAGAATATCCTCCTAAAGATATTACTATCATTTTTATAGTAATCTTCATTGCAAGATGGATTCAATAGTCCTAAATGGCATTTTACATGTTCCCCCGTCACTAATGTCCTCTTCTTTATGACAAGTTGACTAGAAAGAGTATTCTATTGCAGCACTTACTTTTTGGTCACCAATATTCATGGACCGTAAGAGTCCTTGCAAATCAGCAGGAGTGAGTTCGCAATGTCTGAGATGTAATTCTCGAACGCGGGATATCGTAAGAATTGTTCCAACAGAAGATAAAGCACGATAATCAAGAGCTTTGTTGACGTTCAGTTTTAAAATGTTGAGCTGTTTATTGGAAAAAAATATTTCAAAACTGAGTTTTGCCGACTGAAAATGCTGCATTGTCAAAAAGGAAGCCACCTATCTAACTCCAGTGTGTGGTCATTTCTGAATTCAGATTAACGACAACAGTGGACATATACCTGTGCTCGATTGCGTGTGAGTGACCTTTCCAATCCGTGTGCTTCTTTCCAAGTCAAACCACAGTCGTCCATTAGTAACGCATGAACATGGTGTCTGCTTACAATCTCTCCAACAGTTCTGCAGCAATCCGCATCCAACGTATAGTTTTCACTGACATCTAGTACTTTGAGCTAAGAAGAAAATGAAAATTTTTGATTTCCGTGTTCTGAAAACTTAAATCATTAACCTGGCCCAATAAATACTTTAATTGTAACACTTTTTTGTAGCCAGAAGTGTGCTCCGAAACTAAACCAGTCCATTAGGCACAAAGAAGTGAGGGTAATTCTTGTTTGAACTCTACCTGACTTTGGGCAAATGCGAACAATGAATAAATTAGTTTGGTATAAATTATAATTCACACCAATGACAAGAATAGACTCGTGCCGAAGCTCGCCATTCCACACTATGTATCGCTTCATTGGGATGAGTGGCGTTCACAAAGAATATGTAATTAATATACACGTTGAATAAAAACCTGAAGATTGTATACAAAAACAAATAGCAACAAAGTTCAAAATGAAAATTACCCATATAAATCAGACTAAAATATAAACAGTCTTATCGGCGGATGCCCAATCTGATAATATCTCAGCAAATAATATATATGACGACTCTCTTTGACACATATAAAAACAGAGATTTTACTTTCAATTTAAAAATTATTGTATATTTTTTTTTACATCCCACTTATGTGGATGTGTCAGAATTGTGGATTTCAAAGGAAAATCGGCGGATGCCCAATCTGATAGTATCTTAGCAAATAATATATATAATGATCTCTGTGACACATATAAACACAGTGGATTTCAAACCAAATTACCTTAACCCAGATGTCAATAAACCGGGACACACGGAACATCCCAATATAAAAACGAGAATATCGGTTGGAAACCGAAGACTTATCGATCGATAGTTAGGGAATCCCCCAAAACAGAAACTGCAGTTTCGATTCATCCGCTCTTGTAACTTGCGCACTGCGCATCGCACACACACACTCGGCGGGTCTCAAAATTCTCTCGCTTTACAAAAATCTAGATCACTATATCAATAATTAATTGATAACTCGCTAATTATACGACATAATTCGCCCAAAATCAATAGGTTTCTGGTCCGAGATAAGATGAATGCACATGCAAAATTTGGAGCAGATTCAACCTCGCATTCGCGAGATATCGCGTTCATCTAACAGACATACATACAGACAAATACCTATCAATATACTTACCGATCTTAAGATCGATAAGTAAAAACTAGTGTCTTTGTAATCAAGAGTGCCACCCAATAATTCTGCCAAAACAACTCGTACGTTAGGAAATGTCAATATGTAAGACTTAATATTTGATCAAGAGCCACATGCTTAGTTCGAATGACGCACGAAGAAAGTGTGACAATGTTTATTGTTTTGACTCAATATATTATTTTCATTGCTATATATGACTCATGTCTATTTACAACTAGAAAATATTTTCATAATATTGGAAATACCTACCACACACCCTGAATCCTTTAATGACAAAGCCAGTCCGACTAGCTCTCTTGCTACCATATCACATCGGCGCATAAATATGCTTGTCACTTTGCACTTTTTAATGAAGTTGCCGAGTTCAACGTACCCTTTAAAATCCATGTGTTGATTCCAACAAACGTTTAGCGAAACCAACTGCGAATAATTCATATTACAAAGATAAAATATAAGTTTTAGGTTAAAGAAAATTTATTGTATTTAATATTTTATACCACAAGCAAATTTAGGATTTATTCAATTACCTTTTTGAAATTTCAAATGGAAATGTTTTGGAAAACACCTGTGACTCACTATCAAATTAACCCGATATTACTACAAATTACGTCAACATTTTCAATGTTACAGATTTTATTTTCCGTTGCATACTGTTCCAAACAACACTTTCCCGAAGCCTCCACTTGTGTCAACAACAGGTTGTAAGGGACCGAAATAATCTCGGGTGTATAAACGCAACGTAGCGAAATTTGGAAAAACGGCTTTGAGAAATGAAGAAAAAATACAATTTTGATTTTAGGACACCTTCGACTTTTTATTGAAATATTTTGGATAATTTTTTTGCTTACTGCTTCTCCTTTATCACTCATTTGTTCAACAATTGCTTGGATTTTTTCTGCGTTCAAATTGCAATCTTCCAGACTGAGATATTCAACGCAACATTGTTTTAAAATTGTACCCAGCGAACGAAAACCAGATTTTGTTAAAAATTCGTTGCCACCCATGTCTAGTTTGTAGATCTGCACATATACAAATAAAGAATATATATATGTACAATTTTATACAACTCATATACAGGGTGATCAGACCAAGTGTTCATTAAAATACCGTGTTTACCCGAAAATACGACTGGGTCTTATTTCAATTTGCTTTCGAAAAATAACAATTTTCGGGGGATGTCTTTTATTTTAATTTATCAAAATCAAAATTACAAAGTAGAGAATTACGAAATTTCCAAGTATACAAAATATGAAAACCGATATCCATTTACTTAAATAACACGTTTTCCTCTCTCGCGCGTTTTAGATTGATCATTTAAAACGGGTAGGACAGATTTATTGCTATCGACTAGGTCAAAAATAAAATTGCGCTATTGACTAGGTCTCATTTTTAGGGAAGGGCTTATATTAAAATCATTCTTAAAATTCAGGCTAGGTCTTATTTTCGGGGAAACACGGTTTCTACAATATGAATGTAAAAAAAAGAATTATTTTGCAGAAAATAGCAGTATAAAGATAAATAATAGAATTCATTGTTATTTTTCGATCTATCCGCCCTTTGACTTTTCTACACGCCTCGATCTGTTTGGAACTTGACTGTACGAGGCACGTATGGTTTTTTCTGAAATTTTGTCCTAACAAGTCATCAATCTATGCTTTGTTTAGAGCAGTTGTTCTCGACCAGAAGTACGTGCACCACTAGTGGTACGCAAGCAGCTTTGAATTATTTCAACAATTAACTTTTGTATTCGCTGAACAGCGTTAATAGCGCTACCAAATCTGTCTTTAGAATTCGCCCTCGCCGTTACTGTCCACCAAAAACGGAACGGTCACAATGCGCCTGCATTAATAAATCGGCAAAGAAGGGAGCGTTCGTGATAGCGGCTAGCACTGATCAATGTTTGTCCGTAGGAAGTTTCGGATAATTTTTATGATAAGATGTATTGTCAAGTAACGCGCAAAATGTCAAAAACACGCCCGTTTCGTTTCAGGTGGACAGTAACGGGCGAGAGCGATCTCTAAAAGACAAGAACTGGCAGCGCTATAAACGCCGTTTCGCGAATACATAAGTTAATTGTTGCAATAATTCAAAGCTGCTTTCGTACCACTTGAAAAGCTCCCGCGTATCCCTAGGGGTGTGCGTAACACAGGTTGAGAACAGCTGCTCTAATTAATGTATAGATTGATGACTTGTTGGGACAGAATTTCAGAAGAAACCATACGTGCCTCGTGCAGTAAAGTTCCAATCAGATCGGAGCGTGTAGGGAAGGCAAAGCGAAAATATATCGAAAAATAACATAAATTTTTATTTTTATACTGTTATTTTCTTCAAAATAATTTTTTTCTCTCTTACATTTATATTGAAGATATCTTAATAAACATTTGTCTACACTTAGCCTGATCACCCTGTATATAAAAGATAGCTTATGTATATATAGTTGCTCTTCAGTTGACATTGCAGCTTTAGTACTTCATTTATATTTAGGTGTGGTCACGGGACTTTGATTTGAGCAAACTTGTTTAGGAAAATAACATTAAATTTTCAAGAATACAAATTTAACGAAAGCAAGAAGCTGGCTGGCTTCGCGTCCGCATTACTACGATTAACACGCAATGGCATCGTTGTTTAACGTATTCTTTCTCGTCGATTCTAAATATTTGCCAGTCCTATCTGTGATCTTTAATTCGCACAAATTTCAAAGAGCAATATGTTCTCACCTTTATCTGAGATCCCAGCAAAGCTGTCATCAGATTGTCCAATAGCTCTGTGTGGAGTCCGCAATCATGAAAACTTAATTCTTGAATGACTAAGCGACGAAGGGTAACGGATGCTAGAAGGTGCATATTGCTCAGAGTAAGTGGAACAGAATTGAGGTTTATGTTGCCAACACATGTTTCAATAGCCTCGTTAGCACCTTCGCCGGCTTCATGCAAAACCGCCAGCATATTTAAATCAACGGTTTTGGTGCTTTGTAAATTTTTTAACAAAACATCTCGTCTCTGGCGCGCTGCATACGCACACAGGCCTTCATTCTCTAAAAATATAAATTTTTGACAATTGAGTGAATTTTGTATTATTAGGTCTCTCACAATCAATCTATTACGAGGATCCGATTGAGTGATTTTCGGTTATTCATGAGGGTGTCATGGTCCCAAGTTTGAAAGTTTAGAAACGAAACTTACTAACGGTTAAATAAATTGAGTACGATATGAAAAGTGAAACTTCTTTTTGGGGACAATACGCTGTTACACGTTATTAGTGGCTGCTTTCTCAGGAATCAACCTTGAGTAAACTTAAAAATAAACAGTCCATTAATATTGATCACGTGGTATTGCTTTTGAGTAACGATTTTGCTAAATGAATCCATGCTCCAACTTTTGTCATAAGTGTTCATTCCCCCTACAACCCACCTGCGCATATTTCTTGTCGGAGTGCCGACGTTTCTGGATGCAAAATTGAACCGAAAACTAGTAAACGAACAATTGACCAACGTGGTTTGTTCATATCATGATGGACAAATTCTTCAAATGCTTGTGGACCCATTTGACACACGTGCAGTGCTGCCAGCGTTTCTTGCACAGACTGGTGACAGAAGAATATAACATTGCTGCCTTCGACGAATCTATGTGATATTTTGCTCTTGGATTGAGAGGGAACTGTGACTACTAGATCCTGAACGTCTTCGTATCTCAATGCAACTTTTTCCAGATCATTGATGCGGAATAACACTTTCCCCGCGCGCATGCCTTTGAATGCCATCCGCTGTAATTTTCTTAGTATGCTTATTGTGTTGCTCTTATAGGCATGTTGGGAATGAATGAGGTTGAGTAGAACTTTCAGCATAATTCCAGAGAATGTGTCTGTACGAAAAGAAGCTTCGTCTTGTTCATAAATCGCCGAAGTTGCAAAAACAAGGAATACCGGTATGGTGCAGAATGAAAGTATGCCTGATTTCATTGACGAGAGTGTTTGCCAAATTAAGTCTCCTTTTGGACCACCGTATTCCTTGACGAGATTTTCAACCGATTGTTTGGATAATCCTGCCAACTGAATAGTTTTGTTTGGTCGAATACTTCCTTCCAGTTCCTGTATCGCATGATCTCGAGATGAAGTAAGTAACCATGCATTAGGAAACAAATGCCCATTGAAGAGGTTGTATATTATTGTGGCCATTTCTGCTCGGCTTTCATATCCTATACGTTGATGATAACCCCCAAGGCTCCATGTAGCTTGGTCGAATCCATCTATTGCAAAGAGTATGTATTTTGAATTCTTTTTCATCCAGTTAAACGCAGCCCTTTTTTCATGGTCATCCAGGTGCGGAAAAAGATGATCCATAAAAACTTCACGTGGCGTGATTCTTTCATCGGAGCATAGATTTTTGAATTCCATGTATATGACAAGTTTTACGTCTTTCAATCTTCCTACTTGGTTCGAGAGAACAATTTTTGCGTAACGCTTCACGAGAGTGGTTTTACCCGCACCAGCGGATCCTAGCAACATTACGTGTCGCGTGTTTTCGCATCCTACACCAGAATGAATTTTTTCTAGCAAAACTTGATGACCAATAATCTGTCGAGGAGTTTTTGTACCGAAGCTCATATCTGGGGTGTACTCGGGTTTAATAAGTGATCCACATCCGTGATAATAGTCAAATTCTACAAGCTGTGGAGTTTCCTGAATTTTAGGTTCTGCCAAAAACGGGAAAAGAACGGTCACGTCATTCTGTACTTCCGCCATTGTTTTGGCATTGGCTTCTTCCAGCCATTTTGCAACTGTCGCATCGTCGGCTCTTGAGTCATCTTAATACAAACGATGGAATAATAATATAGTTTATGTTTATGCACATAAATTAAGTTTTGATACAACTATTATATACCGTACATCATTTTATTTAATTGTACCATTGTTTGTTATTGTAAACCTGTCATTTTATGGACATTTTATAGAATAAATTTCACAAATAACATTTTACATTGCATCTTGTTTTCAACATGTTTGTTGCACTGGCGAACATCAAAATATTTATTCTAAATACTCATCATCCGGTACAACAGTGGATTTGTCACACTAATTCAAATATATAATCAGTGCAACATTAAGAATAGAGGTTGATATTACTCGAGAATACAATCGTTTAATATCTGTGACCTATGTAGGCTTACATACATATCTATAAATTTACACGCATGAAATGGATGAGCGTCATTTTCTCGAACTGATTTATTATGAACTTACGCCCAAGTAAGAAAATATTTATCAAATTATACATAGTGGTCATTCGCGGCGAATAACCTGCGATTATTGATTTCCAATAATTTGACATTTGAAACGTTAATCTAGTTCTAGTAAATCAGTTCAAGCAGGGTATGGTGACCATATTAGGAGACACAATACATATTCAATGGTGACACATTAAGAAATTCGATCAGTCAGCAATATATTTCCCCGCAATCATGTTCATGGTTTTGTGTATTTAGCAGATGGCGTCGTCAAGTCTAATTCAACTGCTTTTAGGGCTAATGATCGACCACAATTGTCGGAATATGGCAGCAAATTTATTGGTATTTTTCACGTCGTAATGACATACGATATGATTCATGATAATTCCAAACAAATATATATTGTGTATTTACCCCATGTGGAGTATTCTAAATATTAATCTGTCTGGAGTCTGTTTGGCGTAAATTAGGGTGAGGAAACTGTTTGTTGTTTCCATTTGAAAACATGTCGGCGACGTCACGCTCGCGACCGAGGGTTCTTTTCATGGCAATCCTAGAAGGAACAGTTTCTGGATAGGTTTTATAAATTGCCAAATGTAAAACACGTGAATTTAAATGCTCTTGGCAGAAGAATAAGATTTATTTGCTTGTTTTTCACTACAAGTGAAAGTTGCAATATTGCAATTGTTACGTATTCAGTAAAACAACAAAAAATAGTCAAAATTTCTTTTACCTGTATATGTCTCTCCAGTGTATCCTTGAACGCCGTTTGTGATGTTAATTTTCCCCACATTACCATGTATATTGAGGACTAAAATAAAAACACAAGACTCAAAATAAAAAACCTAGAAACAAAAGCTTTAAAATATCCTTCAGAGTAGATATAGACCGTTGTTTCGTTTTGCCTACAGGCAAATTTTTGTTCCTAATGCTCAAAAACATGAATTTCTATCGACATAAGTTTCCGGCCTATAAATAATTAAATATATATAATAATTGAATGTATGAAAATTAAATATTCCTTATTGGAAAAAGTCGGTGATTTCTAGGCCACGTGTATATAGATTTTCGGTATTATAATTCAATTTCAATCCAAACAATATACGGAATTCACCTTCTAATGTTTATTTTAGGAATAAGCAAATGTTGTTGGATGCAAATGTCTAATGAAGCCTCCGCAATACCAACATATTCCAGTTAAATATTATTTTTTCAGATGTCATATGAAGGTTTGCCGTATATATAATGCGAAAACCAGCAAGATTTGGGGCAAAATATGATGCCCAGTAGGGCTCGGGAAAAAAAATTAAAAATAAAAGTAATCACTTTCTAGGGACTAGTTTTTGCAATTTATTGATCCATTAGTTGCCGGGAAAAGCGGATTTTCACTTCACCAAAAACTCCAAAACGAACAACAATTTAGTAAAACAATCAATGGTATATCAATTTGTGCCGAATAAGTTATAATGTAATGTTGGAATAAATGAAATTTCCGAATTTAGAACTAAATTCAAAACATAGCTTTATTATTGATATCAATGTTTTTGACATCACCATGATCAAATGAGATCACTGCATTTCCGTTGAAAATATTAAAAAAAAACGCTGCACTTCGACTGTTGTCTGTGTTGCTATAGGATTTTATTATTGCTACTAGGTATGGTACGACATATTTATTTACGATTTGATAATATACAATTTCTATTAAAAAATATTTATATTTTCTCCTAATACTTTACTCAAATAAATATTGTTTCAACTGTTCAAGAAGGTTATTCAAATATTGGAACAGAAGACAACCCAATGCCAACAGATGGCGAGATATTGAAAACGGTATTTGATATATTTTACGACCAAATTTGAATGTTCCATTTAATTCAATGTTTGATTTTTGTTTGCTTTTCGCATTATTCATTTATTTATATGTATATGTGATTATTTAAATTTTATGAGTAGGCCGGAAATAAAAAAATTGCTTGGCTTGGAATTAACGTTAATGCTATCGGCGCGAAAACCATTTGTGGTATTAATTTCTAAAAATATTTTTGCACGAATAATCAGTTTCGTTAACGTATTATACCAATATGTGTGATGCAAAGTTATCAAACATTCGGTGTTCGTACTCGAAATACCAGAATAGAGATTTTCAAGAATGGACCTCGTTCGGGAATAACATTTATTTTTTTTGTAACAAGTATTGCACAACTGGACTATTGTTAACGATTGTGTTTTGTGGTCGCAGAAATACTTATCGGCGTGTAAATTTCATGCCCCGATTAGTCATTATTCTCTTGTGTACTTGTGGTCAGATTCTAAGGAAAGGCGCATTGCGACACGAGACAACAAATGTGACAAATCACGTATAGCGTTCGAGATTGTTTATTGCGGCTTTCGTCAGAATTTTACCAAGTATACAATGAAATAATGGTCATAAAGTATTAAGCTGAATTAATTAAATGTAATCTCATTTACCTCTTACCAATTCGAGCCCATAATTAGGTCTTTTAAAAATGACGGAAGTATTCAATCCTACATTTGCGATTCAAATATTACCCATCACTGCTTGATAACAGCACCATTTTCTGTTTCAGCTGAAATCTCACGTCTCGCCGAATCATACATGTTTATTGGATTGGTGACAGAAGTGTCTGTCGAGTGACCGTTGTTGTGGCAAGCACACTAAGTGGTTTTATATTTGGCCGAGGTTGTAATAATAAAAGAATTTAGACAATTTCCACGATAAAAATGTGTGTATGTTCTACAAACTATATCAAATATTTTAGAAAACCCGAAATGAAATTTAACACCGACAGCCGTCGGAAATAAAATCTGGATTTGAAATAGAAAAGTATAGAAATATTCACTGAATATTTAATTTAATATATGAAATCAGAAATATTGCCATCGCTCAACATCGAAAATAAGAAGAAAATTTTTCTAGAAATTAAATCTCACTTTATGAAATTACAACTCGAATACAATTCATGGTAATAGATTAATGGCAGGCAATTATGGTACTTTCATTTATTTTTCAACTTCTAACCGGGACCCGGTTTTGGAACAACAATTTGGCTTCATTTTTATTTTTTGGAACCGTATTTTATCGCATTCGTGAACATTTCATTGTGTTACACTTGTCCGCCAATCAGCGAACTTGGTGCTAAGGCCTTGCCAAGTGTGACAGTTTTGTCCATAAAATGAGCATTGATCTTTTGTTGGTGTAAAGTGATAGGTTAAATAATATATATATATATATATATATAGATACCGCCATATCATTTGATAAATTCCAAAGATGCCCACATTATTCACAGGAAACGAATGAAAAAATATACGCCATCGTCGCATTGATATACCTCAATCTTTTAGAACCATTTTCAGATTCATTGCAGTTTTACCTCACACCTACTTCATTACGTGTAGAAAAAAAATAGTTACGATACAAAATTCGCTAAAGGGTCGGAGACTCGTGAACAATGCAAAATACTGATAAAAATATAATCTCACCATTCGCATTATCAATGAGATGACCTTCATCCGGTGCTCTTGCCAAATCTCCTAAAATTGAACAAATTTTCGCTAATCTGATACTCTATCAAGCTTATATTTTGTTTCAAATAACAACATCCAGTTTGCCTTTATAAACAAAATAATGCTATTATTGATGTGACCGCTTAAAAGTAGCGACAGAAATACTCCAGTTGTGTCGAATTTAATTCATATACGGGACAATTCAAGCAAAAGAAACACTCTCGGTATGCTCAAAAACAATTTCTAGAAATGTTTTTATAGGAATTTCAAAAATATTATCATAACATCAATTTCGAGTGTCTGTAATGTGTAGTCATTTTTAATTTGTATAATAAAATATACCTGCATCATTTGGTACTTCTAGTCCAAGAAAACTTCGGATGAATACACCGAGACTTCCCAAAACTCCGTACAAAGACGCCATAGCTTATGGAGTGTTCTTGGTTGCTTAAGTCATTCTGTCTCACTATATCGAGAATACACAACTGATATCCACCCAACGCGATTATCGCAGGACATATGGTATATAGTGCGATATGTTGATTTATTTGAACGGTTGAGACGAAGCTTTGTTTACCGAGTGACGCGAGTTGATATCGCTGAATCCACGGCAAAACTCACTCAAGGTAAGGCAATTTTAGCTTCGTTTCGTATGTATTTAGTTTCAAATATTGACAATTTGAGTATTCCGACCAAAATATCAACAAGTGGAAGAAACTGAAGATCCAATGTGGTCAGGTAAAACCATTAGAAAAAAAAATCGCTTTTCTCATTAACTACTGGAACAATTGTTTTAAATTTTCAGGGGATAAAGATTTTTTTTCACTTTCGCTCACTTCTTTTACTTATTTCAAAAATTTCTGTGGGCTCTATGGTATTCGTTTTTTGTGTAATGTAATGACACCATCAAAATTAAAATCACCATCAAAATTGTGGCGGTGCCTCCTTCGCGTTAGTTCTGGTGGTCGGGCGAAGTCATGAAAACTGCGGTACCGGTAGTCTACTGTGTCAGATTGCATACCCGTACCATTCCGTTTTGGTTTTTGTGTCCATACATTTGAGCATCGCTCGGCGGTGTGGCGCATCGTGCTAAGCGTTAGGAAAACGCTCGCCACCGCATCTCTGATTGCCCTGCGTGGGTTCGCAGTTCTAATCCCATGCGGGGATAGTTATGTGCAAGAGGGTTGCTGGACTCCTCGCCGCCGCAGGGTGGTTGACGTAACCGCTGGTCGGTTACGGCTTCCTCCACCACCAAGTCCATCCTTCCGAAAACAAATAACTGGCTAACACATCTCATACCCGACATGGACTGGTAAACGGACGATAGGCCGTGGTTCGCCGGGCCTAAAGATGTAAATCCTATCCTTATATTGAAGAACAAACCGTGTATGGCTTTGTGAACATTCTTTGTGTTTGAGATTACGATAAAACAGCTCGTGTGTGAATATTCAACATTAACTTCAATATCTTCGCTATTTTGAATAGTTGAATTGAATTGAAGTTGAATAGTGAATCCAACTTTCATCGATTTAAAATTGACCCAGCCGAATCGACTCGGTTAAATAATGAGTCATGAAAATGTACAATGATCGCGGTCCGCGTAAACTTAGCAATCTCATCGTTGTTGATATTGTGATCACTTTCACTTTCGCGATTACCTTCTAAATATAAATATATATATGAAGAGGTCAGCGATATATATAAAACAAGCTTCGTCTGCTACATTTTTTGATTGGGTTTTCCCGTGCTGAGTTATATTTGACGATGAACCAATATTTTATTTTAGTTCAACAATGGCTATTTTTGCCGTAAGGTATTAAAACTATAATTGAAAATATCCATATATGGATTTATGCAATCATGGAAATTTAAATCTATTATACATTCTCTCACTCATTAAAACACTCTTAGGCAGTCTCTCAGACTTGCACAGCTTGTATACTGATATTTTTTATGATGAAAATGATTTGATTGTAAGATCTGAAAGATTTTCTTTGTCTTGTCTTCGATATTTTAAGGCATTCTGCTTCCCAAGACCTTTCTGCTTTGTGGAGTGTTTATTAATCTGGCTGTCATTTTCGTGGTATTGAATTAAATCGTTTCTAATGTATGGTATGTTTTGTGCTGTCTTATGTCGAAATGCAACTATAAACTTATATATATATCTGTAACTCTTACGATAGAGATGGTTACGTCACCTGTGACGTACATTACCAAACGCTAGCTTGACTCGACTCGGGGTTAGTTGTTAGGTAGGAGGACTTGTCAGGTTCATCATAGGTTGCAAATATGTTTTACTCTATATTAAATTTATTCTCTCCGTTACATTTTCATGCATATATAAATAGCTTGAATAAATACATTTGACGCCATCCTTGTTGATGGGAAAGATCCTGATTAAATGATTCTAATCTAATGAAGATTCCGTAATGATCTATTAATTTCATTACTTATATGACCAATTGTTGTCACATTTTAGAAAAGAGTACATTTTTTACTGATCTCTTGTTCACATCACACTACTCCGATGCTCCGCCGCCGTTATGATGTTTTTTTAGATTTGTAGTGATTAAATGACTCCTATATTTGACATTTTATAATAAACGTTCATTTGGAGGATTCAAAACTTCGAACCAACTGACATCTTAAATTCGCAAAGATTTGTAGATTTCAAGAAACGGCCAGCTGGAATGGTGATTGATTGTAATATGATATCCAGAAAAACTTTTCGATGTTTGAAAATGGTCATTTGTGAAGATTTATTATTTCGTTAAAAATGACTTGCAGCAGGTTAACGCTATTCTATATTTTGTTTAAAATTATTCTAAAGAGAGGGTATTTTTAAAAATTGCTACATATATATAATAAAATTATTCAAATAACCAACTTCAATACCGAGATATAAAATGATTACTGTTCGTAACACCGCACACCATCACATAAATCCACACTATTTATTGTGAATGAAAGATAAAATCTGTAAATTATTGTTCATAAAACCTTTCAAATTGCATGTTTTTGGTACATCATAACTGTATGGTGAAGCAATATATTTTATTGATTTATGGTTTTATCTAAGAAACAGTTTTGTTATAAAACTAAAAAATTAAACCAAATCAAATTTGAAAACTGTCAACCAATAGAATAACTTCAATGAAATTACATGATCCAGCCATTTATCTATAGACTGAAACCAGTATACGTTTATTAGTGCTACAGCAAGACAAACAATCCTTGTTTATCACAAAGACGGGCTTCTTTTAAAAACGATGTTAGACTGTGTTTTCGATTAGGTCGTTATCGGACGGGAATCTTTTGTAAGTAAAAATAAATATGTGGTATAATTCGTAAGAACCTTAGTAATCATCTAGTAGTTAGTAGTTATAAAATACGCTGAGCATGTAATCCTATTAAATTTTGAATCAGAAAACATATTTGATGATTATCACAAGATAAATCATTTTGTATACTAGTGTAAGTCATGAAGCCTGCAAAAGGCACCGAAAACAATGTGCGGGACCGGGAACGTACCTTCAGAACGTAGGTTCTGAATACCAAGCGAAAACTCTTGTATTTTGCCCATCCTGTAATACAGGGTGATCCCCATAAACAGACTCCCACATTTTTTACCTACTTGTATGTAAATAAAAAATATTTGTACTTCCGCCCGTGTACGATTGTACCCAAAAGTTTCAGTAATCTTTGCACAGTTATGTTTTCTCCAGAATATGTTGCAAATGACTTGGCCTGGGGTTTTGTTCTTTCCCCCAAATATACCTTTACTACCTCCACTTACTTTTCAATTTGTTCGTAAAAGCAATCGCATGTGTAGACTTGTAACAGCACCAATATATCAGCCGATACGGTAGTTCTATATTTCATTAGTTCGGGCTTCCCAAACTTTTGAGCTCGCGGCGCCTTTTGAAATATTAAAATTTTTTGCGGCCCCTATTCACGTTAATAATGCTAAACAGTTCGAAATATTTTATTGACACAGTCAATTCTCAACTTTTAGTAGGTCTACTCGATAACAAAAACAAATTCACTTTTACTCCGATTAATTATTCAGTGTGATGAGTTGCGAATGTTTTGCAGCAAGTCAAACCGTGGCTCAATGTTTGTCGATTGAAGACCTCAATGATAATGAATTACGATGTCTGGCCACCGGCGGCACGGTTCTTATCAGGCTTTGTTACTTGTTAACCTCTCACGGTGCCTTTTGAAATATTAAAAATTTTTGCGGCTCCTATGCACGTTAATATTGCTAAACAGTTCGAAATATTTTATTGACACAGTCAATTCTCAAATTTTAGTAGGTCTACTCGATAACAAGAACAAATTTACTTTTACTCGGATTAATTATTCAGCAAGTCAAACCTGGCTCAATGTTTGTCGATTGAAGACCTCAATGATAATGAATTACGATGTCTGGCCACCGGCGGCACGGTCCTTATCAGGCTTTGTTACTCACTTTCAAGGATCAAATTTAGCATAAAGCAGCTAGCTGTTCGTGCGGCGCCAAATTATCAGGGATAAAACGCAATTTTATCAACGTCAATGGGTACTTTATGCATTTTAAAGTTTATAAACATGTAGTAGGCCTAAAGAATAAAGGCGAAAGGTTAACTTATCTATGCCATGTTCTTTTTTAGGAAGCTAAAAAAATCACTCATGTTGCAGCAAGTAGTGTTTACCTCTACTGTTACGTAACAATAGACCAAACGTAACAGAAAGTGAACAACATAGAGCGGTGAAATGAAATATTTGATTCATATTTTACATCATATAAAATGATGAGGAGCAATAAAACCCTTAGAATAAATAAAATATTCAATCATATAATAGTTGATTTTTAACACAAATCTCTTAATTTTCGAAGCGCACTCAGCAAAGCGCCTTCGGGAACCGCTGGCATAACGATTGAGGTCGGCATCGTTGTGCAATCAAATCGGGTTTACGATCAGTATAGGCCGGGTATAGGCATTGTTATGCAAGCGCGATGATTCTACCGTGTTTCCCCAAAAATAAGAAAATGCGACCTAGCCCTCCACTTAATTAAAATGAAACTTACTCAATGGCGCAAATTTTTGAACCAGATGATAGCAGGAAATCTTTTCTACTCCTCTTTAATGGTTAATCTGTTTAGCAGTTATTTTAAATAAAAACGTGTTATTTATAAGTAAATGGAAATCGGTTTTCGTGTTTTGTATATTTAAAATTCACGTAATTACTAAAAAATGAAAATAAAAGACATTTCCCCAAAATAACCCCCGATTTTGAAAAAAATTCGAGACACTGTCACGGTAAGATGATGTATTCACTCGGAATCATGAGATTTTTTTGTACACTTGTTCAAATAATTGTATTTCAAATCAAGAGTCTGAAAAAGTGCAATAGATATAGTACTTTGTGTAAAATTGATGTTCTCTTCGCGGCCCCAAAAATTCGTTTTGCGTCCCCTTGTGGGGCCGCGCCCCCTAGTTTGGGAAGTCCTGCATTAGATCATCAAAGATAACGTCTTAACATGCACTTACAATAAATTTGTTATAATTTGTGCTCAATCATTGTGACATTAACTAATTCGATCATAAAAAAATGAAAAAACTTTATATAGGCTACCTACAACAATAATAATTATTTTATAACTAGTTTCATGTTTAGATCCCGCCATGTTTCTTTTATATTCAAACATTTTACATAATATCAAAGTGTCAGATGAGGTTTATGGGCTATGTTGAATAATGATTTTTTGCATATAAACGACGATATTATTTCCAAATAATTGATCCTTTCGAGATGAATGAATGTTGCGGGATTGAATGGTGTACAAAATATAAATATTTACTTGTATTTACGATTCATGTGACGTAGGGTTGGCAGATGAAAATCAATCCGTACCACCGGATTGCCGTTTTTTATATGTTTCGTTGGAAATGCCACCACAGCTCTAATATATTTTAAATATCGCACAACATGTGTTATTGAAAAATAACCCTAAAGTGTTATCTTATATATATTCGATTCAAGTGAAAGGAATGCTTAGTTTGATGTAAACATGAAACAAACGATCAAAATAACTTGTACTTTTTAATCAAACTCATGAAACAAACTATCCTTACACAATCTATTTTCTACATTTATTTTCCGCAGTGAGTTGAACTTTTTTCAGCATAGTCGTTCGCATTCTGGATTTCTATATTTTATTATCTTTAAAATATTCACTATAGCAATCAAGAAATAAACAGTTTACACTGGTAATTTAAATAGGAAAACTGATGAAAAACAAAGCCTTCATCTGTAAATGGCATCTTCCAGAAAAGCCAATTGGTATACTTTTTTAGAGACAGACGATTGGTTTCAAAGTGGATATAAAAGACCTTAGTGGAATATCAACTATAATTTTATTAATAATGTTCTTGTGTTTCTTGTATGAATAAAAATTGTGAATGTATGTTGTTTCAATTTCAACATACAATACATGACGTTTTTGTGGGTAGACAGCAATTGTGGGAACTATCGCTCAGTTTAATTGTTTATTTTTCAAATTAAAAATTTCACAAATTACTTCGCATTAGATTTGCCTGCAGGCTTTTATACGTTCTTAATCTTGTCAAAGTGTGATGTGCTAAATACGTCCATGACAATGTTTCGCTATTCAATGAACTCGCTTCGTCACACTTAAGAATTTTATCGTTAGATAATATTTTATATTGATGGGAAGGATACATATCTAATGGTAAAAACTTTTCGGATTGCTCAAAATCACATTATTTGATGAGTTGATTTCAAATAAAACGAAATGGATTATATAAAAGGATTTTTATTACTTTTCTTTATACTCGGAGTGGAATCACGTAAGTAGTTTTAATTATTATTATCTGGACAGCTTTTTGTCACGTCAAGAATGACAATAACAAGTCGCATTTGCGAGAGATTTTTTATTATGATATATAAAATAACATACAAAATTAGCTAAAACCAGGTTTCCGGCAATTTTAATGTAATAATGTACGATACATTTGAATGAAATTTCGTGCACAGAATTGATACAATCGCAATTTATACCGATGGATTCAATTTTTTTCATACAGAATAAGAATAATAAAAAATAAATCCCGAGAAGTGAATGAATTCAATTTTGTACGGGCATGTCGACTTTTCTTACCTGTAGACATATTATTATCGATTAGTTTTTATACCAACAATCCGCGATTTTGTCTAGGTAACTTAGCCAAAATGTAACGAATTTGAGTCATTCTACTATAAAGTAATAGTTGAGAAAAATTGCCACAAAATAGCTTGAATCATGTTATTATTATAATATATATTCGTAAACATTTTTAGCCCCCCCCCACAATGATTTAACAGATTCAGAGGCCACTGATACACTTTTTTCAATAATTTTTAGTCCTTGATTCTATAGCAGATTCCATATTCATGGTATTTTTAAATTTATCTTTACAGATAATCTAGTCACGTCACATAAACACAAATGATTAACCGAACTATAATAATATCTCATGCAACTTCAAAGAAATCTGTTCACATTTCAATACTTTCAATCAAAACGATTCTTACCACCGTAGGCAATCATATCGTCGTCAATAATGCTTTAACTGAGCATTGGTTTTGTCGAAAACATTGCGGACTACCCTGACGTTGTTAGTGGCGTGGAAATAAAAGTTACATATTGAGCCTTAAAAAAAAATCTTCCGACCTCTTCTTCCCCCTTCAAGTACTCAAAATAGATTGGCCACGTAATTGCATAGAAAAGCGATTTTTCTCTCAACAACAACAACCCTGAAGTACAACAAGTTTTTAAAAGGACCCATTTCGTGCCCAATAAGAGGTTTTGGCATCATGGATACTTTTGTACGCCAGCAATTTCTATCTTAGAATGTGCCAATTAAAATTAGTTTATCTGGCAATTGGCATGGAGTATTTTAAATATTTAATAATGAAAAAGCTGCTGTTGAATTCGGAATCCTTAGAATTGTGGTCTATGAATCACGCACGAAACGAATCACACGAATCGAAACGAATAGCGGAAGTTCGTTTTGTATATTATAAGATTAAATTAAACAATGACAAATCATGTTTAGTTGCCGCAAGATTAAGAAGATCATTTTGTTTATTAATTGCGGACAAGCTTTGACAATTTTAATAAAGTTTTAATTACGATTCACGCTTTTGTCATTTGTCATTGGTCCGCTTCAATAATCCAGATTTGAAATCATTTTAACACATATTTTATGTAGCTCTCGCCCAATATAGTACATTCTTAAAATATCTTTATCGGCCAGGTGATTATAACCTTGATTAAGCCGAGGCTTCAAATTTTGGAACAAAGGAATTATTTTAAATATACAAACTGCATCAAAATAGAGATTCCACTTCATCTCTAGCTGGAAATATCTATTGATTTTAGACGAATAACAACTACTGGCTTGTCCATAGTTGCCAGATTAATTATGTAATTTTACAGAAAATTTATTTTCATTTTATTCATATTTTAATTTTAGAGGAGATGAAGCCGTGGCAAGAATGGACTGAATGCAGTGCAACATGTGGAAATGGAATACAAGAACGAACCAGAGAATGTGCAAACGGAAGATGTACGCAAAAAGAAACCAGAGGGTGCCAAATTAAAATATGTCCGGGCGCTGGAGGATCAGGCAAGTGATGCTGCATGTAAGCTAGCGCTTATTAGTGAAGGTAGCTACTCGGCTTCATTTGTGCAGAAAATTTGTTAAAGATATATTTTTAATTTAGCTGATTAGAATATGGTGTTCAACTAATAATCTATCATTATTTCGAAATGAAATGATAGATTTTTTTAATTGAACTTGTGTCCAAACAAGTAACGCGACTGACTTTAAATTATATCGTTCCAACAGGTCATTAAAACGTATTACCACTTTCCGACATGCTTAAAATAGATGAAGCTCACAGATACGCATTGTCAGATTGAAAAAAAAAATTATTTTATGAACTGCATTGTCCGTGTGGCATAAAATAAGAAAATCTGCACTTTTTTACTAATATAACAATCATGGGATGTTCACATCAAAATAATTTGTGTAAAACAGTGGACAACCGGCATACCGGCGATATATATTCTGCATAAAAGATTTTCACTTATTTTTGTAAATTTCGTATCGTAAATTTTATATTTCCACATATATGCTGTTGAAAAGTGTTATAGTGTTGGATATGTTGGGCTTTGCGCAACCTTCGAAGAAACTTGACCGTGCTTTTCTAAACGCGGAAACCTTCAAATAGGTTTATGTAAAATATGTTTCATATACCATGTATAAGAATTTGACTCTTGGGAGCCTTGGAGTAGATGCAGTAAAACTTGTGGAAAAGGAATACAGGAACGCAAACGTCGATGCAGTAACGGAACATGCGTTCACAATGAAAGTCAAGTTTGTCAGCTGAGGCTGTGTGAAGGGATTAGTGGTAAGGTTACGTTTATGACGTCTCATAGGATTTTTACTTCCTTCGAAAATTTGAGGAATTCACAAATCAAAACCGCCCTGTCTTATTAGTTTAATCAATCCGCCAGCTTAGTTACAGAGACAGACTGTTGATCATGATAAATATAGGTATATGTTTATATGACTAATAACATATGTACACGAAATGAATACACTAGCTCACCTTGTGCAAATCGAAAATTGAAATTTGTCGTCTGTTGACATTAGGGCGCGCCGGTCCAGTTTCCGTTTGAAATAAATCAAATTTTCTGGTTTTGAAAATATATAATTAAAGTCGCATGTCAATGTTCAGGTATAAACGTATTAGTTTTTAATAACGCTTTTATGACTCACCAAAACGATTACACACATTATATATTAATCCTTATGGATAAGACAAAATGGAAGTTACATCATAATCTGAATACTCTTTTGTTGACATGACCATTCTTGGTTTATTTATTCGATTGACCACAAATACAGCTTCCGTAAGTTTTCCATCATGTTCAGACACGCATCTATGGCCTGAATGGTCTTCTTGTAGTACGACATGTGGGCAAGGAATAGCTACAAGAGTGCGGAAATGTCCGGATGATCAACCATGCCAACAAAAACAAACAAAAACGTGTTATTTATTCTCTTGTAAAACGGATGAGGGTATGTAACTTTGATATATCTCCGGATATACAGTATTTGTACTAGTCATACACGAAACTCACGCCAGCAATTTTATACAAAGAATCTGCAGTGGAGTATAAAAATTGGCAGAGGTGGTCAAAATGCAGTGCTACTTGTGGATCTGGAACGAGAAAACGAATTCGTCGTTGCAAATATTCAAATTGTCGTGAAACTGAAATAGGATCATGTAGGGCGAAACCGTGTAGAGGACAAAGTGAGTAGAATCCGGCACGAGGGTGTCTGATTCATTGATCCCTTTAAAATGTGTTAACCCAATTTAATCGCAAATGGATTAAATTTGGAGTTTTGCATAATCAGAAACACCGGTGCCTCTGAACCAAGTTCTGCAACAAATATTAACTGACGGAAGCTTGTCACCGCCAGCTCTATTCCCAGGTACAGCTTAATGAATAGCATGGCGTGTAACAGCGCATCTGGATATCGGTATATCAGTAAAGAGTTGGCTGGCTGTTCGAGAGATGCGTGTAAATAATAACATAAAGAATTGAGGAATAGCACTAATAAGCGCGATAATTCAACCTTTCTAGAATTATCTTGCGACATGGCTTTACATTGCTGAACAAACGTTTTGATTCAATGTGACCTGATAAACCTGGCATAATTACTACTTTCGCCACTTGTTTTTATTCTTTCGGACTTAATGCGAATTAAGTCAATTGCATGTTCAAGTTGTGAAGTTCTGATGTTTTTATTTCTGGTATGCGTAAATCCGTTAATGACCTTGTATTGAATGGAAACCCATTATACTAGAAATGTACAAACTCGTGGTTTTCCAACTTCATTGTAAATGATTTAAACTGCTTCTGCTTCTTGCTTCTGAAAACGGTTTTGTACAAAAACCTCTGCAAAGCAAATTTTTAACAGTTCTGACGCTTTTGGTGGTTTGGTGGTGGTCTGATAAGAGAATTTTGGTTACGAAGAGCTATAACTTTTTCTGCGACCCTCTTGTCAACTTAAATCGTCTCAGGAATGTCTCAACTGTCTACTGACGTATGGTGGCATGTGTTTGTCAAATACTTAATTGACATGTAATTATTGATGGATCGGTACCTTCCTCAAATACATTCACAGCTAAAATTGTCCCCGGGAAGTGGCAACCATGGCTCCCCTGCAGTGTGACTTGTGGATTTGGAACCAGAAAGCGTATCAGAAGATGTAGAGTTGGTGTGTGTGAGCAAACACAAACGCAACGCTGCGTAAAGCCGCAATGTGTTGGAACTGGTTTGTTGATCTGATGTCCTTTTATTCAATGCAAAATACTTCCTCTCTCGAAAGCGTTTGTTTCCATTTTAACTCAGGGATATTGTCGGAATACAAACAATGGCAACCCTGGGCTCCCTGCAGCGCAACGTGTGGCCCCGGGGAAAGGAAGCGCATAAGACGATGTAATGTTGGAAAATGCGAACAAATCATGACAAAAACTTGTTTTGCATCTAAGTGTACAGGAAAAAGTAATGCCTGTTCTTTTACCTTATAATTAGTTTTAATTATGTAATTTATGGTGGCTCCGAGATTTGTCAGAAACCACATTTTAGTTTTAAGTTGCTTTATTTGGAAACTGTGTTCAAACCAGATCATATGCTACATTCTTGTGGCAAAACAGTCTCGTTTTGAACAAACCAATTGGACGTATACATAATAACGAGTTGGTTTGTGTACAGAGATGCTAATTGATCACGTTAGGAACCTTGCGTGTTTCAGATGTCTGTAACCAATGCATAATAACGATTAATGAACGCGGTTATTATTCCAAAAAGAATGCATGTATAAATGTACTTTCAAAATGCACAGTCACAGATGAAATCTTAATTAATAAGTTGCCGTCTCAATGTGACTGATTGTATTTCTGTGTAAAGGCATTGTTTCTGTACTTTATATGTAGAAGGGGTGCAATAAGGAGACATTGTAATGAAAATGGTTATTCACACTTCACTTCCAACATTGATATTAAAATAAATGTCATGGATGTAAAAGGTTCAAATCACTGTCAAATATATACTCATACTATAGGCCTACTCGTGAGAATTGGTTCGCATTATATTTTGTCAAGCCGGTTCCAAATTCGGTCAAGGAAGATGTTTGTTTTACTTAAGTTGAACTCCGTTTATATTTCTGAGTTATACGAAGTGTGACAGTATATTACTGCAGACAATAATTATCCAAACACATTTTTGCAGATTGATTTTCATGGCATAAAAATTAACATTGTACCTTCCAAAACATTAGTTTTTCTTGAATATAGTTTGCGATGTAACTTTGACAGCGTGTAATTCAAATTCCAAGTTACCACCAACAACTGTAAATATGCAATATATATTAGGGGTTAAAATACAACACGAAAATTTATTTAAAGTACTCATACAAATACAGAAAAAACCCTATATCTGAAATGAAGAAAAGACTGTCTTTCTATTAGAGAAACAAGCAAACATCTTCGATTGTTTTAGTAGTTTTATCCATATTTGTAATAAAAATATTACATGTCACATCTATTTTTCACAAGTACTAAACACCGAATGTTATTTCACAGCACAATTAATAGTAATTTGTATCAGTTTACAGTCACTTTCTAGTGAAACAAACATTTATCATCAAAAAGGGCATCGGGGTGTGACAGAGATTATGTGCAGCAAACGTAGCCAATTGAGAGAAGAAAAAAACTAACTAAGTATACGATAAAACGTCACCTTTTATTTTACAGGAAGGAATCCTGTTTATCAACCATGGAAGAAATGGGGTCCTTGCAGTACAACGTGTGGTTGGGGTGTGAGGGTCCGAGAACGTCAATGTACCCGTCCTCTTAGATGTGTTCAAACACAGAGTCAATCTTGTAATCCGGTCAAATGTGGTGGTACGTTTTTTAATACTGTTTTTTTAATTCAAACAATTTTTTTCCTCTATGGCGTTCGTTTTTCGTGTGCGACTACGTCATCAGATTAAAATAATTGCGGTTCCGCGTGAGTGGATGTTTGGTGGTGGCACGGTACCGGTGTACTACTGTGGTAGATTGATACCTATTCCGTGTCCATATATTTGAGCATCGCTCTCTTGTACTTTTTATATAAATCATTTTCACTCCAGTAGTTTTTTGAACTTTACTTTATAGGCCTACTAAGTGGTCGTAGCCATGTTCTGAACGAATTAGGTAAGTAATTGCTTTGCGCATGAATTTATTTGAAAGTTCCTTGTAACCGCATAAGAAATAAAAGGGGTAACATTTGTTTTCCAAAAATACAATGGACCAATCGTTTTTGATACTTAAAATGGTTGATGCCTCCAGTCTAGAATGATATAACTATTTCAAAATTATTCTGAGTCACACGAAGCTCGATATTTCTCTCAGAATTTGCACGCGCTAAGCATATTGCGCTTCCGCGTGGCAGTGCCACAACTTCAAGCCAGTTCGGTATTTTTTCGATAAAGCCGACACTCCCAGCTCAGCTGTAATCTTACCAGCACCGGTGGTATCTTGATTTGCAGTTTTGCTTTGAAGCTTTCAAAATTTTCATCGCAAGTTGCATATTCATTGAATCTCCGTGTCCATATATTTATGTATTTGAGCATTGTTCTCGTGCCTTTATTCATTTTGCGGGAGTTTGAAAGAAAATAGTTGTTGATTCAATAGCCTCTGGACCAACAACTAAGCCTGATGATCCATTCCATAATTGGGGAGATTGGTCAGAATGTAGCGTTACGTGCGGAACTGGGAAAGAAACTAGAAGACGACAATGTAAAGTCGGAGGTTGTGTCGAAATAGCAGAAAGATCATGCCGCAAAAGTTGTTTAGCTGAACGTAAGTGTGCTATGTTGTGTAAACAAAAAGATGTATAGTTCAGTAAGAGAATTATTATTTGAAACTGATACTACATCCAAGCAACAAAATTCTGAATATGCGCATTGACTAACCCGCCCGTGTATCATATTCCCCAAAAATAACTGCAATGATGAGATGAGAAAAGTTCTTACGAAAAAAATCGCTGTAACACCAAGTTAGTAATAATTAATTAATGCAAAGTATATTATACTTCGAAAAACTTTTACGTACCAATCGTGCCTGCGTACCGACATTTATATTTGTTTTCAATACACAATTTATATATACAAGACGTCATACTATTGATACCTGTAGGCAGTAGATCACGGAGAGCGCTTAGTAAACTTTTCCGAGAAAGCACAAGTTTTAAGATGTACCAACCTCGTCCTATCGCTATATTAGTCACAATTAGAATTTAGTAACCTAACAATAAATGGTTTTTCAAAACACTCTGAAGTTGTGGTAGTCTACATGAAGATCAAAGGATTTTCATTTTAGTTCAAAATCTCAATAACAAAAGCTCGTACATAAATTGTCTAGAACCCAAAATTCTTTTTACACAGATCCGTACGCTTGCACTAATAACTAGTATACTAATTCCATGCCGAATCTACATTGAATGACAGAGAAGTTCCCTTTGGTATAGATCATTTTATCGGCTGTGCTACGAAGCCTGGTCTACCACGAATATATGAACTTGCTATTTATCATTCACAGCTGACCCGAAACCAATTACTGGCAAGTTTTTGCCATGGGAAGAATGGACTCCTTGCAGTGCTACTTGTGGAATAGGAAAACAAACCAGACAACGTCGATGTAGATTGGGAGGTTGTGTTGAAAAGGCAGAGAAGTCTTGTCGGGAAAGGGTTTGTGCTGGACGTAAGTATTACATAAATGGCAGGTCACAAGCGCCAGTAATTTAATTTATTAATTCAAACTGGTGCAATTTAGAAGTACCCTAAATTAGGAATGAAATAATCTAAGTCGCAGGATAGTGGTAGTAAGTATTTTCCATCAGAATACGATAATTCCATTAAATACAGTTGGTAGCGTGGTATCTCCAGGTACAAAAAAAGATTTTTCTCCGAACAACCACACTTTTTTAAATTCAAGAGGTTGTAGGCTATATTACAAGTGGCACAAACGTAAGCTACACTCATAGTTGATATTTGACTGTTGAGTGACACCTTTTTAGCACAGCCGTTCGGGCGCCAGCCTGCGGGAGTAGTCATCCAATTTGGTGCTGGTCGGGGGTTTAACTATTTTTCGAAGTTTCATCGAAAAATAAAAACATGCTCATACAAATCTAAAAACAATTTCTAAAATATAATTAGAAAAAAAGCAGACTTATAAAAATGTAAACACCGTTGTTTATTAGTCTTAGGTTTGCATTTTTGAGACATTGCGTAATGATAGAGAGACAAAATTAATTCGACGACTCGATCTTTCCTATATTCAAGGATTAATTACGAAAGCGTGTGTTTTAATAATACCGCCATTGCTGACCTTGCGACTTTCACTCCGTCTGCTATTTTCCTCATTCGATTAAATCCTGAAATAGATTTTACCTATTAGCCAACCAAACCATCAAGCAAACTGAAAAAAATGTGAAAAAATTGATGTTTCAGCTAAAATAGCTCGAGGAATTTGTTGAGATTGCGGTTAAATTTGGTTTTGGCACGGGGCTTATTGTTTTCCACGTTTGCTTTGTAACACTGCAAATATTGTCCATAAAATGTAACTTTTTCCCCTGGTTCAAAAATTTTGCCCGCCCCCGGTATAGACTATCTATGACATGTAAATACACCGTGATTTCACCGTGACAAAATCACAGCAAAACACAAAAACTCAATTTTATGTCAAAAATTATTCTTAGCTGACGATAAACAATTTCATCCATGGGAAGAGTGGTCAGCGTGTGACGTCACATGTGGATCAGGCAAAGAAACAAGACGACGACGTTGTAAAGTAGGCGGTTGTGTCGAAGTTAACACAAGAACATGCAGACAACCAAGTTGCACTGTTACAGAAAAGCGTACGTGTATATCCAAAATATAGTACTTCACCCTCCACATATATGTTAGAAAGTATATTGGGATCTTATGTGCAAAGTCCCTACCAAGAATGTGAGATTAGAAAAAAACACCCCCGCCTCGTTTTAAAATTACGAATTAGTAACTATCCAATGGAGTTTGGAGTTAGTGTTAGGAATGACTTGGAAATTTAAATTTCCAACACAATCTGCATTCTTAACCCTAACTGGATAATTGCTTTTTTAGTTTTTTATTTTGGCGTTGGCGGGGATGTTTTTTTTGTCGGGGGCTTTGTACAAAAGATCTGTAGGAATTTTTGTAAATGTTGGCCTGCGTTTGGACTTACTAAGATATCTAGAATATATTTCATTGTAGTGTAAAAGTTTCAAACGTTGATTGACAAACGCACATCAAGCCTTCACTGTCATATTTAAAATTATACAAATTCCAGAAATTTTCTAATAATATATAACTTAATTTGTTTGACATTTTCGTAAACAATTTAAGCGGATATTTGACCGCTGTACTGGTTTTCCACGGATAATAAAATGATGAGCTTTCAATTCAATAAAAACAGCTTAGGATTATTTTTATTATAGTCTGTCGCGACACCGTCATCTTTTAAATATTCATTACATAGCTTCACGTTTCTGATCAAATCCATCATTGGATCGTTGCTTCCAATATGCATGACATTTTTGATTGATTGATTTAGCATGTCATGCTTTCATTCTCATATAGCGGTGGCTTCTCCGAAACAAGGTGAATGGAGTCCTTGGTCAGCATGCAGCGCAACATGCGGTGCCGGAGAAATGAAACGATCAAGGTCATATCCGGAAGGATCGAGCGTTCAAGAACAACTTACATATTGTAATATACGACGATGTTTGGATGAAGGTGTGTGTTATGCTGATGCATTTAAAAAAGCAGACTGTTCTTCGAGTTTCTTTAAAATTCAATAATCAAAGTATTCGAGCTCGATATCTGAACACGAAGGTTCTTTGTAGGATTTATCGAATGAAAATTTGACCCCCAAACGGGCCACGGAGCGGTGCTCTGGGGCCACAATCAAAATCCTCACTACAAACCGTTCACAATAATTACATTAATTTAAAATGAATTAACTGTAATTTGTTTTATTCTTTGACTTTGGTACATTTAGCTTTCGTGTGTTGGCATTTTGAGCGCATAAAATAACTGTAGGAAACGCGTTAAATGCAAAACCAGGTATTTTTTTGTAAGTGGACAGTGTTTAAAGTCTGCAGATAGGCAGCTTAGATCATGAGAGTTTAAGAATCACGGCTGATTGACCAGCAATATACAGTCTAATGCTAAATTTACACAAAAATCTGTCATTAAAATGCTCCAAATCAAAATTATATGTCCACCGCTTTCGCTACGGTGCTAGCTCATTGTCGGGAAGGTCGGGAAAGCGATGGACTTGCCTATACCTAATACCACGAGCGTCAAAACAACATTCCCGTGCATTAATATAAAACAGCAAAATGTGTGGTAAAATATCGGGCTCTGTTGGCCCTCAAAAATGTAACGTTTAAAAAAGTTGATGTACTAGCCTTCTCTTCAGAATTGATTCGTAGTTGCGGAAATAAGCTATTTTCCCTTAATAACAACAATCCCAATAACAACTACAAAAATTATTTAGTTAAACAATTCATATTTCCACTTCGTGTTCAATTTTTTTTTTTAGTTTCAAGTGATCTTATTATGAATATTCTGCCTATTAATTTGATAGGCTTTCATTCAAAATAAAAGTTTGAATAAATTAAAAATTGTTCACTTCTAATTTTATTTTCCAAAAAATAGATATGATCGAGGTAAGGCCCGTTTTGAACACAAACACGGTCGAGTAAATGACGCAACGGTCTGACTATCTGGAATAAAATAAAAATGCGTATATTTAGAATCTTAAAACCGAAAGTTTTTTTTATAATTTTAGTGCGCTTTCAATTTATATTTATTAATATTTTTTGAAATAATATGTCATATTTCTCATGATAATAAATTTATATGAATGATTTTCGACTATTTTTATAAAATTTTTAGTTTTGAAAACACGATCTTAGTAAACTACTTTAAAAATAAATTGGCTGCTCTGGTACCAAGCAAATAATAATTGCACATTTTTCATAGCATTCACAATTATCTCACCTATCTTGGTGTTTAGGCGCGCTAAAATGGAGATCGATCGAAGCATGCCCACCTCGCGACTGTTTATGGGGTATAAATGAAGAATTGAATTATGATTATTTTCATTTAACTCATAGTTTTGCTATACTTATAAATGAAGATCACTATTACTTTTTCATTCGAAACTTTAACAGATTTTTATACATATAAACTCTGTGTGTTTTGTCGGTTTTCATAGCCATGAAGTTTTCCTTTATCTCGTCAATTATGGGAATAGTTAGCCAGGTATTCATTTCCGATGCATGGACAGCATTTTGACTTTCATTCGAATATACTACGAGTATCAGGTGTCCTACTTTATATTCAATCACGCTTGTCTTCAAAAAAGCAAGTTTTCAAACTAGACAATAACTTAATTACTTTTGGCGAAATTAGACATTCTGATTATACTGCTCATTTCCGTTGAATTATTTCTGCAGACCCAGACAAATACGCTGATTGGATGCCGTGGTCTGGATGCAGCGTGACATGTGACACAGGAGTTAGATCCAGAGTTCGTTTTTGTAAAATAGGATCGTGCAGAGACACAGAATCAAGCTCTTGTAAAATGGAAGATTGCGAAACTAACCGTGAGACAAACATTGAAAATATATATATATGACTAATAATTTTTTTGTCTTTATTATTAGATATAGCCTGTCCTAATTCACAACTCGAATTCATTCAAATTTTTCATTTCATTTTCCACTATCTCACGTATTTACGAGTTGATAAAACAGGTAAACAGACGGGGATATGGAGAACCAGCTTTAGTATCCCCAAATATATATTATGATTCCTAAACCACGAGTATGAGTTTCTAGATTGTTCTTGTATCGTTAGCACGATACCCTCTCCAACGAAGACATGACATTATTCAGAAAGAAATAATTGGATAATCGTTATGAAGTCATAGAATAAATATTGACTATTTTTCGCCCCTTTAGCTACGTTGTTATCAATACAAAATCAATTCGTGATCATGGTTATTGAACTTTAATCAACTTTGAACTTACAAAATATTGTCCGTGGTTGATTCGTTCACTGATTAAGTATCACTAGGGGTTACTTGATGACGAGCCCGAGTCATTTCATTTAGATGACTCGAGTCACTTCTAGTCTTCGATAAATGTTTAATTAAGTTAATTAAGATGACTCGAGTCACTTCTAGTCTTTGATAAATGGTAAATTAAGTCAATGACTTAGCTATTTCATTCAGTTGACTCGAGTCACTTCTAGTGTTTGATGAATGGTGAAGCAAGTCAATGACTAGAGTCATTACATTTAGATAACTCTAGTCATTCCTTAGTCATTCAACTTAGTCTGTGAGAAAGTCAAGACTCAAGTCAATGACTCGAGTCTCACCAACACTGCCCAGGCATCTTTATTATTTGAAATGTTTGTTCTTATTTTTCACAGTCGAGGACAAGTACGGGCCTTGGCAGGAATGGGGTGAATGTAGCAAAACGTGTGGATTCGGATTTTCAATAAGAAAACGATATTGCAATGTTGGAACATGCGAACAATCGTCCTCAAAGACATGTAGAATAGAGGCTTGTCCACGTACGTATATAAAAAAAAGTACTAATAATTTGTTGAACAACGCTTACACATCCTTTAACATGCACAGTCTTAACGTCTATCAAGGTCTTACTTCATTGATTCATTAGCCTGAGAAATTAAAATTTGAATGTATAAAATTTGGAAATGAAAGGTAGATAGCTATAATATAGTGAAAGCACTAAGAATATCTTTGGAAAGTTGTTCTATTTAAGATTAAATGTTATCTTTAATTCTTTCTCTTGGTGGGAGTGGCAGCCAGTCTTGATTATGATAGTGTCGCAGGATAAAAGCCCAAGTTCAAATTTGATTCCCACTCTTCTACCGGGGGAATGATATATTGCGCAGGCAATGGCGAACCATAAAAAGCTGAGCCATCAGATAAAATGTGCAATTCTTAAAACTTAAAGGACCCCAATAAAATTTTAACTCTTAAGCATTTGGTCGGTGCATTGGTAGTTTAACATAGGATATTGCTGTAAATTACTATGCCTCAGGAACGATTTTACATTACCTTTTACTGCATAAGAATAAATATGTTTGTCATTTTGCGATAAATTTGTGACTTGAATATAAACTGTACTTGGAGTCAGTTTTACAACCTGCTTACACACTGGAATAATGAAAAAGAACCTTTGCCCCGCAAAGTATTATTTTGCTAATAATTATTTGTTAGCTGTCGTTATTACGAGACACTATTAAAACCACATAGTTTTTGAAACTCAATTGAATTTTGTTTTTCTGATTCTGTTCAGCCGATTACAAGGAATGGGAACCATGGGGTCCCTGTAGCGTAACATGCGGATCTGGGATATCCAAAAGAAAACGATTTTGTAAAGTAGGATCATGTGAAGAAGAACAAGAAACAACATGCGACATGGAAAAGTGTGGTTGTAAGTCATTTTATCAATAAATCCACTTTAGCGGTATACTTGAGACATCGTAACAACTTACCGTCTATGTAACAGCTGGATGGGAAGACTGGGCAAATTGGAACGGATGCCATAAATCATGTGGAGGCGGTTTTGATTACAGATTAAGAAGATGTAGAGAACCAACACCGTCGAAAAACTGTCAAGGCGATAACTATGGTTACAAAAGATGTAACACTCAATCGTGCTCTGCAGGTAAATGTGATTGAAAACAGCGTATATTTTTAAATATTTGGTTATATGGCCAAGTATAATACTCGAATGGGTAGTCCCTAACGATCGAGTCGCGAGTCGAGTCACGGGCCATACGAGCCTCGAGTCCGTGTCCAAAGTCTAGTCAAACACTGGGTTCTGCCTACTGGTGGTTGGTCGATGACGAATCCGAGTCATTTACTTGACATGACAATTCGAGTTTTTAATAAATGGTAACTTGAGTATGACTCAAGTTGAGTCAGTGACTCGGGCATGCCCAACACTGTTACGTATACGCCCACAAGATAATTTGGCAACGTTGCTTTGCATAGCAATGAGCTAACCGACAGATTTGACGACTGAAAATGCTTTTTTTGGAGGGATAAGTTCGGAAAGTTCAAAATATCACATATAAATATATACAATCGTGAATAAGTAAAATGTTTTACGGCAATTATATTTTATAGGTATCTGGGGCCCATGGGGTGACTGGAGTAAATGTACAGTCAGTTGTGGCACCGGTGAAATCTCGAGAAGTAGAAAATGTGCCCAAGGAGAATGTGATGGAGACGAGAAGGAAACTTCAGAATGCAATACCGTAGATTGTATCAAAGGTTTGTATTTATTATTAATTATACGGATACAAAGATTAGACAGTTTAACTTTTATACATGAAAATTAATTTTTGTAGCAGAAAGACAGTGACTCAAATTCGAAAATTTTATACCGAATTGGATAAATTATTTTTTGGAGTTCTTAATTAGGCCTAAAACTAAAATAATCCCTCAAAAATTGGATTTTATTAAACTGGGTAGGCAATGCCGAAATAAAAAGATTCTGTTTATGTCGAATTATAATAAAACTTCCATATCGATGGCTTCGTGTTTTGAGGCTAATTCGAAAAAGGCACCAAAAAACGTCCTATTGAAAATACGATTAGAAGTCGCATTAAACGTCATGTTGACGCAAGTTTTAACTCATCATTGTGTTCGTCTGTTATACCATTTGAGACGTGCATTGGACTAAGACATACAACAAGAACAATTCATTACATGATCATGAAAATATCTGACTATGATACATACTAATAAATATTTCTCCACTGTCTTTCAGCCAAATGGTCAGAGTGGGGTGATTGGGGTGAATGTAGTACGACCTGTGGTAATGGTGAAAGGAGTCGTACCAGAACTTGTATAGATGGGAGGCAATGGCAACCTGGCTGCCTGGGAAGTTTAATAATGAAAGATGTATGTGACGGACCACCATGTAAACGAGGTACTTTACTTTACTCTTTTACTTTATTCTTACTGATTATTTACCAAACATTTACACTATTAATTCTATTCTACATCCGCGCAGAAGTCGGTATCAGTCAGATCCCCGGTATATAACATTATCGTAAAATGTCGCTTTCTTGGGAATTATGTTCGCAAAAGGTAGCGATTTAATACGAGATATAAAAGTGCTAAATTGTCAATCTTACTTTGCGGGATAAAATAAAGCCTAAAACACGATGGGAAAAGGATAAACCGTCTGTTCGGGTTTCAGAATTGTGTATAGTGATAAATGTGTCTATGTGTCATACACGCAGGAACATTGAAAATACAAACAAAGTGTAATAAACTGCGCAGAATTTACCTCTAATTAGTTTTGAGTATACAATAGAATAACAGATAGGTCATACCGCATAAACAAAAAGAAAATTCAATTTAGTTATGCCGAAAGCGCTTGTCTCTAGCTTGTATTCTATTGTTAGATCTGTAGATGAACTCATAAAGTACAGGGTAGCGCAAAAAAAACATAGTTCATTTGAAACATATTCTAGGTAGAACATCATTTTTGTGAAAAGCGTCTTAAATTTTTGAAACTTTTGGGTACAATCATTCTCAAACAAAAGTTCAAGTGTTAATTAAATCTTTCAAATTATCTTAGAGGTGTTTGAAAAGTTTTGGAATAAATTGTTCGAACTTGTATTTAACGCAGCATTATGGAGCGAATGGTCAACCTGGACAACGTGTTCAGTATCATGTGGTCGAGGAGAGACAACAAGAGAAAGAATCTGTATCGATGGAAATATCGGTGACTCAGGTTGCAGGGGAGATAGTGAAGCTATAAAAAATTGCTTCAGACCTGCTTGTAGAGTTGATGGTAAGTCACATATATAAACATATATATATAAAAGTACAATGTTATTTGTGGCTTTGTCTTAGCAGTATCTATTTAAAGGTTTTCCTCTTTTTAATCGAGGATAAAGGTAGGATATTAATTCCTTAACTTAATCACCTGCTCTTGTCCTTTTTGGTCTTAATACATATCATTGTCTTGGATGTGCTGAGTTATCAAAGTTTAAATGGTAGAAATTCTTGCAATGGTAATGTGATGAATATGGACACAGTGATTGGGCATTTGGACATTTTTGGACCCTAAGTGGAATTATAAATCGGTTTGGCTAAGTTGCTGTTCTGTCCTAGTTGTTGTTGTTGTTATTGTGAAGAAAATTTCGAGGCAACTAATCGATTAATAAATTTTAAATCTCTGTAATTGGTAGTCGCTAGAAAGCTATTGTTTTTAGTTTTTTTTTCTATACCGGAACCGATATTTCATTCCAAAATTTTGCTGGTTTCAATATTTCTTGGACACATCTTCATGTCACATTTGGTAATATCTATTTAAAACTTTGATGGAATTTTGCGACATTTATTTTGGCCTTTATGCCCGTGTATTTGGCATTGCTCTTTTGTTATTTGTTATTACATTACATCGAGTCTATTAAATATTTTTCTATGTATTTAATATCTAACTATATAGTATGTTGTAATGTCTTTGGAATCATATTTTTAGATTTGAGTAAAATAGAATAAATATTTTATGTCATATCAATAATATTTAATCATCTTTATAGCTAAATGGTCGAGATGGACCACCTGGAGTAAATGTTCTGTTACTTGTGGGGGAGGAAGCAAATCCAGGAGTAGAGAATGTTTGGGCGGAAAGGTTGGCAACCCAGGATGCTTTGGTGAAGATCAACAGACGGATGAATGCAACACGAATAAATGTTTAACGATGGGTAAGCTTTTTACTAATAAAAAGGAAAGGTGGATTAAAACATCTCAAAGTAGATTCACTCTGAATGAAGACTTATAATGTAAAAAGCTATCATTTTTAGAAGAATCGGAATTTTGATTTGGCATTTCCCACTCAATTTATTACACTGTGGGTGAGAAAGGGGACATTAGGTTCGAATCACCCAACGGCAAAATAGTTTAAATAATTTGCTGCTAGGTTTCCATCTTCGAAATGGGAATGAGATGTGGCTGCAACCTTACATCTGAATACAACTTTACTTGGTTGTTAGTCGTTTTTCATTGAGTTTTATGACTATAAATAAATGTTGCACTTGTTTTAGGAACGTGGAACAACTGGTTAAATTGGTCTACTTGTTCTGTGACCTGTGGTATAGGAACAATATCACGGACTCGAGTATGTGATGGCGGAGACAATTGTGAAGGGAAAGCTAAAGACTCAGAGATTTGTGAAGAAGATGATTGTAACGGTGCAGCAAGTGAGTCATAGTTTTTTTTAAATTTTCTACTCACTCTCTTTCCACTTGGCAGTTTATATATAAGACGTTTATTCACGCGTTTCGTTCAGAACAACGCTCTGTACAAGCAACCAGATTTAAACAAAAAAATAATAACTTGGAAGCAGAGATATAATGGTTTTAAGCGTTTATTTTACACCATTTTCTATAGGTTGGGGAGATTGGAGTGATTGGAGTATATGTTCTGCTTCGTGTGGTATCGGGCTATCTTTGAGAATAAGGAAATGTGAAGGTGGAAGTATTGGTGATGAAGGATGCAAGGAAGGAGGCCAGGAATCGCAAATGTGCAATGATATGGAGTGCGACAGGGGTCAGTTATAGGGCCTTACATATTTTTTCTTTATATTCACCTTGTATTGTATTCAAACTTATAGCCCACTTATGTTTTAGAACCCCAAGCTACTTGGATGCCTTGGTCTGACTGGAGCGCATGTCCCGTGTCCTGTGGTTCTGGTACACAAGCAAGGTCAAGAACCTGCTCAAAACCTGGAGAATGCCAAGGAGATCCAGAACAAGCAAGGATTTGTAACGAAACCCCATGCAACACAAAAGGTTCTGTATGCATGAGTGTCATATATGTACTTAATCGATAGGTTCGTGTAGGACAACTGAGTCAGTCAGTGGCGAAAACGTTTCTCAAACTGGCACCGTTTGTGAGCAGGGATTTTATGAAAAAAATTTCAACGTTGTTACCATTGACGTATGTAACTGTTGTGTGCGACGAACCTGAGTGTTCTCTTTATGACGACACACTTATATGTAGTTGCAGTTTGACTATCAGCATACGAAGAAAATGTCCAAGACAATCTTCCTGTACAGTTTTACAGAATGAGACACATTTTCGTAGGTTGGTTTGCTTTGAATAAGGCTATAGACAAGCACTAATGATAAGTCAGTCTCTACCGTATTTTGTGGGTTCGATGCATGGAAATTACAATCGTCGTTCGATGAATTATTCGATTGAGATATATCGTTGGATATTACAGGTCGATGGAGTGACTGGCAAAAATGGGAGGATTGTCCTGTACCCTGTGGATCCGGTATAAGTCGTCGTACAAGAACTTGCATCGGCGGTGAAGTTGGTAAAGGTGGATGCGTTGGAAGAAGGACGCAACATAGAAGATGCGAGAAACCAGAATGTGGGTGCCTCCATTTTTAAATTGATTCTTTGTTTTTGTGTAACATTTCTCCAAGCATTCGTTTGATTCTGTCTGTAAGATTGGCTTGTCAGCGAGATGTTAAAAGTGACACAACAGTGGAATTTTATCAGCTCATAAACATTTTTTTTCACTCGGAACGAATTTTTAGGCACGGTTGTAAACATTAACTCGTTATTGCCCATTTTGCTAGCTATTTGTCAGTTTCACTATAAATCAAATACCTCATTGGTGATTTAGTTTTTATAGTAATTTCAGTTCAGTTTCAGTAATCATGAATTAGTCCAGAAAGAGCTGCGATATACTAGGCTGAACTTATCTATCAATATTTGAACTGGTTGGATATTCTGAAATATTTTACTTTGGGTAATACGAGTCGGAGAAACATCGATTAAGTTTAAAATCATTCACTTAGTCTTAAAGATCGAACAAAAATATATCATACAAGAGTACATTGATACTTGTAATCTTGATTGTACTTAATAAAAAAAATAACAGATGCTTGTATTTCAGTTTCAATTTTTGTTGCTAAATAATGACAACAAAACACTGATTTATTAATTTCATTTCGTTTTCGAATATTTCGTTTCTATGTTCGTCTGGTTCGGCGTTTGGCGCATCGTGCAAATCGTAAGGTATGCGCTTTCCATCTGGCACGAATTCGCAGGTTGGAGACCCGTGGGAGCTAATTATGTGCGAGGGGATTGCTGGACTCCTCGCCGTCGTGAGGGGTGGTTCGCGTAACCGCTGATCGATTACGGCTTCATGTCCACGCATCTGAAACAACTGGCTAACTAATCCCATAACCGACATGAACTGATAACAGGACGAGGAGCCGTGATTTGCCATTTAATTGAGTCGTCTTATCGGCTTTCCTCGCCCCCGATATAAATATAAAATTCCTAACCTACCCAACTACATTCATTATTGCGTCAATAATATTTTGTATTTTTCAACAGGCGAGTGGTCAGATTGGGAACTTTTCGGCGCATGTTCGGTTACATGCGGAACAGGAACAAAGACTCGAACAAGAAAATGTGCCGATGGAGCGATGGAAGTGACAAAATGCGATGGACCACATCTAGATGTAGCAGAATGTAAAAGACCAGACTGTGCATTCGGTGAGAATAACGCAAAAATAATTTTGTAAATAGGATATCCAAGGGTAGACGGACCACATCTGTTTTATGCATAGTAGCACTTTATTATCAGTACATATTTTAACTGCCTAAAAGTGAAACTCGATGAGTATATAACCTCGCAAGAAACAGCCTTGTACAGAGGAGGCATTTAAGTGACAATTGAAACTATATATCCATCCCTAATATTAAGTACATAATTCTCTGAATCATGCTCTGTTTGGATAAGCAGTAACTTATGCCCATGTGAAAATATATTATCTATTTCCAAAGATCGAAAGCACATTGGTTTGGTTGAGCCTAGATTCGCTACACGGTGGTTACAGTTTGCGTCCCCCAACTTCCTCTGATACTAATATTTTTATGCATTTCAAAAACATTTTTTATTGAACAAACGGCGTTAGCTTATATTGGGAAACAGTCACATTTTTAATATGTTTATATCATTTTAAAAATTTAAATATTTATTTCTATAATTACAGATCCAACGGTTACTTGTCAGAAGGTTTTCCGTCCATTTAACAGCGATATGACTGCAACGAACGAATATCCTCATCCACTTGGTACCGAAATAACATTTGAATGTGATATTGGATATGAAACGAAGGGTGACAACAAGATTATATGTATGAAACAAGGCAGGTGGTCTGGTCCAGCTCCATACTGTGCAGGTAAGAAATTCAATTATCATATAGCCAATTTTTATCTCATATTCCTGTAATTCTTAATCGCTGCCAACGGTCTACAAAATACTGGTGCTTAATGCTTTAGCGGTGTAAATTGTTTGAGACAAAAATGAAAATACCAGTCATATTTTCCACGAAGTATTTGTATGTCTTTCGCCTCGAACAAGGCTCAGCTCCGAACAAGGCTATGGAAAATATGATACTGATATGTACGATGCTTTATTTTAAGGGCATTTATTACTAGGTGAGGTGACGGGCATGGAATTTGTACCCGAGATTGTAACCAGCAATGCCATCATAGTTGAGTCTAAAGCTTTTACCACTAGACCACAGCGCCCACAAATAAATATATTTTTCATGGGACCGTCTTCTCTCAGTACAATGATCTGTACAAGCAACCACTGATATGATGAGAGCTACTGGGGCTTGAGATAAACCCGGGGATCTTTAAACCTATGATGCAAGCAGTTTCTGATCGAATCGAATTTATATACATTTGGTGTCAAAGCAATATTCAATTGTATTTTAGCACGAAGTTGCAGACGAAATTTGAAGAGAGTCGAAAATGGAATGACTTGTCCTCCTAAATGTGAATCTGATAATCAATGTGAAGGAATTGGATATAAATGTTTATGTGATGGATGGTGTGGAAAATCATGCTTCAACCCAGGTTAGGATAATAAATATTGAATTTTAAAGCACATTACCTGATTATTAGCGTGAAAACGGCGGCTAGGGTTCCTCGTTTTCAATCGGGTTGATGTATTTCTACAAGAGATAATCGTATAAAATGCTTAAAAACTGTAAAACTATAAACAATATCAACTAGGTAACCGAAGTGTTTACGTTGAAAACATCAATTTCATTACTTGTATCCAATTATACTGTCTGTACTCACGTCACATTCTAATCTTCCATCGTTAGTTACTGCATCTCCTGCATTGTCTCTACATCAGTGAAACGAGGAAGGCGATTGTTATCGACGCTAGTTTATTATTTATAAATAAATCATTTGTTATTCTTAGTTCTATATTGAGATTTTCTCCAAGTCCATTATCTATAACTGGCCCATTTGGGAAAATAATTACCCACCTCTGTCCTAGACCAACGCGATGGTATACGAGAATATGCAATTAAATCTATAAGTTTTGTGTAGAGTCAGGCGTTCCAAATAAGAAACGTTTTCAAAAATCGTATTTGAGCAAGCAACGAACCTCGTTTTTACTTTCTTCAGATGCTGAATGCGAGCCTCTAAACTTGCCCGAAAATGGTTACATACTCAGTGGCCATAAAACCTATGGGTATAAGGTAGATTATGGATGTAATCCCGGTTATATTCTGACCGGTGTTCAAAGCCGAGTATGCAGATCTGATGGAAGATGGACAGGATTAGCTCCAAAATGTTTCTGTAAGTTTTGTTCTGAATCTTAAATCAAGATCCATGTCACAGTATTTCAATCTTGGCTATATAATATTATTAGACATGAAGCAGACCTATAGATTGATTTGCTGGACAGTTGTTGTTGTTGTTTTCGTTTGTTTGTAAAAGAATAATCAATTACTAATCAATTTGGGACCAAGACTCGACATTTTATTCCACATTTTGCTACTGTTTTTTCATAATTCAGGATGAAATCTAAGCGAAATAAGAGAGCACCATATTTAGTTACAATTTGGCTGGTACATTCTCAGGCATTGAAATACTCTTAATAGGAAGGTAAAGTAGGCCTACTCATAACTCATGGTTACTAATTATCATTTTTTAGCATTCAACACACCAGGTATAGCTGGCGACATCGGGAACATATTAACAAAAAATTCGTTGCAGCGTGTAATTGGAGGAAAGTCTTCAAAAGCTGGTGCATGGCCGTGGCAAGTTGTGGTACTTAGAAATGAGAGGAACTTATTATATAGAGTAAGACATTTGAATCTATTCTTAGAATAGTTCGTTCAATAACTTTCAAAACTAGGAATGTATGGTAAATAGCATATTCATTATTACTTATCGATTTTAGTCGGTAAGTATGTTGATAGGTATTTGTCTGTCTGTATGTCTGTATGTCTGTTTGTCTGTTAGATGTACGCGATATCTCACGAAAGCGAGATTGAATCTGCTACAGATTTTGCATGTGCATTCATCTCATCTCGGACCAAAAGACTATTGATTTTGGGCAAATTATGTCGTATAAGTAGCGAGTTATTGATTAATTAGTGACGGGACACTAGGTGTCACTATGAAGTAAGAGCGCTGTTCTGGGGGATCCCCTAACTTTCGATCGATAAGTCTTCGGTCTCTGACCGATATTCTCGTTTTATTCTATTGTAACGTGTTGTAACGTCTATTGTAACATACCCCTTTTGATTTTGATTTCCTAGAATTCGTAGGCCTGGTGAGCCTGTTCCTTCCGGGCCTTATAGCTCCTTAACTAGCAGTGACTTGTTGGGCAAAGAATTATTCAGAGCTTATTATAATGACCTTTTAGTACAAATACGCCGTTTCATTTCCATATTTCTTCAGAGTTTGGACTCATTGATGGGTGGTGCGTCGATTATTAATCAGAAGTGGATTCTCACAGCCGCGCATCTTGTTGCGGAGACGAAGAAGATCATATTGGGACTAGGTATGAGACATAATGCCATTGAATTTTGGACGGTTGGAGTCGCATCTTAAATTTACTCCAGTTTGATATGTTTTAGTTTCTTAGATAGCTAGAAGTATGCAAACTTGTTCAGATTTGATATAATTCCCATTATATTTTCACCATTGCACGACAGCAATGTTTTCACCATTTGCAAGACTTATATCTCTGCTGTAGGATATTTGATATGCGTTTCTTAGAACAAAATATTTCCATATATTGTTAGGTGTCACCGAGATACCAAAGAAAAATTCTCAAATCAAAAGTTGGGTGCAATTCTTTGAGCCTGAGATGTCAACAAAGCATGAAAAATTTGACAGAAAAAGTTTTGACTACGATATTGCTCTGGTAGGTATTCAATGTATAATTCTAAGTCGCGAGTCTCAAATCGAGTCACGAGCCACCCGGGTTCGAGTTACAGCAAATTTTAAACTTCGATGGCAAGTCGAGTCATTTTGGTTGCGAGTGGCAAGCCGATTCGGGTCGTTTTTGTTTCGAGACCCATTACGAGTCCGAGTCATTGTAGATTACATAAATAACAATAAAATGAGCAAATATGAATAGAATATGGCTCGAATTCTTCCTGTTTTTAGAAAAAGTACCTGAGTTCAAGTCAAGTCGAGTGGACTTAAACCGAAGTCCTCTAACTTACAATGTGTGTCAAATTGCTTAAGAAAGAACGCTATACAAATTTTTGTTCAGATTAAAGTAGGAAAACGGCTGAAGATAGCTGATGATGTTTTCGTTGTGGACGAAGACGCAACACATGGTGAAATAACATTCAGTCAATATGTTAGACCTGTTGCATTGCCTTGTATAAGTGCTTGCGATATAGAAGAAGATTCCAAAATTGAAAATGGAATTCCATCTTATTCCTTCGATCAAACTCGTTGCATTAAATATGGTATGTAGAAAAAATTGTAACGTTTTGTTTGTTTACCTGGAAGACTGGCAGTATCAATCTTGTTTCAAGACGAATCTTCACTGGATTCCACATAAAACTGAAAATATATGATTTATGATTACGATTATGATTATGATTTCATTTAACGAGGCTATGCACAAGAAGCCACCGCTTTGTAAGAAGCGACTATGGTTTAGGAGGACTTGAACTTTTCCTGTTGCTTCGACATTGTCTACCCAATTTATTACACCCTGCTGAGTAAAGTTGTAAAGTTGTGGGATTTTAACGCAAATGATGTGACCATGGTTAAGTCTCACTGCTTCAAACTCTGGGCAACTAAGCCCACAAATATTTTATTGATATAAGTGAGTCTGAGACGGAGTCGGAATTTTGAATTTTAAATGGCGATAATCTACCTCAAACTTATCAACAGGAACTCGAAGAGCATTAGTCTGACTAAGCATTTTCAATAGACAATGAAAGGAGGCATGCATACGCCAACAATTTTGGTATCAAAATTGATCAAATTTTTGAGTTCAGAGCTTGAAGCATAGTCAAAATTTCTTTTAGCCGGATGCCACGGAGTCAACATTTTGTCAACCCGGAGTCGGGTGTCGGAACCGGAATCTTTTTACTAATGGTCCGAGAGGAAGTCTAGTAGTCATACCGTACCCAATTACCATCAAGGGATCCTAACCTGCGATTCCGCGGAAGGTAATCAGAAGGCAGGCGCGTTTCGTACCTTTAGCACGATGTTAAACCACATAATCATGTGCTGAAACGTAACTATTGTAGCAACCCATTTCAACCATAAAAACATCTAACGAGTTATCTTACTTTATGTTTAAACTTTTTTATCCCAGGTAGGAAAATCAAGTCTGTGGAGAAAGAAGATGGCGTGGTAATAACGGGATTCGGAGACACAACACCAAATACTATGCTGAGCCAAATATTTGATTTCCCTGAATCGTTGCAGCAGAGTTTATTAAAACTTCTTAAATCTGACGAGTAAGTTTTATGTTCACTATTTCAATATCAGAAGCTATTTTTACAAATATAGAAAAGGGCATATCAGAGCTGTGCAAATAATAAGGTTTAAATTGGATTGAAAAAAAGAATTCAGATTATGGTAATACTTTTCCCGTCTAAATCATAAACTGAGTAACCAATGCCGAACCGTTCAACAGTTCAAGCCAACGTCCACCATTTCAGCCGGGTTGTAACAGACCGATACAGAAAGATTGATATCTATACGATTTTCGCTCCGAGTACGGCTGTGTACGGAGCCTTGTTCGTACAGAAATTACTAAAACTTCCCACAAAATTTAGGAAAATGAGAATGTTTAAGAATTCCAAGATTGTGAATGATGCTTAAAATGATCATTATATTTATAAACAATTTTCAACTATATAATTATATAAATAATGCTATATTCATGAAGACGTTGTCGATTGGGCTCTCTCCATTCCCGAACTCGTAATATAACTAAAATAATGAAAATCGGAATAACATTATGCCCTAACCCTAACCGGGTACACACACTACGGGAGTATCGTCTATTGTAGAAACGTTGGTTTAAATTCTATTTGATTTATTTACTTTCAGTTGTGTAAGTGGTGTTAAACGCATAAAAGAGCAATATAAATCCGCTCGATTTACAAGCAGAATGTTATGCACTGGTAACTCTACGAGCAGGGATGCGTGTCAGGGTGACAGCGGTGGACCATTAGTAAGACAGGTATGTACAAATCTAATGAACATGAAGTGTTCATATGAATCGTTTTGAGAAATCATTGTTTTTTTTTGTGAAAAATCGCTTTTGGCAATTACTGGATTATTGGATTTCAGATTTTCAGAGTGTGAAGGTGGAAAACGTCGCTAAAAGACTATAATTTCCATTTTTTTCATTTATTCTATGTAATGCTAAAGCAGTCCTATGGGCCCGCTATTTCACCCAGAATTTTTATTTCAATTCATTGGAACAGATTTATATGACATCGTGTAACAGTTCCATATGACATCTTCTACAATTCTCTAAACATCTGGCTGGTATTTTACTGACACTGTGATGGTTTGTTATTATGTTGCTGGTGTCGCTTTACTCCTTAACAACAGGATTTATTTCTTTGAAAATTTCAGTGGTTAAGGCTTGTTGTTGTCGCTAGAGTGCCATTCCTTTTATTCCTGTGCCCTGTATGGAATTCGTTTTTCTGTGTATTGTACGTCATCAAAATGAAAAATTGCGCACCTGCGTGGTTCCGTGATAACATCTCAGTAATCTAGTGGTCAGACTACTGGTACTGTAAGTGTAAAAGATTTGATACCACTTTGTTTTGGCGTTCGTGTCCATATATTTGAGAAATGCTCTCTTGTTTATTTACTGAAAATCTAATCTTCGGAGAAATCCAATGACAGTTTGTTATAAATTTTAGGTCACAAACAAAGATGGCGACAAATGCTTTGTTCAGCTTGGTATAATCAGTTGGGGATGGGGCTGTGCCAATAAGGATGAAGACGGTATTCCATACCCTGGACTATATGCGGATACGTCTGTACTTATGCATTGGATTGTCGGAACTCTCAACAAATACGCTTGAAAAACGCAGATTATCTTCAACCAAATAAGGGCCAATGTCGAACTATGTTTTATTTACGCTTCCCGACTGCTGTTTATCAAAGAATCTTCTTTGGTCGGGTCACGTTTTCATTCATAGCAAAACCACGGTCTTATGATTCCAGTTATTTTCAAGTTTAGACCTGACTCTACTATTATATCCGATGTATATGGGCAATTTACCATGTACATTATGTAATTAAGATTCTATTGAATCAGTAACCTATATATTGTTTCCATTTTAATGTCTTTGTATTTGATATTTTATTATCTAGGCTTATTTTATGCCTGATCATTCTTTGAATTGGATAATTTAAAATTTTAAGTTGAACGTTTTGCTTCCTAGAAGGTCTAGCTGTCAAAATAGACTACCTTTTCATTGCAGTATGTTTGCCTTGAATTTAATAAAGAAAGCATGTTCTGGAACAACGTAACTTTGGTATTTTTTATCAAGACTAGTCAAAACTTTATTTGTGTTTTCCCCAGGATTTACTCCTCGGTATTTTATACTGTCTATTACATGGCTTGTAATTGCTTCCAAAGCGCTCTGCATGAAATTAGTTCGATATGTGTTCCACACAACTGTCCAAGAGTATTAATTTACATGAGATGAATATTTTTGAGCATAAAGTTGTCTAAAGTTTTTTGAGCATGGACCTAAACTCAGCTAATCACTCTAGAAAAATTTATTTTTGAAGGCGGTTCCAGTAACCAAATAAAAAGCGTCGACGGGAAACATCTAAAAATGTATGTGTCAGCAAATAAATAAGTGTGCATCAAGCTCAAGCTTGTAACAGAAAAAATTTCTCCAGACAATTTGAAGAATTGGCTTTAATTAAATGATCTAATGCTGAGTTTGTTTATGCCTTGTATCCACGAACATGTTGGTTTCACATATATATATATGTTCAATTAATATCGTACAGTTTCGTTTTGGAGCATTTTTGCATTCAAAATATTGAACATATTTTCGGTGAATGTATTTTTTTTATTCAAATGTAGGCCACTATGTTTTCCGCATGAGGAATCTGAACCGGCTTTACTCTCCCTCGGGGTGGATATGAAGTTTCTATCCTTGTGCACTATAATTACATCAAGTGCGCTAATGTATTGGCGTAAGAATGCTGTGGATGCTATTGCGTATATTATTTAATAAATTCAGTACAGATAAAGGCAAAAACGTTTTGTGACTTTTCATGTACTTTTAGGTCTCGCCAATTTATTGTTATCTGTTCCATCTGCGTGGAGATTGTGATTATTCAGAATGAAAAATTAGCAGTCTTCAGACTAGAGACCAAAAGCGCACAGTCGAGGGATGGAAGGCAACGGCTGGGGAAAGCCATCGTGGTGTTAAGGAGGGGAAATTTTCGGGTAGCATTACGGAGGGGCAATGGGAGCGGATGAGAGCTGCATGAAAAGTCAGGTAATAGAAGGAAGGAAAAACAAGAGCGTATAAGAGTCACAAACCACTACCAGGCAAAAAATCTACGGTCTAGCACAGCGTTTCCCAACCTTTTTTGGTCGCGGACTACTTTCTCACCGGCGAAAACCTTTGCGGACTCAAGGTGCGTTTATTGCAACCGTACTCTGTGTGAAGGAGCAGTTAAAGCAATTACGTGCTCGTTAAAAGAGCCGACTTTTTTAGTGTATAATGGCCGTTTCCGTCGCACAATATTCAATCCATAACAACGACGACAATTTAAAATATCTTTCTATTTTAATTTAATTGTGTTCATGGTAACTCACGATTGCGTCGACTTACGAGTTACGACAAGATGAAAGCATTACTTCTTCAAAATGCCACGGCAATCTGTGAACATAATAATGTGAGAATACTATTGCCCGATTATATTTAGTTTTGATATATATTTTTTGCAATCTTGCGAATTTGTTATCGCCGTTAGAAAAATCCTACTATCTGCTATAAAGTTCCAGAAAGTACAACTTGATTTAGCACTTATTAAAAATATATTTAAAGTATATTAGTAAATTATAAATACAAATTCATCGCCTTGCTTCACTATTAATTTAATTGTGATGATTTTAATCTGCAGTTGTGTTGACGAAATAAAAGCAACGCGTGGTAGTGCCCGATTATATTTTGTTTTGATTCGTATTTTTGTGAATTCTACAAATCTGAGCTGTTCGTACAACACTTATGGCGCAACCGATTCGCACCGGTTCTATAGAACCGTCTCACGGAATTTTATGAAATCAGCGAACCGGTAAGCCTTACTAAAAAAAACATGTAACAGAACCGGCCGAAAAATATGACTTTTGTGATGGAACCGCCTGACAATAAATTTGAATCCCACCACTGAGTAGCACTCGAAATTTTGCGTTTTGCAATGTCTAAAAAAGCGTTTTTATTCGGTTGCGGACCATCATGAAACAAAACTTATGGTGTTCTATGTTTTATTTTTAGTATTTTGTATTGCCGCTTCTCATTCTTTTTTTTTATTCCTCGTTGTTCGAACTCGCGAGAAACACCACTAAGATATCTATCGAAGCGTGTGCAGACTCGTGTTTTCGTCGGAAATCCGCAAGCGAGTTGTGAAATCCAATCGTTTGATCAGGCGACGCGTCCCCTGTTACCAAATTTTCTAATAGTAAATTGCTATTCTGATAGTTGAGTATTCGAATATATATATGTCCAGTCCTACTCATTAACCAGTAATTATTGTCTCGAATATTGTTATGTGAATAAACTTGCTTTTTATGTTTTATGTCAATTCTAACTTAAATCGTAACTTGGCTGATAATTAAGTTTAGCAAAAACTTTTGCAGTCCGCAGTGAATTTCTGGCTCGCTGCGGACTCATTCAACCGCTCCGCGGACTCATTTAAGAGCGCGGACTCGGGTTGGGAAACACTGGTGTAGCAAAACCTACAAAAGGCATCGTCAATAATCAGGCAAAATAAGCGTGAGCAATTAAAGAAGTAACGTGCATAAAAAAGAGAAAGTAAATCCAATGAGAAAGCAATCTCGGCTCCCAGCTCTCCTTCACTGATGAAATCAAAGTCGCCTCAATTTTTTAGTTCTTAAACTTGCCAATATTACAAAAAGTATGTATGTGTACCTGGTTGGGGTTAGGCCATAATTTTATTTCAATTTTCCTTATTTTATTTCTATTACGAGTTCGGTGACGGTGACTAGCCAAGTGACTGACTCATACTTCTGGACACATACTTCTAGAATCTAGAGTACCCAAAAAGATGCGTGCTTTTTAAACATGCTCCATGTCCATGTCCAAGTCCATGCTTTCGAAAACAAACAATATAACTAATCCCATACCCGACTTGGAATGGTAACCGGACGAGAGGCCGTGGTTCGCCATATGGATAAGCCGTCTTATCGGCTTTCCTCTCCCCCCGGGATAAATATGCAAATCCTATCCTATCCTATCCTATTTCTAATCTCGATCCCGAAATTTTAAATTTTATCCGACATGTAAATCCCTTCAATTTATTCATGCGGAACGAAATCGATTTTTTGTTTGTTGTGGTTTCTTCTTAGTTTTCGCTCAGGCGGCAGCGCTGCCGACTTTAAATGCCCTTTGGTTTAAATTCTTTTGTTGTAGTAGGTACGGTATACCGGTACCTATACGCGAATTAGCAATTTTGTATATTTCTGAAACTGACGAATGAAATCGTTCACAATAAAATTTGGTAAATGACCCATTGCTGAAATAAAACAAATGTGTGATTGGTGAAACTGAAAAACGAATGCCAGATTCAGAAGTTCATGTAAACCAGTGGGTTCCATTACATTTGAACCCACGTACATTTGAACCCATGACAATTGCACCTGTATGCTATTGCACCTATGGAATTTTTTTTGTTTCACGGATAGTTAAACCCATACTAACCCTAACCCATGGGTTTTAGCACCCGCATATAGATTGAACCCGTGGATATACGCATGGGTTCAAATGTACATGGGTTCAAATGTACGGTCACCAAACCAGTGAACTGATAAACAAAATCTTTTCGGTACGTTCGGTACCGGTACTGAAGCTCTGGTTATCATTAAATTTTTATCTCAAATAAATTTAAATATAAATTTGCAATTACACAGGTTGTCATAAGAATGTACAGTATAATAGTAACACTACATTGATTTGCTCCTGATACTGCTGTACTGTGATATAATACCTGAATACCAGAATACAGTGACCAGTTGTCAGCTACGAGGTCGTATTAAAACTGTGAAATGGAAATTCCAACCTTAACTGAATATGATGGAAAAAGTGCAAAGGTGAGCTGACTTGTAATGTCTGAATGTGCAGATATGTTTATTAACGGCATACGGTACAGGAGTACAGAAATAACCTACCGTATTTGTATAGGTGATTTTTCTGAAAACTGGTACCTTGTTATTGCCACACTACTAAGCTTCCCATCGGCATTTTCACTTTCAGTGTGGGTAGAGTAAGAACTGAAGAATGTGTGGCAATAATTTAACCTATCCTAAGATCTGAAGATGAACAGAATCAAAGAAAACTGATCAGAAATTAGTTGTGGACAGTAACGAGATAGTACCAAATTTTGAACTCTTTTGATTATAAGGTTTGCTCAAAACAAGAGTTTGTGTAGCCTATTTCATATTTTGACATGAAATATTTGAATTGTATTTGTAATTTGTATATCCTTGCATATGAGCCTACCCTCAACCTAAAACATTAAATTCATGAAAATTAGCATGTAACTGTATAAGCTGACCCTTTGAATCGTTCGAGCTGTAGATGTTGGAATCAAGTTAGCATAATATCATTTCGTTTGAGTGCGATCAGAGTTATGAGCGTATAAGCCAACCCTTTAGTGCATGGTTGGCCAACCTTTTTGTCTGACGGGCCACATTTAGTTTACTAATAATTGCGCGGCCCACCTAACATGGTAATTATGTTCTAGTTTTGCTACACTGACTAAAAGTTGATGAAAAAGCGAACAAAACCCTAGCACCAAACTTTCTCAATAATAAGAACAATAAAAAAACGAAGATACAGTAAAGTCAACTAAGTTTTTTCTACACGTAGATATTTTAGTGTGAAGTTTGGCACTGTTTTTCACTAACAAATTTTTCAATATTCGCTGAAATGGACGATGTAGCAATGCGAAGCGAATTTTTTATATGACTGTCAGAAATTAGTGATCTCACAGGGGATTTGACATGGTGAGTACGTGCTGCCAAATAATGAGGTCATTAAAACAGCCACTCTGACCAAGTGTGTGAGCTACTATTTATGTATCGATATGTTCCAGTTGCTGATTGCACTAATGGCTCTTTTGAAAGGGCTAGCAGAGCGCATTTCAGGAAAATGAACAAATTGTTTGTATCATATCTTCATATTAACTACATCACTCGAAAAATAGAAGTTTTACTAAATTTTTTTAAATTTAATTCCGAAAATACAGCGGGGGCCACTCGAAACTCCTCGGCGGGCCACATGTGGCCCGCGGGCAACGGGTTGTACGACCCAGCTTTAGTGCGATCAGAGTTGTGCGCATATAAGCCGAATTTTCAGTGTGATCAGAATTATGCATGTGTAGGCCGACCCCTTAGTTTGGCAATTTTTTTGGGGGTTTTAAATTCTGTTTATGTGCGAGGATATATGGTACTTATTATTAACCAGTATGGCATTTATTGTTCGTACCTTTCAGTGGTCTTTTCAAATGTCTTTTTAAACCTTCAGGTACGCTGCTCAGTACATTGGGTAATAACACATGCATATCAAAATGAAGATATACCAAAATATATTCCAAGATGTGATATTGAACATATATTTGAATGTGATGGAGGTGTCAAGAAGACAATTGCTTCTTTATTATGTAGTGGTAAGTGTCTGATGAATTTTAGTTATATTTTGAGAGAAAATAAGCCTTAGTGGCTCAGTTGGCCTAGCACAGTGTTTCTCAAACTGTGTGCTGCGGCACTCTAGTGTGCTGTGAGAGATTCTCAGGTGTGCCGCAGAGCTTTTTGGAGTTTTAGAAAATAGGCTTTTCATATTACACATACGAGGTGTGGCTAAAAAGAAACGAGACTGACGTCACAGATTGCGCAACACGATTAACCATTGGTAATCAACACTTTTACAGTGTGGTGTAATATGTGTTCTTTGTTCAACAGCTTTTTTGACACAATATCGCAATTATTTTTGCTCTTTAGGAGTCGTAGGTGAATGTGATTAATTGCTTGTTGAAAAAAAAATTGCCGTGCGAGATCTGATTGAGTTTTTTGGCGATAGGGGGTTCAATTGCAGAATGACGATTGGGCAAAGAGTTAACATTAAATTTTGTGTCAAACTTGGAAAAATGCATGTCAACTGGGCAACATTTAATCGTTGAGCTTTCTGCTCCTCAGTCAACAGCCTTGGCACCATTTTGGCACTCACCTTTCACAAGCCAAAAGTGTCAACCAAACTGGTGCGAACCGTTTTTTTTTGTCTTTTCCAACTTCGCAATGACGCGAATTGTTGAGCGACGGTCGCTGCGAATCAACTGCCTTTCACAACTGAACTCACAACTGATACCTTGTTGGTATCAGTTGTGGAAGTGCAAGGCCTTCCTGACTTCGAATCATCCTCCACATCCTCCCTGCATCCCACAAATCGCTTGTGCCATTCAAAAACTCTTGTTCTGGACATGGAAGAATCTCCATAAACATCACACAATTTCTTCAAAGTCGCAGTCGCCGTTTTTCCAAGTTTGACACAAAATTTAATGTTAATTCATTGCTCAATCGTCATTCTGCAATTGAACCCCCTATCGCCAAAAAACTCAATCAGATCTCGCACGGCAATTTTTTTTTCAACAAGCAATTAATCACATTCACCTATGGCTCCTAAAGAGCAAAAATAATTGCGATATTGTGTCAAAAAAGCTGTTGAACAAAGAACACATATTACACCACACTGTAAAAGTGTTGATTACCAATGGTTAATCGTGTTGCGCAATCTGTGACGTCAGTCTCGTTTCTTTTTAGCCACACCTCGTATAGGCATGCATGCGACGGGAAAGACTTGAGTGCGCATTATTCATTATTAGACTGATAACATCATTGCATTTGCCTTGTCGTTGTAGTAAGGGTAATTGCCCCGCTATAATTGTATTGGTATGTTCAATGTATATTCAAACAAGACGTCCATCTTTCACCATGTGTACTTGCGCGCCTAGTTGGGCTAACAGGCAAGCAAGTTTGTACGAGTTTTGACTGTGCATAATTCATCGAATTAATCTGGCCATTTGTATCTCCATGGCTCTGTGAAAACGTTTTCTTGCTCTGACTGAAACTAAAAGCAAAAAAGGGAGCGATGGAACGTCGTTTGAATTGTTTCCCAAAACAGGCACACACATCGAATCAATCATGCATTTCTCGGTTTCAAATCCCATGCTCACCATCTCATCCAGAGTGAAGTAAATTGGACAGGCAATGCCGAACCGAAGCGATTTTGGTCCTGAAAATCAGTAGCTCCAGTGGATCTTTCTACAGGGCCTTGTTCATGGGGAAAGACATGGAATAACCATGGTATAAAAAATATAAAAAACTCGAGACAAGTTCACACTCAAACTCGCAGAAGTAGTTGAGACTCATCTTTGATTATTCTTACAAGCAGCAACTGATATGCCAAGATCTGCATACTCAAAATGAAGTTTCTGATTCAATTTGAGTTAATATTATTTACTGTTATTTTAGGGGAACCATATTGCAGGATTACAGAACAACTATTTGATGTAAAGGAATTACTTCGATCTCATGAAGATGTGATTCAGATATTATGCAGTCGAGGAATATATGTATTGGATGATTCTGATTCACTTATAAGAGCAGATCATTTACGAAGAATGCCACTTGCATTGGTGGGTAACAAAAATCTTTTGGTTACAGGTTGCTCAGTACTGAAGTGTGTGAGTCTATTTTATTGGGTGAAGGGAATTGTTGCAGTGGATAGCTTTTTTGTTCTTAACCCTCTTTTTCCGCTGGTTACAATCGACTTTTTGTACCATTTTATAATATGTAATGACTAATTACCCAAACGTGCCAGGAACACCCCCAATATCTCTTTGAAAAGCTTATTTTCGCGTCTTCCTACTAAAACGCGCCCATATGACGTAGCCGCAAACCATTCGACCTTACGCCGGTAAGAGAGAGAAATTTCAAAAAATTTTGAGAGAACGTTTCACACTCTCATCGCTCCGATGAACACGTGTTACAAAGAAACAAGATTTAAGCGCTCTGCTCAAAGAGCGTTACGTCACCTTTGCAGAAAAACCAGACTCAGCTTCGCAAGCGAAGCGAAACGCGAAATATTCAATGATATGTAAGAGCATGTTCACGATAGTTGTCTGGAATCTTTGTTTGTTTATTATGTGCGCGAAATTGTTTCCCGCTCGTTCAAATGACTTATCTTTGAAGTAATGACAAATACTTTCGTGTATCTCTAAGCTTTGAAATACCTACACAAATAAAATTCACCTAGTAGTAGAATAAAAAATTTACAAAAAAAAAAATGTTGACGGATCAAGCACGGATCATAGTTGGAAGCCTAAAATGATTTTAGTTAGTGCGGGAATACTTCACAAAACATGAACATAAACGTAAAATAGTCCGAAAATAACTAATATTGTCATATTATGACCAAGGATGGTAGTACGAATATATATATCATTAGGAAAAAGAGAGTTAATAGATTTCATTCCACATGTTTGAAAAATTGAGATTGATCAAGCTTAGCTTTCTGGGACCATACAAAATAATTTTTTTATCAGTAGCATACCAAGAATTTCAAATATTTGATTTTATCTTCTATCTAAGCATTGTCTGTGTCTATTTGTAGTTTCATAGCCCCCTTCAAAGACTCTCAATATGCCATGGCCTCCTGCTCTTCTATAGATACACTTACGGTAGTTTTGTTTTTAATGAATTTTCATCTGTTATATTATCGGCACGTTTCGTGATTAAAATGAATGATGAATAAATGCATTACAATAAAAAAAAACAGGACAAATCCATGTTAACTATCTTCTAAATTAATGTAGTCATTGGATATGGTCTTTGCTTGTGGATTCCAGATAACCGCTTCGAGGTCCCATTTTGAGAGACCCTGCTCAACAGTAAAAATATTTTAAATCTTTTCCTATTTTTACAGTTTTCTCATATAAAGATTATTGACATTCTAATGAAGGCGCATACGTTAACTAAACTGGCTTCAGTCAATTCATTGGTGACGACTGTTCGAAAGTTTTCTGAATTCAGTGCATCAAAGGAATCACCTGATAATTTGGAAGAAGCTTTTATGTTATGGCTCAACAAGGTAATATCAAAAAAATTATACAAGGTGTTCGTATTAAATTTTTTTAATTAACCAAAGTAATTCTCCATTTATAGTTTGTTGGCCCCTTCAGGTGTATTAAAAGAAATGAAAATGCTCAAATAAACACTGATTAAAATATAACAGACCTGGTTAAATTACATTAGAGAACTGACTTCATAACAAAATTTATTTTATTTTGAGGACTTCACAGGAAAGACCCTGTATGTATGTTGTTATTATGGATTCTTGAGAGATTTGAGCTGAGATTTGTATAGCATTCTTGGATAGGCTATGAAGTTGAAAAATTTAAGAAATTATTGTTTTGCGGAATTTTTTTATTACGCCCATTTCCACAATTTTTGGTTACGATAAATACATCACTCTAAATGCTGTAATAGGAGTTTATACACTTGACCACTCAAGAGAATATTGTGTTGTATTTTGATTTTCCACCAAGCCTAATATATTAACGAGAATATCGGTCGGAGACCTTAGACCGAAGACTCACGATCGAAACTGCGGTTTCGATTTATGACTCTATAGTGACACCGCGTGTCCCATCACTAATTAATTAATAACTCGCTAATTATACGACATAATTCATCCAAAATCTTCTGGTCCGAGATATGATGAATACACATGCAAAATTTGAAGCAGATTCAACCTCGCTTTCGTGAGATATCGCGTGCATCTAACAGACAGACAAACAGTCAAATACCTATCAACATACTTACCGATCAAGATCGATAATAATGAAAAGTAATAATGAAAACTATTATTGTTCACAGGTATCCCAGAAGGTCCACATCATCCAAAGAAATGCATTGGAATCAGACAAGGTAGGCGAATAAGAAGCAAATATATTTCTAATCAATGACTCTAGTTGTTTGGTTTCAATTACAATTTATCTATTTTGGTCAATTTGGTTAAATTTCGGTATTTTTTATATGGTACAGTTTTAATTTATTTCGGATGTAAAAATGTCTCTGTAGAAATTCATTTAATTGCAATCTGTGTGCTTTTTCTCTCTTTCTCATTGAAACAGATTAACTTGAGTTGACACAGAAAACTCTAAGTATATCACACTATTCATTAAGTATTAATAACACCAGATTTACTAACAGCTCAAAACACATGTTATAGATATAATTTCTGTGATAAAGTTTTTATAAACTTGAACGAGTCAAAAAGACTCTCATTAAAGATCAAGTTGCTCTTGTTTTGATAGCCAGGCACTTCAAATATTTGTTATCTTTTTACCAGTGGTTTCATAGACTACTACGTGTGAGTTACATGTTGTAATTGATGTTGGTCAGAGTTTATTTATTATCTTTCGATTGTTCATAATGAAAATAAATCATCTAAGATGATGAGTTTCAGTGATTGTTTGTCTTGTCAAGAATGATTGTTTCTGCATGGCCTATGAATGAAAACCCATTTTATAGAACACTTTCTGAAAGGCCAAATATGATTTTAAATGAAAGCAACAATGGTTATTTAAAAGCAGGGTTGTGCAACAGGCAAATAATAAACCACACATTTAATGTGGTCATTGTCAACTCTCAGCTTTTTCTCCAAACATAAAATCCTAATCCGACAGTTTATGGGTAGATATACATGATGCTTCTTCACTCTTGTCGCTGTGTTAAATCTTGCATTGTGATAATTTTTTTAATTTGTTGCATACATGGAAAAACTTAATCTTTTGTGTGGCCCAGCTAGATGTCTGAAAGTGGTTATATAGCCCTCCAACAAAAAAGGTATACACCCCTGATCAAAAAGAATTTGTAAAATATGTATTCTCAGTAACTACTAATATATGTTCCTTGAATGGTTTTGTGTTGAACTTACAGACTGGAATTGATATGTATGGGGAGACCCCAAGTAACAGAGCTCATGACTTTCTTTATTACTCCTATGAAAATGAAAAAAAAAAAATTTAACACTTGAACTTCTGTTTGTGTATCATTGTACCCAGAAGTTTTAGTATGCTAGGAAGCTTTACACAAAAGTTCACAAATGTTCTCTTCAGAATAGATTCCAAATGGCATGGGTCCTGTCTTTCTCGGTCACACTTTATTATAGCATGAATGTAATTTTTGTGACATTATGCATGTAATTTGGTAGATAATGCATCGGTTTACTGTGTATAAAATTGTGTATTCCAAGTACTTTTTGTTCATCTACCTTATTATAGATAGGAAATTCTTGGAAATGTAGCTTCATATATCATTGTAACACATATCATAATAAAAAATTGAAAGAAATTTAAATATGTTTCATAGTCATAGAAAACCATGATTGGTTTATTGCAATATTTATTCCCAATCACTTTTTCCCCATAACTTTTCTCCATATTTTTATGGCTATGCAGCATGTAGTTGGAAAAATAAACTCATTAAAGCTATAATCTGTGATCAATAGGATCAAGTTCAATAAAGTCCTGATCCTTTCAATCATCTTAAGAATAATATTATTATATGTGTTATTTATAACACAACATAAAGAGTTTAAACTAGGATTATACACATGCATTAGGAAGAACTCGAGGAAACTTTTCTGAACCCATTTGAACCTATATAGTCATATACCGGCAATAGCCTGGTGTAATATTTGAAAATAAGGTGGAAAACTGCAATACTTAACTTCATCTATTTTTAGTTGTTTGTAAACAGCCAATTGAGGAAATGATGATATAAGTATGGTTTTTGGTGAAGAGGATTATTGTTCCCACTTGTGATCTTTAGGATCAATTACTTATCATTTTGGATGTCAGACGCCTATGCTATTCACTATTGATTTTCCACCATTGTCCATTACATGATTTTTTACATGATTTAAGACCATGGCAGGGCATTTTCAATATTATGCAATGATATCCATTACTTAATTAAATAATCATTTATTATTGCAAATGCCTTTCAAAACAATGATTTTTCATGAAAATCAGACCATTCTGTAATTTGGAGCAAATTGACTTTTATCTGTTTTTAGACAAGTTTTTGATTGAAAATAATGTAAAATAATCCTAGTATCTAAATTTTACCGAATTTAACTGATATTAAAATAGCCTACTTCTGTAATCTTGTTCATTCTTGACATTAATGGGTTGAATTATTTGTAAATGACTTAGCAGTTAAAAAAAGCATTGAATTTAACTGTATTGGCATCGTTGGCTACATATTTAGGTTCAAATTTCATGCTCACCACTTCATTCAGGGTGTAATAAATTAGGTAGTCAATGCCAAACTGTAAGGATTCCAGTTTTTCCAAAAATAGTAACCCTTTTATATAGCAATGGCTGCGTGTACAGGGCCTTATTTGGAGCAAAAGGCGTGTATAAACGTGATATAAAAACAGTATTCAACCATCCATATATTGAAAGTTTAGCTGCTGTGAAGCATCTCAAACAATCTAGCTCTATTGATGCATCTTGTCCGTATTTTCATACATTATTAATTTTATTTTTTTCACAGCACACATTCGGACAGCCACGAGAAGATGATAGCCAATTTCCTTTGGTCTCTAAACTTACTGATGATCTGTATGATGGTCGAGCAATCGCTCTCCTATTACACTATTATTGTTCCAGTTTTATATCTTTTCAAGGTTTGTCCTTCTTGTTTTTATCACTTATTTAGGAGGTTTATGGACGCTTTTCTTAAAATTTCTAATATTTTATAACTTTCATTAGCTGTTTTCGAGGTTTTAATTTTTTTTTATATGGGTGCATTAAATTGATGACAGATATAAAATTTTTTATTACAAACTAAAATCCCTTAAATTCTGCTGCTTCAACAATTTTTTTCACTGTATTTTTCTCTTCTTTTCTGTGTCATGTTTTTTGCTGAATTTACAGTTATTCCTGTTATGATGTGATATTTTGGATTCTTTGTTATTCACATTTGATAAAACTGTAAAGAGTTTTCATGTTCGATTCGATAGTATAGTCTGAATAAACAATGCTATGTCACACCCATTCCATGCATCGTTGCGGTATGCATTGGAATGTACTGACAAAACAAATGTCAATAAATTGATCTAATGCAGTGTTATAGAGGAACTAACATGCCATAAAGCTTGTATAATAAATAAATCTGCTAATTTTACAGAAATACTGTTATTTTCTCACTGGACATGCGATAGATTTATAGATCGTTTTGCTAAATTTCTGTTGTTATGGTAATGAAAAAATATTGCTTGTCGGAAACTAGTAGAATGAAAGATTTCAAATTTTAGTACTACGCTATGAAGCTGTAACGTTCGTATTTTTCCAGTCTAACGGAGCTCCATATTTTACCCAATTTTCTGATTTTTATGGTACGCGAGCACACCTTGATATTTGTCCAAACTCCATGCACCTGACGCAGCGTGTGTGTAATGAATCGGGCAGGCAATACCGGTTCTTTCAAACCACAGTAGGCCCTAAGCCTAGCAGTGTCTTCTTGTGCTTGAGTCCTGTTTGAAGTGAAAGGTGTAGAGATACATGCATAAAAAAATTTAAACGTTGTATATCTCAAACAATTTTTTTAGTATATGGCTTGAATGTTTTTTAAATTGTCAAGGTATTTGTCATGTGACCTACGTATCCATATATTTTAGAACATTGCTTTCTTCTCTTCAGATATATCAATGAAAGATCCGATTTCAATGGCAGATGCATGGCACAATCTTCAACTCAGTATTAATTTTTGTAACGATATATTACTTCCACACACTAAATCTAACCTGAATGCCATAAGTCCTACAATATTGCATGCTGTAGATTTTCTTTATTGTTCACCACATATGAACATGAATGTCAATATCATGGCTTTTCTTGGGAATCTTTATCACTACCTTGAAACGAATGCTCTTCAGGACATCGTATCTCCTTTGGGTAAGTGTTTTACCTAAGAGTTGTGCGTTTAGTTGTGTATTTCTTATTCTTCAGGTTCTGTATTATTATGTAGTTTGTAGAGATGGGACGAGTCAGGTACTACAGGGATTCGACAAATCCGAGTAATAGATCATGGTCTGAATCATACAATCGAATCATAATGGAAAAGTAGAAATACATGTTTCTGACTGTGCTACAACAATTCTGCACTCATCAACACGAGTTGTATTTTCCCGCAAAATTGTGCCTTAGGCATTTGTCGAATATGTTGTTAGGGATACATTTCCCTTAACGATTTTGGCCACTATACACGAAAATGTAGGGCAATGTTCATCTTGGTTGTTATAAGCTGACTTTCCTATCCGCCGACTTCCATTAATTCAAAGAGGCTATTCAACACCAACACTTATCGTGTTGTAATGTCACTGTTACATTGTATGTTTGAGATCCTTGATTCAAACCACAACCACCTCCACCAGCGTGTAATAGATTGAATAGGCAATTCGTTTTGTTAAAATATGTAGCCTATGTGTAAACGCCTCATCATATATTGTGATGTCAACATACTTCTAGCAAATAATGCTCTTATCATATATATAATACTGTGCTCTCTTCTCATTAAATAATCATGAATGAGTCAGTGTGACGTATATTTTCAGATTAGATTTCAATTCAATGATATGTTGCAAGACCTTAAATTGTTATAGTATCCCAATGTAGTTGTTGTTTGATTAGAAATTCCAAATTTTATTGACTCGTATTATCAATAAATTTTTATGTATTTTTGACTGATTATTTTGTTTGAAAAGGTCATTCTGTCATCTGTAGGAGACAAAGAGAAACTGGTTCCGAAGACAACACATCCAGGTAAAATGATAGATTTTTGAATAGAAGAGTAGGGCCTACATATCGTTACTGTTTCGGTAGGAATGCAAAGGCCATATTGGATAAATAATTGCAAACTTGATATTGGTGATATTAAATTATTGAAACAAGCATTTGATATTGTATGTTGAATTCCCATCTGAAATCTCCATTTTCCTTGTTAGTTGTTGATGTATTCTCGCTTGCTTGTATTCTTGGTGGCCCATTGATTGGCCAAATTCACTGCCTCAACACAGTGAGTTCACCTTTCTTTTTGTCTTTAGCAATTTATTTTACATTTCAGTAAGCGCTGTAGTGTTCATTCCATATAAATTATTGACAAAATCATATTCAGAGAGATAGTCATTTATATATATATTCGTTTCTATTTTATAGTGTTTCAGAAACCACAGAGCCTCAAACATTGTCTTATACATCGATGGATGAACGACATCAAGAAACGCTTGCCCAAGCTAGTTATCTAATACCAGGGGTACAACCACTTATCAGCAATGCAACAAAGAGAAGTTTTTCAAAACCTAGTACTGCTGATACTGATTCGGTGGTATGTATTTGCTTTTAGATTGCACATGCATAAACGAACAATAATCTGACTTGGACTATCATGAAATTGATTGTTTCTCGTTTCAACCTGCAGGGTGTTCATATAAAGTCTTTTTACAATTTCCAGTTTTGTTATGAAGTCTGTTCTCAATGTTTTTACTAGTTTCGTTTATTTTTAATGATTGTTTTTTCAAGTTTTTGACTTCATTTAATACTTCTATAGGGGCCAACAAACTATATATGGTATCAAAAAATTCCCTTTGCAAGTTTAAATTTTTTTTTTAGACTTTTTGAACATCCTGTGTATCTAGCATCTGAAACATTGAAACCTCCAAACATTTTCATACATTGAGATGAGGAGTGAACCGAAATGTTCATACTCCCACTCAAAGTGAGACTGAATAAGGAGCACTTGGGCTTAGGATGTTCTTGAAGCTTTCTTATTCAGGCCTTCCTAATTTCATATACTAGGACAGGGATGTCGAATCTTTTTTACAAAATGGGTCACACATTACATATTACGATACATTTTTCAAGCTTTATTTGCAAAGTTTTGGAGAGTACAAAAACTAGAACAGTAACAATGGCCAACCTCGGAAAATCTTCTGTAGGCCTTTCGCTTTGTGGATTTTCGAATATACCCCTGTTGAAGTTATAAACAGCTCAATTGTATTAAATGTCATTACTGCATTATTGCCAGTATCTGCATACTGACATATAGTAACTATAGAAGTTGTTCACTTGTATTAGATTAAATTACCGTAACTCCAATGTCACCAAAACACATGACTGGTCACTAAGTGGTGGGTCACTGGTACACCATCCCTGTGTTGGGGGAATTCAGAAACAGTCATAATTTGGTCGTAGTGCTAACTACCAGTCCTTTCCACTTATTCACTTGAACTCATGAAATCATATATTTCACAATTTCCCATGGATTCTTAGATTTTATGAAAACACACGTAGGGACTCATTTCAAGTGAGAACTTACGGTTGTAATCTGTTTGTTCATAAAACAGAGCACTCTAACGCTAAATGAATCAGATGAATCCTCTCTGCCGTTTTCATCTAAACCTCTTCTCGTGAGAAGAAATCGTGACATACATCACCATGGCCTACCATCATCTACCTCCAAATTATACACCAGAGCATTAACAGATCATCTTCCCGCTGTTAAATCAAGAGAACACAATGATGATTATATGTCGGATGAAAACACGTCTGCAAGGTTTGTTTGAGACATATATTCTATCGTAGTCAATGATTCTGTATCTTGAATATTTTTTCAATTGGTCAGTTTTTGTAGGGCAATGTTTTTCAATGTGTGTGACACTCAAAAGTCGTTTTTAGTTGCCTGTTTTTCAACAAAAACATAAAAGTTATTGTTTTTGTTTTCTAGTTTTGTTCAATTTTGTATTGAATGTTGAACTGTTGCTTACCTAATAATTATCGTATATATGAGAAGTATATGAAACTTCTAGCATCTACTTTGCTATGCCTATGTTAAGCCACTATTTTAAAACCTCACTGATGGCTAACAAGCGCCTTTTCATTAGTGTAACCTTGAAGTAATTCTGGTTAAATAAATGTTGTGTAAAAATTATTGTTTTGTATTGGTAATTTAATTTTGCAACCATAAAAGCACCACATACCTTTCAATATTTGAGCATATTCTAGGGTCGCGAGATTTCGCCAAATTTATTTTTTTTTTAAATTTGTGTTGCTTGAAAATAGATTCGAAACCACTGTTGCAGAGCTTTGGATTATATGATACATTTTTAATTAAAAAACTTATTATTTCAGTTCTGTATTACATCCTCTAAGAAAGTCAAGTTCTCATCAAGGATTATCAAATGGAGTTATAGATCATCCTCGGGATGTTGTAGTAAACAAATGGCATTCCAGAACTCCTGTGCAAGATTTGAGGAACACCAATACATCAAATAACAGTACGTTCTGTGCTTTCCCCTTTTCATGAGATTTTTGTTGTAATATAAATATACATTTTACAAAAAATTAACGCAAATTCTTCCATAGTTTTTATGACATGATCTCAGGCTGTACTGTGTAATCAAAGTTATTAACATGTTCTATTGATATTCATATTCAAAAAGGTTATTTTAGAATATATTTGGAATAGTAGATAATCGGTACTCCCGTAGTATATGTATGAGATTAGGGTTAGGCCATAATTTTATTCCGATTTTCCTTATTTTAGTTCCATTACGAGTTCGGCGACTGTTTGTGTTAGCCAAGTGAATATGCCCCCTGCTCATAGGCTTCTGTCCCTTTACACAACTTGATGTAAAGTAGGCGAACAAAATTAGTTACCTTCATATTGATACACTCCTGGAGCGCCGATGATTCGGTTTTAGCCATCATAACCATAACGCAATTTAGAATTTATTCGGTATTCCAAATTTATTATTTCAGAATGTATTGAAATGGTAAATTATACAATTTTTCCCACCCTTGCTTGTCTCCATTGTTGAGTGAATTATATTTAATATTGATATTATACTTTAAAAAAATGTAATAACTGCATAATCATAGGCAATTCATATGTGTATACATTAACATCAAATCGCTCTCTATACTGAAAGATTATTCACTTCAACATCAATAATACAAGTATTACCGGTAAGCTTTTATCCTATTGATTTGTTTTATATTCAATCAGCATATGTCACAAATCAGCAAGGATTAAACATCTTACACAATGATGCTTCAAGCAGAACAATGACCACAGATTCTCTAGCATCAGTAAATTCTGATTTGTTAGCAAATGTTGCGATGGATATTGATGATGAAAACTTGAAAGTAGGAAGCTCTATTTTTCTACGATTAGGCTTTGGAAAGCGTTTTATATTATTATTTATTTATTGGGTCTTTAATTTTCAAGTAATAATTTTACGACACTTTTTTCACACATTTCGCTCTAAACCAGGTCGTATACAACAGCTACAGATATCTTTCCATATATGAGAAGCTACTAATATTGGAAGTTTCAGAATCTTTCAGTTCCTTACCTATCCAATTTATTACATTTTGGGCGAACCAATTAAATCTTCATCCTAACTATTATGAGTATGAAGGCCTACATACATCTTAGAAGCAGAAACAGGATGTGATATATATGTATATATTACATATTCTGCTTTACTGAATTTAATTTTCATGAATTTACATTGTATTCTGCAAATTTCACTATTGAACATGATCCAATTGAGAATACATTCAATATTTCATAATCAAAAATAATATTATTTCAAAATCCGGAATAACAAATTACACGACTTTGGCCGTCCTGGTTTCCACTAATGCACTTGGAGTGACAAATGAATTCATTGTGGTAAGGGCACTGGTAAATGATGCTTTTTTAAAGCCTTTTCCAAAGTATTACAAGTCTAAAATTAGGGTGGGGGACTATATGGTGTAAAGTACCACATATTTGAGAAACACAAGCGTACATGTAGGCACATTAGTAACTATTATATTTCATTGGTTTGGAGCATGGCCATTTGCGAGTAGTCATTGATTTCAGAGGACTTACTATTATTTGAAAAACCAAAGTTTTTACTTTTAGCTTGCTTACTCAATTTATTACACCGATTTTCACATTTTTACAGTTTAAAAGACGAGATCGAAAACTAGCACAAGTTCATACTTTTTCTGCAAGATCAAGATTACCAACTGGATCGTTGTCAACTACGGTATTCGATTCTCCTCATATTAGACACAAGAATGAGAATGATATGATATTAGAAACAGTGAGTAAAATGTATTGTTTAAAATGAGGTTGAGGAGATGGTTTGAAATCACAATATCTTCATTTTTTTTACTTTGAGCCCCAACTATTAGGATTCTCCAGTACTGGTTTCAATCAAAATTTAGGCCAATTTTTAACTTTCGGATTGCATTAAAATGATCCTGAAATACATTTTTTTGAACCTAAAAAATTGTTTAAGTATCCAAAAATGGATTGAGGGAGTTTCGCAACGGCTGAAAATGCACTTCTGTAAGATTTGGTCTGGCTGATGTTGAACTTCCACAATCATGCATATAACTATTACTGGATACTGGATAGTCTCATACAACCAGAACTGTTTGCTATGTCTGTATTTCTAAAGTGGACTATGTTATTTTTGCCAAGTAGTATGAATGGTAGATATAGGACAGTGGTTCTTAAACTTTTTCGAGCGCGACCCAAATCTGAGTTTTATGAATACTCGCGACCCAATCCTAAATAACGCAAAATGTGTTTTTAATGTTCGTACAGTTTGACTCAAATACAAACAATTATTTATTAGATACAGTCCATTGACTCAGTGAGATTGATGAAGCTGAAATTTTCTTTTCATTATATCTTCAATACACAGCTCTATTTTACATAACGCAAAACGCAAGTTGTCACGGGTATCGAGGCGATTGCGAGCTTAGTTTTAATAACCGTCAGTGCCAAATATCCTCGCTCGCACAAGTGCCTTGTCGCGAATTGTAGCAGAAAAGGCGTCCGCTGTCCGTCGCAAACACGACATCCTAGCTGGCCTTTTTTACTCATCAAATGTGCACACACTGCTTCGTTCGCGGTAAATGGTGCCTCGAGATGAAGTCACATTTTTTCTAGATATTGAATAATCTAATGTCGAGAAGCGAGCTTTTTCATTGCGTCGTCTATTACAATTTACATTACCAAATAGACACCCATTTTTGGTTATTTTAATCCACTAAGACGACATTCCACGCGGTCAACACAATGACAAGCGACGTGCATGGTTACCGATACCATAAAATTAATACACGTGACTGGCATATCAGAATTGTGATGTAACAATGAGCTCAAGACAGTATTTCCGTGAATGAAATTTTATATTTCTTTATTTTTAAATACCAGAGTTTAGAAGCTAAATTGAAACATTGGGAAAGCTGAAAATTCGTCCTTCTCCTCTTAGATTGCCCTTGCATTGACGACCTTGTCGCGACCCATTTTTAAACCTTCCGCGACCCATGTTTGGGTCGCGACCCATACTTTAAGAACCACTGATATAGGAGGTGGGACACCCAATCAAAGATTGAAAATGTTTAATTCATGATCCTTTGAATGAAAAAAAAAAACAGATTTACCTACATGTCTTTGGTTCAGCTATAATCGAGTTTATCATATTCCAGGCACGTACTCCAGATTCTCAGAGCACAAGATCAACTCTACTTAGAAATGTTACTGACAGTAGTAGCAGTTCAAATTCGGATTTCACATCCGTGTCATCGAGGACAACTTCTAATGTGAATATTTTTACTTAAGTTGCTTTTGATTGGGACTATAAAGGAATGTGAAGTTTTAGTAGATAGCTTTAATAGAATAATTTAAAATTTAGAATAAAATAAGTATGTGTATGTATGCTTTTGTTAAGAATGTGTACAGATATGCGCATCAACGATGCACTGGTCTCTGTGTTTGACTCATTGTGGTAGACGTTGGGTATGCTTGCCATCATGCCTCTGATTACCAACATGAGTTTGTAGATTCAAATCTCATGGGCGATACTTATATACGAGAGAATTGCTGAACAACCCCCAGTAAACTCAAATATTCTACCATCAAGTCTGTGTATCTGGAACGAATAACTTGTTAACTATTCCCATTCTGTAACTAGATGAAAGGCAGATGATTAACTTGATCAGCTTTACTTTCCCAAGGATTAATATGAAAATTCTATCCCATCCTTACTTGGACTAAGATCTATCTAGAAATACAAGTTCGTGTGATATGAAACGAACAATTAAGCTTCATCAATATTTCAAATGTAAATGTCTACTCTATTCAGATACGCTTTGTCACAGTCACACAAATTAATTTTTTTTTAGGTTACAAGTCAAGACTGTAACTCTAGCGTGAATACCTTTACTAATTCTGATGAGAGAGATTATCCTGTCATAGTCAATACTGATGAATCACCAGAATTACCAAGAAATGTGACTCGCGTTAAACCATATCGAAACCCCAGCACTGGTACAAGCTCAAATTTTACTCCATCTTCCCAGAAGAGCTACACTATACAAAATGGAGATTTTGAATCTGTTGATTCTGCCAGGGCAGCCGGTAATTTTTTTTAAAGCAATTTCCTCGGTGATGGCAAATTTTGCTAAAAAATAATGACATTGACCATTTTTATTCTTGAAATAAATTTTTGGAATATCATTAACATTAAATTTTATTGAAGATAATTTTTTTTTAAATCAACCTAAGCCCACATTTCTTGTTTAACTTGGACGGTACATGTTTACCATGATTTGACCTGTGATGCCTACATGATGAATTGGCGTGAATATTTCTTGTATATAGTGTAATCAGTAGCATGCTTTGTGTACAGGATATCCTGTGATAGAAACATCACCAGAAAGAACTAAGCTTGAGTTCGAGGATCGTTCATCACAACTTAGAAGTTCTGGTTCAACGTCTAAACCAAGTTATGCAACAAATGGTAACATTTTTTTTTTTTTTGGTTGATTTGTTGGCATAATGTGACTCACCAAACCATGTTGGTAATGCAGGCTTGAGATCTTGTGAATTCATTAGTTATTCCATTCCAGCAACCACACTTTGTAAGGATCAAATAGACCATTTTGAATTGAAGTGATGATTTTATTCGAAAGTGTGTTCAAGTCGGAGTCGCACTTTCAAATTCCCTTGAGTTGGGAGTTGAAGCTAAAGTTGTCAGAATGTCAGAATTTTCCACAAAAGCATGAAATTTACTATATTATGTTTGTAACAGTATATTAAAGGAAGCAAAGGCACTTGTATGGGCAAAAGATGTTGTTGTCAAAATTAGATTTTCATAGAGTTTGGAACTGGAATCTGAATCGACTTTCTTTCGGTCGAAGTTAGAAGTCCCCAGTGTTAGCCAAGTTTTTTACTGGATATGAAAGTCTGTGTCAACTCCAGAACCGACCAACTCCAGAAAACATGCTAAAGTCTATCTCTGACTGCATAGCCTTGATTGAGACGCACAGCTTAGGAACGAACCACTGCAGTAAGCAATACTCATGATCCTATTCTATTTTATTTTTCAGGTTCTGGTGATCATGTTGTTATTGGTGATTCTGTTGTCAGATTGCGAAATCCACAACGTAGATCAAATAATCGATCATTAAGAAACATGAAAGCAACAAGTTGGGTAGATAATGGCAAAGCATTGAAAGTAAGATTTTAGCCTTCGCTTGCTGTTTCTTTGAAAGTTCATAATGCGCAGCAATTTTACTTTTTTGTTATATATTCGTTTCATGCAATAATTGAATATCGCTCGAGTCAACACCTCATACTTTAATTATAACATCGCTCGCATTCAGCCCTTTCCTGCACAAGCAGCCATTGATATCTAGCAGTATGTTAGGAGCTACTACTTTTGCAAAGACTGGGATCTTTCTGATTCGACTACCCAATTTAGAACACACTTGGCATGGTATTTGAAACCATGCTGTGTGTAAGCTGCGATGCCAACACAGTTAGGTACAGTAGAAAATCTCCTCGTGAAATTAATTTGTCTCGAAAGCTTTTCTCGCTAGCGGGAAAATTAGGATGCATTTCACCCTCTAAATGCCTTATTTTGTCCGCAAAATTCGAAGCAAGATTTCCACAAAAAGATCTTTCATCACTTGGAAATTTTGTACTCGACGTCTTTCGTTAGTGGAGGTTCTACTGTATAGGGCTTTTATAAATGCCGAGTCAATGCAAGCACATGATGGTCCCCTACTAATGACCCTGAAAAATGCTGATTCACTTTACTTTACAACATTGACATTAAAAATCATGATATTTCTTTGGTCTAGCTTACTCAATTCATGACTAGGAATAACTTTTTGTTTTTCTTTTTCTGTCAGGTTCACAATTCTGATGACAGTCGTCGCCATAGCAACATTCCCAATTCTGGTAAATTGTCCGTCGTTTTCAAGAAAATAGAGGAACGTAGAAAATACATAGAAACTGAGAGAAGGAGAATAGAAGAGAGAAAGAAAGTGGTCGAGGAGGAAAAGAAAATGAGACAAAAGGAGTGGTCGAAAGAACTTTCAAAAGTAAGTAAGATAAATAAAGACGAATTTAGTTGAAACTGAATTCAGATAATGCAATGTAGTACTTCTAAATTTCCACTTTTTCTTCTGTGAAATATTTTTTATGTCCAATGTTGAGAAATGATTATGCTAAAGTTGATTTATTTGAAATATCATGAAATTCATTTTGGGAAAAATTCTATAGTATGAAGCTGGCCATATATGGACACTAATAATCACAATTCGAAACCAAAACATTTAAGTAGGGGTGGCGGCTTAGTGGTTGAAGCATAAGACTTAATCATGATGCCTTTTTCAGAGCATAAATTGTATAAATATGTTATATAAAATTTTTTTTTATCAATATTAGGAAAAGACTAAAATTTAGGGAAATATATCCCCTTATTTTCAGCTTCACAAAGAAATGGAAAAACTTGATTTTCATGATGAACAAAATGAACAACAACAAAAACAAGGTAATGATTTTGGCTTTGTTTTGTTTGGCTTTGCGTTCTTTGCAAAATGTATTCAACTGAATTAACATGAGTTATGGCGAGATATAAAAAAATGTATGCGAGCTGATGGAAAAAAAGTTTCTATAACAAATTTTTTACTTACAGTTCAACAACAAAAACCAGCAACTGTTCCACATCATGTGATCAGATCGCCAACTAAAAATGAAGAGACAAGTTCAGATTATTCATCAAAAAGTCCAAGTCCATCAAGTATTAACAACAACAATATTTCCGAACAAATTGAATGTGAAAATAAAATCCTACGACAATTTGTCGAACAAAATCCGCCTGAAAGTATGATTTATTCATTTCTGCTTCACCGATATCTTACTTTTTAAATTGTGAGGCAATAGATGCATCACAGTATGCAATAGATCATGGGTTCCTAAAATGGAGCCTGTTTACGAAGCCCCACAATAAATTTATAAAACTTCATTTAACGATTAATGTCCCTGAGTGAACTGAAATTATCTCATTTAATGACTCAGATATATTTGCTGCTTTGTATTTAAAAAATATTCAGTATTTAATAAATGAACGAATGGCTCGTAATGGTTCCCTGTGGGCCACGAGTAATTGCCTTCCATTCTTTTACTATCGCCTGTTGGCTTTTTCCATAAACGTGGCACATAAATGATGAAAACGCATTAAAAGCCAAACAGCCTCTTTATAGAAGAACAGGTCACAAGTGTTGACAGTCTTTGAAAGGAGGATGAGATCATAAAAGTTTGAACCACTGATCAACAATATAGTGGGCAAAATATCTTGGTGTTTAGAGCTATACGTTTGCGCCGCAGATTAAAGATTTCTGGTTGAAGCCATATAAATTTGGTGCCGATCTGTTTTTAGACCTTTAATTGGTATAACAATCGTTTTTCAAATATTTTTCAGGTCCTCATTCTGAAACATACAATAATTTTTTTGCTTCACCTCTGTCCACAACAACTTGCTTAGCTCAAAGAAATGAACAAAGCAAGAGCAATATTGCAATGGACCAAACTTATCAGGTATGTATTTTTTATATGATGTTTATCCATGCATTTTGCTCTTAACAAGGCATAATACAAGCAAAACTGGTATCTAACAATAATAAGATACTATTATTTGGAAGGATCAAAATCATTTGGGTTTGGTATTGCCCACATAACTTATTTTACTCTGGGTGAGGGGGTGGTTGTATGATTTGAACCAGAGATTTGTAATCTGTGATCTGTGGAATTTGTACCTTTAACCAATATGCCATCGGGGTTATATTGTACGTGTGTTCAAAATACAGTGGTTTATGACCTTACCGGTCTGTCATATTCAGAGTTGTGAAGTCGGAATCACGGTTAAGTCCAAAGAATTTTCCAAAAATCTCAAAAAGTGGTCCCTTCTCCAAGCGTTCTTAATAATCTATTATTATTTTTATACTTGTTGGAAATTTAAATGAGTACCGAATAGAATATAAAGAGACCTTTCTCCGTGTAGTTTTTAACTTTTTGATCTATGAAATAATGAAAAATTCTTCTTTGCAGAAGTGAGTCATACTTTTTATTTCAATTAATTAAACTTAATGCACAATTTTTTTTACAGAATATTGCACCATCACATTCCGCTGTGAATTCTCGTCTATCAGACCAAAAACAGACATTTGATGTAAGCCCGGATAGAAGTAGAATCCAACATTCAACATTGCCCCCACATTCTAACAAAACATATAATGTCTCGCAACCAGGAATGCCAATTTCAGAACAACCCAATCATCGAAATATTCTTCAACCAGGGCCAAAGCCTGTTTTCGATTCATTTGAAAAAACGATGATGACTTCACTAAATCATGACAAGCAAAGAATTAGATCTAATCAAATGATACATGACCATTCAGCATCACAGCAAGGGCTAGGAATGTACCAAAGCACTAACAACGGTACCCTTTACCATCCAAATCAGATCCATTTGCAGGAATCCAACAATCCATTCGTACAAAAGATAGGCAATTTACATTTCCAGCCAGTAAATCCAAATGTTCACCACGGTACAAGTCACATCTCTTCTCATAATCAAGATAACAGGCAGATGACTTACGAGGTTTTTGACGACAGTTCAACTGCTCAGTTTTCAAGCCAGGATATCCGACAAAGAACATACAAAGTCAGCGACGGTCAAGTAGATAAAATCCTACCAGAAAATATTCTCAATGAAAATCATCAATTCCGAAATGAATTTGTTCCCACCCGGCAAGATATGAGACACAATACATACAATGTTTCTAATAGTAATTATGCTCAGCCATTACAGAATTCTCATCAAACTTCTGCACAAAATTTAGACCAGCGTCATATGACATATGATGTATCAGATACATTGAATAATGCTCAGCCAACAAAAGCCACTCAAAGGGTAAGTTCTTAATCGGTAATCTTGATTTTATATAATTTTCACAATAGGTCATTAGAGGGGTTTATCATTAAGGCGATATATTTGAACAAGATTTTTCATATACATCTCGAAAGAGAGAAAAGTGACAATATGCTTTATTTTAAATTTCATGGTCATGTTATCTGAGTGCAAGGTTAGATTGAGTTTAGAAATAGCTAACGTTAAATATAGTTAGTTCAAGTTGTACTTTTTTCTGAAGTTACAATGGAAGAAGGCCAGAAGCATTCACTATGTACCATTCGCTATGACTGTGATCTGTTAATTCTTTGACTGGAAAAGCAATTTTATATATTTTTATTGGTAAGCGGCGACCACAAGTGTGAGAGGCTTTGGAAAGGGGACTATGTTCTACTGACCATAAAAAAGAAACACTGGTATAAGAGATGGTTGCAGATTTGTTCACACCGATTGTGCCAAACCCCCTAATAAAAGAGTAATCCTTACTCAGTACAAATTTTCAGTCAATAATTTAATTTTCCTCAGGTACCAATGCAACCAAGGGAAGCAGTTCATCCAGGTGTTTTAAAAATCCAAGCTCCTGAAATAAACATTCATCAGTCTTCTCCTGAACATACTACAAGAAGAAGCTTATTCCCAGGAGGAAATCAGGATCCAGATACTTTCGCTGAGCAGGAAAATATTGATCCAAATTATTTAGCGACAGGTAGGTTTAGGCGAAATTGCAATCGGCTCCCGACTTTGGGTTGACAAAACTTTGACTTTGACTCCCGACTCAAGGTTAAAAAAAAATTTTACTTTGACCTGCTGACCCAGGGCTAGAAAAAATTTGACTCCAGGCTTCTGACTCAGGGTTGAGAAAAATTTAAATCCGACTCCTGACTCAGGGTTGAGAAAAATTTGAATTAGACTCCTGACTCAGGGTTAAGAAAAATTTGAATCCAAATCCTGACTCAGGGTTGAGAAAAATTTGAATCCAACTCCTGACTCAGGGTTAAGAAAAATTTGAATCCAACTCCTGACTTAGGGTTAAGAAAAATTTAAATCCGACTCCTGACTCAGGGTTAAGAAAAATTTGAATCCAACTCCTGACTCAGGGTCAAGAAAAATTTGAATCCGACTCCTGACTCAGGGTTAAGAAAAGTTTGACTCCTCACTCAAGGTTAAGAAAAATTTGACTTCTGGCTCAGGGTTAAGAAAAATTTAAATCCAACTCCTGTCTCAAGATTATAAAAAATTTGACTCCCGATTCCTGACTCAGGATTATGAAAAATTTGACTCCCGACTCCGGACTCAGGGTTAAAAAAATTTTGACTCCCAACTCCGGACTCAAGGTTAAGAAAAATTTGACTCTCAGCTTCGGACTCAGGGTTTGGAAAAATTTGACTCTCAGCTCCGGACTCAAGGGTTTGGAAAAATTTGACTCTCAGCTTCGGACTCAGGGTTAAGAAAAATTTGACTCCGACGCCTGACTCAGGGTTAAACAAAAATATGACTCTGACACCTGACTCAGGGTTAAAAAAAAATATGACTCCCTGACTCAGGGTTAGGAAAAATATGATTCTGACTCCTGACTCAGGGTTAAGACAAATATGACTCTGACTCCTATAATATATGAATATATTATGGTTGTTTCAGGTCCTGCTGATGAAACTACTTATGATACTTTCTCATGCAAAATTGCCTCTGGATCCAATCATTCAACTCCACAGAAAATGAGTCCGCTACAGGGATCACCTTCAGGACAAGAAACATGCGGTAGGTTCCATGTATTTCCTGATCTAAGTTCACTTCAAATAAATAACTAGGTTTATCACCGTTTTTTTTCTATGTGCATTGTATAAGCATATCCTATTTATTATACCTTGAGTTAGGTTTCTGGCCAATGGGTTTGAACTTGAGATATTTGACCTATGATGCCAACATACGGTAGTTAAATCTAATTCTCCAATCTCTAGACACCCATTTGGAATTCACATACAAAGGAATTCAATATTCAACATGTTAGATTGAGATATTTGTTCAGAGCTAAATCCTCCTATAGATGTACTTGAATGATATAGCAATTTTTATTCAACCACATGATTGAACAATATCGAGAGAATTTAAACGAATTTTGAAGGGTATTCCAAAATATTCAAGTCATAGTTGCAAGTTGACCAATCGCAATCTTGGACCCAATATCAATGGTAATTACCTACTCCTAACGACACGCCCTCTTATTTACTACTTGTTGCAACGGGCATCGTGATCTAGCTTTGTTTTGTCTTGACATACCTTTCTGCAGTCATCATTTCCCTAGGGAAGCATCAGCGTTCATTTCATCATGGGTGTCTCTTGTATCGGCGTAGCATTGTATTAGTATTAGCAAGTTGGGTTGTTGGCTAGTAAATCTATTTATGATTTTAATATCTGCTTGAGTATACCTTCATTTTTTGCTAGTTTTTGATTTTCGTTCGTGGTTTTTGATTTTGTGATTATGTCTACAGCAGAAGATGAAACTGATATGTCGAGTGTATTAATGAAAACAACAGATGTGGATAAGAAAGGTGGTAAGTCATTCTAAACAAATATTGCTATTAGTTTGATTCAGCTGTTCCTAACATTTTTCACTATTCCTCCCTTTTTAAATCTTTATTCCTCTCTCGTTATCCATGGAAATACTGTTTCCGTTATGTGTTCTTACCTCATGTTACTCGCAACACACACTCTGGCATTTGCATAGATTGAATAGTTTTATAATGTTTCCTTCATTGTGTATAACAATAATAATACAATATGATTAAAAAATATCAGTAAAACTACATAGGATTCAATTCAATAGTTCTGTAATTATTCTCTGTGTTACAAGTTAATCAGCATTCATTTGTGCCCTTTTTAGGCAAAGGATTTGAAATTGTTGATGATGCAACTCCTAATACCGATGTTGCTAAGAAAAAGGAACAATTTTTATTAAAACAATTAAAGAAAGAAGAAGAGTTGAAGCGGAAGAAAGCGGATCGTGAAAACCAGGCTGAAAAGAGAAAGGAAGAAGCAAGGTAATTTCATTTTTTGTGAAAGAAATTTACACAAAGCAAAGTAATGCTTGCTCGCTTAGAAACAAAGGAAACTGATCTCTGATTGAAGTGGGTATGGGTGATCACCAAGGTTCCCTCTAAGGTGCGCCATTGCGCAGTACCACCAGACAATTTGCGCAGTAAAATCTCATTCTCGTGCACCTGTATCGATTTCGTGGATCGCAATACTTTCTGACCCCTGAAAATATTCATGCTCACTAAAACAAACAATTGCACAGTGTAATATTTTCTTAAGAGGGAACACTGGCGACCCTAGACAAGTTTAGTGTAGAATTGTGCATTAATGTTAGTAAATACCAATTGATGCCAGACCTTAAGCAGTTCATGTCGATACAATCAAAAAATCAGCTATTAGGCGATGTGAATACATGGGAATTACACCTAACTGAAATTTTTGTAAAAAACTTTAGAATTTAAATGGACAATGGAATGCTTGTTTAACATATTCCTCTCTTATTATGTTAAGTGATCTCAATTTTTAGTCTTGTGCGTGTTTGTGTTGAAAAATGCCATTCAAATGACGATTGGGCCCATATATGTTCATCCCTTATTATTACAGTTTGATAAGTTTGGCTTTTAGGTCAGCAGTACCTTGTCTAGAGCCTTGTTTAGAGTTGTAATTGCATAAACATTCATTTATTTGTTTTATTTTATTTGATTGAAAGTTCCAGTTTGAGAAAGTCTGCTCTACACGAAGTACTGTGAACTCCAGTTTCATTTCAGATATGTATCATCTCATTCACTTTTTTTTTTTTTAGAAAAAAGCAAGAAGAACTATTAGCTAAGAAAGAAGAAGAAAAACTCAAACGTCAACATCGACTCGATGAATATAAGAAGAGAAAGTTACAAGACGAAGAAGCTCAATTTGTTCAACAATCTAGCGCTATCAAAGCAGGAGGCAGTGGAAAAAAACATCCGCCGTCTTCTGCCAAATCCGAATCTGCTTCGGTGAGAAATTTTTTTTTGTGTTTTTGATTCATGGGTGCGCTGGCACTGCAGCAGGGCTGTGCAAGATTTTCTGTCGGTGGGAAATATAACCAACTTCCAACATCTAATCAGGTCACACAAAAATGTATCATGTATTTTTACCAATGGTAGCGCCTATTTGAACATAAACTGTCGGATTAGAATTTTATGCTTGATGGAGAAATATCTGAGTGTTGACCACACTAAATTTTTTTCATGGACTAGGTTCTGGGCCTCCTGATGCACACCCCTGCTTTAAAGCATTAGACTTACCGTAACTGTATGGGATTTCCAGGTTAGACGTCTCAGGTTGAGGGTAATGAATTCGGCGAGCAATGTTGAATTGGGAAGATTTCTGTACTTCCAAAAAATACATATCCCTAGATGTCAATGGCTGCTTGTATAAAGCCTTGTCCAGATCGTAAGCTCTGTCTGAAAAAAAATTTCAGTATTAGCCCCTCTTACTTCCATTCACTCATTATATCTTTACCTTTTTAGCACACGGCGAGATCACACAGAGTAACGAAAAGTGGTCGAACATCTCCTGAATCTACTGTTTTAACAAATAATTACGAACATTATCCAGTTCATAATGCAGTTATTGAAAATCGTGAGTACATCTTTTTTTTTGAACACTCTATCCTGCCACTCTAGATTTAAGTCATGGATCCATGGCCCTCTTGGAGCAGTTCTTTGCGGTCCATGAGGTCGGGCCTTCACAGGTACCATATGCGAAGACTACATTAAGTTCAAGTAAATTGTTTAGGATTTGTTTTTAAATTTTTGACTGTAATGCGTTTCTTTTTCTGCTTTCATTTGTTGAATTTTTATCATTACGCATTCACATAAAATAAATGATGCAATGTGTTAAAAATATTATACTACTATATTATACTGGTTATTGAACTATAATTCTTTCCTTTCTGTACTTGTATGTAATAGTTGCTACAAGTCTCTTGAGTGTGGAGTGGGAAAATTTAAGCATTCGACTTTGACTCCTGACTAAGGGTTAACATATAGCCTTCAGACTTCAAATCGTTCAGAGGAAATGATGTTTTGATAATAAAACTTTTGTGCATTCAAGCATTCTTTAATAACCTGTTGAGAACTCTTAGTAAACTTAGTAAACTTTTTGAGTTTTTTCAGATATTTTTTATCTTTTTCAAAATTTTGATTCCAACTTCAAGCGGCTTTAAAATATATTTCCGATGCCAATGAAAGTATACCAAACTTTGACCTCCCGACTCTACAACCCAGGCTTGACGGTGATAGTATCCGAGTGATGAATAAGGATATGTAAAAATTAAGTAACTCAATTGCATATTTTTCAGATGAAACATATCTCGCTAACATGGATGCCGAGGATGGAAGCGCATGTTCGTTTCCAATGCAGAAAATGGTAAATATATTGTTATTGCATCCTGAATATATCAGTGTTTAAACATTTTCTTATTTACTTGCTAAAATCGTTTTCAGTTTTGATTTTAACATGTTCAAATATAATGGTACCTTAAAATCAAAAGCAAGAATTTCAGTTATGTCAAGTTTGCTATTTCATAGCAGTTTTCCTTATAGTATTGACATGAACTACTTCAAGTCTCGCGTTGATGAGTATTTATTTACTGAAGGGCAATTCTACGCTATGGTTCTTAATAGCCTTAGTCGCTATTGACTTTTTAGTTATTCCCATAGCTCAGAGATTAGTGTCTTAGTGTTTGTATATATCATAAGTTAAATCACAATTTGCATTAAATATGATTTTGTAGAAGAGTGTATCAAAATTTACATCATGACAAAACAATATTACAGGGTGACTAAAAAACGGGTCATTTCAATCCTATTTTGGAGAGAATATAATTTTTTGTACAAAGCGTCCCAGACTTCTAAAACTTTTGGGTACAATCGTACACAAACAGAAGTTCAAGTGTTAACTCAATTATCTGCATTTTTGTAGAAATAATTGAAAAATTTATGGTATCTGTTTTTTAGGATACTCATAATTGATATCACTGCTTTACTGTGTGGCTTGTGAATGTACATTTTATACTCTGGTATATGTTTTATGAATGGATTTGTTTTGTAATTTTATATTAAAATCTATCAAAGACTGTATATTCCTTTTTCTAGCATCTTGGTAGTGGACATAAAAAAGAATGGGATAACCAGTCAGCTTCCTCTTCTGCAGTATCATCAGAATACACAGGTATGTTTCATGGGCATGGTGGCCAAGTGGTTAATTCAGTTTACTTACCAATGTCAATATCGCAGATTAAAATCTTGGGTTCAAATCCCATGTCCACCATCTCACCCAGTGTGTAATAAATCAGGTAGGCAATGCGAATCGGGAAAAGATTTCATTTATTTCTTTCAAACAATATTAGATCCTTACATAGTAATGCCTGCTAGTACAGAGCCTTGATTGGAGCGGAACATGAATAACGAACGATTCATTGTGTTTCTCATTTCAGGTCCAAAGTTATATAAACAACCCAGTTCAAAGTCAAATAAACACATCGTCAATAATGCTATAAGTCATTGTTGCTTGCCAGGAAAAGTCAATGAAACAAGTCGAAATAACACTATTCAGGTATGTTAACAATATTTTTATTCATTCACTGTAACTGGCAAATGAATGTTGGTAACCACAAAAAATAGGCTACAATTTCCTGTTTGGGTCGGGTTGATGAAATTATGACAGCATCTACCCCAGAAAGGTTTTAGTTGGAATACGGCAAACTCTCTCTGGTATATAAAAGAGAACAATGTAATTTCCTTTTTAGCTCATGAATTTAAAAATCTCCCGCGGGATTGCGCATACAAAAACATGGGTGCTGTCTTGAAAGAATTGCCACAAAAACATGTTTGATCAGAGAAAGCGCTGCTTTAATATTGGTTGAAGATTATTTTCTTTTCATCATGTTGTTAAGTTCATTCAAAAAAGCCCATATTCTTGAATGAATGCTGTGAAACTCTTGAATAAACCAAAGGTGTAACCACTTGCAAGCAAAAAAAATTTTGCGGTATAAATCAAATTGATGATTCAAATCAATGCTCATTCATTTCTCCAGGTTTTAGAAATGTCGGATGCAAGACATTTTATGATATTATTCAGAGATGCCAAATGTCAATTCCGAGCTTTATATTCATATGATCCTGATGGAGAACATCTCAAAAGATTAGCTGGAAACGGTAAATGGAGTAATACTGATTTCACTATTAGACTTTGTAGAAGTGATAGTTTTGCACTGTTTTTTTGACCATAATTATTGTTTGATCACTGCTATTGTTAACTGCTATTCTGGACTTGCATTATGCATGACTTGCATTATGGACTTGCACGACCCAGGAACTCTATAGCCCTGGACTGTACCATTGGACGTTTTTACATCCCACATCTTCCATAAAGATTATCTCATTTCAAACTCTTTTTCAGGTCCTGTTAACATTGTTCCAAGCATGATTGAACGTTTATTCAAGTATAATTCTGGAAGAAAAGCCTTCACATCTTTGCCATCCAAAACTTTGTCTGTTAGTATTGATGCCATCACAATCAAAAACTCGCTTTGGCAATCAAATAAAAAAGTGAGTTCAAAAAAATGATGACAGAAAAAGGGCATTTGGAATCAGTGGTGCCTTCTTGTTGAATGTTGATTATCCCTATATGTGTACCGGTTGAAAATGGAGATACTCAGACTGTTCGAAAATGTGTGATCAGTAGGATATAAGTTCAGAATTTCGAATTACAGCAATTCAAATAAAAATTAATTTTCGTGAATTCAAAGTCATTACAGAAAATACTACTCGATTTTATTTTATAAAAATTGCCGTAATCTACCGTAGGTAAATAAAATAATTGTCAACAAGATTAAAAGGCTTCGTTCATCAGAGCCACGAAAGTTGCATCCCAACTTTTGAGATATTTGTAAACTTATGTAATTCACTCATCCACCAATTATTTTGAAGTCAACATCTACAATAACGTTAACAAATATCCTTAATATTTCATTCTTATTATCTTTGTCATATTACACCACATGCACAAATCATAAGGTGCTATTATTACTAGCTTCATCTTAGTTTTTTTTGTTGATTCGAAACATATATTTTTTGTATTTACTGTGTTGAAATGGTACATAAACTGGTTGCTGTTATATACTGTAATTTTTTTTTCTCCTTTTAATGTTATATTTTTATAATTGCTCAGAATGTATATGCGGATATTGCATGGTCAAGTGTGATTTTTTCATAAAACACGGACCTGGTATTGCCGCAAAACATTTTGGCAAATCTCATTTCCTGGTGATTTTCATATACAAAAGTTGGAATACAATACAAGATTTGATTGAATGGAAATATTGATAGTTTGTTATTCAAGTATTCTAGAAATATATTAGCAGTTATTTGGGAATGAAAAACCTGGGCCAGCTACAAAAATCAATTTTTGTTAAAAACTTTTGGCATATGCAGCCTTTTTACAAACTAAAGGCTTAGTAAATGGCACTCCTGAAGTATGTGTACTAATATGGAGGCAACTAATTTTGTTCGCCTACTTTACATAAAGTTGTATGAAGAGGCTGAAACTTACTGGCAGGGGGTATATTCACTTGGCTAAAACTGACATTCCACGAACTCGTAATAGAACTAAAAAAAGGAAATCTGAATAAAATTATGGCCTAATCCTAACCTGGTACATACTTATTTTATCGCCATTAGAAGTCTGATATCCATACTCTGGGGAAATCAAGAAGGAGTTCTGACTCCAGCGAAAACATGACAATCCAAGACCTTTCAGCTCTGTTGTCAACTGCTTTTAATTGACAGTTTTTTAATTGGCTGTTTGCACCACTCAAAAATATTGGAACTTGTGTATTACTTTTTCTCGGGTGTCACAGAAGATAAAAATGGACAGTAGTTTTCTTTGTCTACTAGTATTTGGTCTATGCTTTCTGAATACATTCATTATATTATTAGTATGTTTGTCTGTTTAACAATGGCCACCAGGCTCAATTGAAAGGTTCAAAGCAGGTTGTTGGTCATGTGATGAGTTTAGAGGTGAAAATTTGCCATTGGTTCTGTTGAATTTAGGACACCATAAAATGCTAAAGCAAGGTCACATGTGCTTGCACGAAATGTAGTTGAAATGCTTTATAAATTGATGGTTGTTATATGATTATAAAAAAATTACACCAGTGTTGTGCCAAAGACATATCTGAAATAAGGTAATTGTTGACTTTGTGAATTCGCCAAGTTATCACTTATTTTCATGATCTTTGGTGGTAGGATGACCACTTATCAGGTTGCGGAGTCTGAAAATATTGTCTGATTCGACTCACTCCAGCTTCGAGAAAATTTTAATAACAAAAACTAGGACTGTTGAGAATGCTTACGGTGAGTCATATAATTTCTGTGCAATATGTTGACTTCCACTATTGACATCAAGTCTGAAATTCCAGCTACCGGGAATTCAGAATTTTGACACTTGATGAGTTTGATGAAAACATGCCATTTCTATCTTTTTTATTTTTTAACTTCCCAAACCAGAGACACATCCATCTTCTTGATTGACTGACAATAAAGATTGAAAAACGGAAACCAAGCTTTTACGCATAACGAGGTGATATTAACTCATTGAGATGTTTAAAATGGGTAAAAGGAGTAATGTATCGAAAAAGGTTGGGAACCACTGGTTTTCTTGCCAGCACCATTTTTCCAAGTACCTAAAGGGATAATTTCAAAACAACGGTAAAATTTATCGCATTCAATAAGCTTTTCTGCAGCTTCAATACAAGTAATAAATAATTATAGTTCTAGTAAGTTACTGTAGCAGAAGTACAATCAACGCTTCAATAATCTTTTTCGCAGCAAATCAATTTCTAAACAACTGTCTACTTTATCATATTGTGCAAACAGACACCTGCTAGGAAAACCAATAACATGGCACTTTCAATTAAAGAAAAATCAATCATTTTTGCATTTTTATTAAAGCTTGCATCGTTAAAATCCATTAGGCTTTTAATATATTATTCATGTGCACTGGGTCGAAACTTGATCTTGTACTGACATTTATTGTTATATCATTACAGGCCATATTTGATAAATATGTCCCAATAATGTAACATCTATGAATGGACGATAATTATTAAATGAAGCATAAAATTGAACAAATTACACCAGCATGGCAGTTAAGCTGTCTGACAACAAGCTGTGATATGTTATTCAGGTTCATAATCTCAATAAAACTTATTATAGTATATGCAAGCAGAACCACTATACAAAAATAAGTGAATGAATTTGAACACCCTAACTATAATTAAAACATAATAATTGTAGCGAGTGAAAAGTATTTTATCATGGTTTGAGTTTAGTAAAAGGCTGAAATGAATACGGCCTTCATATAAGGTGCTTCGTTAAAATATAATCTTCATGGCCTATGATTGATATAGATATACATCCAAGTCGGATACAGCATTCTTGTGTCTGTCCTATATACAGTAATCTCGCAAATATTCAACAAGTATAAACTGTCATTACAAAATTGGATCAGCCTTTTTTAAAGTCTGGCATCAGGGCAGGCACCAGATATCACTTTTTCGATCTGTTTCTCTTTTTAGACTTTGTCGCGAGCAGACTTGGATCAATTTTTTCTGGTGCTAAATCCTTCACTGTGAACAGTCTTGAGGCTCTTTCTTCCAGAGAGCCGCCACATTTTACACCTTTTTTCATTAGCAATGATTTCAAAGTTTCTAACCCGAGAGACGCTAGTTCATCTGCCGTGGAATATTTAGATAAATCAATGTCATCCACATTCAATAGTTCTTTGGAAGTGTCATCTTTTTCAACTGAATTGATAACAGCGATTTCATTCTGATTTTGGCTGTTGTTAATTTTGTTACATTCATTAGCACTTTCTTTGCCAGTATTTTCATTTTTAATATTTCCAATAACTTTGGTTTCTTCATTAGTCTCGCTGGTGGTTTTGGAACCCGAGGTATCTGGAACTTTTATCGTTTCTGGTAATTTATTATTGGAATCTTCAGGGGTTGGTAATGCTGCGGATGTTGAGCCAGATGAAACAGAATCACTTTCAATTGTAGATATCCCAGATACCGAACTACTTTTTGCAGATGTATGTGCTTGCGTTAAGACTGAATTATTTTTGCTTGTGGATGCTCCCAACTCTAAACCATGTTTTGTGGATGAGCTTTGTAGTCTCGATGCAGATTTTAATTCATCGATGTCGTCATTATCTGAGTCACTGTCACTCATCGGTTCCTCACCGAGCCAAAGTCCTTTTTTAATTTTTGGTTCCTTCTGTTTTTCATTTGGATTGGATTTCCTTTTCTTTGTGTGTGCGATAATCCCTTTCTCAACCGCGTTATCAACATTTTCCACTGCTTCTCGTAGTTTCGACTCGTAATCTGGATCGTTGAAAAAATGTTTTGGTTGTTGTGTAAGTCTTTCCAATTTCTCAATTCGTTTCTTCTCGCGATCTCTTTCTCGTTCTGCTTTCTTTTCGAGGTATTCCACCATTCTCTTTTCATTGTTGACATCTCTCATCCTTCTTCCACTTAAATCTCTACATGCTTCTCTGGAAAAATATCACAAATGTATATTTTTATCATTATATGTTAATCTAATATGTGGTTTCAGTGATTAGAATAGAGAGTACTCAGTAGTATGTGTACCAGGTTAGGTTAGGCCATAGCGTTATTCCGATTTTCCTTATTTTAGTTCTATTACGAGTTCGGGGATTGTTTGTGTTAGCCATCCGTCCCTTTACACAACTTGATGTAAAGTTGGCGAACAAAATTAGTTACTGGCTCCATATTGGTACAATGGTACAAATATTTCTGGATCGCCGAATAAAAGATTCCTGAATAAGTCAAATTGTCGCAACAGTGCCCTAGTGGTTACATCGTTATACTTTAGTCTAGAACAGGGGTTCCCAAGCTTTTTTTAGAAAATAACCATATAACAACTTTCAAGTGTCCAGTGCGATCCCCGGTCAACATATATATTTTTCATGAAACTTTGGAGCTTCTTTCACTGGACTTTGAGTTTGGTCATGTGGTGATATTAAGTAAAATAAGCTAAAACCAAATAGTGATGTCGCAATAAGCACCTACATTCTCTATAGCATAAGCATATAGCGATGCCTATGGGCCTGTTTTACAGTAAGCCATGGAACAAGCTGCTAAATTTAACATGATTTATCAAATCTTAGATGTTTTGTACATTCATCCTCGACCATACCTCAGCGACCCCACCGACCTCATGACCTGTTTGGGACCCCACCTACTTATCACTCCGACCCAATTTGGGTCGCGACCCCTGGTTTGGGAACCCCTGGTCTAGAAGCTATTTTTTATGATCATGTTCAAAGATAAAAGATATTTGGTATGCATAATGTAATGCCTTTCAAATATGTAGAAATGAATTAAAGCAATCTTGGAAACTTGTGACATATAGTACTAATGAAGCGTGTTGATAGGATTAGAATATCACTCAATTATGAGATGAAAAATCCAAACATTCTTTCAAAAATACACATTAAAAAGAACAAAAAATTTATGATATCAAATATGAAAAATAACAATTTAGTACCTGTTTGTCGTCTTTTCAATCTGTGCACCAATCGCTCTCAACATAGATCCAAACCCTCCTTTACCTCCTCGTAAACGTAGGCAAATTGAGTAACATTTCCCTGGTATAATAACATCTCCATCATTAGCAACTTTTCCTTCACACACCACATAGTAATCATCCAATTGTAAATGATTCGATAATTCTCCAACAAATGATATATCTTCCCGAGAAATCGTTTTCATAGATTGATCATGCAATCTAACAAAAACCTTTTTATCCATCTTTACAATTTTAAATATCTAAAACCTACATAAAAATGCAACATAAACATGCAGTGGTTACGCACAGCAATAAAAATAGTTCATATTTAGATCACAATCATTAGATACAAGAATCGTACGATATCCTTCAGATTACAATAAATATCAATATATATATTTTCATTGGTTGATAAGTTGTACTTGTAAAGTACATATTTGAAGAGAAGAAACAGGTTGAGAACATAAAAATACCCTTCTATTGAAGTATGGGATTATTTTTCACATAAAGTATATGATATGATAGTCATTCTTATACCAGTATATGTTCATTACAATACACAAAGATAATATATCTACATTAAGTAACAAGGTTTGCACATAGCCAGAAACCGGATCACAATTTTTAATCTGTCTATTTTCCAAAATGTTTTATATGTAAATTAATTTAAGATGCAAATTGAATTTCATTAAGTGAAACTGAGCGCCAAATCAATTTTAAACACAATTGGGAATTGAAACAAGTCAAGATTGTTGAAATAGCTCAACAGTACTTTTATCTAAATAATATTCTGTTTTTGGAAATATTCAATAATAGTTTACAATATAATAACAAAGTGTTATTTGAATATTACTGTATAAAGTACAGCTGAAATAAATCTAACTAAACATTCGCCTCAAAAAAATCGAGATTTAAAAAATAAAAACGTGTACCATACAAGCATTTCAAGCAATGGAGATATTGAATGTGGTCTATGTCATGAAATAAAAACGGTGTGCTCTAATCAAAAGAAAAAAATATCATACATTATTGAGAACGCATATTAGTTGGCACAAAATAATACTGAATATTAGAGAAGCTTCAAACGCAATTGCAGTAAACATTTTTCAACTAATTTTTTAAAATAAAAGCTTTAAAACTCATTAGCAAATTTTTCCAGTCAAAAATACATCTAGTATTTTCATATTAAGAGACCTTTCTCCCTTTGAACCTGGGTCTGTACTTTACAGTACAATAGGTCAAACAAAAATCAAAATTTGAAAAATCAACGAAGCTCTATTTAACAACAGAAAATACTCTGCTTGTTGGGGTTGCAGCAGAATCATGCTTTGCATCAAATTGATTTTAAATATTTTACAAAACTAATTGCAAGGTAGAATTCTGGAATACCAAGTCTAGTTCATATTTGGCAGGTATTTTGACAGGGAACTTTCCTTGAATCATACCATTGATTGAAATAAAAATATAAGTGGCACACAATGATGGTATTAACAAAACAATTAGAACGATTTGATCGATATAATTAAAATAAAGAGAATTTCAAGTAATCCAGAGTGATAATATTGGTAAGGAAACTAGAAATTCCATAGATTCTGTTAAGCAAAGATCTACATGGGTAACGATTAAAAAATATATTCTATCAAGTTGCCAACAACAAAATACTGTGATATTTATAATAATAGATTCTCATGAAACTGAGCTGACAATTTATATTTATTAATATTTGGTATTTTCATTTTTAACATTTAGATCAAAATACGGGTTAAAATATTTGCTCTCAAGAAACAATTTAGTACTAAATGCCTAGAATTCTGTGTTCTGCTCTGCTAATACATACCGTAACAAAAAAAACGTACCCTTTTGACTGTAAAATATAAAGATTTAATAAAAACAACATTCAGAAACTAACGCCCCAATTCATGCATCTATTATTCCTCAGTGAGACTCTTGCTTAGCAGTGTAAAAACAAGAATTTATACTAAAATATGGCAGGATTTGCAGCTTACATGAACATGAACAAATTGAGATTTTGAACGATTAATATTACAAATAAATAGGCTGTTCTTGCCCTGTAAGAAGTCTATACATGGCAGCTGGCATTGTTTTCATCTGTATTTCACCCACAGAAGTAACAAGCATTTGTACGATTTTGTCATGGGGAGTGGCTACCACACTTTGGTTATTGATTTCAATAATTCTATGACCCACCCGTACCCCACCTCGTTCTGCGATACCACCCCTCATCAAACTACAAATTATTCCGTTGTCAACAGAAAAACCAAGTTGATGTTTTAAATCTGGACGTTTGATTAACACTGATACAACGGGAGGGCAAGAAACGATATTTAATTTTACAAGAGTTTGATTACGAAGACCTTTAATGATGCTGTGACACGTCAGTAATGGAAGTCCAACCAAACTTGTGCTGTTGATAGCCATAATTTGATCTCCAATACTAAACTTCCCATTTCTTTCAATCGGACTTCCGTGTTGCAAATTTGCTAGAATCACTGTTGGAATTATAGATCCCCAACCTGATTCAACAATAGCAATTCCCATTGCTTCTCCTTTTTTTTTCTCAACCCAAATTTCTTTCACATTTTCTTGTTTGGAATAATGTACAAGATCGTCATGATACATTTCTTGAGTGTCTAATAGTTTATTAAAATCGGCTTGTGTTAGATTTTGTGGTTCGATACAATTGCTCTGTAAGAATTGTTGGTAAGCGACATTAAAGCACTGACCAATCGATTCAGCAATGAGATGCGAATCTGAAGATGACAAAACATGGCATATAATTCGTTGGCGTTTATTGGGTTCTTTACGAGATGCGTTTTCGTCATCTGGATTTTCATCATTTGAAGAATGTCGTTTAGCCATAATAACGAGGAGATCACCAACGTCGGCAATATATGAGATTGAACGCAACGTATGCCCCATCATTGTTTCTTGAGTATCAGCATTTAAAATTTTAATTTTCGAAGTAGAGATGAACAAATCGACTTCAACAGTAGGTTGTGATTCTCCGTCAGGAGCTTTAATTCTGTTTACAGCTTCTTGTGCTTGAAGCATCCTGGTGTTTTTTGCAGCATTGCGATTTGATGCAAGCTGTGTTGTTCCCAGATAATTAGCACTAAATATGATTCCTTCAATCAAGTCTTCTGGTTCACATGGTCCAGGTATATCTAAAACAAGGGGATTGAGGGAAACACTGTTTTCAATCGCTGGCGCTTTTTTTAAACCAATATCGGAGTTGTTGATAGAATTCTGACTCGATGATAATGAATCTTGAACATTTTCTGAGTCAGAAACTTTTTCTGAGATTTGCGAGGATTCATTCTCTGTTACAGGATCAGATGGCAGCTTTACCCATGGATCAGAAGTACTTGCAATTGGAGGAGTACTATAGGAAGGATGGTTTTCAAGATGGTTTTTCATTTCTTTGTGTTGACTCGATGAAGCACTTTTATTTTCAGAATGATTACTAAAAGACTCGTCTTTGGCATTGACAATTTCCGATGCATGGTCAAAAGTAGCATCATTACCATGTTGTATAAAGCTACCAGCTATTTCATCATTCCCAAAACTTTCCAAAGGCATAAATTTGCCAATAGATTTATTATGTTCTGGGGATTGTGGCATCACTGACTGTTTTCCAGCCAAATTGAATGGATTTATCCGATCAGTCTTGCCATCTAATGTATCTGAATCATAGCTACCATCATTTTCAACATTTTGAGAAGATACGTTTTCTGTTGCAGTACCATGTTCAGCACTGGATTCAATAGAAAGTCCATGTAAATTGTCTTCACATGCATTATCTAAAACTGAAATTTTTCCTAATGCTGATTTCAAAACATCTTCATAATCAATTGCATTAGTAGCACCTGTTGCGACAAACGTCATATTTATATCCGATCGCACTTTACTTTCCTCAAATGTCTGGGAGTTCGTCTGAGCAATTTCGACGTTCACGTTATTCTCAAATGGTTCGTCTTTTGTTTTTTCGAGTTCTTCTGGTATTATTAAATTCTCTTGAGACGCAATTACTTCATTATGATCGATAACACTTTCTTCGTCACCTGCGACAGGGTCTGGTTGGTCGTCCGCAACCGTATTCATATTAAAAATCAGCTTACCATCACCAAATCCTTATTTCGGTTCTCATTACGGAATCGTCGCTTTCATTGATCAGACACATTCGACTGTCGGAGAATGACGTCACATCTAAAATAGTTCTGCTTCAATGATTTTGTTTGTGACGTAACTTATCGATTGCGCAATCACAACACAATATATTTCCGCCTGATAACAAAGATTGGATATCGTGGCTGTTGTTCCCGAATTGTCATTCGCTGGGCTTAGACGTTGATAACGCGCATTTTAGTTTTATTGCTGAGGGAAGGCGTATTATCATTCTGTTATTACATGCATTCTGTATATTCAGTTGATTGTCAGGTGAAATATGTATTAGGTGTTCGTTTGTCAGTTTGTACTGTAGGGCATTGTATTTTCAATCTCTGATTGTATATACAGATATAAGGTATATCATATAATAATAGCCTCTGAATGAGTTTAATGAATGTTTTTGTCTTGGAGGATATTAACTGTTAAGTCTGAAAGTGTTAACAATTGTCTAACTTCTGAAATTGATAATAATTCAATGTCATTTGTGTTATTCAGTTTTTATGGTGATCAATAACATACTAAAATATTCTTATAACAGTATAACAATAACAGTATAATATGATAAAATTTCAGGCCGAGTCGAGTTAGGTACATCTCTGCATAGTTATAAAATGTAAAATGGTTGAATAAAAATTATCTCCGCCTAAATTCTCATCTCTTCATTTATATTGTCGCAACCAATTTTGTCAGTTTACTCATAGTGCACATAAACGCGCAGCAGCCATAGTGACCTTCGATGGTCATACTGCAGTACTGGCCTACACAAAACAATGTTCAAATTGCTTTGCAATTACTGAATATTGTTTTGTATTATTTTGTAATATTAACATTGTTTGTGGAAACAAAATCTTTTTCACTCTATTTTAATTCATATTTTAAATTTTATATCACATGGCACATTGTGCTGTTTTGCGCAACCTATTACTGATAACCTATTATTCAAAAATACCATCTCAATTTTATAGAAATCGTTGAAAGTTTAAGAACTACTAAACTACGTAAAAATCACTACAATTTTGTAATGGCGAGCGGTAATGTTGTGCATTTTTCAAAGCACAGAAATCCTATTGTTTTGTTGAGAAGGATTTGTCACAAAGAAGGTCAACCTGGTAATAATGCAAAAGTGGCAACTGTAGCAAGACCGTATTCTCAAGGTTCTGACCAGAACAATCAAAATAATGGGAATAAAAAAATTCCAATAACACTTTTTGGTGCTATGCTGGGAATATCGAGTGGTGCAGTTCTCCTTAACAAAAAAAGGAATTCTCAGCAACCAAGCATTTTACATGCTGCGGAAGGTGAAGACAGGGCTGCTGGAGGAGGGTCATCTCGAAGGAACAATAATAACTTCATTGCTGATGTAGTTGAGATGAGTGGATCAGCGGTTGTTTTTATAGCACGTTTTGCAAGAGTTCCATTTATGAGAAAACAAGTTGAGGTTTCCCATGGATCTGGTTTTATTGTGGAATCACAAGGACTTGTCATCACAAATGCTCATGTTGTGGGCAATCAATCAAAGTTGAAGGTGATTTTGTATTCTTAGATGTTGTGTATGCGGGATAATTTTCGAATCAGCCATAACCTACCGTTTCATTACTTACTGAAAACAGTGCAAAACTTAAATAATATTGTCACACAGGAAAACATTGCAAACAAAATAGATAAAAAAGTGTGAAGTTTGGCGAAGCTTGACAAAATAGCACAGTGTACTTTATCGGAATTTTGTGCTCTTTCCTCTGTTTTAATTATTTTTCACTGTTTTCCTGCAAGCAACACAAAAATTAGCAAACGACATTCTGCTTTGTTTTTATCATATTGTGCTGTTTGTTCCACTCTGTTTCGGGTAAGACCTATTTTGGATAAACAATCTGTGTCAGTTTATTCTTATTAAGAAGCTTAGAATTATTTATAAGTTGTTGGAACTTGATTTCCAATCTGTATGACTGTGATCAATGTTGCAAAAAAAATTAAATTATTTAGTGTTATTGATACAGTTGATTGGAATTGAAACAGCGCCGTTGTAATACTAATGGTTTTGGAAAATATAATATTCGATCAAAACATCTACTTCGCTTTTTATACTTGTTTGTATTTTCTTGACTTTTTAGAAGTGTGTTGTACCTTTTTGAATCGGAAATTTCAAAACAAAGTAACATTTGATTTCAAATTCCTGAACTCCTCTTCTTTTCAAATATTAGGTTCGTCTACAAGATGGAAGAGAGTTTGAAGGTGTGGTTCTCGGCGTAGATGAAGGTCTCGATTTAGCAGCCGTTGAAATCAGAAGCAGGGATCTACCTTATCTTCCTCTCGGTTGCTCTAATGATATCAGGCCGGGGGAGTGGGTAGTTGCCATGGGGAGTCCATTGAACCTAAAAAACACTGTAACTGCGGGAATTGTTAGCAACATTCACAGGGCAGGAAAGGAACTGGGGCTTCATGATCATGAAACAAGAGATATGGAATATATACAAACTGATGCAATGATTAATGTAAGAGAATAAATAATAATTTATTGTGAGAAGTTCAATCCAGTTGAATTGTGATTGATAAAATAAATGATATAGCACTGAACTCATAGCACATATGTGGGAACTCCCAAAGTATGTGAACCAAGATGGCGAACACCGGAATGTAGTATGTGTACCAGGTTTGGGTTAGGCCAGGGCTGGGCAAGTATTTTTGCTATCAGGCCACATTGGATATTCAAAATGCAGTGGCGGGCCGGACTAAGTAAAGCCAATTGTGCGTTTTTAATGCATTTCATTACACATTTAAATAAAACAAAGTACTATTGTACTCCGTTATTTTTATTTAAAGCACAGTTATTAAAACTAGTTTAAAACATAAATATCGCGATTTAGAGACAATACATAGGATCAGAGAACTGTCCCGCTTACAAAACAATGCCGGATTTTATCATTAATGCTAAAGAGTGAGTAACTATGCGGAATTAAGACCATGCCTTCGATGACCAAACATTCGTGATTCATATAACTTTGTTGTCACCATAGCATTTTTAACATAAACAGGGGTCGTGGAAAATTTTAATGCATTGGAAGGCGTTGCGAGCTTAAAAGTTTGGAATGCACTGCTCTAGAATACAACGTCTATCTGCGTATATAAAAAATGTGAAATAAACTGCCGGAATATACTTAATTTTGATACCTATTTTTGCGACACGGGTATATTTAAAATGCATCGATATGGGCACATTAAAATGTCTTGCTTTGTTGTTTTAAACTTAACCCGCGATTGCTTGCGACAAAATATAATCATTACTACTCTTAAATACCACCGCATGCCGCGGATATAAAAATGTGAGATAAAGTGCCAGATTACTTTTATTCATGTTTTGTGATTTCGTGAAATCAACAAATGTGATTTGTTCTTGCAACAATGACTTGGCTCTATTTTACAGATTCCACCAATAGAAAAATCCCTACTTCTGCGATAAAACCACAGTAAAATTCAATTTAGTACCATGAAAATTGGTTGAATTTACTTTACTTTGTGCCATGGGCACCAGAAATTTTTCAGTTTTCAATTTCTACAACAGCGTTTTTAATCTGTCGCAAACCTTCTAAATCAATCTTGTTTCTGTCCAGTTTTTAGTATTTGATATTGCCGCTCTGAAATCTCGATTTAGGTTGCTTGCAGATACACTCGTTTATCTTTAGCATTATTATATCATGACTCGTTTTTCTCAATGGTTTCACAGTTCCGTATGCAAGACATATATATATGTTGAAGGTAATTTGTGATTTGAGTAGAATAATCATCGACGTAAAGGTGTTTACGGTCCAAATAACATCTCGAGCTGACGAAAACAATCGGTCATTTAAAAAAAAATTAGTCTAATGGTATTGCCGACTTTTTCATTTTCCTAAAAATTTCTTTTGTTCACAGTTAAAGTATATTTTATATGTAAATAAAAAAGAAAATGTCCACATCTAGAAACCGGATGAAACGTTGCCGCGGGCCGGATGTGGCCTGTGGGCCGCAACTTGCCCAGGCGTGGGTTAGGCCATAATTTCAGGTACAAATACTACGGGAGTCACTTGGCTAGTCCCCGAACTCGTAAAAGAACCAAAATGAGGAAAATTGGAAAAAAATTATGGCCTAACCCTAATCTGGTACACATACTACGCTCCGGTGTCCGCCATCTTGGTTCACATACTTCGGGAGTACCCATATCATGTGATGTTACAATCTTTGTGTCTATATATATTTGACCGTTGTTATCATCAAATCGGATGTAACTGTTTGAAGCAATTTATGGGTAATTTGCTCACTTTCCGTCAATAGCCTATTCTGTTTCTATTTTAGTTTGGAAACTCTGGTGGACCATTGATCAATCTGGACGGAGAGGTTATTGGTGTTAATTCAATGATGGCATCAGCTGGTATTGGATTTGCGATTCCTGTTGATTATGTTAAAGATTTCCTTACTCGCTTGAAAGAGGTAATTTTTGACATACTTGAAAATATATTCTTAACTCTTTTATGTGCAAACTATTTTGATGGCCACATGATTGGACAGATTATGACTTGAACTTGTGCGGTCAATACTCAGTGGCTATAAGGACCATGAACTGACACTTCATCAACTTCTTTTACTTACTAAAATATATCTCATCTCAAATATGACGGCTATCTTTATGAAAAAGGTGTTTTCCACCATGCACTCGAAGATTTTGTGCGGCTTTCATTTTTCCACCACCAAGCTTTAATGAAATACATATTCACAACTTATGCGCCACTCATTAGGTTCAATATTATGCACAGCTGACATAAACCTGACCTGAATAAGAAATACTTTACTAAAAATTGTTTAAAACATGTTTAGGCTTTGAAGGAAAGGAGAAGAAGCAGTTCTGGCCAGACCAGGCTCCCAACTGGTAGGAGAAAATATATTGGAATAACTATGCTTACATTGACCGAGGACATTGTTGATCAACTCAGATTAAGAAACCCAGATTTTCCAAATGTTGCGAAAGGAGTTCTAGTGCACAGGGTACAATACAACTCTCCAGCCGATAAGTATGTTTGTATTTCTTTTATACAGGGTGAGCCCAAAAGGTGCGCGGACCACACTTGGGAACCACTGTTATAGAACATATTCTAGCAGTAGCAGCAGTTCAGCATTTTGCCCACCTAATTTTGAAAATTTACATTTCAAATCTTTTCATTCATTTCAATATTTATGTTTCATTCATGTATTTTCATCGTGTTTTTTAAATGAAACATACTTTCGCCTCACTCTGTTATTGTTAGCTAGTTATTCTTGAGGTGGGGGCGTAAGACTTGACGAATTCTAAAAGAGGCTCAAAAAGTTTGTTCTCTCACTGTTTTAGAGTAAGTTGAGGTGTTAAATAAATTTCTTCATTTTCGTAGAGGTAATAAAGAAATTTATGGGTTCTGTTTTTTGATCATTTTATACTTATCAATTAAATGTCATATACAATATAATTACTAAAAGATTTATCTGTAACTTTTATCTACACCAATTCACTGTAAAGTTGAATTACATAAACTTTTTTTCAGGGCTGGAGTTCAAGATAATGATGTAATCATAAAAATTGATGACAAAGATATTTTCTCTACTCAAGATGTTTTTCAAGCATTGAGCAAATCTAACATTCAATTAACTGTTATTAGAGGTGATAAAACCATCAAACTACGAATTGAACCAGAAGAGGTTTTGTGATATCTGACTGAATATTTTAGATGGGTTTGAAAGATGTAGGCGAAAATGAAAAAAAAACTCTGTGATATGCTGGTTGAGTTGCAATATGTATGTTAAAGATATTTATTGCTTTAGTATTGTGGTAACACGACACAGTCACAAACTTTTATGGGCAATGAATGTGCTACTTAAACACTTCAGAAATATCAAAAGAGTGATATATGTTACAGCCCTGTTTGCTTTTTTACTAAGAAGAAGAGTAATATTCTATGAAAGAGTTTTTAGGGTATCACTGTGGTATTTTCATTTTTGCTATGTCATATAGCTCAGACATCATATTGGTATATTACGATTAAATGCTGAGTTTTACTGACTCTGGATGATCAATGTATTGGTAATTTTTCAACATTGACATTATATGACTGTATGTTTTTCCAAGAAGTTCATACTTTCTGATTGTATTAATTGTAAACATTTTGTGGAAAACATTTTGTGGTGTTTTCAAGAATTGAAATAAAAGCTGATAATTACCAATCGTGGGCCAAAATAAACTGCAATTCGTTATCGATTGCTAATGTCAGTCTTCTCACGTGTATCACATTCTTTTAAAATACTGTCACATGATGCCAGTTTTATTTTCATCTTCTCACTTACTCAGTAAATTGTATACCTTTTAAATCATACTTTTCATTATTTTTTATTTTGATGCATTGTGCATTGCTTATATCTCCATAATCAGACAGTTTGATGTAATACAGGCAGCATTCTATGTTTTTTATAAGCTATTGCTGTTGGTCCCTTTTCACAGGTATTGTTTCTGCCACTAGTACAACAAAGAACTGAAATTTTTCAATTTTGGTCGTTTTTTTCATGAATTCTATTTTTTGTGAACTGTTGCTTTTTTTCTTTTAACCAGTGTCATCTTATTTTGGAAATGTAATTTTTTTAGCAGCATTGTAATAATTTTGATTCTTTGTATGTGTTAAAAACATTTTTTTAAAACAATTCAGTTATCCTCATGTATTTTGAACATGAGATTTCTTTATTATTGGTCTCTGTTCAGTATTTGTAGCAAATATATTACTGTACATTTAAAACACAATTTGTTGCCATATCAATACTTTGCTTAAACATGGAGACTTTCCACAGAAAAATTGCATTATTGTCTTGCTTGATTTTGTAATGTGTTTTTGGCATTTTGCATTTGATAAAGAATGGTGAAATGAGGTGCATTGGTGCGATTTTATTTTAATAAGCCTACTCTGTGATGCAAAGACAGCTTACACACTTTGTGTACAACTTTACCGAATTTATATTTTCGCCAAAGTTTTTGCCCTGAAGTCTGAATATTCATTAGCTGTAAGATACATAGAAAACTTCTGACCAATAGAAGTGGGAAGAAAGTAACCACCACCTGCCATTTCTGTGCCTTATTTGCATAGCTATCCAGAATAAAGTTGTGAGGGATAATAATGTCCTTGTACAATAACTAGGGATGGGACGAGTCCGGCATTACAGAGATTCGACGAATCCGAGTAATAGGTCAAGATCGAATCTCACGAGTCCGTGACGTCACAATGGAAAAGCAGAAAAACACGTTTTTGGCCATGCTACAGCAACGTCCGCTCACAAACATACATCGTAGCTCATATTTTTTGCCTAATGATTCTGTCTGTCTGGATATAAATCTGTTTGAATATTATTAGATACGAATTTATTTTGAACTTATTGGTTCAAGAAAAGACGGAAAATGTCAAAACTGGGGATTTAAAACATGAGATACAGAAGTACGACATCGTGCGATCTCATAAGCGAGAAAACACGACGAGACGAGCTACCAACTAGAGGTAAGATCGGGCCCGACCCAGGCCCGTGGGTATTAAACTCGACCCGACCCAAGCCCAACTAATTAACTGGATTTGCAGGCCCGAGCCCGAAGCAAACGAAATTTCATAGTTTATTTATGAGTTCTTTGAATTGTCATTGCAAGAGTTTAGTACAGTATGTGTCGTGTTGACGAGGCAGCTTCTGTTTTTTTGCAGACCACGGTCTCTCGTGGCCAGAACGTCTCATTTAAAAAAAAAAGTCCGCGATATAGAAGCCCGACCCGAACGTAATTATTGACATTTCAGGCCCGACCCGGCACGAATTTCGGGTCGGGCTTCAGATCCAACTATCAACATATTAGACCTCGAACTTGGGAGCAGTGCCAGATCATGAACCCCAAACACTCAAGACTTTGGTGCCCTATATATAAAATATAATAATAGGAATGTAACCAGTGGTGGGATTCAAATTTTTTGACAGCCGGTTCTTTCACAAAAGTTATATTTTTCAGCCGGTTCTGTAACAAACAGAAAATGGACAGTAACCAGGGCTCGGCGGTGTGGCGCATGTGCTAAGCGTTAGGAATACACTCGCCACAGCATCTTTGATTACCCTTTGTGGGTTCGCAGATTCGAATCTCATGCGGGGATGATCATGTGCGAAAGGATTACTGGACTCCTCGCCGCCGTAGGGTTCACGTAACCGCTGGTCGGTTACGGCTTCCTCCACCGTCAAGTCCATGCTTTCGAAAACAAATATAACTGGCTAACTGATCCCATACCCGACCTGGACTGGTAACCGGACGAGTAGCCGTTGTTCGCCATATGATTAAGCCGCCTTATCGGCTTTCCTCTGCCCCGGGGTAAATATGTAAATCCTATCCTATCCTAATGATAACCGGTTCGCTGAGTTCATAAAATTCCGTGAGACGATTCTATAGAGCCGGTGCGAACCGGCTGAATCTCACCACTGAATGTAATTACTGTTTGAAGGCCAGATTATAATTAATTAACATTTTATTTTTTATGTCTATAAACACAGGATGTTCCTTTAGAAAAAAAAAATATTTATTTCAAGCGGGATAATACTGAGGGCTGAATTGCATTGAACGCTGAGGCACTATTGAACACTCGGCTATGAAAATTTCTATTGTCCCCCTTTTCCTTGGTGTCGTAAGCACGTGTTTCTTTTGGTTCCATTACATTTGAACCCACGTACATTTGAACCCACGACGATTGCACCGGCATACTATTGCACCTATGAAAATTTTCGTTGTTTTACGGATATTTGAACCCCTACTGACCCTAACCCAGTGATTTCCCTACACCCCCCCTATAGAGGGTGAACACCCCCCCTAAAATTTCAAACACCCCCCCTAATTTTGAGGTGCGATTCCGCACTGAGGGTTCTAAACCGCAGTCTGCGGGCCAATTTACGGCCCGTGGTGGTACCTTTTGAGTTTTAGATACCGTCTATTGTTACATCATTATCACAGTTTAAACACGTTTATTTCGTACAATTGAATTATTCCGGTATCTTATGTATACGTATGGTTATTAGGATTACACACTGCAGTATTTTAGATATCAGCCGTATATTAAGAAGCTTAAAGATGTCACAAAACGAAAAACTAGGGCACTGAAAACAGACTTTTTTTTAGATGAATGACAGCGTTGTTTATTTCTTTATTGAAAAGAATCAAACTTCAGCGATTTGTCTTCTTACAACAAAATATTTCAGTTCTGAAGGAATACAACATTATGCGACATTATGATCAGTTGACGAGCTTATTCCCAAATTTTAATTCATACAAAAGTCAAACAAACATGTTCAAAAAATTAGAAATGTGTAACAAACAAGCCATAAGTAGCCATTCATACAATGCCAGATGAGCAAGTAACTTCATTAGTCCACTATCAGTTGCAACTTGCAAATTACTTGTTGAAACGTAGTAGTATATATTACGGTTGAAAGCCGTGCTTGTTATCTATTCCCCGGGAATTCTATCAGCTAAATATTATAATTATTGATTTCATCACATAACAAACTGCGATGTTAGGTGTATCTAAAATCAAGCTTAGAGCCTATTTTGGTGCCTATTTCTCAAATTTTTCTCAGGGCGCTTGAGCGCGCCCTGAACCCCAGCCGTGTCGTCCCGCACTTTTCCTCCCTCCCCTTTTCTGGCCCTACAATTACATTCTGCTGTGGATTTCGGCTCGCGTCAATCAACTTGGGGGGGCCCCCATGTAGCCTACATCGTTTCTTAAATACATACCATTTTTTTAAGAATACAAATAGCCTATTTTTATATCTAACCAATGACATTAAACAACATGATAGGCAACTCTGACGTCACTCCATAAGACTACAGGCGAAAGATTGTATTTCATGATACGCTCCAATGCACATATTTCTCGTCGCCTTTCGCGTCCGTTTTCCGCTCGCTTTTGCTACTCGGCGTCTTTTTTACGTGTAGTACCTGTCTTTTTGCACCTGTAATGAAACAAAATAATCTCTATATCTAAGAAGTTTTGCTCACTTGGAAAGCTGTAAAGAGCAATTCTGGACATCATAGACGTTTTTTTTTATCAGAGAAGATTACAAACGCGATAGCGGAAAGATTTGTGTGGAACATTTTGCAGATAATGACAAAGTTCAAAGTTAGTAATTTAAATGTTTGCGCTTAATCATTGAAATTTCATTTAAAGAGGGTGTCATACAAAACTGTGCTGTGATACAATTCCATAACACAAAGTTTGCACCTATCGAACTTGCTTTTGTAGGTGAATTTATTAGACATATTACATATTCAGTTAATCGTAGGTAACATTGCTGGTACATAATGCATCGTAGATAGGTTTGTTTAAATTTAGGAATTTAGCTCATAGCTCACTAATTAATATTATCTTCTATGCGGTAGGTTGCAGGGCTGAATTCAACTTGCAGCCTTACCGATCACCTGACGATGCTCATTTAGTTTGGCTCGAGCAAGTCTTCTTGAAATGCTTGTGTGGATGGAAACTACCTATATTTTTTGCCTTCCTCCGATTTTAGACAAATTTATTATGAGGGATTTCGCATATAATTCTCATTGATTGTTGGCTGTTTATAATTCCTATGATTGTGAATTCTGGTTATAACAAAGAGTTAAAAAATTTTTTTATCTAATTTACTGGTACCTTTTTCTTGTCAATACTCCAAGCTGAGGTAATAAACAAGACAATACATTTATGTCTTCTGGAAGCAAAATATGCACACTAATTAATAGTTTGGCACATTGAGATAATACATCATGACAGAAAATACAAGTTAAAGATATGTATGACCATCACATGGTAATTAAAATTAAAAAAAATTAATAGGGGCTGTGGAGTATGAAAAGTTCAAGACAAAGAAAAGAACAAATGTTCATAGCTCATGAACTCTCAATTTTGCCTCCATTGCTTTGTGAAGGCCAATATATTTCGAGTGGCTGAATTGGTTTACCTTTATGATAGCAACGATTTTGTATTTAATATAGCGAGATTATTTCAATTTAATTGAAGTGATATTATTTCCCAAAGCAATGCTTGAATTGTCTAGAATAGATCAGTGGTGTCAAACTTATGGGTTTTCGAGAGCCGCATTGCATTATGGAAATTGTAAAAAGAGCCGCAAACAGTTTTTGATAATGTATACTTAAAAGATATTTCTAAGATAGTTTTAGTTTGTGACATATATTGTGATGCAACTAAACAGTTGGATTAAGTTGTATTATTTTCTTCAATTTCAAATGCAATTACATATTAATATTTGCATTCCACTATTATTGCAACATTTGCAAGTTACTGTATTTATTATAAAAAATCATAAAATTCTATGTACAACCATCAAAATCATTTTTGAACAAGCTTTAAATGAGGAAAGAATAATACATACACTAAAAATAACTTAATCTAAATATATGAACCTAAAATTAACAAAAATACTACAGTATAAACTCAATGTTTTAATAATTACATTTGTCCTGACGTTTGGCATCTTTTTTGTGTCACCAGCATACTAAGGCCAGGCTGAAATGATTTTATAGTACCAACTCTAACTAACGAGGCCACATGATCATGGGTTAATCTGGATCTTTGCGAATGTTTAATTAATTCCAGTAATGCAAAAAAGTTACTTTTATCATTTCATGTATAGATCAGTAAAAAAACAAATGACAGATTTTTTCGACAAGACATTTCGCACCACATTGCGTGGCATAGGATTGCTTGAATTATTATTGATATTGATTTTTAGTAACTAAGTCGTTGTATAATTATATTAATATACAAACACATGGAAATTTTCTGTTCGAAGTTGGTCTTCGAATTTGTCATAGTGACTGCTAGGCTTATTGTGTTTTTTCATTGTATTGATGGAAATATGACAAATTAAACAATGTGCTTCAGAATTTTGTGAAAAGCAGAAATGTTACAACTCCCATTTTCTTCGAAAATGCCACCTTCTTCATGTACTTTGCGTTTAATTTAATCACTCAAGTGTTTATTCAAGTATTCATTCGCAAGCTTGATGTGTATTTTTAATTGGGTCAAAATGTGGACAAAAAAATTTAATATTCCAAAACTACTTTCAGTAAATTGTTTTCTGTGTGAATAATCAATTTCACTTTGAAAGGTTTGAAAAATCTATTACATTTAGATAAAAAAAAACTTTCAAAATACTATTACAATTATTGTTAAGCGTTCGAGGGCCGCACTGGAAGTTCTCCGGGGCCGCGAGTTTGAGATCTCTGGTCTAGATTGAAGTTGTCCAAAAAATATATGATAGTATTTTATCATGAATGATGATTATATCCCTTCCGGAATTTCTTCTATAGTACTACCAAAAGTTGATGAACCTAATATAACACAGGTGCAGTGAGTTACCCGTAATCCTCATTTTCCAAAGCTGTTTTAAGTATGTCTGGCGTGTTTTGTGCCTTTCTACAAATAAGACCGAGTATGTAATTTTACGCTTTGCAATTTTTAGTTATTTTCCTCAAGCCCTGCAGGATGTAGGGGCCATACACAACTCTACCGGAGGGTCAAATGTCTTTGCATGTCACTGATATGTCGCCAGACTTCTGATATCTCCCCTTCTGCTATAGTTGTCCTGTGAATAAATAATAGGAAATTGTGATTAGACGAATAGTTGAAAGTTTTGCTTTATGTCGGCTTAATTTCTTGATTGATATACTTACTATTTCTGCTATTGCCTCTTGTGCTGCAGGAGTCTCACAATGCTTAGACAGGTTTGTCCACAACTTTCACATCTGAAGAAAGAGAGGAGATTTATTAATTTTCGTTAAGAATAAATAAAGCAGTCTATATAATTTAGAATGGGAAAGCTAATAAATCCAATATCTCATGTTTTATGTAAAAAATATTTTACTGAATTTGGTATATAAACCAACTAATAAAAGGGTTTAGTCAGAAAATTACAAGCATTCGTGGCTCCAAATACTTGAGAGATCAGACTATACAATATAGACCGGTATGAGTGAAATGTTAGGTGAACTTGTTAACACTTTGATTCAATACGCAAATAAAAGTGAAAACGCAATAGTATGTTACAATGAGCAGCAATCAACAATGAGTATATATCCTCACTGATTAAAAAAATCTAACTGGAGGTGCATGAACTATTTGAAACCATAAGGGGTAAGTAAACATGTAATTTCGGCAAATGGGCAACCACGTACCATACTGAATTAATAACTTCGTAGTATTTGACAAAGGCTGACTTTCCCACATGAACTTAACAGTGCGATGCCCGGGTGTGATATACAACAATAGTATTTACCTTACCTTTTTCCGATTTCTTTTTACCTTAACTTTTCAAAATATCATTAAAATCGACAACAACTGTCAAAGCAGGCACGAACACCATTCGTGCTACGCCTTGAAAGCAGCACACATCCGCTCGTTTTCGTCTCGTCAAGTATGTGCATTGAAGCGTGCTATCGAATACGATCTTCGGACAAAAATGCCGGAGTTGCGCATCATGTTGTTTAATGTCATTGATCTAACAGCAAATTATTTACCACCCCCTAAATTTTGAAACACCCCCCCTAAAAAGAAAAGCTGGGGAACATACTGCCCTAACCCATGGGTTTAGCACCCGCATATAGATTGAACCCGCGAATATACACATGGGTTCAAATGTACGTGGGTTCAAATGTACGGTCACCGTTTCTTTTGCCTAAAGGGTAAATCAGCCCTGACTTCAGCATCCTTGCAATATTATACGCCTACAAATCCGTCAGCACAAAGACTAAATATAATTAGTCTCGTAACCCAAACTAATACCTTCAGTGAAATCGAATATTAATATTAACAGTATTGAAGTTGCGATGAAATGCATAATAAAGCAAGACTAAATATAGTTAGTTTTAACCCAAGCTAATACCTTCAGTGAACTCGAATATTAATAGTATTGAAGTTACGGTAAAATGCAATTTATACGTTGAACGACTGGCTCTTTTCAACAGTATTACTACTAAAAAGTGTCAGTTATTGAATTTTTAAATAGCATTTCACCGTAACTTCAATGAGGTAACTGTGAAATGCCATTTAAATGTCGAACGGATGGTTTTTTCAACAGTATTACTAATAAAAACGTCAGTCAATATATGTTTTAAGTAGCATTTTACCATAACTTTAATACAGTTAAAAAGCGTCAGTCGCCACTAAATTCGATATTTTCGTTTTTCATAAATACCAGTATGTAGAACTGTAGTGGTGTACCGCTACTTATTGACGTTCAATATTCCTAGTGGCTAAATGCCGAAATACCAGTATGGTAGCCGTACCTCACTCAGCCACTCTAAGGCTAAGTAGAACAGTGTCAATAAGGCTTGTTACTAACACACCGACTGTAGTTCGCCTAGTTCCATGAACTTATCAGTATCTATACTTGTAGGCTGGACGCTACGGTAATGAAGGTTCATATAATTCAAAAGTTTAGTATAATCTGTCCAGGGCCACATCATGCATTTTACAGTTTTAGAGACCCTACGCACTTAAGACCTTGGTTACCTATGTATAAGAAGTAATATTGATAATATACAGTATGATGATGAAACTAGTGTTCCATGTTATCTGAAATTAACTATTCATCACTGATTGAAAGCCAAATTATGATCAATTTGCATAATACTTTTTGGACTATCATGCCTACAAACATTTACAGAAGTTTGAGTCGTCAGAACAACTCTAATTATTTGTAGCGCAATTGAACTTCAAAAATTTCTGTGATGCTCCCTTTTACTTGCCTCGTGTCTATTTTGCTTAATAGTTAATCCAGCCCTGCTTGGGAGCATTGTGATGATACATGTCGGATATGTCTACGCACGAGCAATGGTAATAAAGCAATGAAGGGCGCTCCCGAAGTATGTGCACCAAACTGTCGCACAACCTGATAACCTTAACCTCGTACACATACTATGTTCAGGTTGTGAGCCATCTTGGTGCACATACTTCGGGAGCACCCAATAAAGGGATAAATGCGGACACTCATCAGCCCGCGCATTCAGGGTTTTACAATTATATCTAACATGAACTAGAAAATAGAGAGCCGTAATCAGCAATTCGAGGAACCACCTCGCAACAGCTGGATGTCAGATAATCTTTCCGCGAATAACTTAGGGTTTGAACCTGCAGGGTATGTAGTACAGTGGCACCGATGTACCGGATCCTTTTTAGTTGGAAATGCCTTGTTTTTAATATATTCGTTCATATCACTAATAACTACTATGTTTATAGCAGATCAGAGGAAATCTTTTTGGTGTGTGAAATGACTCCATTCACTACCTTTCGCACGAAAATAAACAAATTACTGATGCTTTATAATGATTAGTAAAGTAACTACTAATTAAGATTGATGGCAGTTCGTCCCAGCAGAAGGCTGTTATGAACGTTTAGGCTGAAAATATGGGAGGCAAGCTGGGCAGACTAAGCTGTGTAAAGGCGAATGACAGTAATATTCGGCAGCCTAATAAGAAAAATAAGCCGAAAAGATCGAAATCTCGTGCTTCCAAAACGACCATACCTGACCAACAGACAAACGACCTGATTTTTGTTGATAAAAGTACTGTGGTTGCCCCGGAAGCTTCAACAAACCAGCAGCACGACACAAGTGTCAAAGGTATCATAGTAGAAGATGGTCAACGGTCGCAACATTCAGAAGTTGTCTTGATGCCAACAAGAGAACTACAAGCAATTCAACGCCTAGAGCCCATAACAGAATGTGAAGAGAATTCCACAGAGCCGAAAATGGACACTTTAACCGTTCCAATAAACAAATTAACGGCTCAATTGATTCAAGACACCAGCAAGGTACATTTAACAATTTTATTTTGGGTCAGAGGCAAAGCTGGGCATTTTAAACAGAAAAATGTACTAGTATTTACAAACATTACGGTTTAATAATCACTGGTAAACGGCCAACTAAAGATAAACGCGGCGGTAACGCATAGTCAGAGGTAGGATGAGTTGATGCCGATTGGTCTTGCATTTTCAGGCACTCATGAGAATGATGTTTCCAAGATTTAATACGAAATTTGCTTATTAAACTGTTATGTCGTTTTCAGAGTGTTTCAACATATACATATTTTGAAAATTTCTACTTTGAATGTTCCAAAGGCGCACTGTATAGAAATATCGTATATATTGTGCACAGTGGGTTCGACGCATAGAATTCAATCCCAACTTCAATATTTTGCAGAAAATCGGTAACAGCATCGAGTTATTGCATTGTCCTGACATGTCGACAATATCAGCATTTACGGAAAGAAGTCATTTCAACACAAGAAGAGGAGTTGCAGCAGGAGCACCCGCGACAAAGCTTCTGACTCCCAACATAACGGGTGATGAATTCACGGCAGTAACCCCTCTCGGAGTTGGAGACGTTTCCACTATGGAAATGACAACAAGTACATTGACAGTTCCTCCTAATTCCGTAAACAGTCAATTCATATCAGGTGAGCGACAAGCATATACGTCCATTTCGTATCCAATAATTTCGGACCTCATGTCATAGCGTTTTGACCTAAATGTAGTTGGTTTATTTCAGTCTTATAGGGTTGATTTGTTGTATGGAAAAAACATCAAGCTGTAGCAGGCTGGTAAAGATGTATTGGAATGAGTGATTTGAATTGGAGTATAAAACACATTTTGATGAATATCAGGCCAGTTTTCCGTTCCGCATGGTTTGACGTATGTCATTTCGTGGAACCAAGTAAATGAATTACGGATTTCTATAAACCGATATCCTTACTTCATCTACATTCAACAATTATCTTACGACAGGTATCACCCCGATGGATAGCATCCAAGATGTTGAATACCCCGATGCTACGGCCGACTCAGTCTTTGAACGCGATCTATCCTACATGCCACAACATTGCCTTGATCAAATATATTATACAAACTATGGGACGGGACGCGTTTACCTGAATAACAATAGCATGGTAACCAGTCCAGAATATGTTAATGTGAAATCAGACCCACCGCAACAAGTTTCTAAAGTTGGGTAAGTGTATCATAATTGGGTTTTTCATTTGAGATTCTTCTGATTCAATTTTGCGCCAGTATGAAACATTTATTACTATTTTACAAGAAATTCAGTTGAAATTAGCGATGGCCCTGGCCTCGACAGTGACTTTGGAGCAAGTGCCGGAATCGAAATGCGAATAGTGTCGTCCGATTTTTCTGGAGCAAATACAACTTCTGCTATGACTCATCGTGACTTAGCTAACTCGCGTGATCAGCAAAAAAAGAAATCAAGGAACGATCCAGCGGGAGCAAGAACATTGCCAGCGTAAGTTAGCAGTTGTTAATAGAAGGATGTTTTTCATATACATAACTGTGAATGTAACCCATGCGAAAAATAATGCCTAGTGTTCAGCTGGGTGTGTTACTAAGATGACGTCAGATTTTAGAGCCTGTCTAGCTCAAAGTATATTGATATTACGCTGAGTCGATAGTCTGGGCCCTAACTTCCAAATTATAAAATGTATTCACTCTCCCAACGAGATTTTTGAGTACGCCGTCTGACATGCATAGAGTATTTTCGATTACTGATTGACGACAGAATGTTATATTTCAGAATTCAAGCACTGCCACCAATGAATACTAGTGATCGTTTATCATATGGTTTAATTCTACGGGAACCCATTGGTAATCGACGTCCTGCTACTGTTGGGGGACCGGAGGGAATTTTTCATGTTACCATGGAGTGGGATCCGTATGATACAGATTATGGAATGGCGCACTGGAGAGAGTATTTCATTCCTGGAGTGTCTTATCCCCCACAGCCTTTGCTCTGTCAGGAGCAACACTGGCTTTGATAACTTTCGAAGAGATTTTTGTATTTTGACAAAATATTTTCGCATTGTCATACTTTGTGAAATATATTTTTTCAAGCGTTGCAAATAGGAATGAAAATTTGCTTTTATTTATTTGATAGTGTAGTTTTGAGGACCCAAATAGACACACATGGAAGAAAAGTACAAATAGTAATTGGATTTACAGAAATATACATGTCGGATAGAATAAAAATTTACTTTTTCTACCGTTGCGAAGATGTTTATGACTGAGAGCCCGGACGCGTTTTTTATATAAATAAAGAAATAGATAAATTATTACTCATCAGCCCCAACTGTCGGCTTGAAATTGTCGTCTGAGATTAGAAATCATCCGTAGCCATTTGATTTTTAACGCAATACTGGGGCAAAATTGCTGAAAAGCTGATATATTTGTCTTAATCAGGGGTGGCCAAGGTGTCTTTGGCTATCTTTGAAATTTCTTGACTGCACAAAAGGATGAATGAGTACTAAATTTTAAACCTGACCTTGAATAACAATAACGGACGCCAGAAACAAAGGTGGGTGAAGAACAATTATATAGTTATCTTTCTATTGATCCTTACGCGTTTTCAGCGAACCTAGTTCACACCACACTTCAATGTCGACAATAGTGGTTACATAAAAAAAATGTTAACACTTTTAGCCATTTTGGAGACACCGTTTTGAACGGGCAAGGACAAAAAATATTTGATTTTTTTCACGGCAGACATACAGCTATCAAAATGATGATTAATTTTGAAGCAATATTGATTTTTGAAATATTTACTAAATGTTGTATATCATATATAAGTAAATTTTTTTGTTAATCTTCAGTGAAATAACAAACCACATTAAGCAATGTGTTTCACCATTCAAGCAAAACTTTTATGTGGTTCTCGCACATTTTCGAATATTTTTTTCCCAGTGAGAGGATTAAGCACAAGTGCAAATTACTGAAAGATATAAGTAACCGTTCTTTTTCGCAAGTTCTTCAGTCCTGAAAATTCTACGGTTGGTTACGAAACAGTAGATAAAATAAGAATACAACATTCGAGTATTGTCGCGACTCACGAGTAGTGTTGAAAATGTGGACCGATAATTAATTAATTGCGTTTATATAAGAATATATATGATATAAAAAAATGCATTTGCAAAAACTGTTACTATTCAGGAAGTCGAACATAATATATATATATATATCGGATATATAAGTATTTAACAGGCGCATTTTTTCCCAAACGGATCTTTCTGAATCAGGTAATAACAATTTTTTTCAGTTGGTCTCGGGTATTTTCGAATACCCGATGATTTCGGAATCAAATCGAATTTTTTTTTGGAATCGAACCTTGAATACTTTGAAGATATGTAATTGTATGTGACTTTTTATTAAAATGGTTTCTTCAAATACATAAATTACTGAACAAACAGAATCCATCACTTAATCAGTTCGCTGGGTTGTCACTAGGGCTGGGCATTTTCGAATACCTTGTGATTTCAGAATCGAATCGAATAATATTTTTCGAATCGAATCTCGAATACTTGAAAATATATAATTGTAAGCGATTTTATTATAGTATTTGGTCCTCTCAACAAATAAATTACCGAAGACATAGAATAAATCACCCAGATAGATTACTGAGCGCTCACACAGAATAACAAACACGTTTTATCAATAACTCACTACAGAAAATAGTCATATGTTAGAATTTCGTTGAAAAGATATGACTCCAATGAAAATAAAATTGGGGAATTCACCTCGACCATTAGCGGAAAGATAAAAACAAGATGGCGGCGATTCGAAATTTAGCTCTGAATCGATTCGAATAATTTACTATTCGATTCGAAATGCCCAGCCCTAGTTGTCACACGCAATAAGAAACATGCTTCATCAATAATTCACTGGGGGAATAGAGTCATAGAAATAGAGAATTGCCTTTTCAAAATGAAGCTTCCACACGAAATACTGATTGGGCGGACAAAAAAAAAGATTCGAAATTTTTTTCTTAACTGATTCGAATAATTTACCTTTTGAATCAAAATATCCAGACCGACTTTTTAGACAAGGTTTACTTGAGAGTTGAGACGCTCTAGTGTGTAAATGCCCAGAGTGCCAGAGTGAAATACTGGATGTGAAATTATTTATGTTATACATAATATTGGTAAAAATTGTTTTCTACAATTCAATTGAGTAAAATACTGACTACTAAAAGCTGCTTCATTCTCAGCGATTGATTTTCAAATGGAGGTGTAATTGGTTGCGCCTTATCGCCAAGTAAATTTAACTGCTTTGTATATCCCTGACACTTCCATTTCGTTACATTTGCTGTTTATACTTAAATCGCACTGTATGTTGCATTCACTTATTCTTACTGTAGGCTACTTTGTTGAGAACTGTCAATTCAATTTTCAACATAATTTTGTTCGAAGCATGCATTTCGTTGCGTGTAAACATTTGTATTGTGGTCCGATAATATTTATCGATATACAAAATGTGTATTGTGGCATGAACTGTGTGACAACATACTTCAATTCTCAACGTAAATAAAAATGTATTTGAATGTTCAGATAGTGGCTCATATGCCAGTGAAGATGATCAGTTACACAGCTCGAGCGCAGAAAGCCATTCTTCGCTTGCACTAGGTTTTTCTCGCAGTCTATTATATTAAATAAAGACTATTGTATTGGGTGTGACGCTCGGTTCAAGGCGAAAGGTCTCGGAACAGCCTTGGGAACGAAGAAGAAACTATCTTCAAAAGTGTTAGATATTGGTTTCTAAAGTATTATTTAGTTTTACCATAATTCTAAATACAACTGAGAGGTACTTCAAAACACAATTTGGCTCACTTAGCTGAATTTTAACTTTCACGCTTTTCATTGACATCTATCTACACATTCCTGATGCACGTGATAATTGAAGCATAATTCATCAATGCAGCATATGCAAATCAATAATCAATAATTTTATGCTACTGTTTCGTTTTCACAATGGGCTTAGACCGCGTCACCAAAAACCAGTAACAACCCCTACAAATTTCGAACACCCCCCCCCCCTCCCATAATTTTTAAATGTGACATCATACTTTGATTCTTATTATAAATAAAAATGTATTTCATTATTCAGAAAGTGGCTATACCGGTGAAGATGATTAGTTAAATGCTTAACACATTTTTAAAGGGTTACAAATAGTTTTATCACTGATAACAAAATATCTACCGCCCCCTAAATTAGGATCCCTAAATAAAAGCCAGGGAATATACTGCCGGATACTGTGCAACATATGACCACACCACTGACGTGTATAAGCATAACACACATAAATAGAATTAATTGTCGCGGTCCAGTTCTCACTGCTCACTGATTTCGCTATACGACGCTGAAAATCGTATTACGTAGGCCACTAAAATTTCATCATAAACTTGTGAGAACAGCTTTCTCTAAAACGAAAAATGGACGAATGTAGATTTACCAGAACGAACTCTCACGAAAAGGAACTTTTTCGAGAACGAATTCTGGAGACACGGAGAAATTAGTCCTGTGGGACTAAGTTTTCCATGAATGTTGTTTTGCCGCAAGGTATTTTACGAGAATGAAGTTTTAAGAGAATGTACTGTTGGCGCGGATGTAATTTGGAAAGGACGAATTTTATGCAAACGATTTTTGGAAAAATTTAGATAACAAAAATCATGGTTTTATTTCAAAATATAAATATACTGCAGAATACCACAACATAAAGTATCCAAATGCCGCATTAGAAATATTTGTACGTAGATACGTGAAGCTGCCATTTCTTTCAATTGTTTTTTGTGGTAAAGCATGAAAGCACTGTATCAACGATCAGCGAGGATTTACGACAGTGAAAAGCAAAATTCATTTACTCAAGATTACAATCTCGAAAAATTCTCTCCAAACTACACTTTTGCGTGAATCATGTGAATGGTTTCCCGCAAATGGTTTTCGCGTATGGACCCCAAGCCAAAGTCCCAAGCGAAGCCATTTGAAAAGCTGGTCCCTAGCGACATCTTGTGAGAATACATTATAGTTTACAGAAGCAAGCAATTTATATTAAGCATAATAAACCGCTATTTACGGATGCATATTGAAGAGAAGAGTATTATAGTATAATTTTGATGTTAGCACACGTTCCTTATATTATCTGCTTGAAAATCTTTTTGTGTAAACATACTTTGTGTTATGACGTAATATATTGGACAAAGGAGTGACGTAATCGCGTAAGGCAACAAAGTGCGACGCCTACGCGCATCACGGGCGGCTGTATGGGAGATGTGGGCGTAGCTTTCCTTTACATCATACTAGTTTGTTCCGTAGTTAGGATTTTGACGAGGACAGACATTTTGCATTTGGATTTAAGTTTTAAACATTCTTTTTTTTTAAATCAAAACGATGAAATCCTATTGAAATAAAATTGCACATGATTCTGTTTACTTTGACTTTAAGTTAGAATAACAGAATAAAAGGGTCTTTCTCGCTTTCTGGCAGTTTTTCTGAATTTGCTCTAGAATTTTGAATGAATATACGATGTACGGTACGGTGCTTAGTAGCGTAGTGGGAAAAATTAAAAGAAAGCGCATGTTACCGTACAATATAGTATTTGGGAAATTCTGAGGCTATCTGGATACCGGTATTGTGCACAATGTCAATACAACAATAATTAAAAATGGAGCCCAATACACTGCAATAACTGAATAATGAGGTGTTACAGCGTTTTGGAGGTTTTAGGGGCCATATTCACAATCCGCCGCTGCATTCTGTGCCAATCATCGTTAGCTAATTAATTGATAACGGGTAAAACGAATTGTCAGAGTGTGGTAGTGTTTCCCGATTTTAATCAGATTTCTTGTATAATTACATGTTCAGTTCGAATTACCTGGTTCCTGTCATATTATTTTAAAAGGGAACGGCGTTTAGTGAACTTGAGCTGTTTTTGGTAACGGTTTACGAAATTCTTGGCCCATCTGTCCACAGACAGACAGATATTTGCCTCATGGACTTTTCCTGTCCTAAGACAAATAACCATGGTTTTTCATAGGTTCAAGGCCACGACTTTACCAAAATTGATATTCAAAATATTCACAACCTATATTATGATATTTGCTAAATTAAGCTAATTTGAATAAATTAAATTTGAACACAGCTCTAAACATTTACAGATTTATGGCAGTATGGTAGTGCTATATTATATTTCCAATAACATCTTGATAACCTTGCTATGCATGTTATAAGTACAATATAAATTATAAGTCTTGCTCTGACTATGTGTATTGAAATAATTTGTGAATTGTTCATAATTTTTTTTATTAAGCGCTGGTATACTAACAACATATCGGACTAGCGCAACTGTTGCATTTTTAATATTTAGCGGAAGTAATTATGCGCTTTATACAGACTTGTATACAAAAGCAGAACAGAGGAAAAGAGTCATTCTTGAAAAAAATAGACGACCTACGGAATCAGTGCATTGCTGTCTTCCGCCACTCTATTGAATTTGAGTTATTGAAAGGTTCATTCTTTCATATTACGAGTTGGCAGAGAAATGTAAATGACCAGCAATCCAGCATTATTTCTGTTCTGTTTAGCAAACAGATTGTGTTTCTGTTAACAAATATGCCGAGGTTTATGGAAGTGATATCTTTGAGACACTGTAACACAGCATCTGAGAGAATTTTAAGATATTGTTGTTCATGTTAGATATAGAAATAGGTTTTAAGGTTCTACTCTAAAATTAAATCACAAAGTTAGAATAGATATATGTCATTATTGTCAATCTTAGGTTGATAAGACATATGGTGATTTTTCTGTGCCAAGCCAGCTATTAGAGAATCTATTACCAATAAATCACAGGTTATGTCATTTTTTTCAGATTCTTTCTCTTCTATTCATGTAGTCAAAGTTTTTCAATTTGAGCCACCAAAATGGATCTTAAAATTCATTTTCATATGAGTGCATGATATTACCTACACATAAATGTACTGGTAATAAAAGTTGTTTCATATGCCAAATTAAAAATTCAGAATACCAAACATCATTTTAATCCTTGACTTTCTTAAACAAAAGAACTAACTTTACACTAGTTTGCAGCAAAATCTTTTTTTACAATAAAAATGAACACACTTTTCTTCTTATTAGTACAGGAAAGCTATTGTTTATGTAAAAGATCAAATGAACATATAACGTCATGATTCATTTAAAATTGGAATTACTTTCTTACCTAATTTGACTGTATGTAATGTAATCAGGAAGTAGTTTCATTCAATTGTTTCCTGATTGTCAAGACAATACACTATAGAATCAAATTATAATGTAAAATAAAAATTCTAGATATTTAGATAAATTTATATCTATTTTTAAAATGATCTTCATATGTTAATGGAATTATTTTTGTCATTTTTTTTACTTTTCAGCAATTTATTCGTAATACAGGATTTATAATTACAACGATTATTTTAAATTATTATTTACAATGTTCATTTGAATCTTTCGAAAGTAAAAGAACAATTTATTCTTCAAAATGAAACTCTTTATATTTATCTGCACTGTGCTGCAACTCACATATGGCCAAAAGCAACAATATGCACCAATGCAATTTGCTGTTAAAGGCAAAGAAGTGAAATTGCCCTGTGCAGTTCCTACTGATGCAACCTTTTTGAAATGGAGATTCCAGAGGAACGGCACTGATTTTATAATAGATGCCGCTCAAGTTTTTCCAGGATACATTCCTAAAGTATTTGGATCTTTCGACACTCCAGCAGGTCGTTCTGAACTTGTTTCTGGAAATTTCATCATTCATGATGTTATAGTGATGGACGAAGGCGAATATTGGTGTGAAATAGCTACAGCAACTGCTCCGACAGCATACAGTCGAAAATACCCACTTCATGTTTATGTCACTCCTTTAGATCCTCAAGTTACTGCTATTGGTAATAACACATTAACAGAATATCAAAACACCACTGTTGCTAGGTGCTCAAGTCAGGCCGGGAAACCTGGTGCACGATTAACTTGGATGAATGGATCCCAGCCTATGAGTAAAGATATGGATATAGTTTACAAGGAAAATGCATTTGATAGCACCTTATCTGATGCAGCTCTTGACTTGGTTATTACTAACCCTACAAGATTTGACCATAATAGATCTTTTCAATGTGTTGTCGATCATCCTTCCTATCATATAAGTGGCACTGGTAATAAGATACTCAGCTATACAATTTTTGTTATGTATCATCCCATCAACATAAGGATCTGGGCAAATTTAACATCTCTCCATGTATTTTGTGAAGCTGAAGGTTACCCTGCACCTTCCTATTCATGGAAAATGCCTGGTGGATTATATGGCTTCACAGGTCCATCTCTCCTTATTCAGGATTTATGGGAATTACCAGGATACGATTACTTTGAATGCACTGCCAATAACGGTATTCCACCCAATGCAACTACAAGAGTGAAGGTTGATGATCTTCTATATCCAGACGGAAAACCTGGGTGGTTGGGTTTGGATTGGTGGGTGTGGGGAGCAATATTTGGCGGAATCGCTGCTTTTGTGCTAATCATTGTTGTTATTGTTTGTTGTTTGAGACATCGCAAAAAAGCATCTGGTAAAGCACACACTGCAAAATACACAAAACCACTCAAAAAGCCAATTGTTGAATCACAGGATTATGCACATACACCTCCTTCATCTCTTCAAGTAGACTTGAATTACAGACGTCCAGATGGAAGAGAGGATAGTTTTGACTCACGAACTCCGAGTCCAGTGAATGAACACAAACAAGCTCTTATAGATGGTGTTTTCAACAAAAGTATGGAGAATGTAACTTTGATACCAAGTGGGAATCTCAGACATTCTAGAGAAAATTTATATTCTGATAACCGAAAAAGCATGCATGCTTCAAGAGAACAGTTAGATCAGGTTGCAAGTCATATTCAAACATTGAACAAAAGCTGGGACCAATTATCAAAATCGAGACAACAATTAAACGATGCACAAGACGAGTTGCAAGATGTAAGTTCCAATTTGAGAAAATCACGAGAACAACTTTATCATTCCCAAGAAAGACTGAATGACACAGATCAGAATTATCCATATATAGATGACAACACAACTCGAAGCAATGATTATAATCGAAGGTATGATGATCAAGATGGAGGATATGGACGACAGGAACCACAAGGATATGATTACAGTGATCAGGGAACGTATGACCAACGTCAAGGATATGACGAAAACAGACAAGGATATGACGATAGACAAGGGCATGATACATATCGAGATGATCAGGACAGATATCAAGATAGATATTCTAGACACGATAACTATGATAGTTACGATCAAAATCCTCCTCGTTATGATGATTCTAGCTACGATCGTTATGATGACCGACAAGATTATAATAGATATGAAGATGATCGATATAGAAAAGATGACCGCTATCCACCTTCTCGAATTGTGTGATACCAATTATAATGGTAACAGCCAGAACAGGGCATCAGCAATGCTCCGTATTCATACGCTTAAGGTGCTAAAGGTTCGAAATGTTTTGTAGTCTTGTGTGGGAAATGCAGTTTTTATTTTGTTTTTAATAATAGTTCACAGTAGAATGATATTTAGCAACTCCAAAATTATCTGGGGTTTGTTTTTTGAACTTCAGCTTTTCTAATCTAAGGCTAACTTGTGGAATATGGAACAGTGATCGAGTTGACGCTACGAATATTCTTCGAGTGAATATTTATTTAAGAACATTTCAAGTTTTATCTTTTATGACCGAACTATGAATTCATCTCAGATGACAGAGCCTAGGGCTGTCCAAAATCGAATAATTTTTTGATTCGAATTGAATCGAATATTTTTGCCGAATCCAACTGAATAATCGAATATTATTGCGCAATCCAAAATCTGTCTCTATTATACAATAAACGCCTGCCCTTCGATGTTGTGGTGACGTATGTGCAGATACATCTTACTTACTGCTGGTATTTTGCAATACAATGTTTTCAGATTTATGAAAGGAGATCACAAGCTTGTATGAATTTTGTTCAATTTTAATAGGACATGTAAAGCCTGTAGATGCTATTTTAACCCTATTCACTAGGGTTATGTTTTTTTGTGTAATTTTCAGCAAAATAATACCAACCATTAATATAGATAAAACTGTTGCTCAAATTCAAAATTGCATTTAACAAATTCGAAGCTAGTTTGATGACTATAATATTGTCAGTGTAAAACAGCCATCTAAATTCAAGAGTGCAATTATTTGTCTTGGTATATAGATAAATAATACAGTATTGCCATTATAAGAAATTACAAATTCCATTGAAAGAAGGTATTGCCAGAAAACGTCCTGCAAAGGTGGTTTCCGCTTTATGTACCTAATCTTAGCGATTCGAAAATTAGCCGAAAAGCGATTCGAATAATTTGCGATTTGATTCGATTTCTAGTATTTGGTTCGCTTGGACAGCCCTACGGGGATAGCACACAAATAAAAATTTTACAAATAGCAGATTTTTTACTGAATCTGAACATATCAAGGAATGTGCGGCCATTACTGAAAAGTCGGGATGAGCCAACTCATTGATTTGGATTTTTTCGTATCCGAGTACAATTCTGGAACATGCTGTCTAAACCTTTATCTATAATGATTGGTGTTTAATAATTCTATTTTATGATTTTGTCTTCAAATACATATTATTGTTTTCTTATGTTTTTGTAGGATATTTTTGCTTGATCTTATTAAAACTCGACCTCGTAAATATGAGAAATTCTATCAGAAAATGAATTTTCAATTCACTAAATTTGAATTGTTTATCGAGAATTAGAAATTTTTAGAAATAAATGAGCAAATACAAATAAACATTAAACACATGCATGTCCGTCCGCAATCTTGTTCGAAATGCTACTGCAATTTCATTTATTTTTTGTTTTGTTCTTGGAACCAGAACCACAAAATACTTGCTAAAGTATGTCTGGTTTTGGCATTGGAGCAAAAGGGTTAATTTATTGTTATAATTCCATTTATGTATAATTATATTCATGATCATTGTCTGAGAATTTTGAACAAGAACTGGTTAATAACTATATATCATGTGAATCTGAATATTTTTAATCATTACCTTGTTTTTTATTTTTATATTATGTTGTGTTTGATGAACAGTCATTTTGCATCCCTTAGTTTTTAGTGTTATATATAAATGGTCATCTTAATTCTATTCAACTCAAATCTATTGGTGTGGTCTCATTGCCAAAATTCTACCAAGAATGCCTAGTATAGGGTTTTGTATTTAATATAAATAATATTAATATTTTATATAATATAGGGATTCACAGGGCCTCTATTGATGAACCCAACTAATAAAAATGGGCGCTCCTGAAGTATGTGCTCCAAGATGGCGCACAACCTGAACCCTAATCTTGTGCATATACTATGTTCAGGTTGTGTGCCATCTTGGTGCACATACGGTACTTCTGGAGCTCCGAAAAATGAATACATGAGCTGAATTAGGGAATTTTGTTGTGATATCAAACTATAGGAATATCTTTAGTTATTACTGTGCCATATTATGATAACTGATTGGTTTCATTGTGAAAATTTATTAGTGAGAATTCAACTGCTTCATTGTGCAAAACCGTTATTGCCTAATTTTATTAAATCCAAAGTAATATTAGTGACATGACTTGACTTTCTATTTTTACTATTGTCATTTCGAGATGCCTTGTCTACAATGATTTTTGGTACACCTTCTTTATCGAATATTTTCAATTGTTTGTGAAAGTAATTTCAGCTATGATTTTATTGACATATTACAGGTTTGCTATATATAAGCTGCAGCTAGATTTCACTTCGGTGTAGCATTCATTATTATGACATGTTCATTACGGAATAACTTTATTTTAAATTACATTGTCTGCTTTAGTTTTTATGAAATTAATCACAAGTTAAAATGTATCAACAGTTGCCTCAATTTCCTATTGAGCACCTTTATATCCATACCAATATCCATATTTATATTATGGACATGATATTCTTTTCTGCATTTCATTTTAAATATTACATGACTTATTCTGCGGCATGAGTGTGGGTTATTTTGGAGAGTCTCGTTCAGTTCATAAAATTTTGATGAACATGATACTATCTAGAACTCTAGATTGATTGGTTGACCAATTTTTTTTGGTATTTCGTATTTCAAATTCTGTTTCAAAATTTAAATAGGCTTAATTTTGTATATCATATTGTCACAAATTCTTATTGAAAAAATACACCAACATATAGAACACAGGAAAAGGCAATGGCCAGGCGTATCTAAAAAAATATTTTTTGGAAATGCTTTATCTCACATGAATCTTCAAAATTATTCTTTTTTCACGCATGGTATGGGCCATTGTGATTGTTGAATTTTCACAAGCAGCATGAAATAACACTTCTCCAACCTTATATTAGCTATGGGGTATCTCCAAATAAACCTAAAATTCTGATTATTCAGTTTGTATTCAATGATTTCAATCCTCCATTTTAGAAATGAATCGATTATTGTGCCGCACTCATTGTAATTAAAAATCAAGTAAAATTTTGCATGGATGCTTCTGAATTACTATGTTTTTTCATTTTTTTTGTATATCTTCTGCTTTTATTGCTATCTTTTGATTGTATGTGAATTTTCTACAAAATTGTTATATTTCTGATGGAAATAATTGATTTTGTTTAGAATATTTCAATAATTTTATTAATTAGCCTGCGATACAAGTGTCAATGCGTCTGTAATTATATTTTTTGCATTTTCGTCAAGTATTTGGTTTTTCATTTTTTTGAAGAAGTGACTCTGATGGGCAATATTATCCATTTTCAGCAAGAGAGCACTGCTCATGAGATGTGGATATGAAGGTGGACGGTGGCCTCATCATATGACTCTGACTGATGGTTATTAAGCGATAAAATTTTCAATTGGCTCTAATATTAATCTGACTCCAGCTCGGAACTCCGGCGCAATTCGATTTTAATAACAAAAGGCTTGGCGTAACCAAGATTTTTTTATTTCGCTCAGTGAACGTGAGATTTTTTAATTTCACAAAAACAATTTGACCTCGATTATTGGTGTTTAAATATAAGATTTCAAACTCTCCAGAGTTTAAAATAGGACTAACGACTCCAATGGAAACGTGCCAGGCTGCCTAACCCATTAAGGTGTATAAACCTCAGTCCTAAGTCCCGCGTCTTTCTCGTCGGAAGTACACGGGGTAGTGTAAATTTTCAAAGTGAGCAAAATTTGGAAGCCGGTAAAATCGTTTCAGGAGACTTATGTCTCTGTTTGTGTTGTGTATTTTTGTCGATAGCGCGTGGGAGGGCCTTGGCTCAAAAACGTAGCAAGCCCAAATTGCGAGAGGGAGGGGGGTCAAATTTTTCATTGTGTTATGACATAATATGAAGCTTACTCTTTTTGCTCCGAACAAAGCCGGCTAAAAGCAACCATTAATATATAACAATATTTTAAAGAAGATTGTTCGACATATTGCACTTTATAAATGGTAAACTAGCTAAAATGGACAGCACAAATGTCAAAAATTTAATAATTTTGTAAGTCCTGGATTACGCTGAACGCTTTCAAAATGACGTACTGTTAAAAGCGTCAGTCGTTGAACGTTTACATAGCATTTCAACGAACTTCGATACTGTTAGTTGAAAGGCCCCAGTCGTTAAATGTTTGGATAGCATTTCGCCCTAACTTCAACACTATTAGAAAGTATCACTCGTTGAACATTCAAAAAGCGTTTGGAACGGAAAAAAGTATTCGCGGCTCACTTACACTTAAAAATTGCTGCCTTTAAATAAAATAAATCATGTAATCGTTAATGTGTACTGAATGTCTTTTATACTTTGTAAACATGTATGCCTAAGAAATAAAGACAAAAGATCGACTCTTCTTCCTCATCTCTGCCCGATATTGTCTTGAACAACTAAAATCACCAATGTTCGCTAAACCCGGTTCGTAGAATAAATAAACTGAAGCCTGCAAAATCGCAGCAAAGAGTCTGCCTGTATTGTTACGTAACAATATAGGCAGACACTACATAACAGAGATATGCGACATAGAAAGGTAAAATTGATTCATATACTTCTTCTTCGTGCGTCAAGTTCGTTGCAGACATCGGCGATCATGACCTTCCATTACAATCTGTTGTCAGTTCTCCTAATACAGTGGTTCTTAAAGTATGGGTCGCGACGCAAACATGGGTCGCGGAAGGTTTAAAAATGGGTCGCGACAAGGTCGTCAATGCAAGGGCAATCTAAGAGGAGAAGGAAGAATTTTCAGCTTTCCCAATGTTTCAATTTAGCTTCTAAACTCTGGTATTTAAAAATAATGAAATATAAAATTTCATTCACGGAAAGAACTGTCTTGAGCTCATTGTTACATCACAATTCTGATATGCCAGTCACGTGTATTATTTTCATGGTATCGGTAACCATGCACGTCGCTTGTTGTTGTGTTGACTGCGTGGAATGTCGTCTTAGTGGAATAAAATAACCAAAAATGGGTGTATTTTTGGTAATGTAAATTGTAATAGACGACGCAATGAAAAAGCTCGCTTCTCGACATTAGATTATTCAATATCTAGAGAAAATGTGACTTCATCTCGAGGCACCATTTACCGCAAACGAAGCAGTGTGTGAACATTTGATGAGTAAAAAGTTTTATATTGCGAGAGATACCGAAGGCCAGCTAGGATGTCGTGTTTGCGACGGACAGCGGGCGCCTTTTCTGCTACAATTCGCGACAAGGCACTTGTGCGAGCGAGGATATTTGGCACTGAAGGTTATCAAAACTAAGCTCGCAATCGCCTCGATACCCGTGACAACTTGCGTATTGCGTTAAGTAAAATAGAGCTGTGTATTGAAGATATAATGAAAAGGAAATTTCAGTTTCATCAATCTCACTGGGTCAATGTACTGTTTCTAATAAATAGTTGTCTGTATTTGAGTCAAACTGTACTAACATTAAAAACACATTTTGCGTTATTTAGGATTGGGTCGCGAGTATTCATAAAACTCAGATTTGGGTCGCGCTCGAGAAAGTTTAAGAACCACTGTCTAATAGGTTTCATTGATGGAGGATTCTTTTCACGTTGCGTATAGTTATTCAGACTGTCTGTGTATTTTGTGCGTTTTCGTTCTCTGCTTTTGGTACCCCGGTTTTCTCCACATAGTATTTGCTATCCCATCTGCTCTGTTTATGCGCCCAAGAAACTGTAGTTGTCTTTTTCGGATGATTTTAATTAGAGATCTTTCGTATCTAGCCATTTCCATTACTTCTTCGATTGACTTCTTTTCCGTCCACGATATTCTTGTAATTCTGATATATATATATTTATATAGCCTACACAGCATTCAAAATAAGAGACAATAAATTATTTATGACAAATACCATATGTGAAACATTCAATGATATATTAGTTATATTTAAGAAAATTCTGTTAATTTCCAGGCGCCCTTAGCAAATATCGTTTGAACCCACTTCTTGTTTGAACCGAATAAAGTTTTTCAAATGAAACAAATTCTTTATCTAGCGCAGCAGTTCCCAAGAGTTTCTCACTGGGGGTCCAGTAACCCCAATGGGGTCTGCAAAATGAAGTAAAATAGAAATTGTAGGTTATATAACCAATTTTAAACTTATGAATGTCTATAATTTAGCTTTTTTCCTGACGCATCAGATGTTTTCTAAATTGCATTTGTAACATTACTTGATTTTCCAGACCCAAAGCGGATAAACATTACATTCTGTAATAGGAAATGTCTATCACATATATACATTTTGATTTTATGTATATCGACTATAATGCTACTATGACAATATAGGTACCCCCAGCCATCGACTTCCTTTTCCATTCCAGTAATAACAGACAATCAGCATTCAATAATTGAAAATATTAGGGTCGCTAATATACTTTTCTCCACTCATAGATTTTGAAGCATGGTTGTAAATATGGGCTTGCTTTCGTTGTTTCGTCAGAAACTCTCTTTTTTTCAACATTCTTCTATTTTCTTCTATATATAACAAATACTAAAAACCAATTGAACTTTGGCCTTAATTTACCAATTTTACATTTGTATTGATAAAACCGACCAGCAACGGCCCGCAGACACATTCCGTGCGCCGCGCAGAACAATTTTAGCGTGCACACAGATTGGCAGATATTTGTATTCATTGGCAGAACATTTTTGAGTTAATTTTAAACTATTCCAATTTGAAATAGCCCTTTTACTAATCCTGATGTCGAGATTGATGTTTGTTAAAATCATGGTATTTCAATGCTGTATTTATAAACGTCAAGACGGTGCCAATATGGGAATGACACTCCTGTGATTTGTACAAAGAGAATGAATTGTCTTGTGCAGACAGGACCAAATCGATGAGATGAGTCGCGCTTTTATCTAAACTTTGTGCCTTAAGCTCGCGTCAAGTAACCCCTCATTTAAAGGGACGTTTTGTGCCTTCATTTTAGTAAAACACTCAGCTATTTTCAAGCGTTGGCCATGTGACAGCAGTAACGAACCGCAGAGCTGACTTAGCGACACGCGATCTGTTTTTTTAGCTGGGTCCGGAGTCCCAACTTAGACAACTTGGTGATAGCACCAGGCTTGCTCACTCTACAAATAATAAAATTAGTCAAATATAACATCTCATCATACAATGGGTGTAATAAAAAAGGTGACGGATGTAAAGTGGGGGGAACGTATTACCTTACCCACAACAACGATGAATACAGTGTCGATACTGATCTATGCTATGAAAAGTGACATCACCATTATTAAGGCTATCGATTCATTCATCTGTGATACAACCAATGAGTTTATATTATTCGGTATACTCTGACACACTATATTCAATTTCATATTTTTGACATAATTGTTAAGTTGTTCAACTCCTTTAGAATACCAAGATTGAATGAAAAACGGGTTTCTCCTATAAACCATCTTCCTGCTGTACCATAGTGGTTGATTAAAGCAATTTAAGTTATTACAGTCGAATAGAGTTTTCTTGCAAAAATACCAGTTTTTTCAAACATTTCTCAGTGAGCAAAATGGAACATTTTTTTATAAAATATGAATTTCAATTTAATCCACCTTTGAGCATAGGTACCAATAAATTACCTAAATAATTCAGTTCTATCTGTTTCCAAGAGGGATTTTTTTCATCTGTTACTAAAATTTTGAGCCATTTGACTTTTTGTGCAATACTAAAATTATGCGATTTTATCATATTTATCCATTCATTGTCAGCAATACGCCAATCGATTAAAATGCGTTAAAACACTAATATTGGACACCAAGTGTACATATAGATCGTTTTGCTATTATATTTTTGTTCTCGTAACATATTTGATATGATCTCTTGGATACAGCTTGATCATGGCAGTGATCGATACTATATTCAAACAGGCGTCAATTAGGCGATTTGAACAAGTAAAATATACATTCCCGGGACAAATATCGGGGACCAGGGTAAATAGGCCCAATTTTTTCCAAGTCAAATCGTCAAAATTTTGTAAAGACTTCATTTAAAAATGTGAACAACTTTTCATTCAGTTAGTACTCTACATTTAAATCATATTGGGCCATAAGAAACAATGAGCAGTGGTAGTCAAACGACTCTATCGATACTCGAATCGGTAGTCGACCAAATAATTGCAATTAAAAATGCTGTGGTGCTCCTACCGAAATTCGTTGCTCGAACACCCGAGCGCGACTACGAGTGAGGTGACGTAACCAAAACCGCGCAACTTGGCTGCCTATTGGTCATTCACCAAGAGAGCGATGCCCAAATACATTGGCACAAACTATGCAATATATCACAGTAGATCACCGGTACGACTAACTCGACAGCGGAACCGTCACAATGTGCGCTATTTTTGTTAATACTTATCGATTTTAATCGGTAAGTATGTTGATAGGTATTTGTCTGTCTGTCTGTTTGTTTGTCTGTTAGATGCACGCGATATCTAACGAAAGCGAGATTGAATCTGCAGATTTTGCATGTGCATTCATCATATGTCGTACCAGAAGCCTATTGATTTTAGATGAATTATGTCGTATAGTTAGCGAGTTATTAATTAATTAGTGATGAGACACAAGGTGTCACTATGGAGTAAGAGGGCTGTTTTGGGGGATCGCCTAACTTTCGATCGATAAGTCTTCGGTCTCTGACCGATATTCTCGTTATTATGTTCGACTACCGAGGTATGACTACTTGAACAACTGTCCCGCTATTGTAGTTGGTGGTAGCTGCTACATCAACAAATAGATTCAGGCAGTAAAACCTAGAACGAACCTTATATTCAAAGATGTGAAATTATATGCCTCGAGGCGGTGATATTTTATGTGCGGAAAATGCAGTTCTTGATTTTGTATTCAGGTTATGTTCATTTCAATTTCTTAATGAATGCTGTTGCTGATAAATACTACTGAATGTTTATGTAATTCACTCTTTACCATAGCCTCGGGCACATAAGCCTTCCGTGGTTTACAGGTTGTATGCTTTGTTGAGTCGTCGAATGGATTTTTATTACTTTTCCAATTTTCGTAATTTATTTTTCAGCAAATTTATCAATAGTAACAAGATTTCCTCCACTGAGTACTCGAAAGTGTCTCTGCAGTTTAAGATATATATACATAAGGGCTGAACCATCTTACTTTTACATTAATATAAAAACCAGATCGACTTGCATCGTTCATTCTTTAACCTATTAAGTTAATGGGAATTAACTTTTCACTTGGTTATCTCTCTACGCTTGAACTATGAATACTTTTTTGTCATTGCTATGAATTGCTTGTCTGAGATTTTATAATTAAGGTAAGTAATAAAAACATCCCAATATATCATTTTATGGATATGAAAGAGTTGAGAGCGCTGATTCACGATTAATTTTTCTGGTGTTACAGACAACAATTGAGGAAACATGATGATATATTTAGTTATTAAACTAAGTAGTATATTTTTCATGATTGCTATCGTGGATTCGGAAACTTTCCTGTGCAAACCGCCCCAGAATGCGTGAACGGGAACTGCAATCTATCACCAGTACACTGGACAAATCGGAAACTTAACCTTGACGAATATTTGCGCAAAAAAGAGTTTCCCATTACCTGCGAAGCTGAGAGAGATGAAATTAAGCAGATGAAAGACACTATATTGGAATTTGAGATGAAACTGATTGAATTTGAAAAAGGTTAGGTGTTATTTTATTTTTTTGCTATCTGTAGAAGGGGAAGGAATTAATGCTCAGGGTCGAGTATTGAACAAGACCGTTCAATCTTATGGTGTAACGCATCTTTCGACTGTTTGGCAGTCCATGTCGGATTTGGGTATAGTAAATGGTTCAATATTAATCGACCAATCAGTTATACTCACTCATAATCAACGACCAAGAGATGAAACGTGAAAATTAAGTGCGCTACCGTCGAGAATAATGTATGATCGAGACGAAAAGCAAGGTTATAGAATGAATCTTAGCGTGTTTAGATTAGACATATAATGAAGAGAAGTAAAGGTAGGGGCAAGTTATGCTTAAAATTGTCGCCTGCAACTTTTCATATTTTGAAATAGAATACTATATAAAGCAGTAAATATTTATATCCCCGATTTAATTAAGGAAACTGACATCACGTAGAAGTGACTTTTGTTGATGGAGTTGTTTTGTACGAAATATATACAAGCTTTATAAAAACTAATCTTTTTCTCTATAGATTCATTGATATAAAAACTCCTCATTCCAAAGAATATATCAAATGTTGAACTTTTGCTGCATTATCAATGCCTCTACATTCATTTACAGAAATAAAGCTGCTGAAGAAAACATCAACAGCTCAAAAGGAAGATGATATTGTTCAAAATGAAACCAAAATGGATTTCAATTAAAAGGAATTGCAAAATCAGAAAAGTATAGTTTCTATTTGTGAAATCATGTTTAAGAACAAACGTTGGATTATTTGCCAACTTAATTACGTTATAAAATAACGTTTTGACAGACGGCCATGATTTCGGAACAGTTATTCTGATCTATCCTTATATTGTTAGTATCACGTATTTGAAAATGCAAATTTCTTTTTATAAAACAACTTTTGCTCTAGGAATGGTCTCGTGCATTCACTAAGACGCAGAGGAGACTGGTTCCGAGCGAAGTTGAGGCAACCAAAAAAGTGCCAAGATCTGGAGTATAAAAATGTATATATAGCGATAAATTAGGCGTTATCAAATACCGATTGGAGAGAGACTGGAAGCAGTTAAGGTCTATAACAGGGGTTCCCAAGCTTTTTTCATAACGACCCCAATAACAACTTTCAAGTGTCCAGTGCGACCCCAATATATATATTTTTCATGAAACTTTGGAGCTTTTTTCACTGGACTTTTGAGATTGGTCATGTGGTGATATTAAGTAAACTAAGCTAAAACCAAACAGTGATGTCGCAGTAAGCACCTACATTTTCTATAGCATAAGCATATAGCGCGATGCCTATGGGCCTGTTTTACAGTAAGCCATGGTACAAGCTGCTAAATTTAACATGATTTATCAAATCTTAGATGTTTTGTACATTCATCCTCCACCATACCTCAGCGACCCCACCGACCCCATGACCTGTTTGCGACCCCACCTACTTATCACTCCGACCCAATTTGGGCTCGCGACCCCTGATTTGGGAACCCCTGGTCTATAAGATATCTTAAATTTATACGATATCATGTTTTATAACTTCTCAGGATGTCAACCTCTACTAAGTAATAGCATTCCGTATGGAAAAATAAGTTGTACTGATTCCAATCGCCAAGGGTCTTATTGTATGGTTGAATGTCTGCAGAACCATGTCATTCAGGTATGCCAGCTATTACCTCTCACCAATATCGATATACCGTTCAAAACTATCATAATGTATTCCAATTTAGTTATTCTATATCAAGCAAGTATTAAGCGGTGCGCGGGGAGAAAATACAAAAATTCGGGTACTCCTGAAGTATGCGCACCAAAATGTCGCACAACCTGAACCATAGCCGGGTACACAACCTGAGTTCAGGTTGTGCGCCATTTTGGTGCGCATACTTCAGGAGGTCCAAAATTTGTTTACCTAAATCACAAACTATTTTCTGAGCTAATAATCAATAAATTAGTGAATATTATGATCAATTTGTTTGTAGAAATGTGTGCATATCCTCTACATCAGTGATTTTCAACTTTTTTGGTCCACGGAACAATTTTAATATAAAAAATTTATGATTTTTCAAAAATAAAAGATCTCATTAACTAATAATTATCTCGATTCCTGTTACGATCGATTTTACATAGAATTTAAATAAAGAAAATACCAATAGCCTATGACTCTAAAATAGATGGAAAAAGAGCTAACAATTTCACATTCATGGATAGAGTTAAAGTACAAATAAGGGTTTTAAACGATGACCGCTAAATGTTAAAATACCATTGACAGTTATCTGATCCTGGCTAGTAGTAGCTAGAAATAAAAATTCCATTTCAGTTTTTTTTTTATTTTATCTTCGCGCGTTCTCAGTACCTGGCATTGTTTTAGTATTTTTATGAATGAATTTGAATTTGAAAGGGCGTTCCCAAATTTCTCGTGGAATTAGTTTGTTACCCGAGGATCTGATCATTATTAAAAATCTTCTTAATTAAAATAAATTACTTGTAAATTAGAACACATCGAATAAAGTTGCAGCGATGAAGTCAAGCAAACAAGTCCATCTCTTTTCACAGGGAAAAACTAATTTTGTTTGTGGAGATAACTTCAGTTGGTCTCCTAATATACCAAGCTGCGTTTGCGAAAAGTGTAAAACAGGCGAATATTGTGAATCATCAACATCTTGGAATGTTTTACAACAACAGATAATAAGAAGAAGTGAGAACGAATTATTGTCGGTAAGGAAGTGCTGTATTACTGGAATTTGAATAAGATTTTATTAATTCTCTGAAGTGTTTATTAAGATACATAAAACGATAAAACCTACAAATTGGAATACACAGTATAACGTAATCTTTATCGTTACCCGAGTCGGAGCATTTCAAATTTCATGCATACCAGGGTATACCAATTTCACGAAGTTAAATTGAACGTTGTCTTTTTTTATATTGTCTGTAATTATATACTTTCAAAACTATTTAAACGATTCAAAAGGCTCAAAATATTTTGACTAACATAATAAGCGGCTATCAATTAGGTTTCCATCTTTCCCAGTGTTTTTTTTTTCTCGGGGAATCAACACTGGGTCTTTAATTGTTCATCTTCTACGTTAATTAGCATAAAGCCTTAGCAATACGAAGTAGTACCGGTATATATAAAATATTTTAGACTTAGAGTACCGATAGTCATCATCATCAATAAACTCGTGGCTTCGCTGAACACCAGATCGATGAAATGCGATCGCGGAACCGCCCCACTATGCCTAATTTTGATGACGTTATCACGCAAAACTTCAGAGTGAAAATGAATCTTATGAAACCCGCAGAATGTTTGGAAATGAATAAAGTAATACCGTTCGAGCGATAACAACACTCTTTAACCACTGAAAAGTCATTGGTATAGTAGGTGAAATTGTTTCTACAAAATTCATCGTTGAAAATTCAGGAACAATTATTACTTTTTACGATATCAATTCGAATTAGGGTAAATTTAGAGTTCATGTTAGTGATGTCACTATAAGATATCTTGGTATAATTATCGACGGTTAATTTTTATGGCATGCTCATATAGATTACCTGTATAGCAGGTCATATAGCTCTTTTTTCTTTTAGATAAATTATGCCGGTCATCAAATACAGTGTCGTTCGTCACAAGGATTATTCTTCAGGGATATATTTGAATGTATCGATGCTGAAACTGGTCAATCTGCTAAATGCTATATCACAACTAAATCAACCACCATAAAAGCAGTGGCAAAATTATTCAGACAAATGATGAAGTAACAAATATACCCGGAGCCATGTGACGTTTCAAATTTGCCGACAGATTGCTAATGCTGATGTATATCGTTTGGAATACAAATTTCGAAATAGTCTTGTAAATATATGAGCTAAACAAACACTATAAATATTAGATGCTGAACGTGAACATGCTTAACGAAGGTATTGACTGAGAAAATGCTTGGTTGAAAAACTTTTTAAAGACAAAGCATCAAATGATTTATATTTACCAAAATTTCTAAATAATTTTTTTTTGGTTTTTCACTGCAAAACGATTAGTAATTACGGCTATTAGTAATTTCCAACTCATCACCAACATTTTTTTTTGTCTCAACTAAAATCGACTTACAATAAAAAAAATGTATGTATTTCGGAATTTGTCTTGCTTTTAGTTGAAATTGGCTTGAGTGAAACCCGTAACTTTTTATAATTGGCCAAGCATATACAGCTTGAAATCAATGTTGGGTAGCTCTGAGACCAGAATGTTTCCTCCGAATGGCGCAGAAGAAACGAGTATGAAATCAGGAAGATCCTTTTGTCTCACTTTTGTTAGGTGTTAACATACCCTAAAAGAACTTCATACCAAAGAAAGCGGTTACACGTGGCAAAGGTGACATTATATTAAAGAAACAGGTTGAATTGTAACAGAAGAGATTTGGTAAAAGAAGGGGACATTCATCTCCTCTAAACTGCGAAGATATGGAACCGATTCTGCCTCTATGTGCACAGTCAATCTGTCATATATTGAATTTTTAATTTATTTTCTTAAGATAGCACTATTTTATACTATTTTTAACTCACTTCAACACGAAGTTTTCAAAAATAATCGGGTAGCGATATTGTCGTGGTTGGGTTTGATGTAGGGGCGAAAAACTAAATCCAAATTTCATGTACACAATTGGAGATTGTTGAGTCGTTAGAAGGGTATTACTTATTTTTCACATTCCTTCCTGAAGTTTAAGTGGCCCGATCTTTCAATCAATTTTTTTTTTCATTTCTATCCATGGGAACACTGTTTTGACATTTGACCTCCGTGTCTACATAATTTAGCTTTGCTCTCTTGTTATTTTATATCAAAATGTTCTCTATAATATATATAATAACTTGTATTCGTTCTGCACTTTGCAAAAATGAAGTAAATTATTTCAATGTACATGTTTATTGAGAATACATATTAGCTTTAGTCAGGCTTACTATATCTAAATGATATAAAGAACACAAGAAAACGTAGAAAACACACAATATAATATGCCAATGCTACTACAATACTAGACTATATTCAGATAACATTCCTCTATTTTCTACCGAGACTACATCTCACTGAAAGTTGGATTATCGTGAGCACCTTTTGCATCTACACCGTAAGTCGTGCTGAAAGAAGGCCCTGTAAAGTTGGACCTCAGCCTTATATACCAAGGCGGTCTCGATTGATTTGTTTCTTCCTTGTTTTTCTCATAATGAGGGTGATCTGGCTGCAGCTGGGGTGTGGTCAAGAATATCCATTTCTGAAAATATTTATTTACAAGTTCAAAATTATTTTTGCATTTGCTATGAAAATTGAATTCAAGTTACAGTATATACAGGGCTTCGTAATACATTGATTGACTTTAACGCATTATATTGTGATGGATACAAATCGTTGAATGTGAATAATACTACGGTCCACAGGCATTGCAAAAGACAAAATTTGATAATTGTAAAGATTGTAAACTATCACTAGAAATAAATTTAGCGATACATATTTATTTGATGCTTATGAGGTTGTTGATTAGTTTTGTCAAAACAACTAAGCCTATTAAAACTATTCAAAGAGCCATTATTTCTTGTTGTATATAGCATACATACCTCTTGTGCAGTCCCCGGAGTTTTAATCAGTATGTAAATTGCGTACACAGGTACGTTGATCATGGAACTGAGAGCTAAAATCCATCCGATTCCCTCTCCCCAAGGAGGGTAGACGTACGTCTTGTTGTATACCAAAGGTTCGAACTCGATCATGGCGTAGAGGAAAGTTCCCTGGAAATAATTTTAAATAAAAATAAAGTAATATTCAAGTTTTACCATATATGAGAATTACTCAGATTACTATCTGTGACTATCGTATTTCTCACTTCAGTTGTAGTCAGTAATTACGGCTTTTGTATTTGAGATAAGATGAAAGCTACACATATTTATACAAATTTACGTATATTTTGCCAACATTCCCACGGTATTTATAACTACGGTACTTGGTAAACGGCAATATAATTGCTCTATTCTTCTTACCGTTGTCAGGATTGGAGTAAATATCAACCAGAAATATTTGATGATTGGTATCGGCCGATATCTGATCATGTCCGCTATGTTTCCCCACATTTTCTCAGCGCCTGTAGCATAATGATGCGTCATTACTTATGACTTACATTACAAGTTACTAAAGCTAGTGATTAATCGAAAGTCATTTTAAATCAACAACTTGAAAATGGCCTACATATTAGCTTTGTTCCCTTGTATATTACATTAAATTTATTGCAATTTCATGGAGAATAAGCATTTAATAGTATATTGAAATAGAACGACATAACTCACCGTAAATGTATGCGATTGTCACCGACTCGAAAAATGCCACCCAAAGTAAGCACACTCCACTGGCGGCGTAATAGTCGAATAGTTGGAAGACGTACATTCCACCCTAAACAATATTTTGTTGTAATTTGCGAATAGCTCAGAGCCTTACTGACAGCAAGTAGGAAATTATTTTTCTTACCTCGGTCACCATAAACAGTCCGATTAAATATGAAACCAAGCAGGTGATTCCAATGAATATTTCTCTTCTTTTTCCTTTTCGAAGAAATCCCGGGAAAAGGTCGACGACGGATGTTATAAAACCTTCCATTTCTACAAACTAAAGCAAATGATTACGATATATATGTATATATAAACAGAAAATGAAAATGTACTGAGATAGCTACTGTAAGCATACCTCTCAGGGTGTACCGAAATTGGCTTTCCTTTTTTTCGGCACTAAATCTCAGAGTAATAAAGGTGTGTGCGTTGCCGTTTTATAGTTCATTTAGTAGTTCGCGGTGTTTATCGCAATGAACAACGAGTAGTAAGGATGTTTGTCCTATAAACTGGATATTTAAACATACCTGACTATCCAGTCCAAGAAGCAGGAGCATGACGAAAAATAAGATTGCCCACAAAGTTGAAAGTGGCATTAGTGTCACGGCTTTTGGATAGGCAATGAAGGCTAGACCAGGACCTGAAATTTTTTTAAAATGGGAATTAGATTTAAATGATAAATAAGTACATCCTGTCTTACTTCTACTCACCAGATGAAGCAACATCTTTAATATCAACCCCTTGTTCTGTTGCCATAAATCCAAGAACGCTGAAAATAGCAAAACCGCTGATGAAACTTGTACCGGAATTTAATAGGCTGAGTGCAATGCAGTCCTGTATTGAATATAAAGTTCAAGAGAATCAATAACATTTAAATAGAAGTCTTCAATAATCTTAAAACCAAACGTACCAGATAGCAATTATTGTGATATTTGTTGTAGCTGCCGAGTGATCCCATAGCACCAAGACAAATTGCGTAGGAGAAGAAAATTTGTGTACCGGCGTCCAACCACACCTGTAAATCAATCATATAGATAGATTATTTAACGATGCGATGGGAAACACTCTGTAGTTAGAAATCAGTCGTATTGATGGAGGGTGATTGTCACATCGAGTTTTGAGTCAAGTCAAGTCGATTTCATGCACTCCGTTACTGCAATATGTTGTTTTGAAAATCAAAGTATGATTAATCATGTATCCGACGATATTTACATCGTTATAAAAGCCTATTGCTAGTATTGTCGCAACAAGCTAGTGGATTTTCTGTTTTTCAACATAACATCAGTCGCTGTGATAAATCGTACTTACTACTACTACTTACTAGCAGATTTTCTCTGTATTTCAAAGAATACAATACAACATTGATTGCAGTGGTAAATCGTTCTTAACCTGATTTTTTACGATATTTCAAAGAATCGACCACGTTTCAAGTCCCTCTGTTGGTCAGTCAAGATCGAGAAATTTCGCTCAAGTGAATCGAGTCTCTTATAGTCCTTGGAAAACGAGACTTGAATCGTGGCTCCTGGGCACTGCACAAATTGAGCCTTCCTAGTTCTAGTTATAAGTGAATAAGAAATAGCAACCACAATATGAAAACTGAGTAGGATTGTCAAAAAATGAAAGACGTTTTGTTATTGTTTCTTTCTGGCCGCGATATCTTTCACAGGAATCTAAGATTATCAGGCACCAAAGAAATATTTACAAAGGTATGCTATAAGCTGCATAGTTGGCGGTATAAAGTAAGCGTGCTGTACCTGGGGATCACTGAGTCTTGCTATATCCGGAGTTAGATAGAATCGAATACCTAACTCTGCACCAGGCAAAGTTACTCCTCTTATTAGAAGCACTATAAGCATGAGAAAGGGAAACGTAGCTGTGAAGTAAACAACCTGAAAATATATTTAAGCAAGTTAATCACATGACTGTTTTGTTATATATATGTCTCATTTCTGTACATGAACTGTAGAAATAACAACTACCCATTGAGCTTTAAGTAAATCACTTGTGGTTTGCATAGTAACGCCTATATTAGCACTTATGCTTGAAATGTGATTGAAAGTTTAGTATGTGATTTTTATATTGTCAAAATTTTATTCTATAATGAGGAAGTAGAGATCTTACTTTTCCAGTAGATTTGATGCCTTTCCATATGCAAAAATAGCAAACAACCCAAACAAGCAAGAGACATAATGCCAGTTCCCATCTTATTGATCCAACTTCGTCTAATCCACCGGATAATCCCAGCACTCGATTTCTTAATTTAAAACTCTTATTAACTTGAGATTAATTTACCAATTTCAACTCAGTTTCTTTGTTGAGCTCTGTTGTAGTTTTTAAAAATAGTTTTTTATGTGTAATGTAGCAAACGATGTTGTGAATAAATAAAATCCGGAATTCTATAATAGTATGTCATTTATTAATAATCTTTTTTCAGTGTGTTGTAATTTAGCCAAAAACAGTACATTTTACAGTTCAAACATATACGTTCTCATTTTTGAAATATAATGTATTCGTCGACTGATACTTACTCCCAATACTCCGTTTCTGGTCTTGTATAACTTCCGTTACATTTCGTAAAGTTTATATAATAACCGAGATAGGGCATTTCTGTTGTGTTAATGGTAATAGGCAATGCCGTGGTAATGGGTGTCATCGCCGTAGTGGTGTCTTCTTTTGGTAACAAATATTCCGTGTAATTTATGTATTTTAAATCGATTTTGAAATTTTGCACGCAACAATCCGTGTTCCAGTATTGCCCACAAAGAGCCCAGGGAAGGGTTGCTGTAAAACTCTGGAAAAGATAGAAAACTGCCCATGCCAGAATAATGATGTAGTAGATGTTGAGCAACGTAACGATAACCAGAGATGCGTATCCGATTCCTGAATTAAAAAAAAAAGATTTTCCGTTAAGTTGTTTTCGTCATCCGTCTATGTCACAAACATTTCTTTCCTTATGACAAACAACAAGTGACGCACTCTCGTCAGCGACATGTAACAATATTTGATGCCTCGAAGGGTTGGAAGGGTTTTAAGAGTAAGTGTAATAGCTGTTATGAATGAAGGCACGAACGTGACAAACTGGAACGGGTAACAAAGATTATATTGACATCGCAAATTTTCACAACCGGTATGAAAATATCTATTTCGAAAATATAAGTCCAAAACAGACATCATTGGATTGGATACTAACTTCAATCAATGTAAGTAAAAGGAGATGTATGAGGGTTGACAACACAAAAACAACTGGGGTGAATTGGAGCGTACAAGGAAAGCACCAGCTGCAAGTCGTGATATGTTTTCATGTTTTCTTTTTTTGCGATAGAAACCGCACCCTTTCTCTCTTTTTATTCCGGCTGTATTTCAACATATTTCGTTATGCTACATATACATTTTGGGCTACAACTCGAAATTTCATTGCCTCCATATTGCACAGCAGAATTACAAATGTATGCCGGTCGTGTATGTATACCTACATGATTCAATAATATATATATCTTTTGTTGCTTTGCATTGAAAGGGGGCTATGAAATATTTTATGTAGTCACTATGATCCGTTGGAAAATCCACTCGAAAATATTTTAAAATAGTAGAAACATGGCTTTATATTTTTATTTTTCACGAAAGATAAGTGATTGGGAAAACTCCTGGATAAGAAAGGAGGCTGGCCGTCTCTTCCAGAAATCTACGCATATCTAGTTTGTTACAATGCTCGATATTTCAGAAAAAATAAATTGAAATACTCGAAGACACAAATTATATTCTCAGTTCACCTTTGCCAATTGGCACAAGTTTCCATGCGGTCACACCTCCCTCTGATGTATATTGCCCAAGTGCAACTTCCAAGAAAAATATTGGGATTCCGCCAATCACCATGAAAATCAAATATGGAATGAGGAAAGCTCCTGGATGACAGAAATTTAAGAAAATAAAATGTATAAATATTTTGATAATATGCAAAGATGATATGGGCGGATTTAATTCCGTATTAAACCATAGCATTTTTACTCCATAAATAAGACTTTTCCTTTTAAGTTGTTTGCTATGCTATACAAAATCTCTAAAGTACAATTGCGCAAAAAATATAAAGTATTGAACAAAGCGTCGACGGTGTTCTGAAATTTTGTATTGTGTATCCATTGTATTGATTGCAATAAATAACAAAAATATGTCACCTCCTCCATTTTTGTAACATAAATAGGGAAACCTCCAGACGTTTCCAAGCCCGACGAATCCCCCAGCGACCGACAGCAGAAAGTCAGTTTTTCTTGCCCATTTTTCTCTGACGATTGGTTTCGAAATGTCGACTGCTTTTACATCTGACGTAGTAGCTTCGTTAGACATAGCTAACTTGTTTTACATTAGAATATTATGCACTGATGTAAGACAAAATGATCATATTATGTCAAGTCCGTGTTGCTGAAGAATCGCTACTATTTACCCTTATGAAGTTTTTCTTGTAACTGCATTTCAATTCGTGTTGTTGTCGATGATGGGAAGATTGTAAACCTTTACCTGCTGACTCACTTTTCAAAAGTAAATATTTCCTAACATTATTTAGTTAGATCTGTTTCTGTATTCTCCAAATTTTTCTAAAGATGGTTCTGAAATATGATCACAACTTTCTCACGTCTTTTATTTATTTACATCGAGAATACTTATTTGTTATTCAGTTGTTTCTGGGCTTTCTACATTATGATACAAAGAAATTGTATATCATAGTGAACTTGAATAGCATGATATAAAGAATACACACTAACTATAAGTTTTGAGACTGAAATTTTATCTTCCGAATTTACACTTTGCTTGTAATTGTTACACTTTGCTTAACATCTGAAATCTTAAATTTGTTTTAATCAGGGTAAACACAGTGACCCACATTCAAATCCATATGAACTGTCAAACACCAGTGCTTCTGGTTTAGGATTTTTTAAAGTTACTTGCAAACTTCTATTCTAAATTTTATGAATAAATAAATAATTGTACACAAATCAACTTTTTTTAAGCGGCTTGGTATTTGATTTTGTAAAATAATTCCCTTTAAAAATTTAAAGTCGCTCGGCTTATGCCTTTGCAGCAAAATTAGCTCTCCTTAGCGCTTCATGGAAATCGAAAACAAAAATATTTATTTGAGCTATTCCTAAAAAAGGTGCGCTCAGATGATGATTTTTTTGTTCTCAGTCACTCATGCATTCAGAGCACCTTGTTTATACATTCAATCTTTTTCAGTTCTGTATAGAAACAAAGTTGGCCCATATATAAGATCTGTACTATTAAACTCACCAAATTAGTCTAGCCCCTAACGAAAAAACATTGTTAAACTCTGCGGCAATCTTAAACATGCGTGAATCAGAAGCACGAAGCAAAATAACTTTAAATTTTGAAAAAACCCTGTTTGTACAGACTAACCGATGTAAAGATTTCAGATGCACGAACAAAAGCAAATCCCTTTCTTTGAAATTTATTTAACTTCGATGTCATACATCATCATTACTGACTTTTGAGTGATCGTTTTTCAATAATAGTAGAATACATATAAAAGTGTATCTGACAGAATGGTAAACATATCATAAACGACATTTTGAACTTCGCTATTATGTTACAAATTTGCTAACCTGTTGCAACAAAAATCGTGACTGTGAATATATTGTTGATATGGACGTAGACGAATCCTCGACAAGATGTCATAAAATACCAAGTCGTGACATTTGGACAAAGGTAAAATATTTTACAAAGCCACAAAGTCTAATTTTGAGTATTGTAAAGTTAAAATAAAGTTTTGCATTTCAATAAGACAACGATAGGAATCCTAGAAAGGTATCATTTGATAGACGGACACCATTCTATTATTGACAATTTTTCACGTCCTCAAGGACGGGTATGGCAGTAGAGCAATTCGGCATTTTATGCCAGCGCTGAATATAAAACTATATATATAAGCATGAATAAAATGTTTATTTAATATCGGTTATATTTAAATTGATAATAAGTGTAACTAATATAAACTATTTTATGTGCTGTGGCTATTTTCTATCCTATTTTCGGTAGGAAATTCTTTAGGATTTGTAATATTTTATTGTGGTATTCTGGTTCAAGAAGTTTAACGGTCGATAAATTACTAATTTACTTTATTATCTTTGCCAATGTAATATTCAATTTCTATGCTAATATATTTTGTAGGATCCAGACAAAAGTGATATATTTCATAATTGTATCCGGACCAACAAATTTTCTGTCCATTAACTAAAAGCTTATATGAAAATCTTTCTGGGTCTCATATTTAAAATAAATGGAGCAAATAAACAGCGTTAAATATTTTTAGCTCGTAAATATTCTATCCTACATTTTGACAAAATATTTGTTTTGTTAAATAAACACAAAATCCTAATCTGAAACTAACTCACTGGCTCTGGTGTAAGATTCAATGTTTGTGGTTCCTGATGTACCCTGCACATCGGATCTTACTTACTGTCCCGAGAAATGGAATTTGTCAAGCAACACCAAATGTTAAATTTTAAACATCCATGATCTACCACACAATAAACGTTGTGTACACAATTCTACCGAGTCTAACGGTACGAAACCACTTCTTCATAGTTTTCCGCTATTTGAGCTTATCCTGGTATTTGGAGAGCTGATTTTAGTGGTTTTTGATTTTTATGAAATTTATGATGGTTAGAAAAGAGCTTTTCTTACCTAATCAACCATGTCAGTTTAATCTTTGCACATAAGTAGGCTTCATTTTTGGTCTAATGGGGATTACCATATTTTAAGTCTGGATCTTATAACTTAGCAATTCTGACAAAAGTTGCTTCGCTGTAATATATGAATCCCCTGTAAAGCAACCCAGGAATTGCGTTGAGATATAACGGTCCAAATAAATTTTCTCTTTTGTAGGGCGAGGAAACAACGTGAAACTATTTTATTTCCATCAGTAATCGATAAGTGTAGTTTCCATATTATGTATCGACTTTCTAATAAACAGTTGTATCAAATATCTATATGCCGGAAAAAACAATTTTATGTCGATGACAGTGTTCAAGAAAAAAATATTTATTAAAAGTGTAACGTGTGAACGATTTTTTTTATTTCTCTCGCAGAATTAAATTGACTCATCGATAAGGGCGAAAGTAAAACTACTTTTAACTTTTACTAAAATAATAATTTATGAAAGACAAGATCCGATAATGACCAGCCATTACTAGTAAACAACAAACATCGTGTTAAAGGACTTAGACTTTTATTGATAGTATCTACTCGTATATATATCTTGCACGCACATATGTAATTATTCCAAAAACAGAAATGATCAAAGGTAAGTGATATATATAATTTTCAATGGCAAATTGTTCGGGTATACGTAACTCATGATTTTGCATATTTAATCTTGCACACATCAACAATATTATTACAAGTTAGAGAAGCTACGGCATCGGTATTGGCGCGTCAAATCGTGCCTAACATTCTTTTGGAACCATGAATATATCTGGATCAGATACTTGCGTCACGACGTTGAAATAGCTGCAAAAAATAAATAAATAAAAATTATATTGGGTGTTTGAATAACTTGGAACCGTGAATATTCGAAAGTTATGCATATTTATGAAATTTGTACAAATATATCTGAGCTCGACTTGGATAGGATTATTGTACAGGCATATATGACGGAATGTTAATAGGTCCTATTAATAGTTATGTTACATACAAGCCCCCTTAAATTCAAAATTTTTCAAAATTCAGCCCTGTGCATTTCTCAGTAGATAGAAATAACTTAGGTGAAACCTCCAAGGCAATAAATCGAAACTGGGAATGACCATAGAATTTTTACAAATATACTTTTTGCCTTCAATTATATAACGATTGGTCGGATAGAAGAACAAACGGATTTAAACTGTATGACCTTTATTGATGAACATTTGGATCATCTACTGATGTATTCAGCTTGTACTGTCATTTCTAACAACAATGTTAGCATTGAATATTGCTGGGCGTGTTGGTGGTACGCGTCATTTGGGGGTGATTGGAAATCCCTGGAATTCTAAGGTTGATTTTGAATTCAGTAACTCAAATTTAGGAATTTCGAAAAGTTTACGTTATCAATTTGTAATATATATATATATATAGAATTTGAATTAATGCATAGTGCAAGTGGGGTTGCCAACCTTGACAAATTTCAATAAAGTAGGCTGTGACATAGATCCATAAGTTTCAACTTAATTGACTGCCAGACATGGAGATAATAAATGACAATGATTAAATTGATTTAAAATAACTTAAATAATTTATCGGTTCTTTAATGCAGTTACGCATTTGTTCTCTATATGATATTCAGTAATGTCATTATAGGACGATCTTATAGTGAATGCGATGCTTGAATGAATGTTAGTTATCGTCCTTTATAACTTCATTAATAAAAGACAAGGACAAAATTCCTCAATTAAAAGGCTGTATGTTGAAATAAAGGATGGTTGGGACATTTCTTACCTACTGTGATAATGTACTTTATGTCCATCATGGGAACCTTCAAATGAATGGTAGAACGGTATGCAATGATCGTGGGTAAATTCGTGGATGTGCATTCCTGAAAAGGATACTGTATACTGAAATATTGATGAAATTTAATTATTGAATACTTTACAATAAAATCCAGGGCGGAGGAACGTAACGGCATTTCGAGAATTTATGCTAAGGAAAAGGACACAAGGTGGCAGGAGATCGATGCATGAATAGTGTTATCAAGATGTAATTTAAATTTTAATTATGTAAAAAAACTCTTTTCTGACAAAAAGCAACGATAAACGTTACATCGCACCTTGCGAAGATGTTGTATTTTCATATCTGATCCATACGCTAAGTTCGACTCCATCATGCGGAAGAACGCCGATTGTCATATCTTGAGCGAAGTGATCTCCTTTTTCTATTCCAATGCGATGAAATTCGCCTTCGGTTTGAGACTGATGGCACTTTCCAGTTTTCATGTTTATTGTGTAGTTCTTTTTCTGTTTACATGGTAACAATAACACTTTGGTAAAAATATCGATATATGATACGTCAAACATGCTAATCGCAAATTAAAACTTGCCGAACAATATCCGACGTTGGACCAAATACAAATAGCCTACGTGTTGATATGGTAACGAACATTTGTCGACTCCAAACTGTTCGTTGTAAATATTTCGCAAATATTTTCATTTTATTTAATCGTCTTATTGTTAGTATATTGAATTTTAGATCATAATTGTATTTGCGAGTGCTCGTATAAATTTTGGGTACTCCTGAAGTATGCGCACCAAGATGTCGCATAACCTGAACCCTAACCTGTTACACAACCTGATTCAAGTTGTGCGCCATCTTAGTGCGCATACTTCAGGAGGTCCAAATTTTGTTATTTAATAATTGTACCTCTTCGAAAAGAAGGAGCATATCCACAGTAGGCCTGGTTTCCATCTCTGACGTCTTTTCAATCAGACGCACACGTTTGCGGAATGCATCGTAGAAGATTTTCCCTCGACGATAGTAATTGGTGTAATGGTCATACTAGAATGAATAATGAAATGAGAGAAAAATTGAGCTCAATCCAACAATCTCCAGAATTTAAAAACAGGCCAAAATTTTTTGGAGTTTGTTGCTATTGGATACAAAAGTGTGATTTAGTAATATATAGCCACGGAAATGGTACCGGTTGCTAGCAAGAAATCGTGCTTTGGCTCGTGAATCGGGATCTCCACGTGTTGTGGCGATTTTAAAATCTTCATAAACATACATAATGTATACTCACTTGCAGTATTGTGGCTTCAAAGTATGATGGCGCAGCTGAAATAAAAACGTATTATGCAATGGCTTTTTCTGTTTATGAATTACTAATTTAAATGTAAATGTGTTTTTTAAATTAAAAACATAGGCGCTGTTTCAAGAGGGATTAGGACGAGTGACTAAACGCCAGTGTGTTGTTTACTCTTTTTTTCAAATGCTTATTGAATTGAGGTTAGCATTTAAAGAATAAATTACGAAAGACCTCCTTCCACCATTTCAGACTGCCAGAAAAACAACATGGGTATGTAAATCAAAACAGAAATGCTCAAAGATAAGGACACGAAGGCAAAATCTAAGTAAAATTAAATCTATTAGAGTGTCGGTAGTCTTAATACCAGATCGCTGAAGTGCGATCACGGCACCAGGCACGCGATGTACAATTTTATTTTCAATGACATCAGCACACACAAAAAACGAATCCCATAGAGTCGAAATAAATGAAAGTAATAGCCCTGACAAACACAATCTTTAACCATCGAAAATTTCTAAGCAATTGGTCTAGAAGTCAAAGATAGATTTTTTCACAAAAATAAGTAAAGATCATTAACAACAACATAATAGCAAAACGATCCATAAGCACACTTCGTGGCAGGCAGGTTTGGGAGTTGAGATAATACATCTTATTTTAATCAAAATTGATTTATGAACTAGGTATCGTATTTAATTAACGTGATAGGAGTAAGAATAATATATAAATATATATTACTTACCACAATGGTGTTCTTGAGCGAACACAACAACGCTTGACAAAGAGAGGAGCAGAAGTATTTTCAGCATTTCGTATTTTGAGTAATGCGAGTATTCTTTGCAGCTCAGGTCGTTATATCCACTTAGCAGGCAGAACGAATTAACATTTAGAGAGAGGAAGGCAAATTAATGCAGAGAAAAATCACAAATATAGCGCTATCCGATGTTCACAACTGGGCGTCTGAGTTATTCACTCGTGTTGAAGGGGTTAATACGAAGAAATAATTAACCGGTCCTGTGACACCGTGTTTGCTCTACCGAATATTGTTTTTTGGTTATAAACTTAGGATAGGATCACATGAGTAATGTGTACAAAGTATAAAGGGTTGCAGATAACACAGTTATATTATGATGACTTGCACAGTACGGTGCAAAAGAATATGAATTTATTTTTTCGTTTATAAATTATTTGACATAATGTGCAGGCGAAATGGAATATATATTAATTTGTAAAGTGAATATTTGCCAAAAATTACATAGCTGAGAATGGGGCATAGTTTATGCGTCGTCGATGATGGTCAAAATACTAAGCAATTTCTAAATTTCCTTTTTGTAATTCACCATCGATGGTTTTTCATTTTTATGTGAGGGTGGGAGAGGCCTTGTTTTTAAGAAATCGTTTATAAAATAAATAGTTTTCAAATTAAAACACATGCAACAGATTACTAACGTTATTTCATTTAAATACTAGACATACATATAGGTAAAACGGTTAAATTGGTCAGGAAACTCGATAACCTTCAACAGTCTCGCATACTGGCCAACACAAAACATTGTGTAAATTGGATTACTTCTATAAAAATTATCAGTATTGTTTTATACTGTTTTTCATTGTTTTCATTATAGTCTAACTCTATAAAAATTATCGATATTATTTAATATAATTTTTTTTAATTGTTTGTGGAAATAAATCTCTCTCTCTTGCGGAAAATGACAAAAATGGTTCTACGTTGTGTTTGTAGTCAAATTTAACGCATTGAATAGTTTTTTATTCTTAATTGCGTTATATATTTAGGTAGCATATAGCTTAAAGTTCAAAAACCACCCTTCGACTTCATTCTAGTCCTTATAACAGCTGACTTATTCGATTCAGTACAACAACACGACGAAAATTTCCCATAAGACTCCATTGTTTCGCGTTTCCCCAATATGGCACAAGATGGCGTCCATGAACTAGTTTACTTAACATTAGCCAAGTTGGTTGCCGGCCGTTGGTCAAAACAAACATCTTCAGAATGAAGTCGCACCTCACAACTAATGGAGGCCTGGTAAATTTCTGGTACCACAATGGATATAGTTGAAATTTGTGTAAAAAGGTTCTTGATAATAGTGCTAACAATATGTGACCGGTAGTCTATTTAAGCGAGGTCCTTGGTTTACAGTATAGTTACCGGCACCGGTAAAGGGATACGGTACATGCTGACATAAATGGACATATAGGAAAATCAAATATACAGATATACATAGGCAAATTAAATATACAGATATGAGCATAGGCAAATTAAATATATACCATACAGTATATATATAATTGCTCTTTATTTGTTTATGAGGTACACACGATATTGGGCTTTGAATGAGCAATAAGTCAGGTTGCGAAAACAATAAGGTATATTGTTCTAGACTTTAACCCCGGTATATTTCAAGGATTGTTGGGTTCGACTCGAAGTAAATTTTTGAACCTGGTAGCACCCTTTCAGCCTTCACTGGCTGAACTGGTGTTATAGCTATGTGCTGATGACTGAGTTGTGAAATTACAATGGGAAGCTCTGGGCAACATATCGTGTGTGTATTGGAACATGATTTTGGCAATTTCGAATGTGTGGATATCATCAAATTTAGGCATATCAGATAATTTATATAGGTCGCTCAGGTTTGTTGATCGAACTGAGTTTGTCAAAAATCGAATTGCTTTATTTTGCAGGGACTTAATTTTGCGGCTGTGAACCTCCTGGAGACATGACCCCCACCCATACTGTTATTCTATATTAGATATATGATTGGAAAAGGGCATAATATACCATCCTTAGAGACAGAGTAGACCTACGCTTAGGTAGATAATTTAGCAGTTTGCATAATATTGGACACGTTTAGTGGACATACCGATCGTTTTGTTGTTATGTTTTCTTGTTGTTCTTAGACATTTTTTGGATACCTAGTGGAAATATTAAAAAACCGCTTTTCTCTTTGATTACTGGACCTCTTGGATTACTGTAGACCGTACCTTACTGCTTAGCTTGGCGTGAATGTATTTGTAGACTGTGGTCAAAAGGTACGGTAAACCGTACCGGTAGTGTCCGGTACTGTACTGTTTCGCTTGGTGTGAATATATTTGTATACTGTGGTCGAAATGCTTCGCTTGATGTGAATATATTTGTAGACTGTGGTATCTGCTGTTATAATACCGTGATAAATCGAATAAGTTGGTTTTACAAAGAAGAAGCGTCTGGCATTACAGGTAGGAGGGGGATTATAATTTGACGAGTTTTGTTCGAAATATCCGTGTTCTTAAAATATATGGCGGTCAGAAATGCAATTAGAAGCCCAGATAGAGAAGTTCTGGTACCGTAACACAGCGCGGTGACACTGAACTAACTCGTAGCTGTCAAAAGCTTGAAAATCCATACAAATTCAAGAGATAAAAATATGAAACTTGACAGGTGGTTAGATTTGTGTTTCTTTTAACCACCCTTGAAGGTTTCGCGTTTCTACATTTAGAGGGGGGGGGGTAGGGGGTGCGCATTTCCAATACGTTGATAATATCTTTGTCAACCAATTTGCGACCACCGTGTTTTTGTTTGTTTGATTGCTGTGATGTGGTGCTTTGTTTATACAGGTACTGGTAAGTCACCGCATATGATTTTTGAAAATTGTTCTGCGTGTCCATATATTTGAGCATTGCTCTCTTGTCTATTGTAATGCATGAATATTTGTATGACTCAACTAATTCCAGAGGTTCACTATTAATGATGACATTGAAGTGAGCATTTGTCTCAGTGGTGTTTGGACAAATTAGAATAAAGGTAATCGTCAGTGACCAATGGACCAGACCATATATGTGTAGCGTACCGGCAGTCTATGAAACAATTATCCAAGTTCAGAATATCTTCCAATATGGTCTGACGTCAAGTTTCTTCTCAATATTCACTTCAAGTTATGCTATTTTATTCTATTTATTATTCATCAATCTTAATACAACCAAATACTCCAAACAAAACGACAAGTACAAAGCAGCACAAAGCAAGAAAACAAAATATACACAATAAAAACACTTTGAACAGTACTGATGATAGCTAATTCCCTGACAACAACCAAAAATACAACGCTAAAATAACTGCAATGGCACTGTACTGAAACAATAATATCAGCCTACTGTCTGACACAAAAACATCCAACAAATCCCCATCCCGCACTCACAAAACCACAAACAAACATTCCCGATAACCCACCGGAGACCAGAGGCACTCCCACAGACACTCATAACCAGAATCCAACCGAAAACCAACCACACTCAGACAACTGCACCCTGCCAAGCACAGCACACGCCAACACCCACACCCAAAAGAACAGAACCGACAGTGTCACAGCGCCCCCAGTGTCTCTAGTGCCAAAATACCAAATAAGGCAATAATATCACATGACAGCATTTAATAGATAAAACATGGGTCGTCACATATGGCTAGGCTTACCATACCTCCCGCTTTAGACGGGACAGACCCGCTTTTCAGCGTCTTGTACCGCCGTTCCGACAAGTCAGCTAAAAGTCTCGCTTATGTGTTCAGCTAACCCCGTGTGACTCCGGAAATTTGGTCCCGGTGTTGAATTTTCCGTCACGCTCGACTTGGTGATGAAAGATTATTATTGCTTCTAAAATCATCGTGCGACTTTCTGCGTTTTTCTGTGTTCTGACGGCGCTGTCTCGCGTCAAGATTAAGTGAGTGACTTACAAATATTCAATTTAGTTGTGCACATGGAATATTACACGATATACTTGACTATAGAACTGAAAGAATGCAGATTACAAAACAAAATAGAAGAGCAATCAATTGAGTGGGAAGGCCCTAGGACCGGTCCAGCACTCGAAAGCACATTGACAGTAAGATTTTAAATTCACTTTAAAGCTCCCATGAGTAGATGTAGTAGAGAGCCGCTTTGTGCTACGATTGTTCAGCATAAAAAAGAGTATGTTGTAAATGTTCTTATAGGTACCCAATACAGTAATGATTTGTCAAGGAATGTCAATTTTGATAAGAGATATGTATATTTTCGGATCATAAAAAAGTTGCAGTGTGAGGATTTATGCTGTGTGATCAAAGCAGTAAGCAAGAATATAAATTGACTGATGGGTGGAGCTTTATCTCAAAAATCAGAATTAGCTTACACCATATCAATGAAAATTTTTGGTGGAGCAACTAAAACTGTCAGCAAAAAAAGAAATGTGGTGAGCGATACCACCCTGAAATTGTGACGTCTGTATGAAAAACATATATTAAACACACATATTTTAACTTCAATCAATTAGTGTTTTATGATGGAGTTCTACTGATCTTGATAATTTTTTCCTAGACTCATTCTGTCATTGTATACGAAATCACCATCTGCATGTTACAACATAAGAGGTGTTTTACTTTTGCCATGATAATCCATTTTGCTTGATTTCAGGCTGATACTAATAACATTTTTCACATAAATTGGATACCTATTATTGCTATTATCCAAACATGGCTTCCACATATATATATATTTATAATTTTAGATGTGCCTAAAAGTTTTGAATTATTTTGTCGAGTGTTTTTAAATTATGGATTTGTGATCAATAGCAATAACTTTTTTTGCTACTGCAAAATCCACCACATTTATTGAACGCATTAATATTTCTCCTGGGACCGTTACATTTTATTTATTCCAATTTGTTTTGTGGGGTATTCACATTTTTGTTTCAAATAATTCTTTGTCAAAGTGACTGTTAAACTTATATATAAACGCATACATGCTTAGATGGTAAACAAGGTTGAATTGCTAAGGGCGATTTATTTCAAAATACCATAACTAAAATATATAATTTTTTGCAGACGTCTCTAAACTCACTTTTGAAGAACGGTTTGCTGTCACCAGATGGGGTTTTGGCATGGAAACACATCTAGAGGGAATTTATTAAGATATGTCTAAAAAGCATTTGAAACAGCCATGTAAACTAACAGTCCAACATGTTTAACTCAATAGCTTGATAAAAATGTCTGTTAAATATTAAGCACAGAGATAGCACAAAGAATTGTTTTGAATATTAATTCATTTGTATTTTTTTTATTAGATCTATCTCCTTTTGAGCATTTAAATACTTGGATGGATCATGATTATTATTTCTAAAATTACCAACAGTATTCAGGTCATTAATAACAGATGAACCGGGGAATTTTTTCTTTGTAGGTTCTTCCTGCATCTGTTGCTAGGATTTCGGAAATGTCTGAATTTGAAGCAACTGCCAAGTTTTGCAAACTGCAAAATATCTTTTTTGACATATGCAACAGCGCTACTGACGTGGCTTCCCTCAAAAACGAAAATCTACTACTACTCTCTGAAACATCTGGAGACAAAAGACTGCAGTAGATCAGCTAAAATTTCATAAATTATTTTACACACTGGAAGTCTACAAGAGGTGATTAGCTCAAGTATTTTTAAACAAAATAAATGCTACATGCAACACATTTTGTTGTCATATCTAAAAAACAACAACATTTCATTGCTTCTCCAGCGTATGAAGGGCTCCAAATACTGGTACCTTCAACATGTGATATACCATATTAGACCTAACATCTGTCAGACCCTCCTTTAAGTGATAAAAGTCTTCTAAATTGTTTTACTATATCATACATATAAATTTTTCGTGGCTTAAAACACTTTTTAGTGTTAGACCATCGGGAGTATTAACATTTGCCGGCTTCCGATCAGACCTGCTAGGTGTTTTGGTCTAACTTGTCAAATAAAAATTTCAGAACCCCCCCCCAATGAATCGCCAAAAGATTTTCAGTTTGAAAGATGCATATTTTGCAGGTCGCGGGGCTGGGAATCCATCGGTGCTCCAGTTGATTGAAAAGCAGCAAAGAAAAAGAAATATGTAGCAATGTCCACGCGATAGAACCTAAATTGCCTTTTTACCCCAGCCAAGAACCACTCCCAAAGCCTTAAAAAACATCGATACCACTATTAACATAACTTGATATTCAGTGACTAATCACCAGTAATTAAAATAATAATTTTTATTTCTATGGATTATTGAGAAAAAAACTTGTGTACTCCACAAATACGTGTACCAAGATGACGGACCACGGAACATAGTATTATACCAGGTTAGGCCATACTTTTAGGTACAAATACTACAAAACTCACTTCGTTAGTCCCTGAACTCGTAATAAAACTAAAATAAGGAAAAAGGAATAAAATTATGGCCTAACCCTAACGTGGTACACATACTACGTTCCGGTGTGCTCATTTCTTGGTACGCATACTTCAGGAGTACGGAAACTTGACTGTAATCACATATATCTTAATCTTCGTTCTAGCTGCTGTGTTTCTTCAATTGTTTTCGTATTCCACGAGTCCTATTGTCCATATTGTTGTTATTATTTTGGCTGCAGTACTTGGCATATACATTTGCTCAAATTTTTTGAATACATTCTCAAGTAGTGTTGTTACATCTTGACATTCAGTTACATTGTTTAATAGGTATTCGCTCATGAATGATTTGAAAATGTTTTCCTTTTATATCAAGTGTCGGATGTTCAAGGATGTGATGATGGGAATAAATTTCAGCTGCTTGCATGTGTTGAGATAGCCTTTGTATAATCATTGACTCTTAAAAAAGTTATTTATAGATTGGTTTGATTAATTTCTTGAGCAGAGCCTTGTGTTTCTGGGTTGCATTGTTAACAGAAATTGCTGCTCTACCTATGGATTCCAGATTGTTGTCACATTCACACAAGCTGCAGTGCGCAAATCACTGGCTCTTTGTTTCGTTTGACGCCGTTGAATTCTTTCTCATAATCATCACGGTAATTTTTTTACGTTTACTCATTTTATCTCCTATGAAGTTCCAGATCTAAACTAAATTAAAGTTTAATTTACTGGTATATTCATTCATAAGGTTTAAATATAAGGACACACGTCAAAATAAAGATGTTTCTTAGAAATAAGGACAAAAATATTTCCTAAAACAAAGACCTTCAAAATAAGGACAAATTCTAAAAATAAGGACGTTATGGCAGCCCTGATTATAGGTCAAGTGGAGAAAAAATTTCTGTAAAAGCTACAATACTTGAGATGGAGTGAGACCAAAAGGCTGTGCTACTAAGCGTTTTATTTTCAATATAAAGTGCAAAGTATTCATTTTCGTCACCACTTTACCTACATCTAACTGACACTTTTTGCAATGCATCGCATTTTTGATGCCTTGCTGTCTTTCGACAGAGATGTTGTCACATCATTCTGGTCATTTGCAGGACAGACTGTGTCTTCATTTTCACAACTATTTTTTTTTCGTTTTTATCAAATTCTCAACGTCCTTCAGCAAATATTTCGATCAGTCATCAATGAACAGGGCGAGTTCGCGAGCTGTGATGCAGGAGCGTCGTCGTCGTTAAGCAACTTGTCAGAACTAAACCGGCCGTGACGCCCGCCACTTGGAGGTGCAACATCGCCTTTGTTTGTTTATTATACGGCGAGCGGAGTTGGACATCTAGTAGTAGTATATATTTACGATTCAGCCATTCAGCATAATACACGAACATGTTCTCGTTACCAATTTGGCCAATCCCGTTTGGCCAATTTTAAACGACTTCGGTGAGACAATTTTTCAAGAACGTGTCACCAAACATCTAGTAAACGAAGCGATAGATAAGTTTGAAAACCCACGCAACGAATTTGATGAAGCACTTTCCCAAGAAGAGCATATTAACCACCAAATAGAAAAAGTCTTTACAAACTGGGAGGTTGAAATGCAATCTCTTGAAGAATGTTCTGTGTCCCAACCCGAATATGTCGGTGGTAACGTGAGTACAATTATAGGATTTGTGTACCTATATATTACATTTATATGTTTTATATACATATATGAGTTTTATGGTTATAGTATTCCACGTGATATTGGATTTAAATTTTTTTTTTTTTTAGGATTCTTCGTCAACAAATATAAACAGAATCATTACAATCCAGGAC